CAATCAGCACGAAGGAATAGAAGCTCTTGATAGAGTCAATAGAGCACCAAGCTCTAGGGAACTCTATAGAGCATATGAGAGCACCCAAGATAGCCAGTATATAGTCACGTGTTCTAGAGAACTCTGGGAGTTCTCCAGTAAGCAATATAAGCAATAGCCTCTACCTATTATATAGACATTGCGGCAAGTATTGTTATGAACCTTTTGGCTTTACCGAGACCTATAGTCCGACCAGCAGTTACCTTCGACCGGCGAACCCTTTCAAAGGTAGAACTGCTTGTGGTTTCGTCACATCGGCTTCTTGAGGGTTGTGTGATGTCTGGAAGACTCAAGATTGTACAGTGCCCGGCTGTAAGGTTAGGGGTATTGGTATATAAAGCTTGATATCTAGCTTCGAAAGCACCCTCTCTGGATCGTATAGCACAAGGCCAGCCCCTACAAAACCACCCTATATATTCCTCTTAGTAATAGAGGCAAAGAAGGCTGTGCGAAAGGCATAAAGAAACTCGAGCTTGCTTATATGGTTGATATACGCGCGCACCAAGTCCTCGATCTAGCGACCATACGCCTACTTCAACGGCCCAAAGCAGCTAACATCAAGTGGCTAGAGGAGGTAAGAGGAATGTAGAGGCATGCAGAGCGTGATAATATTGTTCTACTAGCAGTAGAGCTCGAACTCGGTCGAGTAGTGGCTTTCATGGCCATCGAGGATCAACAACCGGTATTTGCCCTTTGTCCGAGGCGCTATATAGTAGTCGAAGTGCTTGATCTAATCAAGGCCTACTGCGTTGGTAGTCCAGCTGTTCTCGGTGGTTGTAATACGCCAGTCGGCTGGGAGGTTGCACTCGGTATACTAGTTGACAAGGTAGTATTACGCGGCCAAGATAATGAATGGAGGGATAGCCCAGCCGAGAGCATTGACTCCCTAGATTATTATTGCCTACTTGCGATTGCCAGGCTAGGCCAGCTTAGCCTTGCTCCGGCTATCTAAGGTCGTAATAACCATACCCGTAAAGATAATGCCCATTATAAACCCAGTCTCGTCAAAGTTATAGACATCGTCATCTACAATACCATACTTGGCCTTAGTGTTCTGCACAAGCCTAAACCACTCGCGAATAACGTGTGGATCTTCACATCTAGCCCTCTGGTAGTTATATCTATATATATATTGCGTACGGAGCTCTGGCCGGCGTTTGACAAAGTTATAAGCCCAGCGTTTGCCAATAGGGGGCGCATCGTATTCGCGCAGTAGTTGGTTGGCCATATCTTCCACACCACACAACCTAGGCGGGAATACACATACAGATAGCTCATTGACATATTGAACTATCGCCTTCTCTTCTAGATCTATAAGCTTGCGCGAGTTGGCTGGAAGATCGTATCGTGCAGGCTTGCCGGCGCATCGGCGCCCCAGGGTCCTACGGTCAACCCCATAGATCTTAGCTACGGCTCGTTCGCTTAGATTCTTGTCGTTTTGAAGAGCTTAGAGAGCCAAGATTATCTGGCCTTCTTTTGAAGTAGAGGGCATTTTGGATGGTAGAGGAAATTTCATTGTTGAGTGCAAAGATGTCGCGTTATATAGGAAGTGGGTTATTCGCTTGTCTAGGTCACTCGCTTATCATGTACGTTATAGATAGCTTAGTTATATACTGAACTATTGACTTCTCTTCTAGATCCGTGAGCTTATGCGAGTTGGCTAGAATATCGCGTCTTGCAGCACGTCCCTTGCGCCAGTGGCGAATCATTGCTTCTGGAACGTTGTATAGCTTGGCTACCGCTCGGATACTGAGATTCTCGCTCTATTTGATAGCTTTGAGGGCTAAAAGAAGCCTGGCTTCTTTTGAGGGGCTACGCATAGCTTGTTGCGGTGGTATTTGGTGGAAAAGTTTAGAGGAGGCGCGTCGTACTGAAAGTGCGTCGCTCGCTTATCTGCGTCGCTCGCTTATCATGTACGTTAATATAGCAGAAGTAGCCGCTACTTACTTCTGATCATCCACCATCTCTATGAAACACGAGCCCCCTTCTTTTAACCTCGGTCAGAGTAGATACTCTACTCTACTGGGAAATACCTACTAGAACGCCCTAGCTACTGGCTTAATCGTCAAAACCAAATAGCCTATTTTGAACAGCCCTATACTCAAGAACCCTACCTGTATGCTTATACTAGTAGATGAATAGTAACGCGGGCTAGCTATAGAGCGGACATAGGGTAGATATAGGGTAGAATAAGCTGGTATAAGGTACAATCTTATGGAAGTTTCCTTTGCCCTATAAGCTTGGCTTATTGTCACGGTCGGTATGGGTGTCGCCCCAGGCGGGGTCGAACCCACGACCTCCCTGATTGACGGCTGTTGTGGAGCACCGGTCACATGACCCACAAATCAGGAATATCTTCGTGTAATGTTCTGGGCCACCGACTCAGAACTTCTCTTTCCTTTCCTCAACCTTAGATTCACGAAATAGAATGACAACAACAGCCGGCTTGACCCTGTTCAATTGCATCTAGTCGTCATAGGCATCATTGAATCGGTTAACAAAGTGGCCATTGTTATGTGAGCAGTCAATGCTATAGAAGCGGTCTACGAAGCAGTTGTTGGAATATAAATCCTGATCTAGGGGTGCCAAGACGGACCTACATATGGCTGGTGATAGATACCTTGGAGGCTGTCCGGAACATCCGACTGTTTGGAGAGAATATAGAATACAATCAACACTATTGACAATACAAAAATGACATCTTCGTGACACTCTGCGACCACTGTCCATTTTTCTTTCGTTTGCCCCGTAGCGGTTCCGACAGCAGTCAACCCCCGACGAAGACCGTATTACCGATATTCAAAATTGAGATACAACAAAGCAGGATGCTAGGCGTCACAGCCCTAGCGTGACAGAACCGGCGCGGGCTGGTGACAATGGTGTTTATGCTGGTGCGGTCCTTAGTAACAGTAACTCTAGGATAGCGGCTGGGGGCATATACCTTCTTAGCGTTAGATCCAGTGGGCCGAGCGTCCTGCGGCCAAGGCAGGACTCCCTCTGCTCGACATCAAAGAGGACATCTGGGAGGACTGCGCCAAGTGATGTGGCATTTGCAGCAACCAATGCGCGTAGATACTAGTAGTCATGATATGGTCCTGGTGGAAGTCGAAGTCCAAGAGCGGTCTCGTCCGGAGCTTTGCTGGTTGCTGGGGTAGATGGGTAGTAAGAGCAGGGTTGGTGTGAGAAGTGGTGGATAAATGTTCAAGAGGTATTCGAGAGAAAGGGTCCAAGGGATGGGATTGGTCGTAGATAGAAGGCAACTACTAGTACTAGTACTGTGGCTGCATCAGCCATTCTTGTTGTCTACTACACCACACAGGGCCACAGGTGCAGACCAATGACGAACCAGCTTGTTGCTAAGGGATTGGTGCGTAGGTATATACCTACGTTATAAGTACGCTGTTTACATTTCACCTTCAACGGCAAGCCATAAGGTGGGAGTAAAGAAGGAGAAGAAACGGAAGGAAACTCGGGAGACGACACCAAGAAAGTTATCATGACTTGTATTGCTATCATTCCGAATACTAACCATGACCAAACACTAACCATGACTAAGACAGACCAAAGACTAGACCCAGACCCAGATCCAAACGCCCATACCCACCAACCAAAACCTAGAACCGAGCCGAGAGAGGACCGAACCGAGATAGAGACGGCCGAACTGAGCTGAGAGCGAGACGACCGAGCCAAGCGGAGAGCGAGGTGACCGAGAGGGGCGACCGGGAAAAGCAACAGGGAAAGGCGACCGGCAAAGGCGACCATGTTCACCAGAAGAACCGCCGGGCGAGGCGACCGGGAGAGGCGACCGGTTAGGCAAAAAGAGACCACCGGGTGGGACCACCGAAAGAGACCACCAGAAGAAACAACCAGAAGAAACAGCTAGAAGAGACAGCCGAGGAGGCGAAGAGATAAAACGCCGCGGCCAGGGCGTCCTGGGCGGGGCGGCCACCAAGTCCGCGCGCAAGCGCCGGTCGCCGTACCGGTCCTGGCCGTAGTCTACGGCCCGGCGCGCGGCGTCGGCAATGCGCTCTATAAGGAGCGCGCCCGTTGGGTCGTTTACAGCGACCCGGCTTACGCGTCTGCGCGTTCCCGCGCAGAAGATGACCGACTGCCGCTATAGGTTAAGGGCGGCGTCGGGGGGAATATTAACGACCGCGACGGGTCGCCAGGGAGGGGGCGGAGAAGGGGCCCTGCAGCGCCAAGGGGACGGATCGTTGTTATAAATCATCTTTTCAAAAAACGAGTTCTCTCGGAGGCTGGCGTAAAAACTGGTCCGAAAGTGGGAAAGGAAGAAGGAAAAGGTCCAAAGAACGGAGGGGTAGCCAGTTATTTAATGGAAGATGGGGGGAGGAGGAATCAGTCTGGGAAAAAGCAGCTAAACCCAAAACGAGACCAGATGCGGTGCTCATGGCAAGGCCGCCGCTTGTCTGATCTCTATTTTTGATTGGTGTTCTTTGTACTTTTGTTTACATTGTTTGTTTACTTTGCCCCTTTTGGTTCGTCATGTGGTGGCGAATATGACCAAAGTAGGCAACAGACTGTGTCATGCGCGGGAAGTACTAAGTCGTCTGGGATTAGCTACGGAACTCCGCCATACTTGCCTCCTCTGCACGGTAATACCGAGGTACCGAGCACGTCCGCCTGCTTCCTCGGTTGGCCGCAAGGGTTAGTCCACTAGAAAGGTGCTTGCGAAAGCGGCGGCTGTGTCCTCTCCCGAGGGTGCCCCCCTGAAGACCGCGGCTTCGGAATGCTGCGCTGCGCGCTAGGCCATTTGTTGGTGGCGGGTTTTGAGCCTACGGGGAGTTGGAGCAACGCAGCGTCTGGCTCTTATCGCACCATCCGCATCAGACTGCTACATTCAATGACGCTCGCTTCCAGGCGTCCTTCACCATGGCCGCCCCTCAGTTTGCCATTTGCTATATAGCTATGCAGACTATAGCCCCCGCCCTGTCGGGGAGCCATTACATGGCAGGTATGTACTCAGCCCAGGTGGCGTTGTAGACCGCTTGTGGCATGGCACGCAGGCTGGATATAGCGACGGCAACCAGGACGAGCCTGGCCACGCAATACGAGCCCATGGCGATGTAGAGAAACCATGAGTTGAAGGCTGTCGGCAAGCTGCCGCGGGGAAACACGTTGGTTCTTGCCACCTGCTCGACCATCTTTTTCGGTCCTTGCCCGTCCGCGAGGAGGAAGAGCTGGCGGAGATGCGGGGCGTAGTTCCGCGGCAGTTCAAGCTCAGCGCGGTTTTGGAACGGTCCCTTCTTATCGACGAAATCGAGCATCTGCTTTCGAATTTCCGCAGGGAGCAAGTCCCTGTAGAGCTGCCTGGTAGAAGGGGTATCCAAACCCAGGCTCGAGTGGTACAGGCCCTCCAACTTGCGGCGGGCCATTTCAACCTCCTTTTTCTGCCAGTGATTCTCGAGAAGCCATGCAAGCTCCCGCAGAACTCGTTCCGAGGCGTCCAGAAAGTCCCGCGCATCATTACCCCGGCGCCAAGTAGCCTGAGAGAGCGGGATCCCCAGCAAACCGAGCGGGGGGAGAAGGATGGTCAGGATGGTGCAAACGTGCCAAATGGTTGCTTCTGCCGCGGTGGGGAAGTCAAAGCTCCATGCTATCGCGTGCAGACTGCTGAACAAAGCAGAAACAAAGGCCAGGAGGAGGGTAGCACCGTGTGTAAACCCGTCCGAGTTGGCGGGGATGTTGTCGTTGGGGACACGATGCAGGCCGTCCTTGGTACCGCCGGGGTCATTGACCAACACCCGCCAAAAGCTGTCGAAGGATCTGAAGGTCTCAAAATCGTCTTTCGCACGGTTCCTTAGGTCCCGGTCTGGCCCTACAACGAGTTCATTAAGACTCCCCAGCTGAACGGGAACAATAATGTCCTTCGGCTTGTACCAGTAGGCGGCATAGGTAGCGACGCCGCAGACGGCAAATGCTAGCGTCAGGACCTCAAGCTGCGAGATGGGTAAGCCCTGAGCCCGACGCACAATGAGGGAGAGCATGAGATGGGAGATCTGGAAGACGGAAAACACTTTGCCAAGGCCATCTGTCTTGCTCTTGTCCTTGATCTCGGCTTCGGTAATGCGGGGGCACCGAAGGAAGTCAAGATGCGCGGCGAGACGTATTCCAGTCATGGGGCGGGCAGCAGGCTTGAATTGATGCCGGACCCCATCCCAATCGGGGTTGTAGACAAAACCGCCCATGTTGGCAAAGTAAGCGTGTGTCAATGTCCACGTGAGCTTGTCCGGGGTCTCTCCGGCCATGCTGCTTGGGCGGCCCTGTTCCGAGGTTTGGCGAGGAGACATGCTTCCCTCACGCTGCTCTGAGATCTGGCTGGCAGGGCTACCCTGTTCCGAGGTCTGACTAGTGGTGCTTCTCGGGCGACGCTGCTCCTCCACGTCGCGCAGGCCGTCGGGCCGTAACCTGGGCAGCAGCCTCGCGCGTGCGCGACGCCAGATGGCCGGAAAGGACCACAGGCGGGTCATCCAGGATGGATACTTGACTTGTATCTTGGACTCTCTCTCGTCCAAGGAGACAGCTACCTTTTTCTCCATCTCCCTCATGCATCCGAGCGCCATGGCGAACTCGAGGATTGCGTGAGCGAGTATGAGCTCTGGGAGCAGGATGGTGATCACCATCCATTTGCAGACGCGCACGTGCCTGCGTAGCTCTCCGTCGTGGGCGGCGGGAACATTAAGATGCTGGATAGTCCAGGTGCACGCAAAGATAGTGGTGGCACAGGTGGTGATAATGCTGAATGTGCCCCGGGAGGTATCGCCATTTTGCCTGCACTGACGCGTTAGCCACCGTTTTTTTCCTTTTCCCTCATTTCTTTCTTCCTTTTTTGTTCTTTTTCTTTTCTTTTTTTTCAAAGGAAAGCATAGAAGCGGTCACCTTCCGTTCCTGCCAGCGGGACACTTACCAGCCAACAAGCGGGCTCGCCATGTTTTGCTGAGACGGCAAGACATGCGGGCCGCGAGTTCAGCGTTTGTTTTCCTGGGTGAGGGGAACTCGCCAGCCCGATTCGGTTTGAGTTGCTGCGGGGCTGTCAACTTTATTTCGCACAACAGCCTCGTCGAGTAGCACTGACCAGGGAAGGCGCGAGTGGCTCACAGTTCATTTGCGGCACATGCATCCTCTCCATCCAATGCAACGATGCCAGCTTTTCTTCAGTCGAACTCCGCCACTCTGCCAAGCGCCTCCGATTGGCACAGAGTGTCACAGACACCAATGACCCCCTTCCCTGCCAGGACCGCTCCTGTGCAATCATACTTTGGGGGCACCTCTTCCTCAATCTCCCGCAGTCGGCCCCTCTGGTGCTCAGGAAAGAGGCTTCCACCATCGGTTTTTCGAGATTTCCTACTAGCTTCGCCCATGGCTCCCTGGCGGCGCGCAAAGAAGATCAAGGATACTACCATCCACAACGCTGTATTTGCAAAGGACATCAACGCCTTAAAGCACCTCCTCACTCGCAAGAGCGTCAATGTCAACGCCGTGAACGCTAAGGGCGCGACAGCCTTGCACGTTGCCGTCGTTCTGGAAGATTTGGACGCACTGAGAGCGCTGCTCGCGCACCCCGATATCGACCCCAACGCTCAGGAGCCCAACGGCAAAACCGCTCTGCATCTTGCCGTCTCTGCCGGAAGCCCGTCCGCTATCGAGGCTCTCCTTGAGCATCCCCGCACAAATGTCAATCTGGCAGACCGGGCCGGCCGATCACCGCTTCACTGCGCCGTCAGTGCCGTTTCCATGGTGGAGGACACCCCTTACGACCCTTCCGACTTCGAGTCAGACCCCTGGCACGATGCCATTTCCACCCCGGAGAACAACCCCGACAGCGCTTCCGGCTTCGCCTCAGAACTCTGGACCGCTGCCACTCTCCTTGCAAGGGCCCCGGGGGTTAACCACGGAGCCCAAGACAAGGGCCAACGTACCCCTCTGAGCTGGGCTCTGCATCTCGGTCTGTCAGACCTGGCCTTGACCTTCATCGGGGACCGCGAGGTGGTGTCCGAAGTTGCCGTCACGGACATCGACGGGAACACAGCTCTACACAAGGCCGTCGCCTGCTGTGAGAAGTTGGTCCCTCGGTTGCTCAGCGGCCAGAGCAAGACAGTTCTGAACGCCAAGAACAACCAGTCAGAGACGGCCCTTCACGTCGCTGCTAGGTCGAATGCTGCCGCTTCTCTCGAACTGCTCGTAAACGCGGGCGCCGACCTCGACGAGCGTCGCGACTGGGACGATGCAACGCCGTTCCACATCGCTGTTCAGAACAACTCATATAAATTTGTAAGGCGCTTGTCGTCTCTTCACCCAACTCAACGCAACCTCATACTCAGCAAGAACAAGGATGGAAACACCCCGCTGCACCTGGCAGCCGAACAAGGCAATACCCACATGGTTGAAATCATTATTGCTCAGTACGCAGATATACCTAGCGACTCAGCTAGTCGACCAGGCCCCGTCAAAGTGAACCAAATGAACAACAAGGGTGAGACGGCCGTCGAACTTGCTGCAGCGCTGGGTCATATCAGCACCACATTCAAGCTGCTAATAAACGCAAGTATCGAATTGGAGTTGGACCGATCGATACACCGCGAGGCTGCTTTCAGAATTCTTCCCCGCCTTTTGGACACGTCCACTGGAAGCGCCGAAACACGTAACGGGAGAGTAGGCGAATTGCTCGAATGGGCGGCGAGGTTCGGTGTGTTGGACGTTCTCCAGGCACTCCAGCAGCACGCCGACCCATACATGCTCGAAAGGCTAATCGTCCTCGCCGCCGAAGGAGGGGATGTGCACGTGGTCCAGTATCTCGTTGAGGCCGGTGTCGACCCGAACGCCCCCAAAGCCTCTAGATCGTCTCTTGCCGCTGCAGCCGGACACGGACATGTCGAAGTCATGCGTTTTCTTCTCAGTCTCGACCGGGTGGATCCGAACGGTTACAACCATGAACCGTTCAACTTCGGGAGAAACCGAGACACGCCGCTTATGTGCGCAATAGAAGCCCGCTCGGCGGCAGCAGTGTCGCTTCTCCTAAACGAAGAGCTTCTTCAGAGCGGCAGGTTAGACATGAATATGGGCGACTCGGGTTCCGAGGAGACAGGGGGGTGGCATCTCAACCCGCTCACTATGGCCTGCTGGTTTGGCTACGATGATATGGCTAATATGCTCGTCCGTCGAACCTATTTAGAGCGGGGATGGCTTACGCTCCATGTCAGTGACGAGAAAAATGGCACTGGACCGCTGGGTCTGGCATGCGAACGGGGCCACTGGCGTGTGGCTGATGTGCTCCTGCAAGCTCGTTTCTGGTCTTCTGGACTCGATGCGCTTCGTGTGGACGCGAAGGATGACCTGGGGAGGAGCCCTTTCTCATACGCTTGCTCATCGTGTTCGCCCGACACTGTGGATTTGTTCCTGAAAACTGGCCTGATCAAGGACGGGCTCGTCAACCCCGACTCGACAGACAACGATGGAATGACGCCGTTTGCTTATGCCTGCAGGTCGAGCGGGATTGGTGTTGTGGAACTCATCTTGGACAGCTACCTACTGAGGGACGGCCTGGTGAACCCCGACTCGACAGACAACGATGGAATGACGCCGCTTGCTCATGCCTGCAAACGGGGCAGCATTGGTGTTGTGAAACTCATCTTTGACAGCTACCTACTGAGGGGTGGCCTGGTGAACCCAAACGCCAGAGACAAGAGTGGTTTAACCCCGCTGGCTCATGCTTGCCGCTGGGGCCGGGGGGAAATAATCGAGCTTTTTCTGGATTATTTTCTCTGCGATGACTCTATTGCAGAGGTAGATTTCGGCACCGTCGACGAATCCGGCAAGACCCTCCTCGACCTAGCATTCAATGTCCCTGATGGTATCTTGGAGGAGAATAGGATCATTAGGACGATCCTGGCTCTGCTGGACAGTCGCTTGATTGACCGAGGTCTGACCGACCTTTTGAAGGCCAGCAGCCACATCTTTCACAAGGTGTTCAGGGCATACCTGGACTCCGGCGCTGAGGGCGTGCAAAAAAGTTTCCTATGGCCTGCTGTACGTAGGCTGGCAGAACTCAGGTGCCCTCTTAAAATTGACGAGCACGTGTTTTGGTGTGGAGTGGAACCTGAGTGACTGGAAGTTTCAAGTCACTGTGACATGGCTGGCCTCTGCACGGACCGAAGAGGCCGCCCGGCAAGATGTTGTTGTTGTTGTTAACCATTAGCGTCCGGGGCCGGGCCGCGAAGCGGTCCCGAGCCAATATACCTTATGGGCATGTAGGGACGTGCCGAGCAGTCTATATACAACTGAGGCAACTCACACCCAGAGGGCAAATTCAATCCATTACACCACGCCCAACTCCCTTTATGATGGCCCGCGCGTTGATCCAGTCCCTTTTAGGGGCCCAGCAACAGAGCAGAGAGAGGGCGCAAAAGTCGAGAAGCACTGCTTTTGATGTTGAAAGGCAGGAGATGGAAGATTGAAAGAACCAGGCACTCGAACTACCTGATTTCCCCGCAAAACCGTACGAGTCCTCGAGAGAGCAGATTCTCTCCTCGCTAGGGAACCCGCTAGGCGGGTTGCAGCAGCACTGTGCCGACCGTCCGGTCAAGGACGCAAGGAGCGCCGTATACTGTCGAAGCTCTCTAGAGTGTTGGTGAGAGCCAGGCCTGTTTGTCGTATAAGGGTCGTTGCACTTCATGGCTTAAATGCATCGTCGACTGCGACGGTCTCCAATTTTGGAAGTGTGGCCATCGCTTGCGCTGAGTAACGTGGTGTTGAGTCCAAACTCCATCATAGATCTTCGGCCTTCCAGCAGAAGATTGTATGGTTGACTATCCACGGCACCCTTCGCCTCCATGTCTCTAGGATCGCGTTCAAGAAGCCCAGAATTCATACCTCCTTCTAGAGATGGGGACATCTCCAGCACTATGCAGTTCTATGCTGGTGGCTCGATAAACTTGATCTTAGATGGTGAACATGCTATCGCGAGAATCGCTACCTACTTTATTCCGGAATCCCTGGCTCGCGTGCGCCCGCGCCCATTGCGCTCTGGGCTTTGGCATAGCACGACAAAGAGAGAGAGAGAGGGAGACGCGCTTGTCTCGCAAAAGCAGCTGGCTAGTTAACGACAGAACTCAATAGCATCTTATCTGGAGGTCGGAACCCACCCATGTATCCCCAAACACGACGCACTTAACTTCAAAGAGCGAAGAGAGATGCACCCTCTTCTCAAGAATTGTTGTTCGATGTGTACGGGCTGGGCCCGAGCTGGGCCTCGGCAATCCTCTGCCATGATTCTCTCGTGTACGGTGTTATTATGACATCATTAGTGTTCTAGATCTTAAAAGAGCTGACCGCTCTTCTCTTGTATCTAGTTCACTCTTCCCTGCTCTCCCCATTCGGAGCAATCACGTATCCTCCACCCTCACCTTATGCAACCCAACGCGTGGTACATTACAACTAACGTATCTTATAAGCGAGCCGGCCATATAAGCGAGCCGGCCACTCTCCACTACACTACCAACAATATCCTCAATCACAAAACAACAACACTAGGAACTAACAATAATTACATCAGAAACAGATGAATCAGACCCTTCTGCACCCTCCTGGCAAGTGCGGGCATTATGGCCAGGCTTGCCGCACACACCACAGCACCGAACCTTCGTACGACCCCCCCCAGCACCACTACCATCCAGCTGTATTTCTTGCATTTCCTCCCCACCTACAGCCCCCTGGCTTACCACCTCCTGTGCCTCCTGCACAGTAAGTGATCCTCCAAGCCGCACACGTGTTTTTTTGGCTCTCCGGCGCTTGCTTAGCGCCTCGTTAGCCTTGCGGAGCGAAGACACCTCTGCCTGAAGGAGGGCCACCTGGTGCATTATAGCCATCGTACCCTTGGTAAGCTGGTCTACAGCAGCCAACATTGAAGTCGGGGAGCTATTTTGATGGTTGGCAATGCGAGTCTTGATAAGCGTTGACTGTGACTCGGCTTCTCGAGGGTTGTATGGTGTCTGGAAGACCCAAGATTATACAATGCCCGGCCGTGAGGTTGGGGGTGTTGGTGTACGAAGCTTGATATCTAGCTTCGAAAGCACCCTCTCTGGATTGTATGGCACAAGGCTAGCCCCTGTAAAACCGCCCTGTATATTCCTCTTGGTGATAGAGGCAAAGAAGGCCGTGCGAAAAGCATAAAGGAACTCGAGCTTTGTCACGAGGGCCGTCGTTCAAGGCCAGGGTCAAGCCTCTGGTGGTAAACTGACTGCATTGCAAGAATATTGAACTTGCAGGAGGAAAGAAATCCTCGAGACTGCAAGGTAGGCTTTAAATACAGGATGCGAGTAGGTCTGAGCTTGCATGCATGATGTAATGGAACATGCATAATGAATCATCACTTGGTATGATGAATCATTATACATACAAATGATATCATCATCATGGTCGGTGCATTGCACCGTCACAACCCCCCCCCCCAAAGAAGGCTCGTCCTCGAGGCTTCCAATACAGCTCGAAAAAAATCCACCAAAACCACACCCAATCAATCGTACAGGTCGCCGTCGTCATCACCAGAGTCCTCCTCTAGAGCCTTCTTCATCGACCGGAGCTCAGGGACCATATTATACTTCGGCATATCCATAGCTGCAATGTCCACCGTGTTCAAATCCATCGGTTCGCCCTTGTTGTGATTGGCGTTGAAGGGCTTGGGGTTACCGGAACCGTGGTAACGTATGTTGAGCTTCTGGAGCATTGCGACAAAGCCGTTGTAATCGTCGGGTACGATGACCTGGGCATCGAGCCGGGAGCGGGCTGATTTGTTCAAGCCACGACGAAGCATAGCGATCTTGGTGTTGTCAGGCCATGTGTTCGCCTTAGCCGCGTAAAGCAGCCGTTCGAACCGGGCTAGGAAGACCGGGAGCGGGTCGTCGTCGGCTTGTTTCAAGGCTTGTAGTTTATCTTCGGCATCGCGCACTTTGTTGGGGTCGTCGAACAAACGGGCTAGTTGATTAAGCAGGTTCTGGGGGTCGTACTGCTTTGTGTCTTCGGCAACGGCTAACTGTGGTGTAACGAGTGCCTGAACCTTGCTGTCGAGACGACCATATACATAGAAAAACTGGGCTTCCGGAGCTCCAATGGCTTGACTATCGATGCGGAGCTTGGCTTGAATGGCCGGAAACCAGGTATCCCAATGGTAGGTGCCGAAGAACTTGTCAGGATCGGGGAGACTCGGCTTGGGCTTGCGGGCCGGCTTGGTCCTCAAGTCGGTAAGCTCCTTTGATAAGGCTTGAATCTGGGCTTCGTGGTTCTGAATGACCTGCTGCATGTGCTGAATAGGGTCCATCTTGCAGGTCGGTTGTCGTTCGTGTTCGTTATTGAATACAGATGCGAGAAAAAGGAGGGCTCTTGCAATTCGGGATCCAGCCGGTCGGTCCACACACTTCTAATTACCACACAACCCATATGCAGGGGAAGAAGGTCGGAAACTGCCGCGCTTGCAATGAATACCGAAGACCCTTGAGGAAATGGCACTTCCAATTACCACCGTAACCCTTTAGTGCCAGGGAAGGAAGGCCCGAAGTGATGAATAAGGTGAAAAAATTCCGGGTGCCGACGGGGGGCTCTAGGTGCAGGCTCCGTAGTTGTTCGAATACGTGGTCAGGCCTCCGCTAAGACGATGTACTACGTGCTCGGTCGACTAGGCACGGGTCGGTTCGGAAGGTCGTAGCCGTTACGATGAATTGCCTGGCTAGGTACGCAATCCAAAGGAAGTTCAATATTGTCACGAGGGCCGTCGTTCAAGGCCAGGGTCAAGCCTCTGGTGGTAAACTGACTGCATTGCAAGAATATTGAACTTGCAGGAGGAAAGAAATCCTCGAGACTGCAAGGTAGGCTTTAAATACAGGATGCGAGTAGGTCTGAGCTTGCATGCATGATGTAATGGAACATGCATAATGAATCATCACTTGGTATGATGAATCATTATACATACAAATGATATCATCATCATGGTCGGTGCATTGCACCGTCACAAGCTTGCTTATATGGTTGATATATGTACGTACCAAGTCCTCGATCTGGCGACCGTACGCCTGCTTCAACGGCCCAAAGCAGCCAACATTAAGTGGCTGGAGGAGGTAGGAGGAATATGGAGGTATGCAGAGCGTAATAATGTTGTTCTGCTGGCAATAGAGCTCGAACTCGGTCGAGTAGTGGCTTTCGTGGCCATCGAGGATCAACAACCGGTATTTACCCTTTGTCCGAGGCACTATATGGTAGTCGAAGTGCTTGATCCAATCAAGGCCTACTGCATTAGTAGTCCAGCCATTCTCGGTGGTTGCAATACGCCAGTCGGCCGGGAGGTTGTACTCTTGATACCAGTTGGCGAGGTGGTACTGCGCCGCTAAGATGATGAACGGAGGGATAGCCCAGCCAAGGGCATTGACGCCTTGGATCACCGTCGCCCATTCGCGGTTGCCAGGCTGGGCTAGCTTCGCCTTGCCACGGCCATCCGAGGTTGTAACTACCATACCTGGGAAGATAATGCCCATTATAAACCCAGTCTCATCGAAGTTGTAGATATCATCATCTATAATGCTGTACTTGGCCTTAACATTCTATACAAGGGCAAACCATTCGCCAATAACCTTCGGATCCTTGCACTTGGCCCTCTGGTAGTCGTATCTATGCGTATAACGCGTCCGGAGCTCTGGCTGGCGTTTGACAAAGTTATGCGCCCAGAGCTTGCCGACAGGGGGCGCGTCGCGTACGCGTAGCAGTTGGTTGGCTATATCTTCCACACCACGCAGTCTCGGCGGAAAAGCTCGCTTAGATAGCTCAATTATATACTGAACAAGAGCCCTCTCTTCGGAATCGGTGAGCCGGCGCGAGTTGGGCGTAGTGTCGCGTCGTGCAGGCCGGCCCGCTAGTCGGTCTTGCAAGGTTGTTCGTCGAACGTCGTAGTACTTCGCTGCAGCTCTTATGCTTAGTTTTTGGTCTTTTTGTATCGCTTCGAGGGCTAGGTTTATCCTAGCCTCGTACGAAGAAGAAGACATGTTAGGTTGCAAAGAAAATCTGGTTTTAAGCGCGGAAGTGACGCGTCGCGGGTAAAGTGGCCGGCTCGCTTATATGGCCGGCTCGCTTATAAGATACGTTATGGTAGTTTGTATAGTTGCTTTTATGGAGCTAAGCTAAGCCCGTAGAAGGAGGGGAAACCCTGCGCAAGGTAAGCTGTCTGGAGAACTGGATTGGATTGCAATTTATTTTTCGCCCGGAGGCACGAAGCCTAAAGGGCCTTGGCACGCTAACTACATCTAATTCGTTTGACGTTCACTTATCAACCCTCTACTCTCTTTTCTCACGCCACTAACTGTTGCCTCTTGACTCGGTTTTTGGCAGATCGACTTGGAGGCTGCATTCTCCAAGTGTTCAGCGTCCTACAGTAGAGACTGAAATTAGCGTCCATAACTTTTATGTTTGAAAGATTGTCTGCACGGGCTATTCTAGAGCTAATTGTAGCTTACACAGTGTGCGGCAACCCACTTTGTAAAAATCCTTGTGAACCGCAAAACTACACTCGCTGCAGCTGTATAGTGACCAGTGGGCTGCAAAATTAGCCTGTGGCTGAGACATCGGCGGCACAAAGTATTTTTGGCGTTTAAACACCGGAGAAGATACTAGCAGGCAAGGATGACTAAAACATGCATGGTGATACAGTACTGTGCCACGACAGGCACGGCGGTGCCTCGAGCGCCGGTCTCGAGGATTAAAGTGTGTTCTCGCTCACTGCGAATTCCGTGCCCAGCCTTTCACCATCTTTTCAGTAGATAAACCCGCCAACGCGACACTCTGGATCCACTACAGAATTTCAGCAGGTTTCATTTGCCGCAATATATTAGTATCGCAGTTTCTGATCCGGCTGACTGAACTACCGACTAAGCGAAGCTTACGAGACAACTAACAATGTCGAATATGGTTGAATACTAGGCAGACTTGGCTCGAAGCAATAAGGCGCAGGGACTTTTTAGACCGGCTCGGGATGCGATGGGACTGGCATAGGCTATCTAGGAGGGACTGTGGCAGGCAGACCTGCCTAAACCCGACTTCTCTTCTCAGGAGTGGCGCGAACTCGATGCTGTCGAGGTGGAAAGAGTTATAGCACTGGCTCGAAGAAAAAAGGCGCAGGGAGACCATGAATGGGCTCGGAATGCGGTGAGACGGGCATAGGCTATCTGGGAGATGGGACAGCTGCAGGCGGACCTACCTAGACCCAGCTTTCCATTTCAGGAGTGGCGCGAACTCGTCACTAGCAGCATGGAAGCTGTTCCTAAAATCTCAAAGCTGTCTCTAATTATAGTCTATCCTATATATCGTAGCTCTCTATAGGTAGAATAGGAAATCGTTATTATACAGAGGAACTAACGATGTTGATTATTAAGTTCGTAGTATGTATGTGATGTTAATGTATTATAGCATGCCGCTGTCTTCGTCGGGTTTTCCTTTGAGAAACTCCCACTTCGAACTGCGATGTCTTAGAAGTGATTTGCCGCGCACTGTATGAGTTACAACCAGCTAGAAACTGGTCTGTGCCTGGAGGAACTCACAGGCTCTTCATCGGTGGCTCTGCCTGGACACAAAAAGCACGGTCCAATTTTCGGAACAGATCTACAAAAAAATTGCGGCTTCTGGAACCGGCCCAAGCCACAAGTGGCTGCACACAACAGGAGTCTCGTCAGACCAAATAACACGTTTCCAGTCCCTCTTCCGATCTGGTCAGAAGCAAGAGATCTACGGCCGGGCAAAAGAAGGCGCGGCTGTATAATTAATGTTAGATCCTGAAGACAGCACCTTTTCCTTACCCTTCGAGCGTGCATCAGTCGCCTTGCATGCGATGTAGTGCGATGACATCGAGCCTGCTAGGCCCAGCGGTTGCAAGAAGCTCTCAGCCCGTTCCTCCAGGCTCCTTTGGCGGGCCGCTCGCGGCACGGTCCCCCTGTCTCTTAGCAACAAAAATCTGGACACTGATTTCGGTCTCTACCGTATCTTCAGCAGCTAAAGCGGGATCTGCTGGCTGAGGCTGTGTGGTGTTAGTGGGGTTCCCCTACTGCGGTTGGTCCAACCTTGGTTGTCGTTCGTCGTCTGGATCCAATCTCCCTGTCGCCATTGCGTACTTGATCGTTGCCCGGACTGCTTTTATGTCTGGCGACTACTCCTTCGGGTCGGATGGTGCTTTCCCTCCCAGATAGAACGAGAGGCTCCCTCGTCTTGCCACTGCATTGCAGTATGCCTTTTCTCAGATCGATCCATCTCACGTATCGAAACAGAAAGTGTTCTACTGTTTCCCTTGCTTGGTCGTAGGTATATATATCTAACTCGACCGCACCAATCCTCCTCAGAAAGCCGTTTAGCCTCGCCATTCTAGTTCAGAGCTGTGCCAATACGCAGGCCTCTTCCCGCTTCAGTTTGTCATAGAGATCGCGAGTATGCTTGCCTGGTAGTGCTATATCCATAGCCTTTGAGAACTTGCCTACGCCTTTAGGGAGGACTCTTCCCTGTCGTTGTTTGGTCATGTCCAATCTGATTGCTATAGACTTGACCTGGGGCATTTGGGAGCGGGGTGAATGTCCCTGCTTTGTCGCCCTCTGCGCTGCTGCTTTGGCTTCTGCTCCCAATGCGAAGTCGCTTTCCGCTGGTATCCATAGGAAGTCAACCGAGTTCCCTCTCTGTTGATGCAGCCTTGTCAACTCGTATATCTGCCGTATGGTGCCTTGGCCGGATTGTTGACGTGGTTGTCTCATTGCTGCCAGCGCTGACTGGTTTCTGGTGACGATGGTGATGTGTCTCGAGGGTCACGGAATAGTATGCCACGATCTCGCTGGTCCTGCTGAAGAGGGTGTCCCGTGCAGCGCCGCCGATCCCAACCATGCCTTTCTTCGCAGCCAGAACTGGGCAGGGCTGGGGTGCCCTGACTCTTCTTCAGAACGTTGAAAGAGTGGGGTGTTTTTCGTACCCAGTATCGCCCTGATCTTGCAAACTTTGTTGCGTCCTGCATAAACGCTTCCTCAACCATGTCTGACATTGGACTCATACTCGGTTATCATGCATGATGAAGTCTGAAGCGTGATCTCGTTTCGCCACCGCCGAAGATCTCGCTTACCCAACATGTTACGGCACTGAGCCACAACATGTGATCGATTTGGACTCACTATCATGTCTTTGTGATATGGAGCGGGATATAATTCTCACGTCCTTTTCGCAGTTGTTCTGCTCAACAATGACGAAGTAGGTGGCCGAGTCGTGTGGTTGCCAGCCGCCTCCTTGTGCTTCATACCCATGGTTGCCTCTTTTGGTCATGTTCTCACAATCCTATATGCCTGTTACTTGCTTGGCCGTCCCGCCCGAACTTTGGTCAAGTGTGGCTTACACCTCATTGTTTAGGTACGCTAAGCGTGGCATTAGGCCGTCGCACTTGCTACCCCACGACAGCATTGATGGCGGACCTGTGCAATAACTGCCTTCTTGTATCGGACGTACCTACCATGTGTAGACCTCTTTACTACGTCTGCAGTATAGGAGGTAATGTGTCTAGGCCGCTTGCCCTGCGGAAATGCTCCATAGTCACTTCGCCTTGGAGCTGGAGTATCGGCTTGCCCTCTCAGACAGCATTGCAGTCCCTGCTAGGACCAACAGCAACATGAATCGCAGTCAAAGCAGCCCGCTTAAAAGGGTCTGGCTCTCTACCTTAACTGAGACCATGCCGCTAACCCCTCTCGACTACACGGCGCCGCAGAATTACATCGTCCGCTTGTTTGGTTTTCATTTCCCAAATTATCGGGAACTTGACCGGATAGCTACAGTGGCTTACCTCAAGGACCATCTTGCCCACACAATCTCGCTGATGCCCTTTCTGGGTGGTCAAATCATCCACACGGAAGCTGAACAGCTGCCCAGGATGGTCTACTCAAAGATGGGGACCTCCTGCAACTTGGCTCAGTTCCCAGGTGAAGTGTTCGACTCCCAAAACATCGACATATCGTACCCGCACTTGCCTCAGCCGTTTTGGGAACTCCTGAGATTGGGCATTCATGCAGCCAGCATAAAGAAACGCCTGCTCTGGTTGCTGTCGGAATCCGACCCTGGACATGGGGATGCATGCCACCCCATTACTCTAAGGGTGACATTCGTCGAGGGTGGTCTATTGCTGGGCTTTGCCTTCCACCATGGCGTCATGGACGGCATAGGGACACTCGAGGTTCTCAGGTGTTTCGCTTCTGGAACACTCAAAGGACTTGACGAAGCCCATACACTACAACAGCGCAAGGAAAACGTCATCAAGATCGCTGCTGACACTGTTAAGACTGCTTCGGTTGAACCCCGCGCCATGTATGGGTACGACTTTGAGGCCCCGCAGACTCAGGCGGTCCTCCCTGTCGCCATCGCCAAAATACTAACCATTTCGGCGGAACGCGCCCGTTCCCTTAAGCAGACGGTTCTCGAACAGTTACGGAAGACAGCCGGCTCAACGGCTTTTGTCTCACTCGCCCGCGCAACCGTCGGCGAGCTTGCGGGTGAACAGCCAACCCTCTGGTCCCTGCCAGCCACCATCGAACAGATTGCCTCTGCGGCCTGGCAGATCCGCTGTGCCATCGCTGCCATGACCGCCACTGACCCGACTGTGAGGCAGCACCACATTGCCGTCGCAACCATGGCGACCGATCCGAGTGAGAAATCCCTGACCTGGCCCGAAGTCGACGCGGCGATCAGGCGAGTTATCTCCCGCCACAGCACGGGGTTGGATGCCACGGTGGGCGTCAGTCTGGGCGCCGACGTCGAGTTTGCAATCCCGGACACGGCCCCCCGGGCGGGTGGTAGGGTTAAACCCGCGTGGGTGCGCAGGGCATACGTGCCCAACGAGGGGGCTATGGCGATCATGCCACGGCAGGGTGGCACAAAAGGAGACGCCAACTGGGAGATTTGGCTTGCGCTGAGGAAAGAGGATATGGATGCCCTTGTCGGCGAGCGGGAGTTGGGGAGTTACCTGAGTCGACCACCTGCTTGAAGAGTGGAGGGGTCGAGGAGAGGTGGAAACAGAAGGAAAATTGGAGGGGGAAGATGGATCAGGGTCTCGAAGTTTCTGATACAAAGGCAGCGCAGAGCAGAGCTTGGCCAATTGCATTCAAGTTTCTTCATATAGCAAGAGCAGGCCACGGTATATATAGAAGTTCTGCACCTCAGATCGTCAACGGCCCTCACCCCTCACCCACAGTTCCCTGCGTGGTCGAGTGGTATGGGGAGGAGGGCCACGGCCCCTGTCCAGTTCGGCAAGTCAAGTGCGTTCCGCCTGATCACCGGAAGTCTGCGCGTTCGAGCCTTGAGTGTTACAGATGTAGTAAAAATCTTCGGGGTTTTTCGTAACCGACTACAGCCTGGGAACCGCGTACCTAGCCCAGCCGCCACCTACCCAGTAAGTAGGTGCCCGCTCCCTAGGTGCCACGCCCCAACGATCTAGTCGGCTAGCTTTTTTGCACCTTTATATCGCTCCGTACCTTTTGCCCACGTACTTTTGTGCGTGGTTTAGAAAAGTTCGTAGCGCTAAATCCATGTCGGTATCACAAACTATCGGCGGTCATTGGATTGACTCGGGTGTCCAGGACACACAAGATAATCTCACTCGGGATCGGCTGTCTCAGGTTCTCTCAATAGGAAGGTGCATATGCTAAGTCAGGTCCAACGGAGCACTTATTCCCAGGAGGCAAACAACCCGAGTACTTGTAACCCCTATATTGGTCGTATCTTCCGAGACAAAGCATGGCGAGGTATGAACCGATAGCAGCAACAAACATTATATATACAGCCCATGCGTCCCTGGCCAGTCCACTAAATATTGCTCTAGCGTCAGTTCGTCCTCACACTCGAAGCCGTCCTCATCCCTGGCGGGGCCGGCCTGACTCACACGGCCAACCGTTTATCTGTACAACTCTCGCACCGACAACAGGCAGAGATACCGGCAGGGTGCGACGAAGTCTAGGGAAAATATAATAAACTCTTCTGCATGTCATTCAAGTCACAACTATCAGTCCGAAGGAGTGTCGTTCTAAAAGAACACTCGATCACCAACAACGAAGCCAAACGCTCCCGAAACATCCAAACCCCACAAACAAACAAAACCCCAACCAAATAAAGCCATCATGAATTTCCTGCGCAAACTCGTCGGCCGTCCCGAGGACGCTAATAAGCCTCCCACCGACGCAAACGACCAACCCCAATCCACATTCATCACCCCGGACCCGTTCGCCTCACCCGCCCAATTCCAAGCCGTGAAAGAGCACATACAAGCCCTCGCGAGGCGCGACCCAGCCCGCTTCGCCGCGCTCCGGCGCATGGCCGCCTTCCAAGGCAGCCTGGCCTGGCTCGAAGCCAACTTTCCCGACGAGTCCAAACACGAAATCATCGTGCCCGGCCCCTTCCCGGACGCCTTCCCGGGTCCACTAAACGGGCCCGGGCTGGAGCACATCCAGCCAGGGGACACGCGGATTTTTTTCATGCGGAGGAAGGACGTCTCCGGCCCGGCGGGGATCGTGCTCATGCAGCTTACCGTGTTTCCGGGGACAGAAGTTACCGGGGAGGACGGGGAATCCGTCATGTGGCTCGGGACGCCGGCCATGGAGACCGCGGTGGCGGCGTTCTTGGGGCTGTTGCGGCGGATGGTCGACTCTGGTAACCTGGAGAAGTGTACGGCGATCATTGCCATGGGCGTGGATATGACGATATACCACTTCACGCCGGAGAGGGGGTTCTTTGATCCGCCCGAAGGGTTTGGCTTTCGGCAGGAGAAGCTGGATTGGGATCAGGAGGGGATATTGCCGAAGGTGTAGCCTTGGGGGACGGATGCTTCTGACTATCACCCCCCTTTTCTCCCTTTCGTCCAGGCCGGGCCTGTCCTCGGTCGTTTACTAACCCCACATTCGATCGTCCGCCAGGAGATACGGCATGTCGTAATCCATGACCAGGTAGTAGCCGTCGTTGTCATTCTTTAGTCTTCTGTCAGTAATGTCCATGAAGTGGAGTGGCTTTTCCTAGGTCCATACAATATCCTCAGGGTAGACTTCCGGAGGAGCACAGTATCTCTCCGTGATGTTATTTCTCATAATCTTCACGTAAAGCAGGTCTCTCCTCGACGAGTTAACGAACTTCTGCAAGTCGTTCTCGCTCTCGGGGGAGACCGTGCCTGCTGGCGTCTTGCTCCTGATTTTGTCCAGCGCGAGTGTCACATCAGCCGCGCGCTGTTCGAGGATGTCTTGGCAACGGTCTCCGAATAGAAAAGCGATGAAGTCTCGCTGCTCTCTGGTGAGACTTGGCCGAGGGACAAGGCTCGGCACGGAAAACTCGCGTATTCCCTCCGACGTCCTGCGCAATGGGAAGGTCGGCCCAAGAAGGTCGCGCGTCTTCTGCACGATCTCCCCGAATGGGGTCGCCTCAGCGGGAGCCTCGGCTGATGCGAGCGACCCTTGGCCGACGGCGTCGCTGGCGCCGGGGGGGCGGAGGCGTCCTCGCCGGCATGGTTCGAAGCGTCGAGGGAAGCCATGGTAATTCGAGTTAAAAATTTCATAAAGCGTGATGGAAATCTATCAAAATGCCGGAAGGTTCACGCGATGAGTTGTGTGGTTTGAGCTTCGGACGCCCCCGCAAGGAAGGTCTCTATGGATATATACCCAGAAGCAGAGCCCTCGCCACCGGACTGATTGAAAGCGCGTCTTTGCTAATCATTCACCTGTTGTCATCTCATCTTGTGGATGGAGCACGGACAGTACGAGTATAAGAAAATTACGGACACTATTAGTCTATGACATACATGATTACCTACTACGTACGTGGATGATGACGGAATGGTAGTGACCACCCTCATTTGTCCCCACTCCTTTTCAGCACATGGCACATCTGGCTGGTTCATTAATTCCTCTCATTTCTTCCTAATAAGCGTTTGTGACCCTTCGCATCCAACGCTCGCCCTTGACGCTTGCTCAGCGAGGCTGAGCTTCGGCTACAGAAGAGCCGTATGACGCCTGCCGCTTCATATCACAAGATCCCGCCTGGAAATGGAAAAGGCCATTCGAATCATGCTTGGCGGCAACTGACGCTTGCAGAGCTCCCACTGGCCGACCGGCGGCTGCAGCTGAGGCGGCCACCGATTGGCGGCCCCTTGTGGGAAACCACGATGCCGATGGCGGCAGAGCAGGCACGGCTTGGTCTGATATGAGGAAAGAGCGACTTGACAGTTGTTTGACCCAAAGTTTGTTTCTCGTGCGATTTCGTGGGGTTCCAGGCCATCCAAGCTTGACACTAACTTCACACCTACCACACTCTCTTCCATTCCATAAGAGTCCGACACTCAGAAAACTTCACTCTCAGGTTGGCTTTGACTCATTCCAACTGAAAAGCAACACTCCTAAGATGCGTGCTACCGCCTTCCTCGTTTCCTTCTTGGTGGCCCTAGCCACCGCCGCTCCAGAGATGACGATGGAAAAGCGCACGGAGCGCATCGTCTGTGTCAGTACCAGCCTACTCCTTTTACACAGCCTTCCTTATGGAGCGTATCTAAGGTATAATAAGCACCGCTAACACATGCTTCTGCGGTAGGACTGCGATGAGGACATGTGCAGGGGACCACCTTGCTGCGACAACGGCACCTGCTGGCAGTCGATTTCTTAGTCAACTCTATGCGGAAAGGAACCGCGGTAGACACTTCGGCTGGTGATAAGGTCGTTTTTCACGAGGGTCGCAGAGTAGGAGGTTCGATAAAGCAAGAAGCTCAATGGCTCGGAGTCGAAGGATAAAGAACACATGGGAGAATCATCGACCGAGATAGTATCCAGACGACGAGCAATATCAATGGAAAGGCGAGGCCAGTTGAGGGAAGTGTTTAAGAAGCTGCAAGACGGAAAGAATCAACAGGAACTGGAGCAAGCAATAGCTTGAGAGATTGGGAAAATCACCAGCAATCACCGGCTGAATCACGAAGTTTTACAAGAAAATGGAATTGATTCCCCCTCTCTATGGTGAGCTCCGTAACCTGCATAATGCTAGCACCCAGACCCAGACCCAGATACCCGGAATCCCCGCCTACTTCCCAATGCCCGATGCACGAATGAAACCCAGTGTGATCCGGTTCATTAATCAGGTAAGGTGAAGACATAGCTCATTGCAACCCGTTCCCAATCATATCCCCCATGTAGTTAACTGCCCGAAAAAAACCCATCATCTCCCATCTAAGCGATCTCGATCCTCCGCGTAACAGGCTTCTTCGACTTCGGCACCGTGACGCTGAGGATGCCGTTGTTCAAGCTCGCGGCGACGCCGTCGTGGTCGACGCGCGCGGGGAAGCTGAAGGAGCGCGAGAACTCGCCCACAGACCGCTCCCAGAGCCAGTACTTGGTACTGGTAGCCTCGTCTTGAGCAGGCTTGATCACCTCAGACCTGGACACAGGCTTGGCGGGTTCCACCTCCGGGGTGATGGCGGGAGTCGAGGCGCGGGTGCTGCTCTCCTCCGGGTCGTCCTCGACTGTTGCTTGGTGCGAGTTGCGGCGAGTCTGCGGCTTCTCGGCTTCGGCTGTGCCAGTGTTGTTGTTGTTGTTGTTGGCCTTGTTGTTGTTGGATGAGGAATCGGGGCCGTAGCTGCGCTCAACACGGCCGCGGATGACGAGCGTCTGCACGTCGCTGAACTCGATGCTCACGTTCTCGCGCTCGAGGCCCGGGAGCTCGCCGTGCAGCTCGTAGGCGTTCTCGGTCTCGCGGACGTCAAACTTGGGGTGGAAGGTGGCCGGCTGGCGCCGCGCATGCTTGGGTTGTTGAGGACGAGTGGTCTGGACGTCCCGCGAGTAGTTGTCGTAGTCCTCGAGCAGGCGGAAGAGGGGGGCGAAGCCGGAGTCGGCTGGCGCGCAGTACGAGCTGGGGAACAGGGACATCATGATGACTTGATGTGCAAGTTAGGTTGGAAGAGTGATGGTATTGAGTGTGGGCGCGTTGTTTGAGGAGTCTGAGAAAGCTCTGAGTGCTTGAGATCTTGTGATGCGAAGCTGATGTTTTTCTGCTGAAGGAGAGGCTCAAGGAACTGGGAAATCGCAAGGCTTAAATACCCAGCCGGTATGGACAATCGCAACTCCAGGAAGCATCTTGATTACGCGGGAAACCGCCATTACCAATGTGTACGACATGTCATGAAGCCTCCAGAAGGCTGTCGATGGTGATCCGCGAAGCAGCGACTGCCGTCAGGGCGAATCTCGAAGGTGCTGTCAGCGGTTCGCAGACGCTGGAATGAGCGCGAAGTTTCCAGAATGCTCTCCAGTGGTTCGGGCTGAAAGATGCGCGTAGTCATCAGGGTTGGGGTTGACAATGAGGACCCTCTCATGCCTCTCACCAACGTTGTCAACTCGTACGACAACAAAGTCAAAGTTGACTTGCTATTACTCTATCACAATCACTAGACTCAAAAATAACTATCTGCCTCAGCACCATTCACACCCAAGCCTCAAATTCCGTCAGCCGGGATCCCAAGGCGCGCCAGCACATTCCCCGGCCCGCGCTCCATCCAAAGCTTCATCTTCTCCTCGCTGTGCACCCACACCATGCCCAGCATGCCCGCGGCGTTCGTGTCCACGCCGTCCCAGCCGGCCGCGCGCCGCGGAACAACCAACAGCCACGACCGATCCATAATCACATTATGGGCCACCACGGCGACCTGCTCCCCCTCGCCTCCTTCTTCCCGGGCGACGACGTAGCCGGCGGCCTCCCTCTCCGCCCGGCGGACCAGTCCTCGGTAGATGCCCAGGAGCGTGTCGGGCGGAGGCAGGCCATCATCCGCGAAGCGGTGCAGGAAGAACTTGAACGTCGGCTTGACGACTTGTTGAACTTGCGCGTTGGCTAACTTGGCTTCTTCTTCGTCCGGCCAGAGGGGGAAGTCCTTGGGGTCCGGCGCCGGAAAGGCCTGCATGTGTTTGTGCATGCGGCTGCACCCGCTGTCGATGCCGCAGTTGAAGAGCAGCAGGTGGCGGCTCTCGAGCGAGGCTAGGACCTGCCGTGCGGCCGTGAGGTCGCTGAGGTCCAGGGCCTCGTGCTGCCGGCGGAAGCCGTCCTGGGTGAGGATCAGGAGGTGCGGGCGCGCCGCAGGGAACTTGTTGATGGCGAGGAGGTGGGTTGATCCGAGTGTGGCGACCTCGTAGCCTGTTGTGTCGATGTCGCTTCCAGGCCGGCAACCTGAGGGGGCTTGTTCTTCCGGAGAGGAGCGCTTCTCTGAGTCATGGGGAGTGTCAGACAACTGTGGTTTCTTTTGGAGACCGTCTAGGATGCGGAATTCGATCTAGAGCACGGTTAGTTGTCTGATGCGGCTGCGTCGACGCTCAGAGGTTCCTCACCGGAAAGCCATTGTCCGACACGGTGACAGTGCGGTAGTTTCCGTTGTAGACCACCGAGCCTTGCTCGACGAGACTGTCGAACTGGGCGAGTAGGCGACTCTCATTCAACTCGGTTTCCATGTTGTCGGGTGTGGGCGAGCCCTTGATAATTCCGAGTAACAGATACGAATCCGATGTTCGAAAGCAGATGGCTCCAATTTATCCCTTTACTAATGGGTCAGACTCGAGAGCAAACCATACGATTTAAACTTGGAAGCTTTTGGGGATTCCCGGCACGTGTATAGAGCCACGTACCGTTGAATATCGGAGCGTCTTATTATAGACGGTCTTTTCCCAGAGCCACGAAGCTTATGATGCAATCTATATCCATGATGTCAACCCTTTGCTCCGGCCTCGCGCTCTGACAACGCGCCACTGGAGAGGCACTTCCAAAGCCTTACCCTGGGCTAGCCGCTATCCTAACTGCTTAGCCCAAGTTAGCTTAGGAAGAGTGAGAAAAGTTGCTTGTATCCGGGGTCATTACTGTGACACTGACTACTAGTTGATCATCCTCGAAAGCAGGAGCTGTCAAGTTGACGAACTGCCCGTCTGCTCCCGGTCGTTATTTGTGTTTGCGTCGTTGTAGGCTGTTGGCGTGAAAAAACCAGCGGTGAAACAACAGTGGGTCAGAATTCAGTTGGGAAGCTAGGCCCCCGGCAAGCGGCGACTTGAACCCGAAATCGGTAGTTTCAGCTGTTGACACTGTCTCTACGGTAGTCTCTGTACCGGGGAGACTCTGTAGGATTCCCTGGCCATCTTCGTGATTTTGAAATCCAGGAACTCTTGTTTTGGTCGTCTATAAGCAGGAATGCGAGGAGATGACTCAGCCCAACCCCTGCAACGAGCTGTTGTTGATTTTTTGTTCGAAAAAAGCTGACATGCGAAGAAAGTCGCGACGATTACGCGCCCCACGCGCTGATGTTATTACTAACTGAACGGCATCCGGGGCCTGACGAAGCCGCATGTCAGCGCCGAACATAGGAAACCGGAAACCGGAAGCCGGAGCATTTGCCGGCCAACTACTAACTACTTCGGGGCGCGCCATAACAGCACAAAAGTTGGGAGATCACCCACAAGGGGTAGCCCAGTAACACGGGTGGATAGGTGAGGCCATGACTGATGCGATTCACAATGCAAGATGCGTAGTCTACGGTACGTATGTACAGATGATTCGACAAAAACGCTTTCGCTGATTCTGATGCTTCTCTTAATAGCTCCCTTTCAGATACGGCCGCGAATGTTGGCATGTGGCCAGTCTGGGCCCCTGCCCAACGGCACACCATGCGACGCGACCCCGGCACGGCGGGATATTCCTCCCAGCGAGTCCGGGTGGCTGTTCAGATAACCCCCAAAAATCTCCGCTTCCTGCGGCGTCAGGGATATCGGCGGCAAGCGGGTGGTGAGAGTAGGAAGGGGGGGCCTGGTGGGAGGCGGCATGGGAACGATGGGATGAGCATGGCTCCGGCCTGTACCTGAGCTTGCTGGCCCTCTGTCCCGGTCCTGGTGAAGCCGGGCTTGGCTTGTCGCGGTCCCCGCATAGCTCCAGGCTGGCCGAGTCGACTGCGTTGGGGCCGGGGCCGGAGGAGGGGGCGGCGGAGGCGGAGGCGGCGGCAGGGCTGCGAGCGAAGGGAGGCCCACCGGATCGAGACTCACGGCCTCGGCTTGCGACTCCCGCGTCTTTTTCGACATCCGGACCTCCCGCCGCGCACGGTTGGTGTAGGACCTGGCATTAGATTGGATGCTCCTGAGCCCGACCCCCATGCACTACGTATCGGCCCCGTTGTAGTCAGCACATGCCTTAGGTATCTTTATTCCTCTTACAAGATTCGTGATCAAATGTAGAAGAGAAGCTTACCAGGGCCTCGACAGCATCCCACTTCATCCCCAGCCGATCCGCCAGGCCGGACCAGATCTCCTTGCGCATGTTCATGTACTCGTTGGCCACCATTTCCAGCCTGCGCCCGCTATAGTCGTATATCCCGCGCCGCTCGACCAGGCGCTCGTAGCGCTTCCGGCACGCGTTGGCCGTCTTGGTCGGGAAATGGGTCCGCTGCAGCTCGGCCCAGTTCTGCCCGCGCGACCGCGCCTGGATGAGCGTCTTGTCCTCGTCCGCCGTCCAGGTGCCGTGGTTGTAGATCGAGTACGGGTATTCCGCCAGCGTGGCCGTCTCGTCGCCCCCCCGGTACGGAGGAGCCTGGGGCGCGGCGGCGGCATCATCACGGTCGTCCGCGGCGTCGTCGTCATCGTCGTCGTCGATTCCGAGGTTCGCGATGGGCGCCGTGATGGAGGCAGTGGGTACTACGCTTTGGCTCGATGACGGTTGGAAGCCGGTCGCGCCGCCGGGCGGTGACGGGCCCCGGGAGGCCCCAGTACCTGACGTGGTACTCGCTTGCTGAGCCGCAGTCAGACCATATAACCCGTTCTCCGTCATAGTAGCCTCCACATGCTGCCGCGGTGCCTTCGACAACCTTCCGGCTTTCTCGCCGGCGTTGGTGCCTCGGCTCGGCCGCCGAGGTGGTCCGCGTGTCCTCGTCATTGTTCCGGCAATGAGCGAGATCGTTGGCCACAGGGACCGGTTGTTGTTCTTTCCCCGCGCCAAGCCAGGTTCCAATGCGAGGTTTTAGGCACACTGACGGCTAGTTTAGCTAATTATGCCTTTTCATCGGCATGGGGAAGAGCCGAAGATTTTTGTCATTCGTTTGGAGGGATCCTAGGACACGGAGGGCTTGGTTCGGCCACAGATGGTGAAGCGGTTGGTCTGCCCACGAACCGCTTTTCGGAAACAGGCAGTCGCCAGTCTTGGATCAACAGATTCTGTGGGACATTCGCCACGAATGAAAGCGGGTCCGCTGGCCGGAAGCCGATGCAGGTAGACCGCAGCAGAGGGGTGGCCCTAAAGGCGGCCGCAGCAGAGGCGGCCTGGTGGACCGTGAGTGCTGTCCGGTTCAGCTCCGAGCGACTGCCTACCGGACACGGCAGGCAGACGCAGGCGAGAGCGGCCTGCTCAGCTCCTTGGTTAACTATGGCGATACGCCCATGTTACCACCCGATCGCGGCATGGACATAGGCTCACCAGCGCTAGTATGGAGTTGATCGTATGATTCGACGTTCTCGGGGGCTCCCCTTACGGGCGCGGGACACAAAACACCAACTTTCAATTTGCACCATACATAGAGCATCGTCAAGCTACATACCGCCCACGCTCAACACCCATCACACCTATTCTTGCGTGTTGTGGTCACTCAGGGGCTGGGCCGGCATCCTCCTATTTGCCCCCCTCCAGCAGATGCACAACGCCGTCCATCTGCATAAATAGCATTATTCCAGAAGCCTCCGCTAACTAGTCCTGCAGGTCGTGGATGGCTGCATGCCAAGCGAGGACACCAGCCAGTAGTATGAATTCCGGACATTACACTGCGAACTGCAGACCTGCAACCTGCAGGGTCTCAACCTACTGATCTGAGGCAAGTTTTCGGTCAGCTTTCTGGCTCCAGACGCCCCCTTTCAGCTTGCCTGCAAAAACAAAAAAGTGCGAACGTACCAGGCCGTCCGTCCGTCTCCGGGGTAACATTGAACTTGAACCTACGAAGATATCATAATCCTCTGTCCCCTCAGCTCCTCCCCAGCCTCGATCTCAACCGCCATATCCACCCGAACACAATCCTGGTATCCCCTCGTCTTCATCAACTGCAGCTGGGCCCACAGCTCGTCGGGGCTCAGGCCCCTGATGGACAGCCGCGCTTTTTCAAAGCCCTTCCAGACAAACGACCGCTCCACCTCGAAGTTGACGGGTTTGTCGAACCGGTACATCGTGTATTTGGTGACGGCACGGATCCGCTCCTGGCAGGCGGCATCGAGCGATTGGATGAATAGGTCGGGGTCCTCGGTGATAAGCTCGGCGGCGAAGGCTACGGGAGCGAATCTCTGACTCTGCTTGCCCGCGTCCCAGTGGATGGTGAAGCGCAGGTCGACGAGGATGATGGTGTGCCGGTAGAAATCCAGCATAAATGACATGATTGCGTAGTGGCTTGTTTCGTTCGCTGCGGCAGGGGGATTGGGTGGATAGCTGGGCCAACTGTTGAGTGTACTGGGTGAGTCCATTGGAATATACGTTGTTCAGTATCGGCACTATGGAACGTTGAAGATGCATGACACCTGCCCATTTTACTTTGTCTTTGCCCTTAAGTTGTCTCTGCTATCAGGCTCAAGACAGCACCGGCTTTGGTCATGTTTACATCTCCCCCAAACGTGGTAAACATTGGCTTACCCGACATGACGTCTTTCCTGAATGACGGCGCGCATCAAAGGAACAGCATGGTTGTGGTTTCCACTCAATGGACTCTTGCAGCACTAGGGCGTATGTAAGATAACGAACTTGTTGCAACCTTTACGCGCCGCTGGGCAGTACAATGCCGTTGAACATGAGTCGTTGTTAATCATGGGGTGTTAATATGATCGGATAGGGAGTTCATCCGATCACAGCTACCGCCGGATAGTGTTATGTTAAGAGTACGCCACTTACAACCTGGAAGTCGTGTCAAGCTTGATAGTAGGCTATAGCGCCATTGCTAGCATCCGTTGAATGATCTACCAGGTTCAAAGCCTCGAATCAGCAAGAGTAACAAAGAGACAGCAAAGCAAAGTAAGGAAGCAAGCGTGGATGCGAAAGAAAATGAGGAGTAAATGGGGGTGGATATGGTCAATTTGAAAGACAAGTGACATGAAAGCGGTGCTATTAGGGAGATTCCGGAGCAGACAGACGTGGTAAACGGATAGGGCCTAGCACAATGTCCTGGAGATGGACATGTAAGCGCCAGGGAGGCAATGTTCTCAAGTAGCGTCCACTGCAGTTAACTGAAAGACGGAATATCAGTGTTGGACCTCATCACTGGGCTCTTTAACCAACTGAATCAAAGAAGGGACGTGTGACTGAAAACAGAGGACGATGTGGTGTGGTGGATTCGCGAGGTAGGAGAGGGGGCAAATGGTGAGTTGGCCCTGGATCAATCTCTATCTCGTGACTCGTACCTAGTCTGAGTTCTGACTGCAATTCCCGGCTGAAAACAAATGAAAGCCTGACAGTCTGCCCGATGGCGCATCACCAATCGGGGCTCGCCGCGCGTTGGCCCTCGCAGCAGATGCAGGTTACCACTGACCAACCATGCTGGGAATACTTCTTCACCTGACACAACACAGCCACAGTGTAACCCGAAGTGAGTTTTCTTCCAAAGTTCAACTACCTCAGCGTCGAGTGGTTCTCTTGAGCGTTGTTATTTTACTAGCATAATGTCTTTTTTTCTTTTGCACAAAACGCGGACGTTGAGTCGACGCAGAACCTGATTTAAGGGATGCAGTTGAGCTTGCCAGGAGATCCACGGACCTATCGCAGACCCTTCGCAGTTCTTCTCTCCTGCCAATGTCATACAATGGAACTCCAACGGCGCCGGAGTGACGAGGAACTTCACCGGGTACACAGAGAGCTCAAAAGACGTCGGCTAAAGAATTTTGACGGCTTATCACGTTACTGCAAGCTCTGCGAATCCATGATCTCGACTGAGGGTGGTGTGCAAAGCCTTCTCTCCGCTACAGGGTTCCAGCATTCCACCTTGGCCGATATGTACCTCCGATCGGAGGAAGGGTGCCGGCTTTGCAGTATGATCCGAGAAGTGCTCATGAAGTTTCTTGTTGACACACCTGGCACTGGTGTGTGGGCACTGTTCGGCATGTGCGGAGATCGACCGTGTTGGCAGGTTACCGAACCGGGGGAGACGCCGTTGATAGACGCTCTAGGCGTCTTCATCCCTGACGGCAGACTCCTGGCCAAGCTACTCATCTACACGCCTATAGGTACGTTGATGCAAGAATACTACCTTCGTCCTTCTGATTCTGAGTTCCGACGGATGCCAGACGACCCGGCAGCGAAATACATCCCTAGACGGCCCGTAGCGTCCAAGGTGTCTAGCAACCTGGTGGTTAACCAGCTGAAGACTTGGATTGACGAATGTCAAACTCAGCACGCTCACTGCAGGGCCATCACAAACCCGTTCCTTCCGAGTAGGGTACTGGATGTGGGACGCGATGGTGATGCCGACGCTGATATGTTACGGCTCCATTCCACCGAGCCGGCCGAAACAGGACACTACGCAGCGCTCAGCTATTGTTGGGGAGGCGTCCAAGACGTTACTACGACAAAGGAGAACCTCGATGCCTACAGCAATCGACTTAGTCTCAGCAGCCTCCCAGCGACAATTCGGGACGCCATCACCGTCACTAGGTCCTTAGGGATTCGTTACCTCTGGGTGGATGCACTTTGCATTGTGCAAGATGATGAGGACGACAAGGCCAACGAGATCAAGAAGATGTCTTATGGTATTAACCATCCGATTGACTACCGCGGGTGGACACTGCAAGAGCATCTGCTATCTGCCCGGCTCATCGTGTATAGCGAGAAGGAAGTCATCTGGCACTGCCGCGAAGATAAACCCAAGACCGTGGTTGAAGGTCAGATTCGGTACTCGCAGCCCGTAACAATAACATTCGTCCCCGCGAGTTACTCTAGCACTTACATGACCGTAGAGCAACAAACAGAACTATGGACCGCGATTGTCAAACGATACTGTCGACGAAAGTTCACCGTTCTCACGGACAAAGTGCATGCTTTGACTGGAATTGCAAACGTGCTCGCGCGGTTCTGGGACGATATGTACATCGCTGGCATGTGGAGGAGATGCTTGATAGAGCACCTGGGGTGGCAGGAGTATTCTCGGAACAAAGACATGCTGCTGCCCGAGGGTTACGTCCCCAGTTGGTCCTGGCTCGCTGGAAGTGGATCTGTATACTTCCATACTATCGATTACCCTAAAGTTGAAGTTGTCGACATTCCGAATGCGCTCAGCTGGCGATGCGGCGAGCCCGCTACGCTTGTGTTGAGAGGAACCGTCATTGAGCCAGGAAGCCATCACTGGATGGCTATGGGGAAGGTATACAGATGCGATGATGGGGTGTCTCTTACAGATGACATATGTTTGCTTGTTTTGGGTCACGCTTTTTGGAACGAGGACGAGCAGCTTGCCATAAGCATGGTCATCCGGAAGGTCGACAATGGTTGTTTTCAGCGGGTTGGCGTCTCGGGATTCGTGGACAGATTCAAGGGGGATCGAGAGACACAGATAGTGAGACTGATCTAGATCTCTATGACTGCATTCGCCGAGGGCGTTTGATTGGAACTGGAGGAGTTAAGAAACGGATAAATATGGTGTCTCGTCGAGTCAATGTTATTCTGTTTCTGAGATGTTCGCGCGCGACGACTTGCCCAAGCGGTGTCAAATACCTCCATGCTGGACTGGTCCTGCATAGCGCCAACCCACAGGCTTCCCTTCATCCTCCCACGGACCCGCGGCCTATCCCCCCCAAAAAACATCAACCTCAACAATACCCCTAGAAGAGTCAGCCAGCCACGGTTGGTAGATACCGGTATCCATCGTAGTAGCAACGGACCCGATAAGCAGCAGCCACAGCTTCAGATCGCGCAGCACCGGCATGGTAGACACGGTGAAGGCATCGGGCGCATCGATAGCATGACAGCAGCCTGCCGTGCAACAACTCATAATAGTCGGGCTTCAGTCCTAGACGATTCAGGCAGATGCTCGCCAGGAAAGTGAGAAGGCCGGTGCGCATGGCCTCTTCTTCGAAGGGCTGTGATGCGAAGGAGTATTCGAGTTTTAGAAGACGGTAAAGGCTCCTCCTGGATGGAACTTGTCGTTTGGCGCATTTCCAGGTGCTGAAGCCCGCGCAGCAGGTGCGCGGAAAGGATGTGGTTGGTCAACCTGGTCGATTACGGCACGAGCAAAGGGATGAGGGATGTGAGGGTTTCCCTTGACGGTGGTGCTTACGGCTGTGTCGTGGGCATAGGGGAAGGAAGGCGCGAGACGGAGCGAGTACGTTCGTCAATGCGCTGGTTGTCAAGGGGCAGGAGAGCCATGGGCGTCTTATCCCCTGATTGGGGGATTCAATTCGTGAGTATTTGCTTAAGGTACTGTACTTACTTGGCTTGTGCTGGGTGGCTCAGCTTTGTGAAGAGCTGTGCTGATGAACAGGGAAACTGGGAAGGTAGGAGAAGCTCGGGAACGGTCTGGAGGGGTGGGCGCTCGCAGATACGATCTGGGCCGAGACCATGGCCGAGTTGCCATATGCTGACATCGCCGCGCTTCTAGAGATATTGTACGCTCAATAGAAAAGCCGAGGAAGTAAAGCTGTGTCTTTTCTCGATGGGTGGGAGTTATATGATATTTGGGGAGCAAGGAGCTGAGCGAATCCTGTGAGAAGGAGTCGGTGGTAATCTACAGCTTCTTCACTGAAGAGCTGGTCTTTCCGAGTCATTGTGTTTATCCTGCATAGTTATCTGCCAATGCGTCTTCCGTACGCAACCCTTCCTCTCAGGAAAGCTACCTTAAGTACCTAGATAGGACGATATGTGGAAGTCTCGGGGTCGGCCTGGGCTAGGAAGGAAGATGGTGGGACTGACAAATAGATTTAAGCAACTTGGTAGACACATTACCACTCAATGCAGTTTTGAGCGATTCAGCCACACTGCCCGGGTGGTGGCGAGCATGAAAAAGGAGGTGCGGTGGGGTGGCACCGTGGCGATATATCGGTGTAGCCACAGGGCCAGGCTGAGGGCTGAAAACAACTCCCACGTCCCTCTTTCCTTTCTAAATCCTAATGCCCAGTACTGCACTTCGCCCATGCTGCACCACGTGCAACATGCGTTCTAGCCCATCACGGCCTGCTTGACCGAGGCTCGAACGAGAGATTCGGACCCCCCGCGGTGGGATTCGTCGAGAGGCGCGGTTCAGGCGAATGCGCCAAGAGATGATGGGATCTCCCGTTCCTGCCAAGCTTCCAGTAATCGCATCTACTTTGAGCACGTTTTTGTTCAGTACGTGCTGTAGTAGAGTGCGCCAAGTCTCGACTTTTCGTCAAGCAGCCAACTAGTGCGCCATCCTGACGGGCAACTTGCTGGATCAGACACCGAGCTGGACCATGTTTGCAATGCCAGTCGTCTGGAAGGCCACATCCGGCCAGCAGCACGGCGGGTTGGGAATATGGTATAAGTGAGTAGATATCCTTGGGCTTGGTCCCCTTCCCTCGCCTCTTGGCTGTCCAGTCTGTCCAGTCTGCCCAGGAGTCCAAGACCGTCGGTCCGAAGCCAAGTGCAGACAAGCTCGCCAAGATGGTGCTCGACAGTTACACCTACATCTTCGCTATCGGCAGCTGCTTCGCCCTGCTCGAGGCCTACAACAATGGCGCCAGTACGTCCTTGACTCTTTGTCCATCCGACCCCAACCCTTTCTTTTGCATAGGCTTCTGATTGATGTCTGACCTATTTGCTGCTCGATACAGACGATGTGGCGAATGCGTGGGCGACCAGCGTGTCGTCGCGATCCGTGACGTACCGACAGGCAATGGTCCTGTGCACCATCTTCGAGCTGACCGGGGCGCTCGCGGTGGGTGCCCGGACGGCGTCGACCATCAAGAACGGCATCATCCCCAGCAGCGCGTTTGGCGACAACGCGGGCGTGCAGCTGCTTGCCTTCGCGTGTTCCTCGGCCGGCGCCGCGCTCTGGGTGATGTGGTGCACGCGCAACTCGGCCCACGTGTCGTCGACCTACTCGCTCGTCTCGTCCATCGCCGGCGTCGGTGTCGCGGCCGTCGGCGCCAGCAAGGTGCAGTGGGGCTGGAGCGACGGCTCCGGGCTCGGCGCCATCTTTGCCGGCCTGGCTATGGCGCCCTTTATCTCGGGCTGCTTCGGCGCCATCATCTTCATGCTCATCAAGCTGACGGTCCATAAGCGCAAGAACCCGCTGCCGTGGGCCGTCTGGACCTCGCCGGTCTTCTTCCTTATCGCCGGCACCGTCTGTACGCTCTCCATCGTCTATAAGGGCTCGCCGCGGTTGGGTCTGGAGAAGAAGCCCGGATGGTGGATTGCGTGTGTCTCGGTCGGCACCGGCCTCGCCCTCTGCCTGGTGTCGGCGCTCTTCTTCGTGCCGTACGTCCACGCCAAGGTTGTCAAGCGGGACCATACGGTGCGGTGGTGGATGATGTTCCAAGGCCCGCTGCTCTTCAAGCGGCCCGCTCCCCCGGATGCCGAGCATCTCCAGGTCAAGGTGCCGGACTACTCGGTCATCCAGGCGGCCCCGTCCGACTCGGACTCGATGGATGACACGTACGCGCACAAGAAGAACGACAGCGGCAGCGTCGACGACATCAAGCCCGCCGCGCCGGCCTCTGTCCCGGTCTCGGTCTCTGCCGGAGACAGCGAGAAGGGCGCGGCCACGGAGGGGGCCCTGGTCGAGTACACGCACGCACAGTACCAGCAGCTGCTCCGGGACGCCGAGGAGCGGCACCACGCCAACCTGCGCAAGACCAAGGGTCCGCTGGGCTGGGCCATGCGCACGCTGCACAAGAACCGGCTCGGGGCCGGGTCGATCCACGAGACGCACAACATGATCGCCCTGCTCAAGCGGCTCCCGGCCATGGCCGTGGTCGCGCTGCTCTACGGCACGCACTACGACATCCACACGGCGCAGGTCGGCATCCACAACTCGCCGGAGGGCCGGCGCATGGCGCGCGTGTACAGCCACGCGCCGAAATACCCCAACGAGGTCGAGCACCTGTACTCGTTCGTGCAGGTCATCACGGCCTGCACCGCGTCGTTTGCCCACGGCGCCAACGACGTCGGCAACGCCGTCGGCGTATGGGCCGGCATGTACGCGGCCTGGTCGACGGGCAAGCCCAGCGCGTCCAAGGCCGAGGTGCCCTACTGGCAGCTCGGCGTGACGGCGGCCGCCATCTGCATCGGCTTCATCACCTACGGCTACAACATCATGAAGGTCATGGGCAACAAGCTCACCTATCACTCGCCCAGCCGCGGCTCGTCCATGGAGCTGGGCGCCGCCATCACCATCCTCATCTTCTCGCAGTACAAGCTGCCCGTGTCGACGTCCATGTGCATCACGGGCGCCACCGTCGGCGTCGGCCTCTGCAACGGCACCTTCAAGGCCGTCAACTGGAAGCGTGTCGGGCTCCTGTTCTTCTCCTGGGTCATGACCGTCCCCATTGCCGGCCTCATTGGCGGCTGCCTCATGGGCCTGGCTGTGAATACGCCGCATTGGTAGTACTACCTAGATCTCTCGCTTGCTCTGATCTTTTCTTCCTTTTTCCTTTCTTTTCGTTTTCTGGGTGGGTTTTGGCTTGCTGGGCGGCGTCAGGACGACGAGAACGACCGGGCGGTTGCTTTTCGATGGAAAGAAATAGAATTGTGATTTTGGATTGACTTTCGTGAGGATGTGCCTCCTGCTCTTGTGCAGAGACCTAGCATAGACGTTCTCCCAGCGAGTCCTGATAATTTACGAGTACTTACTAGTGCTACTGTGATGTTAGTACCAGTCCGAGACTCCGAGTGTTCATTTATTTGTTTCCATGCCGGCTTGCCAGTTCCATTTGGGTAACCCCTACCACCGCCACCTTCGTGCGTCACTCTCGCAACGACGGCGCCAAGGGGGTGTACCCACTACGCCAGAGGACAGACATGTATTTCATGAGGAAGTGTTGTGGTCCACGATTTTCGCGCCACAATTCCGACGGCTACGAAAGGGTCGGCTCTTTTGGTTGAAACAACATCCAAGTTCTGGTAAATATTATGTACAGAAGCATCCCAGGATGCCAAAAACGAAGAGAAGGCTAAACACTATGTACATTGCACACACATTACACCATTACAATGTAATGGTGCAATCAATCAGGCTCATGAGCCCCCCACCTCCCGAAAAGTCTTTTGGTCAAGTGTCAGACAAAAAGAGTTTTTTTAGTTGCACGCGGTGGCGGGAGCTGTCACAGTGACGAGCCTCTCAGTGGTGACAGTCGAGGTGACAACCTGGGTGATGGTGCTGGTAGCGGCGCCTCCCGCAGCGGGCTGCGTCTCAGCGGCGCCGGGCGCGCGAGTAGCAGTCACCACGGGCGCAGTCGTCTCGACGGCCTCGTCGTCGTCGTCTGCGGGGCACTCGTCCTCGTCATCGCCATCATCCTCCTCACCGTCGTCGGCAGGGCAGTCCTCGTCATCATCGCCGGTCGGTTCCGACGCAGGGGCCGAGCTTGTTGTGGTGGCCGGGGCGGCGGCGGAGGAAGTAACAGCAGCCGCGCTTGTGGTGGCAGCGGCGGACGAAGAAGCAGCAGCGCTCGTCGGGGCCGGGCCCGAGCCGCTACCGCTGACGGTGAAGTCGACGCAGGCCTCGTAGGTCTGGTCGATGTCCGGGGCGTTCCAGAACCACTGGAGCACGCAGTCGCCGGCGGTGGTGCAGTCGCCGCCCAGGGAGCTGGGCAGGGTGACGCTGAAGGCGGTGTTGTTGGCGGCGACGCCCGAGTTGGCCGCGTAGTTCTCGAACTCGATCAGCGGACTGCCGATCATGGTGTTGGTGCTCGTCTTGACCACCGACACGTTGGCGTAGCCCGTGTGCGGCGCGCGGATCTCGACCTTGAAGTCGATCTTCTGGCCGGGCGTGTAGCTCTGCACGTTGCTCGGGTTGTCCTCGAGCAGAAAGCCCTTGCAGAGCCAGAGGTTGCAGGCATCCGTCGCCGAGTTGCCGACCACCTGCTGGATGCCCTGGACGTTGCCGTAGATGTCGGAGCTCTGCTGGTAGAAGGGCTGATCACCGCACGTGGCCTTGTATTGCTCGCCCGGACGACGGACCGGCGGCTCGGAGACGAAGCCGTGCGCAGCCACCAGGGGCAGCAGGCTGGAGAGGAAGGCGATGCGCTGCATTGTTGTTGTTGTTGTTGTTGTTGTTTGCTTGTGGTGTCGTGGGAAAAACGGGCTTGTTGGTCCTCGGAACGGAACTCGGAATGTAGTATAAGGAATGGATCCTGGCTTTGGCTTCTCTGAAAGCAGCGGCAGTGTAAAAAGACCGTCAAGGTCGGTGGAAGGCAAGTATAGTATGCGAACGAAAGGCGGCTTGAACGGCGTACAAGAAAAGAATGGCAGACCGAGTCCCTGGAGCTCCTGGAGAGAGGATGAGGAGAGAGACGACCGAATCGTTCGACTCGAGCCTCTCTATATACAATACTAGGAGCCCCGTCGACGCCCGGCAACTTCGGCTCCACTGAGTAACTATTTGCAGGGCAGAAACAGAGAAAACGAAGGGGGTCGCCAGGGGTGCAGATGTCGCACGATGGCGGTGGGCCCCAGTCTCACGCACCCTGTCTGTTGTGGTTGTGGTGATTGCAGTTCATCCTGCGCCGTCCACTTGCAATCAACGGGATGGGCTCGCTAAAAGAACATACGTACAAGATGCCTTGATATCATTGTTGAGCGAGGCCTGCAAGCTAGGTCTCTCAAAATGGGTATTTGACAGTGGTGTTCACACAGAAGAGTCACGTCAAATTTGAAGAGAACCTAAAGGTTACGGACTTACCTTCCGCCGCCGTTCCGTGGATTGTGCGGGCAGAAGATTCCATGGCGCACACGTGGTATAAGCCGCCCCTGTTGACTGTTTCGTTTGTGATCCGAGCGGATCATGCAACCTCGATCGGCGGTTGCTGGTTCTGGTTTCTTTGTGGTGACGTTGAGGACGTGGGGGGCCCGTTGGGAGGAAGCTCGCGTCTGTTTCAACTTCTCTCGGCAGCGCCTCGCGAGATCAGCTGTGGGTCGCGCACATGGCCCAGCAACCCCCTTTCCACCCCTGATAATATCCGAACCGCTTAAGCGACCGCATCCACCCCACGCCGATAAGATCCACGATCAATTCTGGGCGACAGCGCTGCAAATCGGACGCCTTCCAGAAAAGGGGCGTGCCGAAGCGAACCAGCAATCCCCGTCTCGCTGCAACTCATCAACTGAAACCACAGCACCGGGCGCTTGGTGTTGCCAAGGCAGGGCACAAGGGCTGATAATTTGATGACTTGCTTCGGTCTCAAATCCACCGAACGTCTTTGTTTGCCGCCGCTCACACAAGGTTGAGAGTCCGCGGGTCTGACCGTCCGAGCTATGAACAAGACTGAATCATGCAAGTTTTCTATCACCACGACGGACGAACGACGAGAAAGTCGCTCAGCTACTACTACTGTACGATAACTATTACTACCTCCAGTGTCTCTGTTCCAAGTTTCTACATACACAGTATTCCTTTCGATGTTCGGGATGCCACGGTGTGAAATTGATCTTGGACGAGAAAACACGCCGAAGTTCTCAAGGTTGTTGATTACATTATTTCCGCCGTAGCCCTGCAAAATTCCACTGTCCCTTCCCGACAGGGCATGCAGACGTGGGGGAAAGGATGGCGGTAAGATGACAGCGTAGATCAAGACCAGGGACCGCCCAGGATGAGTCCTTCTTGGCCAGTGCCAGGTCCAGCGTTGTTGAAATACGACGGGGAGATCCCGAAGTACAAAATGCCTTTCCTCCTCGAAGGGGGCTCAGCGCCGCGGAGGTGGGCCGGAGCTTATAAGCATGAATGGTTCCATGGTAGGATGTCGAAGACAGGTATCAAACCGCACCGCGTCGTCGCCCCGGTATGGACTACTACCTGAACTTTCCAACTTCCCAACTCCTAGTTCTTCACCTTTCCGGCAGCCACCGCCAATGCTGCACACAAAAGATGCAGCTTCCTACCCACCTGGTAAGAAAGCGTCGGCTGGAGGAATGATGATAAAACTGATGCGGTCGTGGTATTGCCGTAAACTTCGTCAACGTAACTGCGGGCGCGAATTGTATCGTCACGGATCTTGGCCGTGTAGAGACTGGCCGTCTCCGCACGAGCAGCTGGAGGAGTTCAAGGCCCAAACGCCACAGTTATGAGCCCTCGGTCTCGCAATAACTAGTAGGACCATAAGTCTTGTTGGCCAACCTCGAGATGAACAGCGCAGCGACAGTGAAGCATGCCGATACCACAATCGCCGGTATAGTTCCGCAAGCCGACGCCGTATTGAAGATCGATCATCGAGGGTGTCCGGCAGGTCCCTGTCTTCGCTCCTCGGTGGTAGGGGAGCAACGCTTCCACTTACTAATAGCCCCACGGCTACAACGACGACAGCTTTCCAGTGAGTCAATCTACTATGCATTTCGACCTGCGAATTCCATACTGTCTGATCCTGATCCCCATCAACTTGAACCTCAGTCCCTCAAGTTTCAACAGCAACAACGCCGAACGTCCCGAAAGCCAAAGCACCTAAAGGACACCATACTGAGTGTGGTGGAGTAGACTCGGTTCGCCTCTACTACTTCCGTCCGAAAGCAGAGGGAATCGTGTAACTGGTCCGGATCTGCAACACGATGCACTCCTCGACACCATCGACACCGACAACAGGCCGGCGCAGTTCAACCCTCCACGTAGACTTGCCGGTCTTATCCGAGACCGAGCGAAGCGGATCCTGTTTCTGGCTGCAATCGCGAAGGCAGCCATGGTTAGTTTAATTGTATGGCGTGTACGTGTTATGCACTGGCTGGTGCCATGCCAAGCAGAAGGGGTCTAGGGGCTGTCCGAAACATACCTCAGAGCGGTGGCGTAGACCGTGCCGGACATACCCAGCTTCGTGGCCGTCGCTGCGATGAGATCCAGGAGCGCCCCCTTCTGGTATTCATAACCAGGGATCTCCCGTAACTCGACCTTGATGTCGGAGCTGCCGCCGGCCCTCGGCTTGGGCGCCTGCGCCTTGGAAGGCTGCGCCTTGGAAGTCTGCTGAGAAGCCATGGTGATTGTGTGTTGGCGGGTGGGAAGGTGGTTGGCGGTGGATACAGGTATGATGAAGAGGAAGCTGGCTTAGGAATGAATGTGATGACGTGGAATGGTGCTCTGGATGATGTTGTTGGAGATGCGGAAAGCCACTGTCTTTATATAACTATATCGAACTACCAAGTAGGGTAGCTGCTGGTCTCGTCGCCTTGACCCCCTAGATACCTAGGTAGGGATACAGATTCGTCGCTTACCAACTGTAACACTTTGCTGATAATATCCCGGTTGCGGCTATCCACTGTGTTCGGACGGTCTTGGGTTGAGGCGGTTTCGTACTTCGGTTTCTGCTCAGATCTAGGGTTGTGATCCCATGACTCCATCCCAATGTGCCGAGACTCGATTGGTAGATCCCAGGCTAAAAAGTAAGGAAAAGAAACCACAGAAAAAGGAAGACGCAAAGAAAAAGAAAACGGAAAAAAACAGGAACAACCGGACCGCCTTACTATTCCTGGCTCGAATCAACCGATGCATTCAAGCTCCAGATCATCTCGGTCAGTAGGTTTTGATGGTTGTTATGCTTGGCTCATTCATGATCCTCCCTGCGGCAAAGTACTTTTTCCACGTCGAACACAGTACTAGTTCACGTGGCTGCGGGGGGGGCTGCCTAGAATGCGGCGCATGCTAGTCGGAGAGTCTCCGAGTCTTTCATTCCTAGCAGGCAGACGGCGCGGTATTAATATGTACTTGTTCTACATTCGACTAGGCCAAGGCCAGTTTTCTAGGCACTTTTCGCAGCCTAGCCCTCAGTTTAGGGACCGCAGGCATCTTCAGAGGTCAATGACGGAGCAATTACATCGCCAGCTTCGACAACTCACTGCCAGGAGACACCTGGGTCCAAGAGCGGCAAGGGGGGCGTGATGGAAAGATTCAGTCGCGAGAAGCACTTCAGAAAGCACATATTCTAACTCGACTCGCAGATTCCATACTCCCAGAGCATACCGGCCACAGCTACAAACCCGCCAACAGCAGGAACGCAGAATATCGCGCTGCAGCACACGGCCCCTGTTGCGCCCCAAAAGTGGCGTTTCTTGATGGGCTCACCCATGTCGTTGTATACGGGGAACTGGCTGTCCCAATCCTTTTCCTCTTCGTCCATCTCAAGGAAGAGCGCAACCGAAGCGTCTGCCCACCACCCGAGCACCGTCCCGGCGACGAGCCACGTCATGATCCATCCCCGCTGAGCTTGGGTGCTGTCTCCGTTCCGAAAGCGAGTCAGGACGCCGACGACGATAAGCGAGATACCGCCTATGAAAATCGGCAGGATCACGTACAGCAGGTGGCGCCAATCCCCGGCCCACGATGACGGGTAGTAATGGAGTTTGTATGGCGTGTACATATAGATGGCGGCCTGTCTGCCGGCGAGGTCAGGGGAGGTAGTCCTGTCGCCAAGAACGATGCTCTGAGGGTGCGGGTCGCTGCCGGACACCCTCTCCAGGACCGAGACACCGTCGGCGGATTTCATCACATACTCTAGATCCCCGCTTTCGTCCTCCTCGTCCTCCGCTTCCAGATGCCCAACAACGCCGTCAAACACGCCTCCGTGTCTCCGGGCCTCTTCCATTTCCGGACTGCTGACCATGTAAACGTTGGGGTAGTCGGCTGAAGCAATCTGTGCCACGAGGTTGACAACAGACATGATCAGGTACGGTACCACGGTCAGGCCGAACGCCGCGTAGCCATAGCGCTGAATCTGGTCGCCGCGCGAGTTGTAGAGAGTCAGAGCCGCACTCCCCATCTGGAAGAGGCCGACCAGTGCCTGGAGCCAGTTGTAGTTCGAGCTTATGCCGGGCGATCCGTCGGTCGTGTGCTGCACCCCGGCAGGTGTCTCGGCCCACGAGACCTTGGCCCCCGGATGGACGTTGGCCCACGAATAGCCTGGTGGCAGCATCGCCTTGCCGTGGAAGCTCTGCTGTTTCCGCTCGACGTGTAGGCCGAAGGAGGCAGGCCCAGCGTCCCCAGTGCTTTCGCCAGAATACTCCCCTTCTCGGTTCTCGACGTCCGGAATCACACTAGCGCTGATGGCTTCGACCTCAACGGTCCCATCGCCGACCTCTTTAGGCGGAGTATCTCCGCGCATCAACAACGTTTTGCTCCCCCCATCCACTACTGCCACTAGTGGCTTGATGCGATCCCCCTCCACTGGTTTCCAGTCGTTGTTTCTGACTACCATGCGGAGGGCTCCCGCGGCGGCGGCCCGCTCGAGCTCATTCCGGTGCCTTTTCAATCGAGAATGCCTCACGATTGAGAAAAGAGCCCTGGTAATGCCATACGATGGAAGAAATAGTGCCAAGACAGTCGCTATAAGAGTGTCGAATTGCGACGATCCGGGGTATGTCCTGACTGTTGCGCAGTGAGAGAGGTAGTTCGAGGCGAAGAAGATAAAGACGGCCCAGGAGGTTGCTGGCGAGCATTGGAGGCTAGGGTCTCCATGGTTGACCGAGTTAAGATCGGGAGACTCTGTGGTCACCGGGGCCATGACAACTAGACGGCAAGCTCAACGACAAGCGGGGCCGGACAGCGTCGAGCGCGGAAGAGGGAAGAGAAAGTCTGGAGCGGTGTCTTGCGACGCCGCTTCATTTAGCGCCCATAGACGCTTGCTCCCATCCGAGTCTGATTCGCTCAGCCCACCGCAAAAGATGTTTTTCCGCCTTGGGAGTTGCGTGTTGCGCCGTGCCGTGGTTATGCATGGGGTGGGGGCCGTTCGGAAACGATGAATCCCTGCTGCCTAGAGGCTAACGTGAGACGGTGATTCGTTGAGGCGGCAGATGCTGTCGGTTTCGCTTCAGCCGCAATGTCACCTAAAGGCTAAGAGAGAGGTAAGTAATCAGTTCAAAGCCGAAGAGCAACACGATAATGCCACTCCAACCACCTCGAAACTTACCTAACGTCCGACGAGAAGAGCTGCAGGGCCTGGGAAGCGATAAATTCCTGGAATGTCCATCACGACCTTCCGAGAACCCCCGACTTGCCCGAAAGAAGATGCATTCTTCCATAGCAACGTGGACTCTGACGCAACCAGTGATCTACGGCTTAGAGGAAAGATTGATGAATTTCATTGATCAGGACAAATCAAGTCAGGCGGCAGGGGTTTGCGTTAACAGCTCGCTGTCGTAGTGGGCATGCGTATCTGCCGCTTCGCAGTTTCCAGACAAATGTCAAGAACTTCCCAACCCCTCAGATAGTAAGTGTATTTACTAAGAAACTCCTCGTTTTCAGACAGCCCCATGGCTTCTCCATCCATAATCCCATGCACATATATGCATTCCCAACAAGGCTGTACTTTGTGTTCGAGTCCAGCCCGTCTCTGTTTTCGCAGACGCGCACTACATTAGGCCCTTCAAGCCAGTGAATCAGACACAGACGGTCTCCAACCTGACTCGGGAGCGGAATCATAGCGAAATACCCCTTCGCTCAACAGCTCCACCAGCGCCTTGATGCGCGCACGCAAGATCCAGTCCGTCTTCTCCCGGTCCCGGAACCTCGCAACGTGTTACCTCAGCCCTTCAGCCCCATGACTTGGGCAGACCCACATCATGCCAGCATGGGGAAGGTCCTGATACCAAAAGGCCGCGTATAGTTGGTAAGAACGCGACTTGGGCTTTCACTCTAGACCTCACTCTCCATCGTCCGGATAATGTTTGTTTGTTTGTTTTGCATCATTAGCGTCCGGGGCTGGGTCCGCGAAGCGGCCCGGCCATATGCCGTCTGGGCATGTAGGGACGTATCGAGCAATCTACACTATCAAAACGTGCCCTTAGGGGGGGCCCTGGAAATGCCTCCAGCCATGATATACATGCCCGTCGCCCTCCCTAGTACCCAGGCACGCCGTGTAGCCGTGGCAACTCACGTACAGAGCGCACTTTCGGGGGCGGGCCGACCCCCTGCACGTTGCCACCCCCGACTCCCTTCTCAGGGTCCCGCAGTAAATGTTTCTATGACGGGTAATATCCCCACCGGTTAATCAGACCCGGGTATGCCCGGAAAGCTCCGTGGCCAAAGGCCGTTGTTAAGCCTTGGCGTGGCCAGAAGGGGTGGAAGAAGAGGGAAAGGAAAGGAAAGGGTAGTACACGTTGGTAAAAGGAGGAGAGTTCCCCAGGAGAGCGAGGTATCTATACCGACCCCGGAGGTCTCCGCTCGGCACCCCCACATCCGCGTTAGCCTCCGCATGCTCTCCATCCCACGTCCAGATAATGTATCAGACGGAGGATTCAATTCACAGTTCTGACAGTCACAGTGAGGAGGCTACAGTTTCCACTGAACAGGTATTCATTGAATGCGACAACCTAACGCCGACTCCTCCCCCGAGTCCCCCGCCTCCCGGCTCCCGGCTCCCGCCATCGCCCCCTCCCTCCAACCCTCCCGTCATCCCGCCCTCCCGCCAGCCCTCCCCCAACCGACAAAAGCATCGCTTCTTCAACCGGAAAAGCAAAAACTCCCAACGCCAAATCCTCAGAACAAACGAGTGACTGAAACAGAAAACACCACGCTGAAAACGCTGAAATCCCACGCTGTAGAAACCCCAACACCAAAAACAAAACAAAACAACGCTTTCCATCAAAACAAAACAACTGAAAACGACAGACTGGAAAGCAATAAAAAAACAACAAAGCAGGCGAGAACGACAGACAGAAAAGCAAACAAGCAAATAACAAAGCCAAACGAGCGACGGAAAGCAACGCAAAAGACAGACTGAAACGACAGACAGAAAAAAGGAAAAGCGGAAAAGACTAGGTCACGGACTCACGATCCTAACTGTAATCTGAAAAGAAGCTGTAAAATAATGTTAGCCACTTCTAGGTTCTTGCCTATTGAGCTGTCTCGGAAGCAATTCGGGAGTAAAAGTGCTGAGACAGTGCGAATTTGACTTACGTCTGGCTTCGCGTTCAACCGGCCCTGCCAGCGGGCCGTGAACAGGTCCACACTCAGCCACGATGGGACCCCTACCCACCAGTCGCTCGACAGGCCGAGCCTGTCGAGATCGACCCACCTGCTCTCGTGGGTCAGCATCCTCGCCCGAAAGCTTACCTTGCACTCCTCGCACCGCGGTGAGCCGGGAGGAAATGGGACGGCGAACCGCACTGAAATATTGTATTAGCGAGTCTGTTTGGCGAAAAGAGACGCAAAGAATTAGTAGATCACTTACCCAGTTTCCGCTCGACAAAAGGCGGACGCGTCGTCTTGACGAGGCAGCTCTTCAGCGGCCGTGCTGACCTGTGGCCAGCACGGCGAAGAGGCACCCCAGGCAGACCATCGAACCGGTCGGTCTGGACGCCGCGGAGGGGGTTTGGGAAGAGGCCGACGGGCTCCGACGAGCCACGGAGAGGATTCGGGAACCACGGTCCCGCGGAAAGGAGAGGATTGGCGAGGGGGCCAGAAAAGAACGAATTGGCGCCGGGGCCAGCAACGAAAGGATTGGCGACGCGGCCAACGTAAAAGAGAGGATTGGTGACGTGGTCGCGGGGAGGGATGGAAGAGGTGGGAAACGAACGGCGGTGAGTCGACATCTTGAAGACGCCGATAAAAAGCGAATGGAAAGCGTGACCGTGAGTACATGTAAAAGCGAGTGCTGTGCTTCAAGCAAAGTTGGAAAATTCTCGAGACGAAAGCGAAAGTCTGACTGAACACTTGATCAGTTGCGAAGCACTTCAAGTTGGATGAGGGAAAAGGAAGAGAAGGAAGGAGCAGAGAATGCGGGGTTGGGCAGGACTTTATACCCTTCCGGCAATACCTACATACCACCCGAAGCAGATAACATACCACCCGAAGCAGATGACGTAGATCAAATTCACATGTCAGAGAACCATGGAGTAGACTCCGTTAGGAACCGTGCCCAGTCTCCGTTGCTTTCCCACACACGCCCCCTCTAACCGCTCGCTTAGTACTCCAAGCAAGCGACTCGGACTCTGCCGAGAAAGGCAAAACAGGGCGGGGAAGCCAGACAGTTTGGATTTACAGCGGTGGCCCTCTGGGAGCTGCCTACATCCGTCTACAACGAGGAATCGAACTATCGAAGACTAGATATATGGGATATCAAGAGTTCAAGATAATACGCTAACTCTGTCGCCATTTAAACTGTAGTCCACCGGTCAGTCAACGACATGAAGATTTGAATCTGGACCCGTTACCCCAATTTACCAAACGCAGACTCGATGAGAGACACCGGCAGTAAACATATAGTAGTTACGTTGGTGGCCGTTACAACTTACAAGACGGTTGGGTGGTTTGATTGGAGGGCTACGTACCTTAGACTGTGCAAGTCCAAAAATCCATGGAATTGGTCCGTGACACCCTAGCGCCTAACCTAAATGGGACTGGCTCCAATCCTTATTTCAACTTCCCATCCCGAATAGAGTACTAAGGTAGTACGTTAAAATCTTTTTGGGTCTCTACGAAGCATCAATTGATTTCATCGACAGCACGTTAGATGTAAGCAAATAGGCCTCGGCATAATTCCACCGGCTCGACCGCGCCGTCACCGCGGTCCTAGCACCGTTAGGCACCGGACCCCCTCCCGTTATGAATCTGCCAAACATATCCCCCGTACTACCTAAGTACCTTGCATGATGAAGCAGAGCACAGCATGGGTTTGCATTGCAGCGAAGAAGATCCAACGGTCGTTTGGGCTTATGGTAACCGGGCGAAGACCCCCCTGCGGGTTAGACTTGCATTTGTGGAAAGCAGCACTCCCAACAAGGCAGGCAAGCCAAGGCCGGCCACTCCCTTGCTCCTCCTGGCAAAGGCACAGGTCTTGCCTTGCAAGGAGAGCTTGAGGTTTTCCATATGGCCTTGTCTGGCCGAGTGTCGCCTTGACTTGGACTTGTATGCCTTGCCTTGTTGGGAGCGCTGGCACTGGAAAGTCGCGGCCTGACCGCACGTTACTGCCTGGCGAAAGCTAGTCTTACATCCGCACGTAACGAGGAAGTGGACGCGGGGGTGTTTGTCTGGACATTTGTCGCAGCAACTGTAGGCTCATTGCGCTGCCAGCCACGAACCCACCGTTGAGCCAACGCTGTTAGGAAGTGTACCTAGGTACTCCCGTACTACCTTGGTATGTAATTTAGCAAGCAAATGGCAAGGCTGGGCAGTCCTGGCTCAAGTTGAAACAGCGCGGAAAGTGCACGCTAGGGAATGCACAGGGTCAGCACACCACCGTAAGTGGTGGAGCGGTAAGAAACGGAGAGTTGAGAAAATCCGGACTCGAACTGGGGATGTCCGATGATCCGATAAAATGGACAGGCTGGGTTTGAGCGGGTGGTCAAGTTCGCTCCCTGGTCCACTATTGGTTCGGGCTGAGGTCTGCGGCCAGCACCATTGTGTTGCCCTTTGCCGAGAAGCCGGGAAAACCCGGCTCTATGAAGAGTGCACCAAGTAGTGGATGGACTACTACATCTGGGTTGGGGCTTGATTCAGCTCACTCGTCCCTCACTCACAGAAGATTAGGATCACGAAACGCAGCGGGACAAAGATCGGGGGACAAGATGTACGGATTCGGAGGCTTTGCTGGCTTCAGCAAGACGTAGGTAGCTTAGCTCTATCGTCGGTGCATCAATAACCTCGTTACACGCGCGATACCAGCTACCTTCCAGGTTGATAACGGTTGTGATTTAGTTGAAGGAGATGATGCCTAAGTCATTTTGTGAACAGGTTGTGTACGATCCACAAGAAGGCCTCCCCAGTTGGCTCTTCAGCCCTTCAGATAATATCACGCTGTCTCCCCCTCTCCATGCTTAGAAACCTGTAACCGCTGAGAAAGCCCAAAATCATACCGCAAACGTTCTGCTCAAACCATCACGAAGTCTTCTCCGTTCTCTGAAGATGAAGCACCTTCCGGGGCTGATGGATCCTGCAGGCGGGGAGCCTCACCACCGGCCGGAACGCGGTCTCCCTCAACGACATACTCGGCTGTGCATGAGAGCAACTTCTTGCCTTCCTCGAACCGAAGCTCGGCAACTGTCAGGCGAATATACTCCTTGGCATCAAAACCGTTCTCCCCGCGGGCCATCTCAAACGTGATGGCCCCTAGTCCTGGTTCGCGCACAATCGACCAGTTGCCGTCCATCCATTGACACGACGAGCCTGGATGTATGGCTTCGGCGATGTGATACTTGATCTTCTGCCCAGGCTTTCGGCGGAACTCATAAAACGTCATTCCTTCGTTTTGCGACTGCATCAGTCTACCGATATCGATGGCGCTGTCGAGTTGCGTCAAGATGTTGAAGGGAATAGCGATCTTGGCTCGGCGACAGGATTCGAATCGAAGTTGTACCTTGGTGAACGTCGTGCCGCCGTGGGTGAAGTTGTAAAACTGGGCCCCAGCGGCAATGGGAAAGCCCGGAGGTGCACGAAGAGACATGGTGTACGAATCCGTAGGTAATGATGGAGATAGATAACTCTGGGAGAAATGCAGTTGACGCAAAGAGATATTCGGAGCAAAGATGTAGGTACTTAGGAGCAGTTCACCCAGACCAAAGTTTGAAGCATGTTTTGCAATGCCCTCCCACTCCTTCCTGCCCAAGCAAAGACACTTCGGTAAGAACAATGCACATGAACAAATCAGAGGCTTTTCGGCTTGGGGGTAGTAGCGGCCAATCTCACAAATGCTCCTCAAGGGAAGGTCCAATCGCGGCATGCAAGCCCGACTGATTCCACTAGGTATTTTCAGTCATTGCAGGCGCTGTTCGGCTGTTCTCGATGCTGACTGCCTCCTTCAGATGGAATCATCTGAACGTTCAATTTTAACACCGTACAATTGAATGTTGATCGCCGGAAGACAACACTCCGCACGCGTTACTCTTTCAATGCCTCGACGCTGCGATACGTCTCTAGGAAATCCTTCCTCTCCCGCTCGACGAAGCGCTCGAAGGTGCCCATCGCAACCCCCCAGCTTTTTCCATCAGTTGCTTCCGACACAGGAATTTGTTTTATCGTCTGCTGCAGGGCCAGCATTGGGTTCGTAGCCATAGCCTCCTCGACCTCATCATCCTTCAGATACCTGGCGTGGATGTTCTTCCCTGTCGCCCGGGCCATCATGTCAAGCGCCCTCCCAAACGGCACCATCTCGCTGACGAGGGTGATGTGCTGTCCGTGGAACTTGTTGGGCTGCTGGAAGGCAGCCACGACAAACGCTGCGATGTCCTCGTGATCGATCATTGGGAGAGGCGTGTCAGGGCCCCAGACGACCGTGTAGCACCCGGCCTCGGCAGCTCCGGGGTACATGAAGTTCACCTTTGGCGAGAGCAAGTTGGCCATGAAGAAGCCCGGCTGAAGAACGGTCCAGTGCTGGAAGCCCGCGCCCGGAAGGTACTGCTCGAGATCCCTCTTTGACTTGAATGCCTTCTCCCTCAGGGGGTTAGACTTGCCAGGCGGGATATCTAGGGCGCTACTGTAGACGACGTGCGTCACGCCCGCAGCCTTGGCGATGCGCAGGACATTCTGCCCCTGCTCGAACTCGGCGGGGAAGTTGTTCAGGTCGGGCATCAGGTTCAGGAAGAGCAAGTCACACCCGGCGAATGCGGACTCGAGCGCTTCGCCATCGTTCCAGTCGCCTGCGTGGACTTTGACGCCGATCGAGGCCAGAGCCTGCGCCGAGGGAGAGTCCGTGTTTCTCGTGGTCGTGTGCACCTCCCATCCGATGGCCCGGAGCTGCCGGGCCACAGCACCGCCCTGGCAGCCGGTTGCGGAGCAGACGAAGACTGTGTGCGGGGCCATTGTATGCATTTGGCACCTGATGTGTTGAGAGCTTATCACACTGCGGAATATGGTTCCTCACGAATGCGACGGCCGAGGTTACTTGGAACTAGTAGCAATCAAACCGAAGCGACCAAGTCCCGTTCCCGAGTGGAAAACAGAGTATATAACGTCTTTGACCCGTTTGGCGCATTGGGCTGATTCTTTGGTCATACCATACTTTGAAATACTTGGGTTGCATGGAAACTTGAATCGCGCCGCCGAATCGCGCCGGTGCGGACTCCGGAGAGTTTCAAGCTGGCATAGCAACCAATTGTCTGGTGACACAACACTACCCGTGTGCTGACGCTGCATAACACCAAGTCACAGGCCGGAGACATATTCACAGTCCCGGCCGGATTTAAGCGCAACAGCTGCGTGCTGCGGGGTTCCATCTCGCCGAATGCCCCACACAATTGTGTTCTCGGGAACTCTAGAATAGCTGGGTTTACTTTGACGCCATACAGTTACCGGAATGTAGATATTGAGTATTTTCAAAACATGCGTCGGCTGCGGTGGAGGAGGAGGCTCGACCTTGGTGTCCAAGCTCTTAAGAAAACGACGTTGTTGAAACGTTTCGCCTTGTTTCCTCGTCCTCAGCTCCCCCTAATAATAAAGTTTTATTCTGGAATATCCGCATCCTACCAGAATCGCAGCAAGCAAGACCGGGAATCGATGACCCTGATCTGCGACTGGGCCATGGGGTCCCCACGCTTGACCGAAACTCGAGTCTCTGGACCGAGAGAACATGAATCAGGTTGAGACAGCATGTTTCTCTCTGTGGCTATTAGTACATATCAATTAACGTTAGTCAGTACCGCATTCCACCTCAAGCGATTCCCTCTAATAGATACCTCTTCGTCTAAGCAAATATCTGTTGCGGGTGCATATAATGTTGGTTGGCCGACCCCATGCCAACAGACGTTCCTTTTGGCTGGCGCAGCAATACCAGGTCCATTTTTCGCCCGCTCTTCGAAGTCCAACTCACATGCTCAACTTCTCAAGTCCGTGAAGTTTACTTCCGGCATTGCATTACCTATATCCACACTGGCGGAGCCTAGACATGCCTAGGACCAGGTTGGGTGATTCGACTGCATCACGTAACGGGAGATTCGGTAGTTACCTTACTCTGCAACTTCCCTCTTATTATTGCAACTTGCGATCGGCCGTGTTTAAGCCCCTTTTACACGTGTACGTCGGCTGCCCCTTTTCCTCCAAGCGACAGCCGACAGTCCTCTCGGGACGAGACCCGGCGCTGGGGACCCCGGCACTACGGGGCAGTCTCGACCATCTGCTTGGCCTCCTTGGCAGATTGACATCGCGATAGTCGCGGCTTGGCAAGCAAACGAGATGGACTCCCGTGCCAAATTGGGACCGTATGGGACCATGGCGCCTTCGAACGCCCATCCAAACGCGGAAATGGAGCTGGAACCCCTGAAGACCCTGGAAATTGGAATCTCAGTCCAGGAGTAGGTAATAAAGAATAAATGAGAGCCCGTCATCTCTTCATGGTCGAAGCGTCCCAAACTGTTTTCTCTTCCTGCAAATTCCCCGTGACTCACACCTCTCGTGATATCTGTCTTCCTCTTCCTCTCCGTCACGAACATATCCCCTACCCCCTTAGCCGAAAGGAAAAACCAAAACCCAACAAACCACAACCATGTCCGCCGACGCCCAACCCCAGCTGGAGCAGCAGCAACCACAGCAACAAGCGGCTCAAGAACAGCAGCAACCACAACAGCAACAACAACAACAACAAGAACCAGAGCAAACAGCCACCGAGGAGGCGTCCGCCGCCCAGGAGCAGCAACAACCAGCAAAGGAAAAGAAGCCGAACCCGCTGAAGAACATCCTCAAGACCCTGTTCGGCTGCCTGCGGAAGCCCAAGGTGACCGACGACGAGGAGCAGCACGCCGCCGGTGCCGAGAAGGAGGCGAAGAAGGCGCTTGTCTCGGACGAGGACGGGCAGGCGAACGGGGGACACGATGACGCGAACAAGAATGCGAATGTGAATGCGGCTGCCGCGGCTGCTGCCGCTCCGGCCACCGCGGGAGGGGAGGAGGAAAAGACACAGCAGCAGGCCGTCCCTGATCACCTTGGTGGTGCGACCACGGCGGGTGATGGGAAGGGGGTGACGACGACGATCAGCGCGAATTGATCGTGGAGGAGACCCAGGCATGTAGTGATAGGGGAAGTTGGTGGTTGGTTGGGTAAGTGCATGTGGTGCGGGAAAGGGGGGAGCGGAGTGATGCTGACGCGGAAATGCAGACGAGCTTTGGCTTTTGGATTCCAAGGGGGTGGAAGAGAAGGTTTCACCGGGAGCGGATTGTACACCTTTTAATCGCTTTTTGTCTTTGTGTCACTTTTCCAAGTACTGCTCATCAATATACCCAAGCTGGATTCTTTTTCTCCCGGTTCTCATCCGTCATGATTGCTCCTTCTCTTCCTCTTGATTCCTCACCTTACCCCCGTCCCTCTCTTCCCGCCGACTCATCCGCCTCCCATACATCGTCTTATCCTCATGGCCCACCCCGTGCCACGTCTTCGTCTCCGGGACTCCATACGTACTAATCCCCCTTTATAGGGGTAAGTATAGTATATGGTAAATACTGTAGATAGCTAGCAATTCTTTGTTTATAGATGATTTAGATATATATAATTCCTCCTAGGGATTTACTATAATGAAAACAACCCCGGTTGTCGGATACTCGCGGTGGAAATGGCGGGACGAAGGCTGACTGAAGACGCCGCCGCGCGCGAGTCGTGTCACCTGAGGCTTACAGTAGGGATGCCAAGACTGTTGATCTTTGGTACTGGCCACCCCCTTTTTTACGAATCTGGACACGTTAGTGTCAAAGTGGGGGAGCATGAGTGGGATGGCGTGGGAAGTTCATTCACCCGCCCGACCTTGGTTTCGGGCCGAGTCGGGGATGATGCCAGCTCCCGCGCATGACTGAGAGTTCTGGGTGAGAAGGTGCTCATGAGAGAGTGCTGCGCAGAGTCCATATGGGCTCGAGTTCAAAAGAGGGTGATTCAGATGAATTTAAAGTCACTAAATGTCCCTACTCAACTCATGTGTCTCAGACAACGCTAGAACCCTATGCATTTCGTCTCATCGTAGTGTTAGATTCTTAGCATGCCGTTCCAAGTCCGTTATACTCATTCGTTCTGCTTTGTCCGCAGCCGTCGAGACTCTGTTGCCCAACTCAAACATGTAACGTTAACTTCTCGCATTCCAGAATTCAGCCCGGACTTTGCATCCACTACGATTCCCGATTCAACGAATCTTTAGCTCTGCGTTGCCAGTGTTACACAAAGGCTCGGAGCTACTATTCAGTGGGACCAATTCAGAGCTTCAGATAACCTGTTAGAAAGAGCAACAACCGTCACGTTCCTCGTGACTTGGAAATCCGATGGAGGATGACCTTCATCACGGACAAGAACCGTGCATAGGTTCTCAAGATGTTGCGCGTCGGCGCGATGTGAGTGGCTATCGTCAGCATCGTGATCCTGTTCACATTGTCAGCGACGACCATACATGGCAATACGGAGAGTGGCTCAGTCCCGGAGACGTATGATGATGAGGCCAGGGAGAACAACATGGAGTGCCGGTTCGTCTATAAAGATCACTATCCTCTCACAAATAGAGCCCTTTCTCTCAACACAACACAAAACTCCAACCCCAGCCTCCAACCAATTCCATCGCCTTTACCACCAGCAAAAGCTCAGCACCGACACTCGCCTTCACAACCGTCAACATGATGTTCAAGACCACCACCGTCCTCGCCCTCGTCGCGACCCTTGCGCCCAGCGCCCTGGCCGTCCCCACGGACTCAGGTTTTAAGGTCGAGACGCGCCAGGAGCCTGGCCCTACCTGCCCTCGCAGCGATAATGCCTGTGGCTTCTACCTGCTCGACCCTGGTCGTGGGTGTAAGCTATCCCTCACATTACACCGTGCTAGCCCCTTTTGCTTCATAGCCGAGACACTAACTGTAGCTTCTTTCCTTTCGCACAGGCCTCGTCACCGAGTAACAACTGCGTAACCTCGGCGAGCCCTGCACCGCCGACCCCTGGGATTCTATCTATCGCGTCGACGCCGCGGGCGTCCCGGTCGAGTGCGTCCAGGCGTGCCCCGCCAGTTGCGAAGACCGTCGCCTCCAAGGCGACCCGACCCACTGTGCTGGCCTGCCTGCGCCCCCTGCCAACTGAACAATCCCATGGCAGAGCGACTAGAAAGAGTAGCTCGGGGATGGTGCTGATTTGGGGCTGAGCCGGGGCTTGGATGACCGGCTGTTTCCTCTGTGGCTTCCTACTTTTCCTTCGAGACACTTTGTACCCGCTTGGCCAGCGATTCATTCTTTCAAGTAGAAGGTCGATAGCTTCACAGCTACTGCTAGGACTCAGAAACGAATAAACGCGCGTTTCAAACTTGGGGCTAATTCCCTATCACAGCATGTCCCGTCGTCTCTTGTCATCTTGGTCGTGGATGCCTCGTGCTGAGGAGTGGCCTAACAGAGAGTTGCCTCGAATCCGATACCACCTCCCACTCTTGGTCCTTGCTGTCTGTCATACCAAGCTCGGACTCACTCTCCGCGTCTTGAAGATAAAGCGCCCGCTCATCCTCGCTGTCTTGCCTTTCCTCTCCCTTCCCACCCTCTTTTTCCTGCTCTTCTTCATTGTCCAGCTGCTTACCCCCCTTGTGTCCATCATGACCCACTTCCCCCGGGCGGTACGAAGGCGACTCGAGCCTGCGGGCTGTAGTACGTCTTCCACGGGAGCGGCGAGATGCCACAGGTCGCCTTGAACAGCGGGTAGTCCATGTCCTGGATAAGCCCGCACTGTCCGGTGGCAGACAACTGGGACAAGGCAGCATGGACCATCTGCAGGTAGATTCACGCCTGTGTGACGGAAAATTGGCTCTGATTTGGATGCATAGTCCGCAACCCGCATGGTCTGCTTTTGCAGCGAGGCAAAGGCCGGGTTGATGAACCAGCTGCGGCGGCGGGTCTCCCCGGGACGGAGATACCGCTGAACCACGGCAAGCACGAAGCGAAGGACTCGGTTGGGATCTTCCTGCTGTTTGTTGCTGGTCTGCTGCCAGAAGCGGGATTCCGTGTTGCGCGGAGGGTTGACTAGCTTGCGCACGTCAGGCCACAGCTACAACTTCTCCGCGTATTCTGATTTCAGGATGTCCGAGCGGTAGTAGGAGGTCGGGAACTTGTCATCTTCGAGCTCCGGGATGTAGTAAAAAGATTTGCTTAAAAATGGCGTCGCGAGGCTTGTGACCTGTACACTTGCATTGCCTCCATCGCCGGTCGGTTGTGGTAGAGCCAGAAGATAGTGAGCGTTCTGAGACCTGCGTTAGCATACTCTCCCTCGGAATTAGGAGGCCGAGGATGTCGTACCTTGACTCTGGTTGGAGCTGGAAGTTGGGGTTTCTTTGGTTGTAACGATCCATCAAAATCGCGAACTTGGTCGCTACCTCGAGCAACAGCTTAGCTTGGTGCTCAGCTGGGTCGACATAGCGGAACAGTGGGATCGTTACGTGCGATAACCAAACCATGGCCTTGTGCACGCGGGGATCCCGGACTGGGCCAACCTACCATTTGAGCGGGAAGGCAGTTGTCGTGGGCAGATCAAGGCCGCAGACGAGGACTGACCATTGCGGTATGTCGGGAAGACACTCTTTATTATCCTGCGGATCAGGGCGGGACGGCATAATGATGGATGGAGAGTGGAGAACCAAGTTTGGCAATGGAAGATCATCAATGGCAATACCTCCGAGTCAACGATCAATCAAGTCCAAACTTGACATGATCTCAATGAGACGATGAAATGGGAGAGACTTGACTTTAAGTGCAGCAACATCTTCAAACGTGTCATCCCGCTGCTACGCAATGGTTGCCAGAGCGCAACCCCAACCCTTCGTAGTGTCTTTCATACTCGTAGCTGTTCTATACAAGGTGTTTTGAGTCAATTTGGGGGTGGTGTGCCTTTGGTACGTGGCCCTAAGTACGCCGAATGATGAATGGAAGTACGATGAAGCGACCTTGGAAAGGAGAGTGGAGTGGGAGACGCTCGAATGTCACTCGCGTCGGATCGGGGGTTTTACATCATGTCCCTTTGAATGAGGATTTTCTGAGCTGCTGAAAGAGGGGGTTATATCAGCCACCTATATACAGCTGCTCCATCATTAATAAGTCTACTAGTAGTGTGAAGAACTAGGCCCCTGTCAAATGATAAATCAGCCCTCTCCCCGTCCAAACCGTGCACCTGCCCCCGCTCCATGGAAGTGCCCGGCCCAGGCGACTCCATTGCCGTCCCAGTCGCTAGACGAAGGTGACCTTGAAGGCCAGGACGGGCGCGTTGGAACAACTGTTCGTCGTCTGACGCGCCGCGAGCGCATTCCCGCCATTGTGCCCGACCTCCAACGCGGACACGGTCGAATTGGCATCGGCGTCGTCGCGGCTGATGATTCCGCAGTTGGCAGTGGGTCGCCATTCGAACTGCGTGTTTTGTTTGATGCTTGTGCTGACCGACGCCGCCAGGGTCGGCACGTTCTGGCACCAGTTGCCCGTGCCCGTGTACGCCCAGAGAAGGCTCCCCTGACAGTTGGGGCCGCCCCAGCCCGCCACGGACCAAAAGCCCGCTCGCTCGTCAAGCTGGGCGGGTGCTCTGGGTGGGCGGTGTTAGTAGACAGACCTCACTACTGGGGAAGAGAGCCACACGTACGGGGCGGCGCCGGCAATGCCGGCAATCGCGAGTATGGAGATGGTGCTCAAAGGATGCATTCTGCTGTTTTAGTCTGGAGGCTGGGCTTGGAATTTCCGTGTTGTGTTGAGAGGAAATGGGCTCCAGAGGTGAGAGAATGGTGATCTTTATAGACGAACCGGCGCTCTCTGTCGTCCTCGTCATCTCCCGCCCCGGAACTAAGCTTGGGCAGGCAGGTGAACATGGTCATGCAAGCTATCACTTAACTTCGCTGTTCCGGTGTCTGACATGCATAGTATTGGGAGGAATATCCTCTCGCGAGGTGCCATCGTGGGATCAGTGGTCACAGCGGCTAGGTAGTATAAGGGCTGGTATAGGGGCAGTCTGTTGAGTTGCCATTGGTCTTGTTGTATTGGAAAGCGGAGTAGTCACTGAGTTTATGCGTTGCCAGCGTAATGAACCATGGTTCCTGATGTATTATTTGTATATACCGTTGTAGTGCGGCCCCAAGTCATGTATGTAGCAGAGCAAGGCGCGGCCCCCAAGTAGCATGGCATGCAGACTTTGGCCCCCAACGTGGAGGGTGGAGCGTCAACTCGGCAGTTCGGTACCGAAGTGAGACAGTCTGACAGAGCCCCAGCAATCCTCCATCTCACGGTCTCACCTGCATGAATCACCTGGGCAATTCAACTACATACAAACAAGACCCCGAGGGCTGATTGAACACCTACCTACCAAAACGGGACCAAAATCATACTTCCCTTTACCCCTTTCCGCCTCATTCAGTGTGCCCTTTTAGAAATTGTGCCCGCAAAATATCTCAGTGCTCAGTACTGTATGTTCTTGGGAGGATAATCAGGATGTAAATCTCCAGAAATGGTGGGGCGTATATGAATCGGCCTACTGGGATTTATTGTGTCTCGTCTTTGAACTATTCAACTGAGTAGTATCTGCCCATCGATCTCTCATGTAACAAAGACATATACTATTCAGTCGCAGACGGTTAGTTTGTTTGTGAGCACCAATCAATGGCAATCCAGACAGAGCGCAATGCACCCATGGATGTCTTCTGCGCTTGTTCTCAATGTTGGCATGAGTCATCGGGCAATCATGTACAAGCCAAAAGCGCGCGTTCCTTCTCCTATTCAGTTTGCCACACACAGGGAAACACACGGGCATACTTTTTAAATCTGGTCAACCTTGATCCGATCGATCTATAATAAAAGACCGGACCATTTCCACTTCCCCTTTCGACCGACCACATGAATTTTTATCTCTACGCATTCTCTGCTACAACCCCTAAAATCGACGGCTGTGCCCTAAGATATAGGGGAGTGGAATATATTACTCTATAGCCAACTCGCCCTCTTGCTATTTAAATTCCCCAGATACCGACCTTTCTCGTCCGGTCAATCTACAATCTCCTTTAACCTTTAGGACCAAGCCGAGTTTAAGCTAGACACCATTTGTCGCTAGGCTGCTTCCAAGGCGGACAGCTATCGAGTTATAAGTCGGGGCGTACCGAAGCCTTCCCGTCTAGGCCACATAAGAAATCCGTCACCAGTACCAGGAGGTTATTTAGGAAAAGGTAGATAAGACAGGTGAACTTGTAGTCAAGGATGTATAAGAGTACCTCGACGACGCAAGCTTTAGCGTAGATGAGGATGACCAGCCGCTCGCAAGGGCACACATCCGGCACCACTCCGAGATACCTGACTCAGAGGATGACGCAAGCTACAGCGTAGATGAGGACAACCGTTCGCTCGTACGGGTACCTATCCGGCACCGCTCCAAGCTCACCAAGCCCGCCAAAGATGAGGACGGCCTACCACCGACGTTAAGAACCCCTATCCGCCAACGTCTGAGGAACTCCGCAAGTCGAAAACGGGTGGCATCAAACCCAGCACCGTTCCCTTACTCGAAGAGGCAAAGGGTAGATAGATCGGACTACAACGACGTGGGATTGAACATATACGACGCTGATGAAGATGATGCTTCTGAGTGTGATGTTCTCGAAGACGAAGACCCTGCAGATTCCGAATACCTTCTCCAGGACGAAGACCCCGCAGACTCCGAGTACGGCGCTAAGACCGAGCACGACGATGAATCCGACGTTGCTTTGGACATCGAGCACTTGGACCACGATCCGCTCGTTGAAGATATCTTCAAGCAGCTGGGCGACTATGAAGATAGCGAATACGAGGACGATACGCCCGTGCACGAGGAAGAGGGCAATGATGTGCTCGGCCCAGACACGTTCAATCTCGACAATGTGAGCCTTGACCAGCTACAAGGATTCGCAGACATCGAAACGGTCGATGTGTCATCGGAAGACGGCTAAAATCAGATCAAGTCCTTCAAGGATCGAATTCTCGGTCTCCCTCGCTAGCAACCTTGATGAGAAAGTGGTGAAGCAAGGTTGCGGCCATTGTGGGGAGCCTGAGCCCGAGCCCGAGGAATGCAACTATGTGGAAAGGTTCTGGGCCCGAACGACGATGCCCGGCTTGTTACAGTTATCGACACAAACACAGGGTCGAGTGACCACAAAGGTTTTGGCGACAGAATCGCATCAAGAACGGATGTGGGAACTGCAGAGCCAAGGAACCGGCGCCGGGCAGTATCAAGAGTAAAAATTGGAAGGGGTCGGGGCCCGAACGACGATGCTCGGCTTGTCACAGGTATCGAAAAAGAGAAGGGGTCGAGCGACCGGAAAGGCTTTGGGGAGGCTCGTCCTGATCAGATTAAATGATACAGGAAACCCGTTGCTGACCCGTTGCACCACATCAGCAACTACGATGCTTCTGTAGTTAATATAGTGCTTCTTTCCCTCTATAACAAGGGGGACGTATTAGTCTAAGTCATTGTTACTAGGGACTTTTGCTAGCTGCCGCCTATAAAGCTGTTCTAGTACTGTATCACTTGCAGTAGCGACCTTATCTCGCGAGCTAGGGACGAACACACCCTATCCTACGTCTTTGTATCCGATCCCCTAAGTAGTCCACGGGTATGTCCACCTAACTACCTCCCGTGGGATTTCCGCTCCCTCGGGCATCATCTCTCGCCAGTCCTTGGGCTTGTCACGGTGGATAAGATAGCCACCCAGGTGGCGATGGCAGATGTCCGGTGGCCGCTCGTCCCCGCTATCCTCGCCGCGCGTCCAGGGCCGTACCAGGGAAAGCCGCACCTGCCGTTCGATACCGCGGTGGCCCGTGACCGTGGTTAGGCGGTGTGCCCAGCCATAGCAGTAGACCGAACGGTTGAGCGGAGACGAGTCGCGAGCCACGCCGAGGGCCATGGGCGTGAGTTTGCTGGCTTCGATGAGTGCCTCGACGTCGGGTAGGTCGATGTCGGGCACTATCTGCACCGGGAGATAGAGGTTGTCCGGGACTGGGACGGTGGACCACTTCTGGAGGGTCTGGCGGAGCTCTTCTGCCGATAGGGGCTCGGATGTGACTTCTGAAGGTGGGAGGATGAAGTTTGCGCGGGTCTCTTCGGAATGTGTGGATATTGCGTCAATGAGTTTGCGGAAGTAGGCTGCGGCCAGGCCGGTGCAGACCAGCTTGCGCCTGCGCAAGGCTGGGTACAGCACGCTGAGGAGGATGTCCTGCTGCGCCACCAGTTCGTTGCTGTCCGTTTCGTGGTCGAGGATGAACTGGGTGATGATCTTTTGCTGGACCTCTGGTGCAGGTGTACCGGTCCGTGCTGCAGATCGGTCACGAGCGCAACCAGGGCGCTCAGGTCGAGGTTGACCGTCCCTGTTCGGCGCCCGTAGTCGTCTCCGACCAGCGGGTCACGGTCCTTGACGAGGGCGATGATCGCGTCGTCAAGAGGCGGAGGTGGCTTCGTGAGGAATGGGCTATCTGCACAGCTCACCTGTACCGAGACGTCGCCATCCCCAATATTGTGCCGGATGTAGTGAATCATCCGGTCTACTGCCTCGGACCTGCCCTCTCGGAGTCCAGGCAGGATGAGGTGAACTTGCTGGCAGTGGTTCCAGCGCGCCGCAAGGACGATCTTATTGACCGTGTCAGCGAACTCTGTGTGGCCTAGTCCTCCGTCTACAGCGTCGGCTGCCTCCCCGTCTTCATCGTCTTCCGGCTCGCTCGCCCATCCTTCGGCCACAACCTGGTACTCAAGTGCCTTGGAAGATATGTAGATGAACTTGAGCCAGGTGGTGCCGCTGTCGACAACGGCGTCCACAGCCACCGGTTTCTCCTGGAAGGGCCCGTCCTTGTTGGCCAACCAAACCGTCCTCCAGAGGGACCGGCAGACGTGGGCTCCGGGTGAAATCTTTGTTGATGGCGACGAGGCCGCGGCACTTCCTGACAACAGCCCACCTGTCATCCCAGCAGCAACTCTTAAGTCCAGAGTACTGGGCCTGCGAGATGGATGCCGCTGATGGCCCGCGCTGCTTTTGGGCGACCTTGCCGAGTGCCCTCTGCTGGACTTTCAACAATGCGTGGAGTCCCCGCACGGGGCGACTTGTTGCTTCGGCTGCCTGCTGGAGACGCTGCAGTTCCTGCATGCATCGCTGGGACTGTGTAATGCGGGCCTCTATGCAGTCATCTAGTCCTGCGTCCGCCGGGAATTGCATACCCGTACTCTTCGCCTCCCGAGCATCTCGGGGTTCGGGGGTGTTTTCGTTGATTGAATTGGTTGATGCGCGCTCATGGCCGGCGGACGTTGCTAACGTCATTCCGAAGGCAATGCCCGTAATGAACCGCAATCTACTCTGTCACGGAACCTTACAGGTGGTTATGAACTCTGTTGATGCCTAATAACTGTTCGCATTTCCTATTTCCCTCTCGCAGTGGGCCACGAAACTTCAATTTTCAGCCCCTGCGATGTAGCTGAGGGTCAGGGTTCCCAAAGCCATCGCTCTTTGCCTTACCAGACCAGAAGCCGAGCAAGTGCTCATTTCTCTCCTCCGTATTTGAATTCAAAAGTCTGTTACGATATGTGGCTCAATGGGTGCAAACGATAGCATAGCGGGAATGAACCGCCAAACAATGGGGAGAGAACAGAGAGCAAGAAACAAACCAATTCGCCTCGAACAGCTCCCACGCTCTACCCGCAGTCCCCTTGGTTGCCTTCCGTTGGGGCTTGACTCTCTGCAATACTGCACGTGAGTTCAGGGAAAGACCGAAACAACTTAGCAACGTCGACTGACTACTAATGTACCACTCATGTGACGCATGCGACAGGCTAAATATCTCACAAAGCTCTTCGTGATGAGTTTCCTTCGAGTGCAAGTGTTACTTCTCTTTTCTTACAAAGGAAAAGGAGAGAAGGAAAAGAAACAACGACAGGAAAGAAGAAAAAGGAAAGGAAAGGAAAGGAAGAACAGCTCGAGCGCCACTAAGAACCTCCCCTTCAGGCCGCTGCAAACAGGCAATACCGGTTTCGAACAACGAGAGTCTGCTCGCACGTTCTTTGAAGTACTTACTCGCGTCTTCCAACCTGGAATTCTTCCGATTCACAAGCCTAAGCCTAGTACTTCCAGGGGTACGTGGGGATGACCCGTCGAGCAGAAGAACGCAACCTCGACGACGCAGCTAGTCCAGGGGTTACAGAAGGTCGAATAACCCGTTGAGTGCTTTCTCAATGAACTGGACTCTCCGGACATTCTTTGACGCCGTCAGTAAAAGGGAGACTGGCATATGACGGCCCATAGATGCTTGAGAGCAGCCACCTACAAGGGATGTAGGTATAGTAAATCCTACATCTGACTTGACGACGTTGGACCAACCTGGGAAGGAAGAATGTCGTTATGTAAACAGGATGGTTAGAATCGGCAATGGCTTGCCAAGCCCGCGGCTCCGCGTCGCTTTTTCATGGAAGCTCGAGATCCACACCCGTCGGTGACAATTCAGTGATAGCTAACCCCGCCAACCTGGGGAATCGGGGAATCCGTGTCTGACATCCATGCACGGTGAGCACCGGCGTGGCGTGTCTTGATCTCCTCGACCTTTCTGGCTGTATGGTACTGATATCTCTTCCGTAATACGCTGTTCACCTTCCCCTATCCGCACGCTGCTGTGTTGGACCGTTTCCTTTTCTTTCTCTGTCTGTGTCATGACCGGGACCTTGGCTGAGGCACCTCAGCATTTCACGATTTCCACTAGGTGGAATTGCCACCCTGATCTCCAATATATGGCATTGAGGTTATAGCGAACCTCCAACATCTAATAGCCCAAATCGTTCTGCATGATCAACTCATCCATTCTGGTGACTAGTCGAGGTGCGTAATTGCATGTTACTCATCCGTTTTACATCCATCTTCAAAGACAAGTGAAAGATCTGGAAGCTGCACCCGAGGATAAGAGGACGAGAGGTTTTCTGCGTAGAGCCGTAGCGCCGTGAGCACCTTCCTAATCTGCACATCTGGTTGAACTTTTAGCGGCTTGGCTGCCCCGCGAGTTGCAAGTCCCCGAACGCCAAGGGGCTACGCCGGGTCTTATCTCTCTGCCGCCACTAAGATCTGCATTATCCTGCATAGCCGTTTGTACTTGGCACCCGGTTTGATTCCAACCACAGCTGTCGTCTTGCGGACTGCCAGAGCTTGATTCCCAACTGCCAAGCGTTCTACCGTACGATTACCCGGGCTTGTGCTGTTTGGGTCACCGAGGGGCGTGTGTACCCCGGCTGGGTGGTGAGGACGGCGGGCAATGATGAAGCCAACCTACCCGAATTGGAATGCGACGTAATCCTAGTGTGCACCTCAGCATGTGGGCACGGTCAGCACCAACCATGCCATGCAATTCGCACGTTATCGGACGAATCCCACCTCGCACGGGACCCCAGGATGACGGTCAACAACCCCTGTTGTCCGGGGGAGGACGCGGCGCTCCGTGTGGTCCTCCGCTTTGGCAGACTGAACATGACCCCGACGATAGCCTTTCCCCATTGGCATCTGCACTTTGCCACCGCGTATTCCGTATATTAAGCTTCCCCCCGCCAAGTCTGTTTACCTTCCATGTTTACTCTCTTTGCTTACTTTCCCTGCATCCTCGACCGGTCAAGCTGTACCGTGAACTCAGAAAGCAGCACAAACAAAACGACCAGTACACACCATGGCGGGATTTTTCTCGAAGACCCGCGACGATGAGAAGCGCACCGAATCCCCCGCGCAAGAACTCCCCGCCGTCGAGTACAGCGGCGAAGAAGGAACCGTCGACGATGTGGAGGATGATCTGCATCGCGGAATGAAACCCAGGCAACTAAGTATGTACAGTTTTCTACGCACATGCCACGAGAGCGAACAAACACATACTGACGCACATGCAGATATGATGGCCATTGCCGGCGCGATAGGGACGGGCCTCGTCATTGGCACGGGCACGGCACTTAAATTCGGCCCCGGGTCGCTGCTAATCGGGTACGCCCTCATGGGCTTCACCGTCTATGTGGTCATGGTCGCGCTCGGCGAGATGGGCGCGTGGTTACCGCACAAGAAGAGCTTCTCGGGATACGCCTCACGCTTCGTTGATCCTGCCATGGGCTTCGCGACTGGCTGGAACTACTTTTTCAAATACGTCGTTTTGTTGCCGAACAACTTGACGGCAACGGGCATTCTCCTGCAGTACTGGCTGCCAAATCTCAACGTGTCGGTCTGGATCGTCGTCTTTGGTGTTGCGATCATCACCCTCAACGTTTGTTTCCCCTTTCTCCAAAGCCGGAACGCGCTGTTGCTAACCCGATATAGTTGATCCATGTCTCCTTTTTTGGTGAAGCCGAGTTCTGGATGTCGCTGATCAAGGCACTCGTCATCTTGATGCTCATTCTACTTTGCTTCATCATCGCGCTCGGTGGGGGGCCCAATGGCGTTCGCACAGGCTTCTACTTCTGGCAGAATCCCGGTGCCTTTGCCCAGTACACGGTTACCATCAAGGGTCATACTACCGTCATCCAGGGTGATACCGGTCGCTTCCTAGGCGTCTGGGCCTGCATCGTCCAGGCCACGTTTGCTTACCTCGGCACTGAACTTATCGGCGTGGCCTTTGGCGAGACACCCAACCCGCGCAAGAACGTTCCCCGAGCCGTCAACCAGACCCTCTCCCGGATCGTCTTCTTCTACATCGCCGGCGTGCTGGTGCTCGGCATGGCGGTCCCGTACAACAGCCCCCAGCTCATTGAGGCTACCCGCAAAGGCACAAGCGCATGTACGTTTCTCATTCACCCACCTTCTAGCCTCCAGTCCTTACTGACACAACCACAGTGGCATCACCATTCGTCGTCGCCGCTAGCGTCGCAGGCGTCAACAAACTCGCCGACGCCGTCAACGGCTTGCTCTTGATCTTCACCATTTCGGCCGCGAACTCCGACATTTACCTCGCGTCGCGCACGGTCTGGGCGCTGGGCAAGGACGGTCAGGCTCCACAGATGATGCAGCGTACCAATAAGCACGGCGTGCCCGTTCCCGCGGTCGCCCTGTCATCCATCTTCATCGCGCTGGGCTTCATGAATGCCACCAAGTCAGCGGCGACCGTCTTCGGCTACTTCGTCTCGCTGGTGACCGTGTTTGGCGCGCTGAACTGGATCGCCGTGCTAGTCAGCTACATCGCCATGATCCGCGCTATGAAGGTGCAGGGCGTCAAGCGTGAGGTCATGCCCTATCGGAACATCTTGTTGCCGTGGGGGGCCTATATTGCGTTGTTCATTACGGCGATTGTCATCCTTTTCAACGGCTACTCGGCGTTTATCCCGCACTTTCAGGTGGACAAGTTCTTGACCAGCTACATTGGGATTCCGGTTTATGTCATCAACATTCTGTGGTGGAAGCTGTTCAAGAAGACGAAGCGGGTTAGACCTGAGGAAGCGGACTTGGTTACTGGAAGGAGGTCATTTTAAACACGGCGCTACGGTTGGTCTGGTTGGATATGGGATCATGAGGTTCGGATTTTGAGCGAGGAGTTCACGGTATATTCCATGGGCGGCATTGTATACCTCTCAGTCAAGTGACCAAATAGAGCACCTAACCCTAGGGAGCTGTGTTGTGAATGACGTAGTTGACCTGCCGACTTCAACTTGGTCCATTTCTTGACCAACCCGTACTGCTGTCATCCGCCCTCCTTAACCCATTGTATTGTGACTCGATTTCCATACCCACGGTCTTGCCCACAGGGTGTCCATCTCTCAACCCTCCTCCAAGCCACCCGTCTTTTTACAATCGATGCGGGGTATCCGCTCCTTGCGCCCCGCTTGCAATCCCGCAATCCGGCAGGCCGCACCCGCCAACGGCCCGTCCTTCATCTCACTCTCGTTCTCAACGGCAACGCGAAGAGTCTCCTCATCAAGCTCACCCTCTAAGGCTTGCCCACCAACCCATCACATCAATCCTACTATCCGACCCAACCGCCCCGCCAAGAAGATGGCTTCCCACAAAACCCAAGAACCCGTCATCACCTCCGTCACGGACCTCCCCACGTCCGAAGCGAAATGGGTCACCCTCAAGAAAGTCTCTTACCTCGATCAGACGGGTAAAGCCCGGACATGGGAGGTCGCCTCGCGCAAGACGCGCGCCGCCTCAGCGGGCGTGGACGCCGTGGCCATGGGCAACATCCTCCTGCACCCGGCGCGCCCCCCCGCCACGGTGGTGGTCATCCAGTACCGCCCGCCGCTGGATGCCTATACGGTCGAGTGGCCCGCGGGGCTGATCGACGAAGGCGAGACGGCGGAGCAAGCGGCGGTGAGGGAATTCAAGGAGGAGACGGGCTACGCGTGCGAGGTAGTCAGTGTGAGCCCCGTGCAGGCCGCGGATCCGGGGTTGAGCAGCGCGAATATGCAGCTGGTCATGGTGGAGGTCAAGCTCGGGGAGGACGAGGAGCTGCCGGCGCAGCGGCTCGACGACGGAGAGCATATTCAGCGCGTCGTGGTGCCGTTGGCGGAGCTGTATGAGAGGCTGGTGGAGTGGAGTAACCAGGAGAGGATGATAGTCGCCGCGAAGTTGTTTCATTTCGCCGCGGGGATGGAGTTTGCGAGGACCAAGGGGAAAGAGTATGGACTGTGAGGGAGGATGACGGTGAGAATCGGTTGGTCCCGAGATGGAGCGGTCTTCGGGATGCTGCGGGATGGTGAAGAGGGGCACGGCCGCACACTAGACATGCCTGCCATGGTCGACACTCGCGCATAGATCACGTAGATTCAATAAGAGCGTTTTGAGTCATCTCTGGACTTTAGATACTATGATGGTCGTCGAATTGCTCCAATGCTCGAACTCATTAGCTAATGGAATAGTCACCGGTGCTAGCATCATTCGACTGCAGCGGATGAAACCAGCCTCCCTGAAGGCTTGGAGAGGACCATAACGGAAGGTTGATGATTTTGGTTATAAGCGCAAAACGGAGGACAAGTGCGCGATCCCCAATAAACGACTCGGAGCTTGAATGACGAGCGATGAGCGTCCAAGTCGTTGACGCGCGATTAAAATAGCGTCCAACAACACCAAAGTGGCACTAATTGCAGCACAAATGCCAAGGTCAGCATTCAGCATGCGATGTAGGATACTTGGTACTATTTGGGCTGAAGGCAGGCGAGGGTTGCCATTCGAGAGATGCAGAGCTATGCAGAGCACTCTCCATCGGTTTCAGATCCCAAAAATCAAATAGGGCGGGGACCTATAGCATGACGAAGCCTGCCTCCTATGATTGATCTTCCCTAGTTCATGCAGGCTCTTTACACCATACATGAGCCGGGGTCATTATGGAGCCACTCCGGAAGCAAGGCCTGCGACTGCTTTCGATAGAATCTTCAACGACCAAATCGATGCATGCATGATGACAACAAGTTGCCGTTTGAGCCCTTGCAGAATGCAGATGGCTGTGGTTGCCAAGACGGTCCCACTTCCCTTTGGCTGGTCGCTTTTGCTGTGGTGCACGGGGTCGGTTGCCAGGCCGCCATTATTAGCGCATGCGACTGCCCAACAGTGTGACAACCTGACGCCAAGCCAAACAGACTCCGCCTGAAGCGGTGCTCCTTCCCCCATCTACGACATCGCATCGATCACGGCAACGACGACAGCAGCCGCGCAAAAGGTAGGTAAGACAGTCGCGCGCGGCCAGCACTTGTATCGGTCTCGACGACATCGTGTACCGGCGTTTCGGCAAGCTTGGACACCGATATTACGACAGCGCGCAGTCGGGAGTGTTGTCACTCTCGGTCGCAGCAAAAGGCGGAGGTTGTTGACGAAACTGTTCCCGGGAAATCGCGGTATTGGAAGCGACGAACGAGCGGGGATCCAACAATACTCGATCTGCTGTACCAGCCAAGCGCCTTTGGCCGTTTGACAATAACCAGATTACCGACATATCTCTTGCTCTGTTACGACACGTCTTGCGACAGCCTTTGCAGGAGCATTCATTGCGAATTATCAGCTTTGCCACATGCGTGATTACCCTGCGCAGCACGCCGCCCTCTGAACTAGCCAGATGTCCGAGCCGCCGTCGTCGCCGCCGAGACCAGGAGCCAGTGTGGAAGATGCCTTAGCTTGGTACAAGTCGCAATACGAGGTGCTGGAGGCAGAACTATCCGAGTTCCAGGCCTCAAGCAAGGAACTTGAAGGGGAACTCGAGAAGGAACTAGATGCGGCCGACAAAAGGGAGCGGGCGCTACGGCAAAAGACAGAGTCTCTGAGTTATGAGGTGGAGGAGTGGAAGGTACGCCGGTTTCGGCAACTACTAGTATGCTCTGAGGTGGTGTGGCTGACGAAGATGGTCTGCAGAGAAAATACAAGGAATCCAAGACCGAGGCGAACGCGGCGCAGAACGCGCTCGAGAAAGAGATTACGAACCTCCGCGACGCAAATAGGACGCTCCAGCTCAGACTGCGGGACATCGAGGTGGCCAACGATGACTTCGAACGCCAGGCGCGCACTACTACATCGTCTCTGGAAGACCTCGAGTCCAAGTACAATGTTGCGATTGAGAGAGCCGTCATGCTGGAGGAGGAGATCAAGATTGGCGAGCAAGAGCGGGAGCGACTACGAGTCGAGACGCAAAGACTGAGGGAAGAGCTAGCGGATCTCAAGATCGAAGCCGAAATCCTGCAAGACAAGATCAAGAAGCAAGAGTCGCGCCATCTGTCAACCATCTCGACCGACATTTCGGTTCCTGGCTCACCCTCCTTCTGCAATTCCCCGCATTCGACTGCGAGCTCTCCGATGATCATGACACCACCGGACACCAAGTCGTTGTCCACGGCGGACACGGCGTCAGAGATACAAGATCCTCCGTCGCCTCCAATGTCCGACACCTCAGTGCCTTTGCCCAGCATCGGGGGGCTCAAGACACCGGCCCCTCCACAAAAGAGTCGACTGCCCTCCGCCCCCGCCGAGAACAACATCATGCCGAAGCCGAGGGCGTTCACGACGTCCACTTCCTCTTCTCGCTCATCTCGTGTGGCAACCGCCTCAAGTTCGATGCGGACACCGGCCCACCGAAGTTCGGCAGCAAAGTCGACCCGCGCAACAGCCCACAGAATCCCGCCCTCAAACTCCCTCACCCACATCCGGACGCTCACCGCCCAAATGCAGCGGCTAGAAGCCCGTGTGCAATCGGCCCGCTCCAAGCTCCCAGGACCAGGACCGGCCAATACACCGCCACGTTCCTCCCCTCGCGGTATCGGTGTTCCATCAACCGTCACAATCCGAAGCCGCAAGCGCACTGTCGGCTCCACTGCATCTTCCAGCGCCGTCAGCCTTACCGGATCGGAAACAACCCCCTCTCAGCCCCGACACGCCCCCTCTGAATCTCGCGGTAGCATCTCCTCGAGCACAAGCAAGCATGTACCGAGACTTAGCACGTCCGGGGTCTCACGATTGTCCTTTGGGCCGTTGCCGAACCGCAACCCCGCCAGTTCGTCTACCTACAATGCCGACCCCGACGCCTCCCGGCCGAGTAGCAGGGCTAGTATCTCGAGCTATGCCCGCCCTCCAAGCAGGGCCGAGTCCCATGCCATGCCTCCTCCTCGGCCCATGAGCCGCGCCGGCCTTAGCAGCAGCCGAACGCCCGCCGGCCTGAGCAGGCCACGCAGCAGTCTCGGCATGCACGGAGGTGTGGCTTACAGCACGGCCGAGGAGGATGACGTTCCCGCCGGAGCGCCCATGAACGCCCCCGGGTATCGCACTCCTAGTAGGCGGGCTACGTACGGTCGTGTGGATATGGAGAGCGGAATTCCGCTTCCGGGCGTTGGGATTCCGGTCCCTTCTTCGAGGAGACAGAGCGGTGGGGCTGCGTCTGCCGGCAGTGGGAGAAGGACAAGTTCGGCGAGTACAAGAGTAGTGTTGGAGGATTTGGGCGAGACATATTGATGGGCAGTGGGTCCTTGTCTTCTCGTCACTGGCCCTTTGCTTGTCCAATTGACGCGGATACCACGGCTTCGGCTTGCTTGGAGGGAGGATGCGGCTTACTTTATACATTTTATTCCCCTTTTCATTTGTACTGCCCTTTCGTCGGCTTTGTCTTTCTCTTTGGGAGTCGGCTCTGTCCTTGAAGTGGAACATCTAGAAGATGGACAAGTATACCCCCATACAGCCTGCCCCTTTCCCATATGTTTCTGCTTTTTCTCTTCCCAATCTTGATCGCCTGAGTGTCCTCTGAGGGCGGGAGCATGGCAGAAGGTCTCTGCGTGGGATGGTTTGGTTGCTTACGGTCTCTCCTTTGGATTCAGGTCGTTGGGGCACGGATTGAGCAGTCAGAGCGCAGTTAATACCCACATCTACTTTCCTTGCCTTATTATCACAGTATGCATGTGACGGTGGTTCCATTTTGACTATCCTGTTGCTGAACTGTATATTGCCCGCATCGCTTGGGGGTATGGAGGCGAAGCCATCCTATCATGGTATCGTACAAAGTGAGTAGACTACCAGGCAGACTAAACATACAGAGTGTGTGTAACCCCATTGAAGAAGTAAGCACGGTCCACATCATCGGGGCGTCGCGAATCGTTGTTTGTTTCTCGATCACCCAACCGGCGACATGCCTTTCCACCTGTCCCCGGCCGCAGCCCGCCGGGTGTCGCTGGCTCGTTCGCTGTGCACATTGGCATTCCGGGGTTTCGTAGGGCTGAAGGGGGTCGTCGCATGGCGGGTGGGTTATCGTACGATTCTTATGTCAGGCGCAACGGTGGGGCTCACCTAGCCGTCCGACTGGGTCGACTCGATCCGGGGAACAACACGCGGCCGAGATCGATATACATAAGATCGAGATGCTCCCTGGCATTCCATCCTCGTGTAAGGGCGCCTAGAGTTATGCGGGTGAGGTGTGCTTCAAGCCCAATTCCAATGCAGACTTTCGGCTTGACCCCCTTTTCTCGCAACGAAAGGAGTTTATCTCTCCTTGGCACCGGAGTCCGACACGAGACTTCGCCTGACCTGGACTCTTCCCATGCCGCTAACAGGGTCATACGGCGGCAAGCGTGATTCTCGCTTATCGAGCCTACAGCACGGCCAACCCTCTCATAACCGCGGGCGGCGTTGGACTTCGGCAGCGGGGCTGCGTACCTTCCTCTCTCGAGACTCAGCCGGCTCGCCCGTCCAGCCCGTCCGATTGGAGAACAGGAGCAGGACCCAGAACATGATGCGAGAAGCTCAGGACTGACCCAGCACCTGGCAGGTGATGATTTCCAGTCTTTCCATGATTTACACGCTCGTCAACCGCGAAGAACTCTGCGGAGCCCGCGGGCGGCCGAGACGGGCGGAAGGAAGCGACAAGGCCACAGCAGTCTCTCCCGTCGGGAATCCTCGGGGCAGCTGCCAAGGCCGAAACCAATCGAGGCCTTCTTCTTCGCCGTCCTTCATCGAGTCGGTCCTACACTATAATCAACTGGCAGAATCGCACCCGGCGCAAATTCTTCGCAAGTCAACGGAAATGACCCCCACTAAAACCAACGCGATCGCGGACGAATGTTGGGGATCTGCGGGTTGGGCCCCCCTGCACTTTTTTTCGATGATCGGAGGGCCGGGGTGCCCGGGCCGGAGTGGGCACTCAACAATTGGGGGAATCTGACACCTGGAGAACTGCAACACATCCAAGCGACAGCGGTGTGCTCTTCTGGGCTTGCGGAAGTTCTGAACGACGGGACTCTTGCTTGAAGAGGTCATGGCTTGTCTTCCTCTCAAACTGAGATACTTTTGACCCTGGGTGCTTGGTAGCTCTGTCAAGCCTGGTTGGGCCTCACGGGGCTTTCGGTTTTCATCTGAGCTCATTTGGCGAGGTACCCGAAGGAAATGCTTGGGTTAACCCGGTTTGGTTGTTGAGGCTGCGTTGTCCCACCTCCACTGGCAATGCTCCTGCTCCGTGCTGTACATGCAGCTGTGGAAATGTCCCGAAACATTCAAGCCTGGGCCATCAAAGCCCAGGTGCCTCTGTCAGACCGCGGATGGGCGGTGCTCGAGTGCCGATGGCTGGATTCCCGGGGCGCATCCCCCGAAGTGCGACGTGGACGAAGTCGACCATGTCTATCCAATCCCCCGAACTGGTCGGCCGAACTCCGAGTTAAAAAATGCGGGCCTCGATTGTACCCAAATAGTGTCCCGTTGTCGTACTGGAAGTTGCAAGGTACTCGGCCTTCTGTGGTACGTGTACAATACACTCAGGCAAGGAGCTAGGAGATCCCCAACGGCTTGATGTGGACATGAAGAGCGACTGCATAATGGGGCAATGGGTGCCCTTTCATGAGTCTGCCTGAGCAAATCTGAATACAGGTTCCTGTGTGACATGCGGAAAACAGCAAAGACAGAGGGAGCATTGTTGACTGAGATTGTTAAAAAGGGCCCGCGGTGACATGTAGTGTACCAGGTACGGATACAGCACTGGCAAGCTCCAGGGTGGGCACTTCCAAAGAACCGACGGACCCTGGCATCGGCCCCACATCTTGGTCCCAAGAGCGCAGATTCCCACCGTGAATTCCCACCAGAAACATCCAGATTGCCATTCATCTACCTGACTGCCGCTCGCCTTCCCGCCGGGCGCATGTTTCCCTCCCATTCCTTCCGTTAATTCCCAGATTCCCTTGCGCGGCAGCTACGGGGTCGAGCTTCGTTTCTTGTACCCTGCTTCTTCACGTCTCCCTGTTCTAATATAGGCGTCGAGCTGTCATCCCTTGCGAACCAACCCTTCCGCCATTACATCGTTCAGCATAATCTCGGATTTCGAGGGCCCATATTTCTCTACAAGAAGCTGTTGCTACCCATCTGAGGTTCGTCGCAAGCCCCATGCTCCAGTGCCAAGTCTGCGGGCTGCTGACGGCGCAGCGTAAGACAGCCTCGCAGCCAGAGTCCTGCTGGTTCCCCAAATTTCTATCGGAATCCGACTGGGAAAATCTCCGATATCCGACCCCCAGCTCTGTCTTGTCTGCGAGTCTGACACCCACCCTCGTGGTTTACATAAAGTGGTAGAGGTCGGAACAGGCTTTGCTCTAATTTCGGACTTGACGGTTTCGCCCTTGGCATCTCATAATGTCGCAAGAGAACGGCCAAGATCCCGCCCGGAACGGCGACAGCGCCCCCCATGCTAACGGCAAGGCGACATACGCCGAAAAGCACAACTTAGCACCCCACTTCATCGGTGGTAACCGGCTAGAGAACGCTCCTCCGTCCAAAGTGAAGGACTTCGTGGCTGCCCACGATGGCCACACGGTCATCACAAACGTGAGTCTGCTTGAATATGTGCCAGGGAATGCTTGGCTTGTGTGGACTTGCCTCGACGGCCTCTCAGTACTCGGCTAACAAGTTTATTCCCTCGGGCAGGTGTTGATCGCGAACAACGGTATCGCGGCCGTCAAGGAAATCCGGTCAGTGCGGAAATGGGCATACGAGACATTCGGTGACGAGCGGGCCATCAAGTTCACTGTGATGGCTACGCCGGAAGATCTCCAAGCGAATGCCGACTACATCCGCATGGCAGACCACTACGTCGAGGTTCCTGGTGGCACAAACAACCACAACTATGCCAACGTCGAGCTCATCGTCGACGTTGCAGAGCGCATGGACGTACACGCCGTTTGGGCTGGATGGTAAGTTGGACAACAATTAAGGTTCCGGGATCTTGAACTGAGCAACGAATAGGGGTCACGCCTCGGAAAACCCGAAGCTTCCCGAGTCACTGGCAGCGTCCCCGAAGAAGATCGTGTTCATCGGTCCTCCGGGCTCCGCTATGCGGTCTCTTGGTGACAAGATCTCGTCCACCATTGTCGCGCAACACGCAGATGTCCCCTGCATTCCGTGGTCCGGTACCGGTGTCAGTGAAGTCAGCGTTGACGAAAACGGCATCGTGACGGTCCCCGACGATGTTTACCTCAGGGGTTGCGTGAGCTCTTGGCAGGAGGGCTTGGAAAAGGCCAGAGAAATCGGCTTCCCCGTCATGGTCAAGGCGTCCGAGGGCGGCGGTGGAAAGGGCATCCGGAAGGTGATGAGCGAGGAGAACTTCGAGCAGCTTTATAATGCGGCGGCCAGCGAGATTCCCGGGTCCCCAATCTTCATTATGAAGCTGGCAGACAGCGCCCGCCATCTGGAGGTACAATTGCTTGCCGATCAGTATGGCAACAACATCTCGCTCTTCGGCAGAGATTGCTCGGTCCAGCGGAGACACCAAAAGATCATCGAAGAGGCTCCCGTCACGATTGCAAAGCCCGCCACCTTCAAGGCCATGGAGGAGGCCGCCGTCCGACTCGGCAAGCTTGTCGGCTACGTCTCTGCGGGAACGGTTGAGTATCTCTACTCACACGCTGACGACAAATTCTACTTCTTGGAACTGAACCCACGTCTCCAAGTCGAGCATCCCACCACCGAGATGGTCAGCGGAGTTAATCTCCCCGCTGCCCAGCTTCAGATCGCGATGGGTATCCCCCTGCACCGGATCCGGGACATCAGGCTTCTCTATGGCGTCGATCCCAAAACAGCGACCGAGATCGATTTCGAATTCAAGAATCCCGAGAGCGAGAAGACGCAGAGACGCCCAACGCCCAAGGGTCACACGACAGCCTGCCGGATCACTTCCGAGGATCCCGGTGAGGGGTTCAAGCCCTCAAATGGCGTTCTTCACGATTTGAACTTCCGCTCAAGCTCAAACGTGTGGGGCTACTTCTCTGTCGGTTCGGCTGGCGGTATTCACACCTTCTCCGACTCGCAGTTCGGCCATATCTTCGCCTACGGCGAGAACCGTGCCGCCTCGAGGAAGCACATGGTTGTTGCCCTGAAGGAACTTAGCATCCGCGGTGATTTCCGCACCACCGTTGAGTACCTGATCAAGTTGCTTGAGACTGAAGCTTTCGAGGAGAACACAATCACCACTGGTTGGCTCGATGAGCTCATCTCCAAGAAGCTCACTGCGGAGCGCCCCGATCCCATGTTGGCAGTCGTGTGCGGTGCTGTCACAAAGGCGCATATTGCGAGCGAGGGTTGCATCGCGGAGTACAGAACCGGTCTCGAGAAAGGCCAAGTCCCCTCCAAGGACGTTCTCAAGACGGTATTCCCTGTCGACTTCATCTACGAGGGCTCTCGCTACAAGTTCACCGTGACCCGCTGCAGCAATTCGAGCTATCGCCTTTTCATCAACGGGTCCCAGTGCACCGCTGGCGTGCGTGCCCTCAGCGATGGCGGCCTCCTCATTCTCCTCAGCGGCCACAGCCACAACGTCTACTGGAAGGAGGAGGTAGCTGCCACTCGCCTGTCGGTCGACGGCAAGACATGCTTGCTTGAGCAGGAGAACGACCCCACCCAGCTGCGGACTCCTTCGCCCGGCAAGTTGGTCAAGTACCTTGTCGAAAACGGCGCGCATGTCAAGTCCGGTCAGCCATTCGCCGAAGTCGAAGTTATGAAGATGTACATGCCCCTCGTTGCGCAGGAGGATGGTATCGTGCAGCTCCTCAAGCAGCCCGGCGCGACGCTCGAGGCCGGTGACATTCTGGGCATTCTCCAACTGGATGACCTGACTCGTGTCAAGCAGGCGCAGCCCTTCCTGGGCCAGCTTCCCGAGTATGGTCCCCCCGTCATTGTCGGCAGCAAGCCCCACCAGAGGTTCACCGTACTGTACAACACGCTCCGAGACATTCTTCTGGGCTTCGACAACCAGATCGTCATGCTTGCGACTCTTAAGGACCTGATCGACGTCCTCCGCGATCCGAAGCTGCCGTACAGCGAGTTTTCATCACAGTTCTCGGCTCTGCATGCCCGGATGCCTCATAAGCTCGACGCGCAGTTGACACAGGTGCTGGAACGCGCAACTCAAAGACAGTCGGAGTTCCCTGCGAAATCCCTCGCGAAGACTTTCCAGAAGTTCCTCGACGACCATGTCCAATCCAAGGGCGATGCTGAGATGCTCAAGGCCACCCTCGCACCGCTCACTGCGATCTTGGACATGTACGCTGAGGGTCAAAAGGTTCGCGAGCTGAATGTCATCGCGGACCTGCTATCCCAGTACGCAGATGTCGAGTGTCTTTTCTCGGGTCGCCGGCTGCAGGACGAAGAGGTAATCCTGAAGCTTCGGGATCAGAACAAGGAGACCATCCAGAACGTCGTTCAGACGGTCCTCTCCCACAGCAGGGTTGCGTCCAAGAACTCACTGGTCCTGGCAATCCTGGAGGAGTATCGTCCCAACAAGCCGAATGTTGGCAATGTTGGCAGGTACCTCCGGCCTGTCCTTCGGAAGCTGACGGAGCTGGAATCGCGCCAAACTGCTAAGGTCTCTCTCAAGGCCCGCGAGATCCTCATCCAGTGTGCTCTCCCATCGCTCGAGGAGAGAACCGCTCAGATGGAGCATATTCTTCGCTCGTCTGTCGTCGAGTCCCGGTATGGCGAGACAGGGTGGGATCACAGAGAGCCGAGCCTGGACGTGATCAAAGAGGTCGTCGATTCCAAGTACACCGTCTTCGATGTCCTGACCCTGTTCTTCGCCCATGAGGACCCCTGGGTGTCTCTGGCCGCTCTAGAGGTCTACGTGCGCCGGGCGTACCGTGCCTACGTCCTGAAGAAGATAGAGTATCACAGCGACGAGACCGATACCCCGTCGTTCGTCTCCTGGGACTTCGCTCTCCGCAAGATCGACCAGCTGGAGTACGGTTTGCCTGTGCAGTCAGCCGCCCCTTCAACTCCGGTCACGCCGAGTGACCACAGCTTCGGCCGAGTCGGCTCCATTAGCGACATGTCATATCTGACTCACAAGACACGAGAGGAGCCGACCAGGAAGGGAGTAATCATCCCTTGCCGATACCTGGATGACGCTGAAGACATGCTGTCAAAAGCTCTCGAGACTCTCCCGTTGGCGGGAGGCGGGCGGAAGAAGCTGACGAGCGTGCTCTCCGAACTCAATGACAGGAGGCGCCCGGCGACACCTATCCGCACGGACAGCATGAGCTTGGATGAGCTAACCGCCGTCGTCAACGTTGCGATTCGCAATGCTGAAGGCATGAGCGATGATGAGGCTCTAAAGAATATCGTCCCCTTGGTCCAGCAGTACAAGGAGGAGCTCTTTGCCCGCCGTGTCCGCCGGGTGACCTTCATCTGCGGTCGCAACGACGGATCGTACCCCGGGTACTACACCTTCAGAGGGCCCAACTACGTCGAGGACGACAGCATCCGCCACATTGAACCGTCTCTTGCTTGGCAGCTCGAGCTGAGCCGTCTGTCGAAGTTCAAGATCAAGCCGGTGTTCACCGAGAACAAGAATATCCATGTCTACGAGGGCATTGGCAAGGATGTTGACACGGATCGGCGGTTCTTCACTCGCGCTGTCATCCGGCCTGGTCGACTGAGGGATGAGATTCCCACGGCCGAGTACTTGATCTCGGAGGCTGACCGCGTTATTAACGACATCTTTGACGCCCTCGAGATCATCGGCACCAGCAACTCGGATCTGAACCATATGTTCATCAACTTCACTCCGACGTTCCAGCTGCAGCCCCAGGAAGTTGAGCACTCGTTGCAGGGGTTCTTGGACCGGTTCGGCCCCCGTGGCTGGCGCTTGCGCGTTGCCCAGGTCGAAATCCGCATCATCTGCACGGATCCGGACACAATGAGGGCGTATCCCCTGCGTGTCATCATCACCAACACGTCCGGATACGTCATTCAAGTCGAGATGTACGCGGAACGCAAGTCTGAAAAGGGTGAATGGATCTTCGACTTCATAGGCGGCACCAAACCGATCGGCTCCATGCACCTGCTCCCTGTCTTGACGCCTTACCCAACCAAGAACTGGCTGCAGCCGAAGCGCTACAAGGCTCATCTCATGGGCACTCAGTATGTTTATGACTTCCCGGAACTCTTCCGTCAGGCAATCCAGAACAGTTGGACCGATGCTGTCAAGCAGAACCCCGACAGGGCAAGTAAGCAGCCGCCCGTGGGTGAATGCATCGACTTTCACGAGCTCGTCCTGGATGACCAGGACGAGCTGGCCGAGGTGTCCCGTGAGCCCGGCACCAACAGTTGCGGCATGGTTGGCTGGCTGATACACGCTCGCACACCCGAATACCCTAAGGGCCGTAAGTTCATCGTGGTTGCGAACGATATCACCTATAACATCGGTTCCTTCGGCCCGAAGGAGGACAACTATTTCTTCAAGTGCACCGAGCTGGCCCAGAAGCTGGGTATCCCCCGGATCTACCTCTCGGCCAACTCGGGTGCCCGCCTGGGCCTCGCCAACGAGCTGATGCCCCACTTCAAGGTCGCCTGGAATGATGCCGAGAAGCCCGAGGCAGGGTTCAAGTACCTTTACCTGGACGACGAAGCCAAGCGGCGATTTGAGAACGAGGTCATCACTGAGGAGGTCACGGAAGATGGCGAGAAGCGCCACAAGATCGTCACCATCGTCGGGCGCGAAGACGGTCTGGGCGTCGAATGCCTGCGTGGGTCTGGTCTGATTGCGGGTGCCACGAGCAGAGCTTACAACGACATCTTCACCTGCACACTCGTCACCTGCCGCTCAGTTGGTACGTCGCTGCTCCCCATTCTGCCATGTGTCTGTTGTACCACGCACACTAACGTTTCCACTAGGTATTGGTGCGTACCTTGTACGCCTCGGCCAGCGTGCTGTGCAAATTGAGGGCCAGCCCATCATCCTCACAGGTGCACCGGCGCTCAACAACCTTCTCGGACGCGAGGTCTACACGTCCAACCTGCAGCTTGGCGGCACCCAAATCATGTACCGCAACGGTGTCTCTCACCTGACTGCCAACGACGACTTCGCTGGTGTCTCCCAGATTGTCAAGTGGATGTCCTTCATCCCGGACAAGCGCAATAGCCCGGTGCCAATCAGCCCGAGCATTGACGATTGGGACCGCGATGTGGTCTACACCCCGCCGCAGAGGCAGGTTTACGACGTGAGGTGGATGATCGCCGGCAAGCAGGATGAGGACGGCTTCCAGCCCGGCTTGTTCGACAAGGATTCGTTTGTCGAGACGCTGGGCGGCTGGGCCCGCACCGTTGTAGTGGGTCGTGCCCGCCTCGGCGGCATCCCCATGGGTGTCATCGCCGTCGAAAACCGGTCGGTCGAGAACGTCACGCCGGCCGACCCTGCCAACCCCGACTCGATCGAGCAGGTGGTGAACGAGGCTGGCGGCGTATGGTACCCCAACTCGGCGTTCAAGACGGCCCAGGCGATCAACGACTTCAACAACGGCGAGCAGCTTCCGCTCATGATCCTGGCCAACTGGCGTGGCTTCTCCGGCGGTCAGCGCGACATGTACAACGAGGTTCTCAAGTACGGGTCGTTCATCGTGGATGCCTTGGTCAAGTTCGAGCAACCTGTCTTCATCTACATCCCGCCGTTCGGTGAGCTCCGTGGTGGCTCATGGGTCGTCGTGGACCCGACCATCAACCCCACTGCCATGGAGATGTATGCTGATGTGGAGGCTCGGGGTGGCGTGCTGGAGCCCGAGGGCATCGTCGGCATCAAGTACCGGAAGGACAAGCAGCTCGAGACTATGGCCCGCCTCGACCCGGTCTACTCCAGCCTCAAGAAGCAGATGGCTAAGGAAGGGTTGTCCAAGGAAGAGAAGGATGCGATCAAGCAGCAGATGACGGAGCGCGAGCAACAGCTTCTGCCCGTCTACCAGCAGATCAGCCTGCAGTATGCCGACCTGCACGACCGTGCTGGGCGCATGAAGGCCAAGGGCGTCATCCGGGAGGTGGTGGAGTGGCGCGAGGCCCGCCGCTTCTTCTACTGGCGCGCGCGCAGAAGGCTCAACGAGGAGTATATCCTTCGCCGTATGGCCTCCGCCACATCGTCGGCGGGTCTTCACGGCAAGGGCGCCCCCACGCCCTCGTCCTCGGCCCAGGCTCGCAGCCGTCACCTGCACCTTCTTGAGGCATGGTCCGGCATCCCCAACTTCGACACGAACGACCGGGACGTTTCTGTGTGGTATGAGGAGCATAGGAAGCTGGTCAGCGAAAAGATTGAGGCGCTCAAGAACGAGGCCATCGCGGGCGAGATGCGGGAGCTGGTGCGTGCCGCAAGCGAGGTGGCCCAGCCTGCCACGGAAAGCGCGGCGTGGAAGGGCGTGCGCGACATGCTGCGCACCATGCCGGTGGAGGAGAGGGACAAGGTGCTGGAGTATCTGAAGCAGGTTTGATGGGGGATGATGGATGATGAGGAACAGCAAGTTCAACAACATGCGGGTTTCTATTTCGGAAAAAAACAAACTTGGCGCTAGTACAGAGTTTAGGCGAGCAGCGTTTGGCTTGGACTTTTAGTCGGGGAACCAGCGGATCGATGGAAGCGGTGTTGAGTGGGGTTTATACGATGAAATGATGCACGGTTATAGTTAGGATTTCTTATGCAGCGCTGAATGACGAGATTCTCTTTTCTTCTAGTGTTGCGCTGTCTGTTGTGTCCATAATGTATGTGTTGGTATTAAAGGCGGCATTAATGTTAACAGTCATTCTATATAAGTTACGTTCTCCCATATGGTAAGTTTTCGGGGCTTTGTGTGCATATTGGATTGTTGTGATAGTGTAGGTACATACTATGACAAGGTATTGTACTATATGTCCTTCATGTATGCATTGTATGTACAGACACTGTGTTACGTAGTACATAGATTGGTATCCAGGATCTGGGTTGCGCAGTCGGACGATTTCCCGGTTACCTCTACTGTTGTGTCTTGCCGGTACCTATGGTACCTTAGTTGTTTGCCTGGTACAGTACTAGTATGATGGGAAGTTCTCGTGCATAATTGGCTTAAAGTCTCGGGTAGTAGATGGATCCTGCAGGAGCTGAGTGACTTACCAGGCCGTATATGCCTATGGCATTTGTTGGGCATTATGCTGATGTGTGCTTGCTATGTGGCAGCTCGTTGCCCTGGCCTTCGGTGTATCATAAGATGAGGTTCAGTTCATAATCCCGGTTGATAATAAGTTGCACAAAGGAAGCATGTAAGTATGCTGTGCAAGCTCTACAATACATCGCGGTTAGCTCCCCTATACGTCGGCTGTTTGCTCTTCTTCGTTCATCAAGTTGGCAAGGCGGCACAGGGAAACGTAAATTTGTGACACGGAAGTTTTATTAACTGCGCCCAATGTGCAAGTGCGGCGGTGAATCGCTGAAAGAAGGGCGGTAATAGAAACTAGTAGTATCTGAAGTTGGAGTAGTCACACTGGCATGGTCCAGGTTTGTAAGCCTGTCATAGTATTATGGTGAGGAACTGAACTTAAAAGTAATCGTGCGAGTCCTCTTCTAGCACGTGGAAGGGTAATGGATGAGCGGCTCGTGAGACGTTTTGTGCCTGTGAGACTTCTCACAAGGTTTGTCCGCCTTGTATCGCCGTCAGATCTCGTGTGCCGTGGTCCCATGTAAGGCTTGTCTGATCTTTCCACATACAACCATCTAATAGGGGACTGGGATGACAATAACTGAGGTGTCTAAACAAGGCTGGGACCTTGTCGCCAGTGGGTTTCATGGTTGACAGTGACTTGGACTCTGGCCAGCTGATAGTGCTTGTGCTAAGTTCTCACTGCTTGCTTTTGTGTCCTGAAATACAGAGGCCAGCGACAGAAGTACAGTCTCACTACGTACCTTTGGGGCAGTCTCGCATGTTCCTAGACCATCGAAGTGGACGGTGATATGGGGATAGAGGTATAGCATAGACACTCAGGACTCTGAGAAGAATATAAAAGGATAGTTGACCAAATCCTTACCTGGTGGCAGTCTCATGAATCAACCGCCTCCTCCTCCATCCGAAACCTTGATACATCAACCCTCCTGGCACCACCGCCGCGATGTCGACCGAACCAAGAGCCACCGTCACAGTCCAGCCTCCAAGATTTGTCCGGAAGGGCAGCACCATCTTGCCCCCCGTACAGGTCAGGGTACAATTTGACGCGGGTGATCCGCGGCTGAAACAATTGGAGATGATATTCGCCACAGCCACCTTGCGCTATGCCAATACCACCACAGTGGAAACCGACCCCAACAGGAATCAAGCGGCAGCGAGTCCGGCAGAAGTATGCAACGACAGTCCGGTTGGCGATACACTGAACTTCATCTTCCAAAACCTTCAACTCCCCGATGGCCTCCACGGCGACTGCTTCTACAGAATCACAATAGATATTCTCCACACAACCGCTATGGAAACCACGGACAACGGTGACCCCAAACTGGAGAAGCTGACTATCGCGCACACGGATACCAGACCTTTCACCGTCGTCTAACCCCGTTGCCCGCCACCCGCAGCTCGCCGCTGAGGGAGTCTTGGAGGAACCCATGACGCCAAAAGGTACCGGTTCGTGTAACAATATGTTTGAGCCACTTTTGGGCGCGCTGTTTGCTAACAACCAGGTAGTTTTCCAGACCCTTTGCAACCGTGCCCCCTATATCTCGTGTGAGGCTATAGCCGTTTCGGATGCTTTGTCAGACTTAGTCTCTAAGTTAAGCTGCCGCAGAATAGTGGACGAGACGTGCGGCGGTATTTTTGGGCACCGAATGGACGAGGGAGAGGACCTTATAGACTAGGATTGGACATGGTTTGTTGAGCGCTGAGCGGCGGGCAGTTCTGCTCTCTGATCGGACTGATGGCTTCGGATCATGGTTATAGGATGGAAGGTGATGTACTGAGTTGCTGTATACCAACATGACGCACGGTGTCTTTCCCCTGGGCTTGATTTATATCGTGAATTCAAACGGTGGGTTCGGGATGCCGCGGTGAAGACAGCATGTGGTTGGGTGGAAAGCTTGGTGTGCACAACTGCTGTCTGTTAGCAAGGTAGTACCTCTGTTCCTTCTCTTCATCTTACGTCTAACTATTCAGCACTCTGATAGCTCGGTTTCCTTGTTCGCTCCCCTCCTTTCTCATCTTCTTTCTCTTCTTCTACTTCAAGTCCTCCTATTTCCCACCCTCTACTTTCTTCTCTTCTTGATTTATGTTTTCAATTTCTCTTTTTATTTTCCCTCCTCTTTCCCTTTTACATTTTCTTCGTGTCTCCCCTCCTCTTCCGTCCCCTGGTTTTGTGCTCCTATTTCTTCCGTATATCCATTCTTCTCTTGGTTACGGCAGAGTACGAAGTGCATGATAACTGGCTGTCAAGAAGCGAAGCAACTCGCTTTACCTGTAGTGGTACCATACAAACAAGTTCTCAACGCCATCGACTGGGCAGGGGATTTATTTCTCTTCTTGCCTTCCCCTGGCCACGGGTACAGTACAACTCACCTAAAATCTAGGCAAGCGAAGGTGTACTTCCATGGTTGGAATGCGCATTTTGACAGTGTGGTAGAATAGGACTGATAAGCTGGCATGAGTTGCAAAAAGTAAGGGGCAAGGAAGACATCTAGGTTATGTCGCGCCCAAAGAGGCGAAAGGCCAAAAGTGAAGTCGTTCGACGGGAATTGAGCCCGACGTGGGGGTCGAACCCACAACCTTGAGATTTCGGAGAACTCCTTAAGAGTCTCACGCTCTACCGATTGAGCTAGCCGGGCAGGCTATTTTGTAGTTAAGAGCTTGGCTCGGACTTTTGGCTGATTAGCTTGACGTGCAGGACGACCAGGCAATGATTGCGAGATTGGATTATAGAATGAAAGGGGATGGAGGTGTCATCCACCCATCGATTACGGCGGAAAGTCTTGTAGGTAGACACACGCAATGGAACCGGTATCTTTAACGCATTCATGGCGTTGCTGTGTATGAGTGAGCCCCAGGTGCACCTTTTGTTGGATAACAGTATTAATTTACACGTACTTCAAGGGCCAGTAAGTGGGTATTCCACCCCATGGCTGCGAAAGCCTTTTCCCAAAATGCTCCTCGCCTTTTCGACTCCAGTCTGAAAAGGGATCCAGGAGCTCCAAACCCGGGTCCAAACGCTCGGCCTGGCTTCGCGCTGTAGAACCTTGTGGTTTGCGCACGCAACTAGCCCAATCCCGGTCGCGTCCATGGATATTCCATATGCTGGGTCTTCTGATGTCCGTTGCGGGTCCCTTGAAACCACCCGTAGGACCGTAGAAGCAACCGGCCAGATACCCCTACGCAAAACGCGGATGGGGCAACAGATACAAAGAAGATCTGAGAGATCGTCTTGTACATTTTGGTTGGCAGATTGTAGGCTGCCTGGGCCGCCAATGCCAACGGGCAATGGCAATCCATCGTTGTGGCGGTCGCAGGACCCCACATGGAACCGTGGGAAGCGGCACCGTTGATGTCGGTATCGGGCCTGTCCTCGGATTTCTCGGCTTAGGCGGCGGTGCTGCTGTGGCGAGGCCGCTTGCGCGCGCCGCCCGGTGTGCTGGTGCCCGGGTGCATCTTCTCGTTGCGCTCCCGCTTGAGCTTCTCGTCGAGGACGCGGGCTGTGACGGGCAAGTGTTAGCATTGCATACAAGGCGGTCCTCGTGGCTGGGGCCCATACTGAGCACGTCGTAACCGAACTCGGGGAACTCCAAGCAAAGGTTGCGGAACTCCTCATCGGCCTCTGCGCGGAGAGTATGGGAGCGGGTCGCCCAGAAGTTCGCCACGGGCGAGCGGATCGAAGTGTCGTCCTTGCGGGTGAACTCGTAGACGTAGCGGGCGTAGGCAATCTCGCCCTTGGCGGTCGAGTTGACGCAGTGGATTTTGCTGGACGCGAGGTTCTTGAGGTTGGTGACGCCAAACTTCTCCGCCAAGGTGTAGATTTTAGCATGCTTGAGCAGCTGCTCGCCCGTCAAGTCCACCTCGGGAATAGAGGGGTCCTTCTCCAACATGCGCTGCCCAGGAACCTTCCTGGGGAAGTAGTCGCCCGTATACAGAAACTCTAGGAAGCAACCCATCGCATCGATGTCTTCGGCGGCAAGCTCGATTTGCCGGGGCTATTCGACAGAGGGTGAAATAGTGAGCTTTGCCTCATACCGCATCACGAGAGGCGTTTCTGATGAACATACGCTTCCATCATCCGCGAACTCGGCACAGGCCTCGGCGAAATAAGGGCTCTGCAGCAACAACGCCTGATGCGCCGTGAGGATCGTCCCCTTCTTGCCCGACCCGACCAGCAGCGTCACGACAGGGCTGGCAAGATACTGCGCGAAAGTCATGCGCGGCGCGGGCGGGTCGTCTGGTCCACTTTCGGCGAACGGAAGCTCTGAACCAGTTTGGTTCTCGGACGCGGAGCCACCAGCAGCACCCGCGCCCTCGGTAGCAGCGCCGCCGTCGCCCATCTCGACATCAGCTGAGGTGCTGGCAGCGGGCGCGTCCTCAGTCATCTCCTCGTTGAAGCTGTCCGCCATTGTTACGGAAGTATGCAATCACGTTGATCGCAATTGGGACGGTTGGAAACAGTCGTGGCGCGTGGTTGCGTACGCGGTCGCGCTGAAAGATTGGCCTGGCCGAGCTCGGGTCGGTTGTGGTGGGGCTGCGCAGTGGATGATAAGTCACAGCTTCGGCTATGCGCAAGTAGGGACCAAGGCGAGCGAACGACGGCGAAACTTGAAGTTCGAGCTCCCTCCAGATTGCAATTGGGTTTGTTGTGGGGGGCTGGTCAGGGTGCTTGTGGGCACGGCAACACATGTTTTGAACTACTGACAGGGGTCAAGCTCCGACTTGCATTAGTGCTAGAGAGCTTGAACCAATACACTTGGCGCAGCCCAGATCCATGATCGTCGATGGGGAAAAGCAGGAGTATGTACCTTGACAGTTACACGTATGATTCACGCTCCGTCGATGCATGGATGATGCTGGTCTTGACACAGCTCATCATTAATGTCAGAATTAATTATGGTAGGCTTAACCACAACTACTGGCCGGTATAGAGCTCGACGCTCGACCTTCCAAATCGTCGGTCATAACTCAGGAATGAGGTCGGCGGGAACCGGTCCTGCGGCCTGCCCTGGACCAGAACGCATGAATCTGTTTTACATGTATCAACCCATGGCGCCCTTGAACCGCATTTCTTCTCCTGGGATTAGGTTTTTGGTGACCCTTCCTGAGCGCCACCGCTTACCCAGGGAGCCCCGCCACTGCGGTGCTGCAACTCTCGGCCTTTGTCGCTGATTTCGATCCGTCCCGTACTCTGGGCCGACCCCGTTCCTTTGGCCGATTCTCCGAGCTGGATTCTTCGCTCTGTGTTGTCTCATTGTGACCCAGTCGCTGCTTCCAGAACTTCCGGCCACGCACCCTGGCTTCCTCCTCGGCATCCAGAAAGCGATTCACAGTTCGGTGATCAAGCACCCGCTCTTCCTTATCGCCCTTGCCGACGGGAGCTGTCTTGGGCCAGACGTAGCCGTACAACTTGGAATGACGCTCACAGCGAGCGCAGTTGGCTTTGGTGCGATAGGCATTTTCCTGCACGAACGCGCTGTTGCAGTTGGTGCAATGGATCCAGGCCATCTCTGGCTCGGAGAGGAGCAGTGGGGTGAGCGTGTAGTCCCCTGGAACTCGTTGTCTCCGCGAAGGCTCGACGGTCGGCTGATTGTAAGCCCGGCGCTTCTGGTTAGCTCGAGCCACCAATTCCGAATTGTTCTTCGTTTCGCCCCCGATGGTTTGCAGCTGCTCGGGCTGCGAAGAGGCTGGCGGGGTCAATGCTGCCGGTCCAGCGTCTGCTACATTTGCCGTGGCAGCGAGTATTTCATGGGCTGCAGTGTCCAGAGGATCGACGAGCTCCGTTGTCGGAAGAACTGTCCGAGCGTCGCTTCCCTCGGCAGAATTAACCTCGACGGGCTCAGGCAATCGCTGATCATCCGGCCGAACAGGTGTCTCCACTTTCTGCTTAACGGGCGAAAGAGAGGGCGATAAGATATTAGCAGGCATTCTCGGTTCCTCTGATCCTGGAGATGTCGCCTCGGTGAACTCCCCGCTGTCACCCTCGGACGATAGGGAAACTGGAGTAAGCTCTGTCCCCGAACTTGCGCTCGAGGTGTCGGTTGACAAGGGAATGGGCAGAATTCCGTAATGTTCTGTCTTGCGCCGTTTGGCCGGCGTGTATGGGGGAGTCTCCGGCCGGTCCCCGGGCCTAGTATGCTTCCCAAACATGACGGACATATCCGGTCGATCCGGGTCGATGGAATCGGCTGGTGACACACGATCTCCGGGCATTCTCTGGCTCCGCCGACTTTTTAGGATCCGAGGACGGATCTCCGGAGTAATCGACGAGCTGCGAGACTCGGCGCAGCTGAGGCTCTCGTCCCGCCTCCGACGGCGCAATGAGTAACCCTGTGCAGGAGGGCCTGTCAGGTAATCCTCCACGCTTGTCTTGACGGAGACACCACCATCCTGAGGTCTCCAACCGTTCGCCAAGTTCCTCTCGCACGTCTGACAGAGACATTCGCAGTTGTTTTCCCCGAAATAGTTTTCACTGTACGTGATCGTGACTTCTTCGCCAACCGCGATGTCCCTGCACGCAACGATCTCGATTCCAGCCTGACCACGTGTGACTAGCCTAGCATTGGCGTTACAATCGTGGTTGACGAGCCTCGCAGGCCCCATGAATAAACCGGTCATCTTGTTGCGGCTGCTGACTACGAGGCTGAAGTCCTTGTTCGCCAAAGCTAGTTTAGCCTCCTCCTCTGGTGTAACCATGACCTGGGTGCCCGTCAAGTACTTGATGGTTTGGCTGCGCTTGATGAACTGCCGTGCCGTGATGCTCGCTTCATAGGTGGCGATGGTGTAGCGGTTCGTCGCATTCACCTCAATTGGACAATCGGGCAAGTAGATCGACATGTATCGTCGCAGGTGGGCTTTGAAGTCATCCTTCTCCTTGGGCGTCTTGAGAGAATTGTAGAACTTGCCCAAACCGGCCGTCTCCAGCAACTTGGCTTCAGCAACGGAAACATCAGGAGTGACGACAAGATGGCTCTGAATGATGTGGGTAATTTCCTCCTCATGGACTCCGCGAGAAGGACGATATGATGGCTTATTCTTAGGAACTGCTGTCCAATAGTAGGCCTAGTATTTGCTGTCAATACTACCCGAAAAAATGGAGGACCGAGAAAACTCACATGATCGATAAGCGCGTCGGTAGCAATGTCATCATAGGCAGCAAGCTGAGCGAATGTCAGCTGCCGCCGTTTGGACCCCGGGACCGGCGGACGGGGCATGACGGTGAGCAAGGGATGCGATATTTCCTTCGAATAACTGAGAGGCTGAGTGGAAGGCCGGGTGAAAGGCGGATGAAAGGAATAACCACTGGTCGATGACGACCACTTGTGCCCTAGCAAGGAATGGATGCGCAGCGGCTAGCGTTGCGACTTGAGGTTTTGCGTGACGTGTGGTATGCTGCGCAATGGATGCTTGTTGAGGGGAAGTGAGAGCCCAGAGTTCTGACACTCGAGCAGGATCGATCGCCCTCCTGGAACAAGAGGTCCGAGCGGTGCTCGGTTGAGGAGGACGGAAGGTCAGCCTGCAACACCTGAGCCGGTCGTACAGTCAAGGCTGCTGCGAGAGAGAGATCCTGTAGTAGCCTGCGAATTCTCTATCCGCAATTGAGGTGCAAAACGGAGTTCGAAGGTCCTCCTTCCAATTAAGAGATCATGGAGCAGGTTTGTCGTCATCAGCTTGACACCCGGTGGAGTGCCCCAACGACCTCAGCTGCCTTGAAGATAGGTTAGCAACTGATTTTCCGGCAGAGCGCCTGGAAGGCACAAGTCGACCCTTGGAAGAAGCGTGAAGCCTCCCGGAAGAAGTTGAGGGATTCAGCTACCAAGGAATAAAGATGGCTGGCAATGCAATTGGCGGGAGATTTGATCTGGCACTTTGCATGTGCTCCTTTAAGCTGGAAACGTGGGGCAGCTTGGCAACAAGCCTGGCCAATGATATTCGCTGCGCAAAGTGTCGATTGCACGTTGATTCCCCCTCCATGCTCAGCTCGCCTAGCCTCCTGATCTCCAGGGCAACCAGCTCAGATCTGGGAATCCCTGCAAACCAAACCACTGCGCTATGAGGGTGATGCCACAGAATTCTGCGGATGGATGACATAACTCAGCAGATTATATTGCCTAAACTAGGTAAATTATGACGCCTTCTGTTCGCAAAGATGCGCGGTACTTCTGACCTGTAAAATGCACGGCGGCTGACGTAGGGCCAGGCGCCGGGACAAAGCGCCAAGCCTGCAGCTGACTTCCTGCCCGATTGGTCAATGTGCATGAGCCATCAGTGGTTACGTAATCCACCCAACGGCGCGTTAGCCGCGAACAATTTTCCGGGCCCGGGAATTCGTCGGGACAACCTAGGGCACCTCCGGCTGCAATCAACTTCAACCTTGCGGGTAGACGCCGGCCGGAGTCGGATAGAGGAGCCAAAATGATCCAACTAAAGGTGCGTAGGACACAAACTGTGCTGAGCATATGTCATGAACCTAACAGCAGATCAGACGATGCTTAATTGCATCGACAACTCTGGCGCCGCCATCGTCGAGTGCGCCATGGTTGTCGGCCAGAAGCGACATGCCTCGATCGGTATGTAGAAGCAACCCGCCCAAGCTCGAGTTCTCGCCCGGATGTTAAACCGCCATTCCTTCAGGCGACAGGATAGTGGTGGTGGTACAAAAGCAGAGAGGTGCTCTCGCAGAAGGCATGGCCGCTTCCTCCGGTGCCAAGGTCAAGCGCGGCGACATCCGGCACGCGGTCGTTGTACGGACGAAGCAGAAGGTTCAGCGGCGGGATGGTAGCGTGGTCCGGTTCGATGACAACGCCTGCGTCCTCATCAACAAGGCCGGGGACCCGATCGGCTCGCGAATCAACGGCGTTGTGGGACAGGAGCTGCGGAAGAAGAAGTGGAGTAAGATTTTAAGTATGGCGCCCATGCAAGCATAAGGTGTTGGGGAAATCGGAGGAAAGGCGGTATGGGTGCCGTCCACACCCAAGGGGCCGCTTGATGCTCTGGGGATGATGCGTGTCCTCACGCCTCAACTGGGCTCGTCTGTTGGATCCGACGGAGCACGGAACACGGAGCAAAGACGGGTATGGACGCGAGTGAGTCGCCAAAGGCGTTCCATGCTACACATGTCCAAGTAGGTAGCACCGACACGACTTATGCTCAGCTTCATGTATACTACACTGGCAACCTGTACAAATGCAATATTGGGGGAAAAAAAAATTGGGTAACTCAACGTGTTCCATCCAGCAGTGGTGTGAGACGGGGTTGAGTACCGACTTCATACATGTAATCACCCGAGATACCACGCTTGCGCCTCCAAAAGCCAGATCCCCCCGTAATCTACTGCTCTCCTCCAGCGAACGCCGAGATGCACCGATGTTTCTTATGGACCACGCCATGTCGATATCAAGCCGCAAGTAAAACAAGACTATTGAAAGATGTTGCCGCACTCGCAACAGACGTAGAAGAGTTTCTGGAGAAGTTAGCACTGGATGCTTTTGCCTACAAATTAGGCTGGGGACCTCACCATTCCTGTTTCAGCGCTCCGCTGCTGCGACTGAAAGAAGACCGCCTCCTCATGCTTGCAAGCCGGACAGGTGCGGTTGGCCCTCGGCAGCTAGGGCAGAATGACCGTCAGCTATGTGCTCCTCCACGTTATCGACGTCCATATCTTCTAGCCCTAGAAAGTCTTCTGTCTGTGACATGAACGCAGCAACATCATCAAGGCTGTCCGCCCAGGGAAGAAACTGGACCGTTTTGTCTCCAAGGTCCACGTCTTCGATTTCCAGGTAGTGGATCAGACTCTCTGCAGGTCCGAAAGTGTTGTGGTGGACAGGCAATACTGCAAAGCGCTCGCCGCAGGAGTCGCAACCGATCATGCGACCGCAGCCTAGGCAGGACACATAGGTGAACCCATCTGATGTGCCAGATGGGACTGATGGATGTGACGCGTGCTGTCCAGAACACCTCTGCTTGGAAGAAATAGAAGCACTACCCACCGTCGGATCGCTGCCGACATCTTGCGTCACGCCAGCCGTCTCGCCGGCGGCGTTATTCATAGCATTTCGGAAGATGCAAGATGAGGTGGCCTCCTCCGAAAAGCTGCACGTGCGGCACGTGAACATGAGCTTGCGCTCGACTTCGTCTTCTTTTGGATATAGCATATTGCTGCATTCTGAGCAGAAACGAAACGTTATCTGCTCAGCGGGCTTCTTCCTGTTCCCTGAGGTTGGGTTCGTGGGTGAGGACATCCTCGCTGTGGTCGTTGTTGATATGATTTGCAAGCAGAAGTCGTCGACGTGATGAGCCGGTGGCTATCTCTGATCTGGGGAAAATGCCGTATGCTGGTAGAGGCGAGTAGCCGGCTGCGATCGATTCATATGTTTGATGACTGTTTGCGTGCTGGATTCCACTGGCAGTTGTGGAAGAGAAGTTCACAAATACCTGAAGGTGAGCAAATGCGGCGAGTGTAACGTTATGTGGTCTTGGAGAGGCAGCTGCAAGGCGGCAGCTAATTTGGGTTCCCCACACTTCGCCAGTCGCCACTGGTTCGTAACAAATGGAGTTGATGGACGGTATCTTACGTACGTTTGTTACACAGTGGGACACAATTTCATTGGAGGAGCCGAATAAGAACTGGAAGCAAGACAAAGCGAGATAAGACACCGAACCCAGAAAGCTTTAGTCAGGTACAAAGGACTCGCCAGGTCCTGCCTTCTACCCTACATGTACAATGTGGCAACGTAAAATACGTATGCGCGTGGTGTGATGTATGTAAGAATTGGTCCATGAAGCATACGGTAGTGTAGCTCGTGTAGTAACACGGTGTTCTCCACACATTTGACTACACCCGGACACAAGAGTCAAGACAGACGTGACGTGACCTCCCCGCTGAGCCATGTGACAAGTGACAATGACACAGTGCAGCACGGGTTCCCAACAACTGAAACAGGGATCGGGGCGAACGGTGCCGTGCCCTGGCAACAAGCAATTGCCCCACATCTCCATCAACCACCCCGCCTTTTATGCGGAAGCCTGCCCAAAGCCCCGGGTCAAGATCCACCGTTGTTGCTTGCTGCGAACGTTGTCGCTCACAGTGTAGCAAGAGTCCATAGTCAGACAACCATGGCCGACGTAAGTTGTTGATGATGATGCTCATCTACCCGAAGATGCTGCTCAAATTCCCCATCATTTACCACCACCATCCTTTCTTTCCCCCCCGAATCTCATCGCAGCGCTAACACACGACCCGCCCAGCAACCCGAGACCGGGCTGCCCCCCAACTGGGAGGTGCGGCACAGCCAGTCCAAGAACCTGCCCTACTACTTCAACGCGGTCGAGAAGGTGTCGCGGTGGGAGCCGCCCCCGGAGACGGACACGGAGAAGCTCAAGATCTACATGGCGACCTACCACAGCAACAAGGGCGGGCTGGCGGCGGGCTCGGGCGAGGAGCGGCAGCCGGGCAAGATCCGCGCGGCGCACCTGCTGGTCAAGCATCGCGACAGCCGGCGGCCGTCGAGCTGGCGCGAGAACACCATCACGCGCAGCAAGGAGGAGGCCTACGACATGATCCGCGCGCACGAGCGCCGCATCCAGAGCGGCGAGATCTCGCTCGGCCAGCTGGCGCTCACGGAGTCGGACTGCGTCAGCGCCCGCAAGCAGGGGGATCTGGGCTATTTCGGCCGCGGCGATATGCAGAAGGAGTTTGAGGACGCGGCGTTTGCGCTGAAGCCCGGCGAGATCTCAGGGATTGTGGAGACGGCCAGCGGGTTGCACTTGATTGAGAGGTCGGTCTGCCTTTCCGCCCATGGGATGGTGGACACGTTTGCTGACCGACAGACTGTTGCTCTAGGCTCGAGTGAAGTTCGGAGATATTCGAAGATGAGCCCTGTACTCATGATCCTGATTTGCCGGTCGGTTTTTGTTGGCGAGAGCGACACAATAGCGAAGCCTTCTGCGCCCGTGCCATTTCTTGCCGCGCCCTGATTTCTAATCTCATATGGGCGCACGCTCTGAAAATAGCATGTAAGGCAAGCTAGAGCAATCACAAGCCATTCCATTATCGACTTGAGGTATGCTATGCTACCTGCGGTAGATTACCAACAAGAACCGGAAATGCCCGCCCACGCCGCGAGCGGAAGGGGTATAAGCGCCCTGGGAATTTCATCATAGCCAACCCCCGGAAAGAATACTTCCTTTGCAGCTCTCCTGGAGCATGCCTTCTGAAACGATCGTCCGGGGTTCCAGTCCCCGGATTTTAGGATGTACCCTTCTTCTAATACCACCGAACATTAGGTACCAGCTGTCACTGCTCTTCGTCTCTAGTACATGTACAGGACAAATCCAGACGCGACTCTCCCGTATCTACCTCATGTCGACATACTGTCCACAATCCAGCGCGCGAACGGCGTAATGCTGGAGAAGACCACCGTCATGATGCCCAGCGCAATCATCGACAATGCCGCATGTGGCGCTGCCTCGTTCTGCGTCTCGTAAAGATACGCCGTGCCCATCGCCGCAGCATTAATGCCGACCGTGACGCCTGCCGCGACGAACCGTGGGTCATTTGCTCTATGCCGGGCCTCCTGTGCTGCCTGTCCTCCCATCGCCGTGTCACCACCACCACCATCTTCAACAACTCTTCTCTCCCTCCCAGCAGTCGCAGTCACAGCCGTCGTTGTTGGCCCCCCCTCAACATCCCATGGCCTCAACCGCCATCTGCGCACCGCCCAGCCACAGACCCTGGCCTCCAACCACCTCCCCGCTCCAAACCCGAGACCCATCTGGTACACAATCCCACTGCCCACCACCATCGCCGCGTTGAGCCCGGCATCCCCGCCCAGCATCGCCATGACTGGATTGGCCAGCGCAATGGTCACGCTCCGCGCCGCGAAGGCAAGCGCCCGGCTCGCGGGCGCCACACCCAGCACGTGGCGTGCGAAGAGCGGGCCGCAGACTGTGTTGGCTAACGCAAGCACGGCCGAGACGGTACAGACAGTCAGTCCGCCGCGGGAGAGCACCTGCCCCCGGTACTCGTAGAGCTTGAGCCCCCATGCCACGAGGCCCGAGTTGAGGATCGAGATTGCGATGTCGCCTGCTGCTAGGGTGGGTGGTGCGTCTGAGCCCGTGCCTGTGCTTGTGCCGGGATCTGGAGTTGGAGGAGGAGGAGCAGCTGAGGCGGCGCGGACGATCAGGGTTGACAGCGGGGTGTGAGATTGCAGGGCGCCGAGCATGGCGGGCAAGGGGCGTTTGCTGATGGCTGAGTCTGCGAAGATGTAGGCTATCATGGTAACGGAGGTCCAGAGAACGGCGTTGAAGAGCCCGGAGAGAAGGGTCCGGAGCCATGACGCCAGACGCGGGCTGTGCTTTATGTTCGTCTGGATGGCTAGAGTTGTGAGCCATACGGAGAGGAGGAGGAAGGTGGCGAGGATGACATCACTCTCGGCTCTGTAGCGGAGTGGAAGGCCGAGGGTGAAAGTGAAGAGCCAGCAGAGGAGGAGAACTGGGTTGCGGAAGGCCCAGCTGCGAAGGGAATGCCAATACGACGCTCTGTGTATCCCCACCGGGGTGTTCTCGACTAGTTGCTGGGCACGCTCATCGCCTTCAAAGGATGATTCCCCCAAGGGGTCGGAGCCAACCGTCACGGAACTGTCTGCGGGAGAAGTATTGTGGAGCGATTGAAACCGCTTGCTTAGTTTCGGTGTCCTCCGCGCCTCGCCATCTTCGACGTCGGTCTCTCTGTCGACCCAGAATTGTTTGTCGCAGCGAACCAGGAGGCACTGGACTGGAAAGGCCAGGAAGTAGGCCGAAACGGTGTTGAATAGCCCCGTTAGTACTTCGCTCCGTCAGCCAGACTCCTCAGCGGGTAAGCATGTACAGAGTTCGCTTACCGAAGCCGACAATGATCATCACAATGCTGCGGGTATCTGACAGAGGGCCCTGGCAGAGCATGACGACAGGAACGGTAAAGCCAATGGACATGTGGCGATTCAGCAGCTCCGTCTGTTCCGGTCAGCACGAGCAACCGCCATGGCCAGTCTCACACCAGGATACTCACAGCACGTTTTAACCGCTTGTGATAGAAGTCCTCGACTCGTGGAATGGCACACCCAGCCATCCAGAACAGCACAAACACCCCAGTCATGGCGAGGATGGGCGCGGGGAAGTCCGACTGCTCCTGGTCTAGCCCCAGTTGTATGCCTGCTATCAACAATTGGGCGAGAAGGCCCATGAATACCGCGAGCAGTCCATCCTGGAGCCTTTGCAGCAAGTCCAGGCGCACTTGGCACACCGGAGATGGCCGGGTGATGGCCTCCAAGTCCGTGCCGGCCGAGAAGCGCACGGGCGTCGGTGAAGCCATCTCCGTCGGGCACCGGGACCACGGCACCGGCTTTCGGAGAATATGAGCTGTGTGGGCCGGAAAAGGAGTGGACAACAGATTGTTTGCTTCTCACACAGAGGGACACATGTCCGGTAGTGAGACATGGCCTTGGATGAAACCTGGGAGCAAGAGGGGGGACGGCGACAGTTGCACTTAAAGAGTGACAGCATCGGCAAGCACTCGTGGTGTCTGGGACACGCACCGCAGCCGACCTCCCGTTTGTATCCCTCGGGGAACATGTTCACCCAGCCGTCTTTGACGGTGAAGCCTGAGATGGATGGATGTCCATGGAACCAATCTCGCCTAGAGCTGACCTGCTCCGGGACGAACGCTGTGACATAGACGATCGGAAGGTGTTCTTTCTTTCGTCGTGGATATGGAGACGCCCGGGTTCCGGCGCGCCACTGGGGGAGCCGACAGTTCACCGCCATCGAACGAATAAGGTGTGCGAATCAAGGTGTCGCAGGAGGCTGTGTTTGCCGGAAGGGCTCACGACATGTCCTTAGTAACGTCTGAGGCGACACGTCGACATGTCGGTGTAGACTGTCCATTGTCGGAGGAGGAGTAGCCCGGTGGGCCGTGGGCGTACGCTCCCGCCGCTCGCGATTAGTTGGTTGCAGACATGGGCCAAACAAGGAGTATGTACACGAAGCCCTGGACAACGCACTGCAGAGCGCGAGTCGGCGTGTTTGTGGCCTGCCGGGCCAACGGGACGGGGAGACGGAAGGCCCCGAACCCCCAACACGTCTCAATCTCCCATGGAACTCAAACTGGTGTGTACTAGTACTGGCCCGACAACGCGCTGCTGGTCTCACGGCCCGAGGATGGCCAGGACTGGCTCAGCTCAAGCATTCAATCAGGAACCTGCCTTGCCTTGTCTCATATGTCAGTCAGTGACGGGCATGACCCACTCAAGCTCCGGCAGCTGAGCCGAACGGTCATGCCTGTCGGCACATCAACGCCACTGCGGCGCCCCCGCAAACGGGCGCCGCCCTTTCCACGACTGATGTGCTAAAGGCTCAAGCCACACCGCAAGATGCGGGTGTAGGCCAGCCGTTCGTGCGATGGCTCATGCCAGATCAGCCAAGCGCGCCGCCGCTCAACAGCCGCCACCATACCCTCATTCGCGGCTTTCAGGCTGTCCGTGTGGACTCACGGTGTGCCAAGTCGCTTGATCAGGAAGCTCGGACTGCAAACCAAGGTGTTAAACCCGATGTAGAGCGGTCACAAACGAAAAATCCGGGCTAAAGGCCAACCGGCGCTGCAGCCGTAAGCAGTGCCAGTGTGGAAAGCCGCAAGGCCCCGACGTGTGGTTGCGGATATGCACCTTGCCGCATTGCAACACCGGTTGGCTGCGGCTCGAGCCGCGCTTTGGCCCTAGTTTGTTGTCGTGGCATTCCGTACCGTTTTGTGGCGCACAAAGCAGGGCTGGTAGCTGGTTTCGTAAGTCGAGGGCCGTTCGTGAGGGACATCTAGGAGAATATCCACGTTTCGCAAACCGTTGGACGCCGACATGTCTTGCACGCTGTGCTTGTGCCCCTCGTGAACTTAATTTTGACGAAGCCTTTCAGGAGTTGAGCATCAGATATCTGAAACGGAGTCATGCCTTGTACTGGTGAGCTTCTTGCTTGGGACCTTTCCAGGTGAGAAACCTCGAATGCCTCCCTCAATCATCAAAGACACTGCAGGCAGGCTCTGGGGTGACCTCTCACAAGAGGCCTATCGCCCTTCAATCACCGCGGAACCCGATGCTGCGACCCATCATTGTTGGGAAGGTTAGAACACAAAGGCGAAGTTTTAGACTGGTTGGGAGACAGCAACCTTCAGCGTTTGCCAAAGTTGGTATATCGTACGGATGTACTGGCAACTGATATCTCAGCTTGGTGTTCTCGCCGGTCAGTTTCAGCCGTCACCCGTTCGAATTGGCCTGTGAAAGGCTGGGACCAGCAGCCGGCACAGGGCTTGATGGGAATGTCACTTGACGCAGTCGACGTTCGTTGGCATATACGGGCGTCGCCGGAGAAAGCTCATATGCGGCTGGGATACTTTGGAGGTACTCGATGGAGTATTGTGCTTCGCATTCCGCCACTGAGAAAGGCTGCGAACAGAACCGCGAGGCCGCATTTTCGAACTCCACTAGCTTTGTGAATTACCAGATCCTCGAAGCCCCTGACAAGAATTGCCATTGAGACTGCCTATCGCGATATACGGCGGATTTTCCTGATACCAAGAGGAAAAGTGAGGACAGCCGTGGTTTGGAATTGAGTGACCGCGGGCGTCGATCCGCAATGACAAGGCAAACTAGGGTAGAATGACTCGCAGGGATCCATTCGAGATCCAATAAACACTGGCTGGTCAATTCGAAAGACTGCATCTAACTCGTCAGCATGGAACTGCCAGCGGTTGTCGCCTACGGACGTAACGGAATGAAGGGACAAGGCAAGCTTTCATGGTGCTGCTGTTGTGGCAGGAAGCAACCCGCGTTCGGGTCATCAATGATCGGTTAACACTGAGACTTGGCGCAAGCTGGGGCCACAATGCGTTCATAGCTCGTATTTAGCGCGGGGCAGTTGTGCAGATCATCAGGGGGTCAAAACAAAAAAAAGGTTCGGTTAAACCCACAGTGATATTCCACGCCCAAGTCACATGGTCCTCAAGTCGGTATCAATTCGGAAGCTGTTCCTTCGCGCGACAAGCCAATTCCGGCTTGATGTTGTGAACCGTCCCCCTTCGAAATAGAAATGGATGCAGAGGCGTTGATCAAAACCCTACGGGCGTACGACCCGTCTTTCGACGCAGCGGCGGTGAGGGCAGTTCTCGGGGACCCAAAGTCGTCCGAGCTTAGACGCTGGGCGGCTGTTCACCTCACCCCGGACACGCTGCTCACGGTGGACGAGCTGAGCCAGTAGGACCACATCCCTCCCATGCCATGCCATTGGTGTTGGACCTGACCACTCACTCACTGCCAATCAGATATGCTGTCCTCGAGGAGTCAGGTCGGGCCGAGAAGCTCGCCATGTCGTCCGACCTCACCACAGCTCGTGTTTTGAGCGACCATGAGATCAAGGACGCCATCGACGAACTCAACCGTTCCACGCAGGCCATCAGGCGACATACCGAGACGCTCAAGCAGCAGCAACAGGCTCTTGGCCGTCTTGTGAACGCCAACCGCCAGGGCGCCGAGGAGAGGCTGGCTCTGGAAGAAGGGCAGACTCGTAAATGGGAGGCCCAGTGTAAGGATCTTGCATTCAGGGTGTGTACCGACGAACCTGGCCACTTCAGCAAGTCATGCCACTGACAAGGGCGCACAGGCAGACGACTTGACAGAATCCCTGCACTCCCGTGTCCATGAATTGGAGCAGCGGAGCACCGAGGCTGGTCCGGCAACCCAACAGCTGGTGGACTCCTTGTTGTGCTCAGACGACAAGCTCCTATCCAGTCTCCAAAAGCTGGGATGGGAGCTGCAAACAGAAGACACCGAAGAACAAGAGGATGTTGCCGCGCTGCGCGAGGCGTGTGCCAGGTACGCTACGCTGCCCCCATTTCGAGGGTGAGAAACTCATATCACGGCAGGTTGATAAAGTTCACGGTGGAGGGAATCCGCACGAAACTAGACCGCATCTATCTGGAGTCCATCGAGCAGTCCGTCCAGTCAAGGCCGAGCAACCGAGTCTCGGCCGACGAGGTGTCTGCGCTGCAACAGGAACTTGAATCCCTCTACGCCGAGATCCTCCCGGTCGCACAGATGTCTACCGAACAGCAGTTCCTGGAGCCGGCGCTGCAGAGCCTTGCCGCAAAGAACGGCCAGGGCCTGGCCAGGTCTGCTCAAGCGACCAGCTATGTGAGTAGAACAACGTGCTGGGATTCTCGCCGGTGCTGACGTAGTGCAGATTCACGAGTGCCTCGACTATCTCCTTGATCGCGCACGAGATCTGATGACTCGGCTGGAGGTTTTCCAGGAGTATCAACGTGCGGTCGGTGCTGTCGTCGACATTGCCAAGCAAGAACTGCTTCCGGACGCTGCCGCCGCATCCCCCACAAAGCAAAAGAGCCTCAAGGACCAGGAGCCGGTTTCTCCTATTCGCCCTCGGCCAAAGCAGCGACCGAGGCACTCGTCCGGGGCTCCTGAACTTGGGGCCGAACCACCACTGGAGGAGATTCTACGCGCAGTTGCCGTCAGTCTTCCACACGATGAAGAGGCGCCTCCTGATGTGCGAGCACAAGTGAATGAGCTGGTATCGACACTCCACAGCCGTCAGGCAAAGGTACAAGACATTGCGCGTAATGTCCAGGAGACATTCGAGAGCGCAGCAGCAAGGCAAATCGCCGACGGGAAACTGGCAATTCAGTTGGTCCGCGACTCCATCCTGGCCGAGAGCCCGTTTGGCGAGGTTCGACTCGTGGATCCGGAGATCGAAGGGTCACTCACCGTGCTCTCCCAGGAGCTGGCGAATATTGACGACAAGCTGAAAGAGACTGACACCAGTGTTGCGAAATTGCGAGGCAGGAATGCAAAGAGAGACGAACTCATTAGCCGCTGGGGTTCATGAACGCATTCCACAGCTTCGAGGTATGTGGGCCATAATTAAGGTATCTTGTCGCAGTTGTTGGCCCACGAGCATGGATTGATCCAGACCAATACAGGCAACGGTACTCCGCCGATATGCTTGGCGCCAATGGCTTGGAGGATGACATCACGACGATGATGGCACCCCACGAATACATGTATAGAAGACTAAACCCGACACAGCTTGTTAACCTAACCGCTTTCTCTGCAAAGGACACTACCGTCTACCGAGCACTCCGGTTCGCACACCTCCCAGCTACAGCACATCATGGATAAAGTCAAGGGCACGATGAAGAAGGGGCTCGAGAAGGTTACCAACATGGACCAGGAGCGTAAGCTGTTGTCCGCTCTTCCCTACTTCCCGGAGACCCCGAAATACTCAAGTCTGTTCCTCTAGCCATACAGGAAGACAGGAAAGACACGCTTGACGCAACCTGGCCCAGCCGCGAGCAGCACAAGAGCATGACAGCCGGGCCCGATCCCAATCTGGCCAGGGCATCGCACACTGGTGACCCCACCGGGCTGACGGGAAAGAACTCGATGGGACAGCCGACAAACAAGCCTTGAGGCTTTGGTAGAGCTGAGAATGTCGGAGGTATTGTTCGAGGGAGGGATGGCCGAGGGGAATAAGTATCGGCGTACATCAGTGGGGAAAGTTCAGGAGGCGAAGAGTGTGTGATGGACAACATCGGAAGAGTCGATCTGTGGACTTTCGACATGTAAATTGCGATGAAGTTGTTGCCGGGGCTTTACAATCCATTCATTTCCTGCCACCTTTTAGAGCTTTCGTCGTGAATTGCTACCAGCTCTCTTACATCGGTATGTGTCTCAAAGTGGCCTGATTCCGCGTCGAGGTCCTAGTAGAGGCCTGAGTGCTTAGGGTTATGTGGGACGGTGCAGTGAGAGACAAATGGAAATACTGGAAACTTGAGCTTTGCCGACACGACTTGTATCAGACTCACATAAGGAAGACCCAACCCACCTGCGTCCGCCTCCGGCCCCCTGTCGAGATTGAGTCCATGCAAGGGACTTGCAGAGCCCGCACTCCACTGCAAGTTCTGCAACCCTGACAGTCTGACTTCCCAGGGGCTCGTCATATGGGCAGCTTACACCAGACAACACCGGCTGATTATCCGAATACCGCACACTATCTCTGTTCAGCTGTCCAGAACATAGAATGCGCGCAGTTCCTCTGGATATTGAGTGCTTCGGACCTCGAATACCTGTGCTAGAAGTAGGCACATTTCTACCCGGATAAAAGCATTGACTCCTAAGTAACCGTACTCAACTCGATGGCTACCTCCCGCTAGGTACAGATAGTGACCGAGCCAAGGCTTACCTATAATGATATAAACTTCACAGGAGCTTACTATCACTGTGACACTGGCAGAGAAAGATGCCGCAAGCGACCAGTGACTTCACGCTGTTCTCTATTGTAAGGTAAGGTATGTAGCCATGCTCTGATTTACCCCATCCGCCCCATAATGCTCCATTGCTCCTTCGAATCGCGATACCTATCCTCGGTGCCCTGTTTGGGCCATTCAGGAGGCCTTGGCCTTCATGCTGTCAAACTGTCGATCGTGGCTACACAAACCAAAGGGAGAAACGAGTCCACCATCAGCATACAACAACCTCGAAAGAAGAAAATGATTCAAGCAGACAAGAAGAAAACACACTGTACATTGTACATTGTACAACTGTACCTTGTACATGTTCCTAGCGCTGTCATGCCAATGCAACCCGACGCCAAGGAGTACAGTACCATGTATCGTACAAACAGAGACCAATCCAGGGGGGTTTATCGCATGGTTAGGGGGAGCATTGGGGTGGTGGGATGGATGCGTATAAGGTAAGGTAAGGGTGAGGGGGGCGCGGGTGTTGCTGTTATTCCTCGTACCTTCCCCCCGTCAAGACGGCCGGCGCGCTCTTCTCGAGCTTCTCCTTAAGGAACTCGTACACGGTAAAAGTGACGGCCTGGCCAGGTGCGACGCGCATTATCCTGGGCGTGATGCCCTTGTAGAAGGCGTGGAAGCCCTCTTGTCTGTTTACCCAGCTCCGTTAGGACGTCGCGCGCAAACTAGAAGGGTACATTACATGTACAAAATGAAGGGACAGGGGAAAACTGGGAGGAGGAAAGGTTAACGCACTTGAACATGTCTCCGGCGATCCTGCTGATCCGCTGCAGCGCCGTAGTGCCCACCTCGGCCGGCATCTTCTGCAGTCGCGTCTTGATCGTGTCGATCGGCGCATTGCTGAGCGGGCCCATGGCGCCGCTCACCAGCCCGATCAGCGTGGTCTGGTAGCTGGGGAGGTTGCCGCCTTGGTACTCGGGCTGCCATTGGTAGAGCCAGTTCTTGAAGTAGGTGTAAGCGGTGAAGTTGACGGCCTGGTTGCTACCTTGGCGTAGAGCCGTCAGGGAGACACCGCGGTACAAGGCACCGGCGCCCTCCTCTTTTACAATGGTGTAGAGAGCATGGGCAGCGTTGCGGTACTTGGGTATGTCGAGCGGGTCGGCCATGCTGTGGTGCTGCGCCTGCAGCCGGATCTTGACCACCTCCATGGGGGTGACGACGGCAACGGCCTCGGTGACGCCCGCGGCGAGGCCGGCGAAGAAGAGGCCCTGTCCCGAGATCATCTCGGTCTCCTTGTTCATGAGCAGCTGTTTATACCACTCGAACGAAGTGAAACGGATGGCCATCTTCGGGATGATGCCCGTCAGGACCGCCCCGAGACCCTTGTACAAGCCGAGAGGCGTCTCCTTGCGCACGATCTCAACGCCGGTTCGGATGAAGCCCCGTTTGGGCATGCCTGGCTGCCGCCCGCGCCGTGAAAGCTGCATGCGCACCTTAATGGTATCTGGTCACCCACATGACGACCCACGGTCAGAACGTTCCCTGGCACAACTGAAGCTAGGATCGACGTACCGAGAGGATGACACACCAATGCCTCCATCATACCAGCACCTCCGCCAGCTGAGAACGACCAGATGTGTTAGTATGACGCATACTGCTGCGCAAGCAAGGCATCCTCCTGGAGCTGGGGCTCACCGATCAAGTTTGTCGCCGCTGATGGCGGCTTCTTGCCGTCCCTGGTGACTTTTGTCGCCATAGCTGCCGCTTGTTTTGCCTCTGTCCTGACTCTTTCCCTCTATAGAAGTCCTCCTTAAGAGGACTCGCAGGCTCAACGGAGCGTCCTCCGAGATATTGCCGTGCCGAGCGCCAAGCCCGTGTTTCCGAGTCCCGAGCAAGAGGTTGTCGCCTCAAGTTCTGTTTCACTATACAGCAATTCCACTGTGGGCGCTGGATATCAAGTCCTGAAGTGCAGGAACGCGGCTATCGTCCGTTTGTCGAGGTGAGATCGAGACGACAACTGAGCACGTGAATCAAGCGTCACCAGTAGATATGACGATGGTGAGACAATCAGGGGTCTACTTCCGCAATTGGAATGGGTCTCAAGTGAGCAAAGGAGAAAGGGGACTAGGGGTATCACCAGAGAGGAGACAAAGGCCCAGACGGAGAAGACTTGTGTCGTAAAGGATTGCGGGAGCCGTCCAGATCAAATAAGGCCTTTGAGTCACAGCAGATCGGGTGCTAGATCGGAGAAGGGGCCGAGCCAACCTGGATATGAGACAGCAAAGTAATGTAGACGGGGCGCTTGCCCAGATGTAGATCCAATAAGACGAAACCCGACCTAGAACCGGCGCCGGGAGAGCAACGGGAAGTTGAAGTATCCACGTTGTCGGTTCTGAGTCAAGGGAGGACTAACCCAGGTGGGTAACTAACCCTTCGTCCGAGGCTGAAGGAAACCCCATATAATCGACCTACCCGGAAGAAATAGAGAAAGCCTGTGACACTACTGTGGTTAGAGGTCATAGAACGGATCTGCAAGGGCCATGACGGGATGTGACGGATGGCTCAACCGCTGCGTTTCGGACACAAGGGTTGTTGCGCTGAGATAGAGGCGGGTTCTTGGTTGCTCTGGGTCCTGACGGACCGTCCATCGGTGCAGCGGAGAAGTGCCCCTCAGGTCCCGGACTTGGTGGCAGCTGTCTGGGGCGGTTTGACAGCTTCTGTCCGTTTCGCTCGTCCATTTTCTAAGTTGCTCTGTACCGTAATAAATGTCCCTGAATACGCGGTTCGAAACCGTAGATGGGCATTCGTGATGTATGCCCAGGGCGCATATTGCTGTTCTGGCTTGTGATCAGGTCGGTGACGTAGGGATAACCGACTCCAGGCCGAGCTTGTGATTCTGCGGGGAAGCTGAGGGGCAGAGGGCCCACTAATAGCCGCATGGCCGGACGCTTCCGGGATCACGCCCCCAGCGCCGCAAACAGTCAATGCCGAGGTCCCTTTGCGTCTGCCGAACGTTCAACGTGTGCCGGGGCTATCGGCAACGGGAGAATTGAACGGATTGACCAGATGTGTACTCAGAGAGCAGAAAGGAAGACAAGATTGGACTCGGTGTACAACAGAGAATGGCACGTCTGTTACAATGATGTCCAACAAGAATAAACAGGTACCTATATACTTTGAGCAGAAAGGGTATTAACCATGCACCCCAGAGAACCATCTACCGACCCGTGTTTGGCGCCTTCGCCTATGCCTTTTATAAACCTCCCTCGGCAGATGCACAGATGTTGAACAGAGGCGCCTCGCCTCAAAATCACGTCCCAGTAACCAGCGCGCAAAACCCCCAAACCGGATTTCCGAGATTTCCAGTAGCCCCGAGAGAACAGAGAGAATTAACAGAGAAGGAAGCAGGGAGAACAATACCAGGTTCGTCTGGCAGTCGTCTCGCAGCATGTCCATGGATGTGACACCCAGCGGTTTAGCTTGGGGTCGGTGTGCTGGCATCCAGGGAGCCATTCCCGCGCCCACTCCCAATGTCCTTGAATGAGTAAATTCGGACTTCGCCATCCTCGCTGCCGCTTGCCATCCGGCTGTCGCTTAGACCGACGCAGGTTACCGGACCGCGGTGACCGACAAACGTGGCGTCGCACTTCCCGGCGCGCGGCTCCCAGCATTTGACCATGCCATCGTTAGCGCCGCTGATCACGCGTATGGTGTCACCGGCAAGCGACCAAACACCCTCGAGATGACCAAACATGGTTTTGAGGCACCTGCCGGTGGCGCTGTCCCAGAGACGGATGGTGCTATCGAGGCCAGCGGACAGGAAGTAGCGAGGGGGGAGAGGGCGAGACGGGTCTGATGCAAACGAAGGACCGTACATCAAGCGAATCTCTTCATCACAAGATGGCGAACTGCTGCAGCGTTCTGCGTGCATGAACGACACCGTTGCGGCACCGTCACCTCCGCTTGCGACTGAGTGGGTGTCGCTGTTATCGCCAGACCCGCTGCTGCCGGTCAGCAGCTCATCGTCCGGTTCATACTCCGGCGGGAGCAGCAGCACTTGTTGGACATGGCCAACGTGACCTTCGTAGGTGCGAATCACCTGCTTCGTGTCGAGATCCCAGAGCTTGATCGTCGTGTCGTCCGAAGATGACATGACGGTTCTACTGCTGATGTCGAGACGAGTGCAGTTGACCCAATCAGTGTGGCCTTTGAGGCAAAACGCCTCCTTCGAGTTAAAGTCAAAGATCTTGACGCTCTTGTCGATCGAGCCACTAGCAAGAAGCTGAGCGTCAAAGTGTACGCTAACCACACCATCGGTATGGCCTTGCAGCGTCGAGATACACTCCCCCGTGTGCCAATTCCAAATCTTAATCGTGTCTACATCAGGTTAGCGGAACCGTCCTAGCCCGTATGTCAGAAGTTGAACTTACTGTCCAGGCTCCCGCTGATCAGTTTGGACTCGTCGAATTGTAAGGCGCGGATGCCCCGTGTATGGCCCTGGAGCGTACGGATCTCCTCGCCGGTCTCGATATTCCCTGCGTACCCCGGGTCAGCTTCGGGCCGCTAAGTTAAACTGAATCCTGCAGGAGTGGACCTACAGATTTTGATGGTGGCATCATATGAACCAGTAGCCAAGATATTGTCGTCCAGTTGAAGACACGTCACGCCGTTAGTGTGTCCTTTTAGGGTCTTGACCGAGCAACGGCCATACTTCCAGTTGTAGCCAACCTAGCAATATTGTCAGTCTCCGTGGGATTCTTCAGTTACAGGCGGATGGTATGCTCACCTGCCATCGGTCTCTGTACACGGCCTTCCAGCTCCGAGTCTTGGGCTCCTGTTCCGGTTGCTTCTCGACGCAGCGCCGTTTGTTTTCTGGCTCATCTGTGGATTCCGCTTGCCGTTTCGCTGACGGCAGCGACCCTTGTGCGTCGGAGCGCGAGTAAGAGTCGTCCAGCTCCTGTATCCTTCCGTTGGAGTTGTCCTTGGCAAGTTGGCGCGCGCGCGTGTAGTTCCGTAGCTTCTTCCTCTCCAGCAAAGGCAAGCCCCATCCGCACTTTGTGCACTTCCTGTTCACATGTTGCTCGCACATCCGGACCCAGACAGCATCGTCATCCGCCAGCATGCGCCACCTCTGGCTGACTTGGGCGGCCTTCGTCAGGCTCACTGTGTCGAGATAACAGAGAATCTTCTGGGCGAGCTCGACTGGTAATGCGGTGATGAAATCGATCTTTAGAGCCTCACTGACTTCGCGAGAAACAAGTGAGAGCTGAGGAAAGCAGAGCTGTGAGAGGACTCCCTGCAACATGAGCTCCCGATGGCGTGCTGGCGCGGCGGAGAAGAGTGACCACACGTGAGTGATAGCTTGTTGGTCCTAGAGACAGGTCAACACCCTCCCTGTCTCGACATCCACGGGGCACTTACCGCTGGAGTGAGCTTGTCCAACTCCCGTTGAATCATGACCATCTTAGCCTCGTCCGCAGCTCTTCTACATTTTGAATCGGGCCGGTGCCGATAACAGTACTTTGTGTTTGGATCTTTCTCCCGTGCTGTCTGCTCGTTGTTCGGTTTCCCAATCGGCGCATACAGACTAGGGATATGCTCCTTCAGGAAAGGCGTAACCGTCTTCCCGATCAAGGACGACGACATGGTGGTCATGCTGTCTCGCGGGCGCGACCGTTCTTCCTCCTCTGGGCGCAGTCGATCGCAGCTCTTACCCGTATCTACCCTTCTGGCCTCGCTCTCGTCTCCTCTCTCAAGACTCGGGGTTCTTGTATGTCGAGGTGTAGAACGGTATGTCAGAAAAGCCCCGTCAGCGTCATCGGTCGGAAAATCGATGCCATTTCGGCTCGGGAGCGGCGGATGCCCGTTTGGTGTGGTGGGAGATTGCAAGCGCTCCATGGGGAAAAGTCAGTTGGGAACGCAAGCAAACAGGCGTCTTGCGTTGCTGCCAGATAAATGGCCCGTGCCAGCATTGGGCTCGTGTAACTCGCGCCCGTCAGGGTGAGTCGATGGCGTGCTGTCTCGGATTGCTGGCGAGAGGTCGACCTTCCACGGCTTCCTTGGCGAGTATCGGGGCGGTCAAGCGGCCGGGTAAGTGAGAAACAGGCGGCACGGCGGCACGCAATGCACTGCCGCTGCTTCGCAATCAGGAAGCCACAGGACCAGGGTGTCGAGGCGTATACAGTGCCGCAAATGCAATGCTCATCGAGGGCGGCTGGCTATGCTGGAGTATCACCACCACCAAGGCACTACTATCTTCGATCTGTCACGCGAGGTGCCGGTCGCTTGGCCTTGAATTGATGCCCAATTCCGTCTTATGTATTGTTGGCAAACGCGAGAGCCGCTGCGATACTGCGGGGGAGGGGCCGCAAAAGGATCGTTAAGTGCTGCCAGGTGTTGACGCAGAGCGGGTAGTGGTGTAAGAGGCGGGAAGGATGGCGAAATCGCATGGTGGAGCTGCTGAGCTGCTTTGCACCAGAAATTGCGTTATCGTCAGTCATGTGGCCCGTGCGCAGCTCCCAAACCGCCGGCTTGGGTGCGGGGAGCGAGCTCCGCCTGAACTTTTAGCGTTGCCCGGTTCGAACTTCCATGGACCCCTGGGAATCTCTCACGTGAGGACTTCAACAACAAAGCGCAGCTGCACAAACTCCAAAAACAAACTCTGAGTACCCGAATCTACTCGGCTGGATACGAGCCAGCACAGGTCATTCGATGTACTGGCACCCCTAGCAATGGTCCGGCAGTTATGCTCTACGAAGGCGCATTTTGGACTCCTGGCCATCAAGGTTGCAGGCGGATAAGCGAACGCCCGGGGTCGAGGCCCTTCGCACTTCGCAGAAACCTGTCAGTCTCTACAGTTCATCTCGAGAACTTTTTACCCCTGGCTCTGGGCTCCAAACACAGAGCTTGTTCGTCGTGATTTACTCCTTGACTGAAGTACCTAGATTGGGAGCGATCTTATGACTTGTGCCGTCAATGTTTTCTTTATTGCGTACAATTGCGCCATTCTCCAGTATCAGAGACGAATGTGTCAACCCAAAGGGTCGGTCACGATGGTATGTATATCCAGTACATGCTAAAGATAGTAGATGGGGGAAACGACAAGAAAGTCCTGGCATGAGAGTCCCGTGTTCTATACACAATTCGTCCGCCATACCTATCGATTATGAATCGTTCTGATAGACAAGATGTCTTCTCAGGGTTTCTGCCTTCCTACAACCCTGCAACTCCAAGTGATAAGAGACGTGTCCTACCAGTGTGCTGGATGAATCAGTAACGTTCAACTAGACTTTGTCTTTCTCTTACCCTGTCGTACCCTCCTGGTCTATCAGGAATATTGCCTCGAAGATAAGGGACGCTTTGTATAATACCGTGGGCACGCGAGACCACTCCACTGACCCCCTTTGGAACCGTGAGATATAGGGTCGGTGAGAGTAAAGCGCAAACGATGCCACTCCCGAGGAAGAACCAGCTGGAGAACCACGGTTGCCTTGGAACGGTCCCGGATCCGTGCAGCGAGACAACGATTGGTATTATGCTGGGCCAACCGGAGAAGACCGGACTGGAGCTGGAGCCAAAATCGTTATCGTCGAAGGAACAGATCCTGTGATCCCGCTTTGTCCATGCGAAGCCGGTAATGCACTCAGCTGCGATGCTGAGTAGAACAACGAGCGTGAAGATGGTGGGATCATACTACAAATGTAGAGTCAGTAATCCGGTCCCTATGTAAAGAGGTAAACAAAGTCGTCCGGGACGACCATGCTTTAGTCGTAACGTAGTAAGAGTCTCGGGCTCCCCGTCATCCTCCGGGGTGGTCGGGACCATTCCATCAAGATTCTTCTACGGCCCTTTCAGGCGAATAGCCGCCTTGAACATCTACAAACTTTCGCTCCTGAGCTGGGCGCCCTGCTGGACGATCACCAAAACTGCTTGGCTGAACAGGCATCAGTGCTGAACATGGAGCTACTTTTAATACGCGCCTTGTCTTGAGAAATCTACACGGTCTTACAATAAGTCGTCCAGTTCGGTAGAAAACGAACCTCTCTCTCTCGGATCCAATAAAGACCTCTCCATGGATCCCGTCCAGGAGCCGATCGACGACCGCGAGCTTCTGGATTAGGTTCTCTACCATAGCCAAGCGATCCTACTCATACGTGTTCGCAGTGGTATCCGTGGCATTGAGCGCCTTTTGCCATACCAACGAGCCCGCCGGCTTCACCTGCCTTAGCCAAAGCCGCCACGCTCCTCTCCGGGTCCCGGGTCCGATCAGTGTTCTAGAAGGTCGCGCAGGATCCCGAGACAGACATGAGCCCCAGATTCCGTCCAGCTCCGGCAACCTCACCAAGTAAGCGCGGACTTCCTCAACGCTGTAGTCAGCTTCTGGTACAGGCTTTGGGCCGTAGTGAGGAAATCGAACTCGTCAGTCCGTGACGGGGAATATGTGTTTGATTAGCCGCTCCTGACCTGTGCTCCCCGGGCGCATTTGGCCAGCAGGTTATACGGTGTCTCGAAGCGCCTGAGGCATGTCGACAATTGTCTCTTGGGCCCATGCTCGTCACGTCCTGTCCTCCGAGCCTGCTGACGTGTCTCTGGACTCAGTAGCCGAATTCATTGTCTTCGCGCTGCCGTTCTACGGCCCACCGTCGTTCCTGTTCACTCTGCAGGAATTCAGCTGATCTCTGGAACCTGGAGAGCCTGGCAGATTTAATTACTTATCGATCTCCCCTGCCGCCTGCAGACAGTGCAGAGTGGCTAATCGTTACGGGAAGCTTGTTTCGCCCCATCCCAAACTTCATTTCCAAGCGGCGTGTTCAACACCCCCTCTCAGAGCTGAGAGCTGTGGCGCACACCGGCGCTATCGATTGGCTTCAGCTCTTGACGCACGTCGTCGATTCACTATTGCAGCTATTGCAGATATAAACGTCGATCTATGGACAACCACGTTCAGACTTCGATAATGGGGCTTGTTGTAGTTTACGATCGAGCCAGGGCTTTTATTCACCGCCGTCGAGTCCTGAAAGCCACACCTGTTGCGCTCATGCACAGTAATTTGGGCCAAGGAAGCGCTATGTCGAGAGTCGACGTTCCATCAGGTCCGACCCAATCGTCCACGGCCAGCTGCACAATATGATATATCCCGCGCCAAGAGTGCTGAAAAGGGTAGGCCAAGTCCTTGACTGGGCATGGGGATGCGTGTGCATACACCTACATCGACACTACTATGTTGCGTTTGCCATGCAGCAATCATTGGCGCAGGTTGCGCCATTGTTGCGTGCGGCGTGGTAGAGCCATCGTTGCTGTGGGTTTAAGCTCATGAAAACACCTTAAATGCGGCCATGATCCTCCTACGTAGGGAGGTATGTGAGTGGGTAGTCCGAAGAGACGGATTCCTTGCTTCGGGTGTAGGTAACCGGATAGTCGGAAGAGCACTGCCTTTGTCAACAGATCATCCGCCGGCTTGAGCTGCTCTATTGAGACCCCAAGCCACCCTCTTCGACGCCAATGAAGCTATCGGTCCTCTCACTGGCCACCGCGGCGGCGGTCGTCAATGCAGCATACTCAGGGGACATTGTTTACTATTGGTAAGTCAATGCAATGCTCCAGTCGCCTAGCTGGGCCCCGTTGTATGCTACTAAACAACCAATCAGGGTGGACCAGTCCGCGAGCTTCGTCAACGGCACTATCATTGGAGGACTGCAGTCGCCTCCTTCTGCGTGGGCCCAGGCCATCGTGCAAGCAGCAGTGTACAAGGCTGCGGTCGAGTCGAGACAGGAAAGCCTCGAGTTTCAACAGCTAGCTGTCTCTCACGCCGCCCACAATTCACTTCTCTGGGTATTCCACGGAAGCCGGCTATACAACGCCGTGGATGCCGCCTTGCGGGCTGTCATCCCGGCCATCGGACTGGACCCGGGCTCAACCAAAGGCAAGAAGGCGGCCAGAGTCGGCCAGGAGGCAGCCGCGAAGGTCGCCAGTGCCCGCGCCGATGACAAGCTTACAAACTTCGTCGACTTCACTTACGGTCCCCGCGAACCCGGCGTCTATCAGCAGACGCCGGGCTCTAACCCTCTTCCCGACACTCCGCAGGCGAGGTTCGTGGCCCCGTTCGCGGGCCTGGGTGACATCTCCCGCTTCAGGGCTCCTCCGCCACCGAAGACCAACTCCAAGGAATACGAGGCCGACGCGCTGTACGTCAAGGAACAGGGTTCACTCAACTCGACCGTCAGAAGCGCCTATGACACCGACACGGCCTACTTCTGGCGCGAGTCCTCCATTACGTGAGCCTTTTGACCTTTCTCCTCCCGCCTTCTCTCTCCCACCGCTGTCGAGCGGCAACTAATAAGTCCTTCACCGAAAACAAAAAGCGCGTGGAACCGTTTCGCGGGCGCTATCATCGGCGAGAAGTACGCCACCAAACCCGTCGACTCAGCCAAGTTCTACGCCCAGCTCAACTACGCCCTTGCCAACGCAGGCTTCGCCTCGTGGGACACCAAGTACGTAAACAGAAAGCCCCCTTCCCTTCCCCTTACCACACCCCAGTTATTAGGGGTTCTTCATCATCATCACCACCGCCATCACCACCACCCAACTCCAACTAACAGCGCCCCCACCCAATAATCCAGATACGCCTATCAAGGCTGGCGCCCGGTCACGGCCATCCAGTACCCGGGGATCTGGGTCGCCTCAGGGCGCGATATCTCCGACCCGAGCTGGACGCCCTTGCTGCGCCCGACGCCGAGCCATCCGGACTACGTGTCGACCCACGCCACCTTCGGCGGGGCGGCGTCGGCCGTGTTGCGGAGCGCGTGGAACGGCGGCCGCGACGGCATCAATGCCACGGTCCTGAGCAGCAACGTGACGATTGACGGCAGGGGGGTCATTTCGAGGACGTTCACTAGCTTGAGAGCGGCGGCGGAGGAGAATGCGAGGAGTCGTGTCTTTGGAGGGGTGAGTATGATATTTCTTCTTCGACCTTCGACCTTCGTCTTCTTTTTTTCTTGCGTGTCTATCATCCCCTTGACTTGCGCTTGCCATTTGAATATGGGAATCCGAGAAATTGATGGCTGACGTTGATTGTTTGACAGATCCACTTCTCTTTTGCTGGGAGGGAGGGTATTGCGTTGGGTGAAAGGGTTGCGAAGGAGACGCTGGACAAGTTTGACGAGAATTGGGAGAAGTTTTGAGCTCCGCGCAGTTGGCTGGTTTGGGTTTGTACTAGTGCTGGACCAAACGCAGCGCGCTGTGGATGAAGCCACTGTCTCGGTTATGATAGTTTGAGACGGAGTAATCTTCGGTGGCAGGAGGTTCTGATATTGACCGACTTGGCTCTATTGACGCCAGTCCGTGCCTGCTGGATCTCTGTTGCGATGTTCTTACAACGGAGGATTTCCGGTGTCGTTGGGGTTCCGTTATGAGCCCTGACGGTGTCGTTTGCTGCGGGTACATAGTAGTAACTGAACCAAAGGCATTGATTGTTCACGTAGAACGATAAGTCAGTAATAAACTTCGTATTACTCGGTAAATGTTGGTACGTCGATTCAGATGAGAGCGGCTCTGTTTCTGGGACTGGCGTCACCAAGAAACGTCTTACTAGCGGAGGGTTTCGCCTTGGGGCATTCACCTACCTGGTACCTGAAAAGTTCGACGACCTTGTGCACTGTGATTGCAGCAGTAGTGTGGCTCAGGAATGAGGATGTGTGAGTAGCAAGTATCATGTTAGGCTACCCAGTCTACTGTCTAAGGTGTACTGAGGACAGACAAGTCTAAAGTTTATGCTCGATGCTCCGCTCAGCAACGAGAGTCTAATGACCGAGTTCCCAAAAGCCAGCAAATTCCCTACAGACGTCAACGCCAAAGCCAAAGGGTATCCTGCCAGTGATCATCATCATGTCCAGAAAAGAAAGCACATGCATGTCCCGTCCCCTTCTTAACCCTCCCCAAGCAATCCAGATGCCCGACAAAACCGTGTGTCCCGAGAAAACCGACCGATCCTTTCCCTCCTAAAACGCCTTGCCACAAATCATCCACTTATCCCACCACCACAGCCAATTCTGTCCCTTTATGATTCCTTCATCCCACCGTAGTCATTCTGTCCCTCATCACTCTCATCCAGTCATGCAACCTCCCCGACATTCTTCCCGGTGTCCACTCTTCAGGCAAATTTCACCACCGCACCATCGCGAGGAGGGGGAGGCGGGCCCTGCGATCCAGGACCGCCGCTTCCTGGGCCCTGACCCCGGCTCGTCTTATCGCGCCAGGCGTTAGTCAGCTTAGCCCGCTTGGCACGGCACTCGGGGCAGCCCTTCTTCTTGGAGCCGGGGACGTTTGGCCTGCGGCAGTGGACGCACAGGCCGAGCGCGTGCAGCGTGGCGTTGCGCTGCGCTCTTTCGCCTTGGCCTCGAGGGGCTGCAGGCTCGTGACGGCGGTTGTTTTCATTGTCGCTGGCGGCTTGAGCTTGGTTGGGGGAAGGTTGGCTGTGGGTATTCGTGGCGGCGGCGGCTTGAGATCGAGCTTCAGCCTCGAGGAAGGCAGCGGGCCGGGCTTGGACATGAGCCAGCTCGGCTTGGGCAGCGTCGTAAGCCGCGCGGCGTGCGCGGCGAGGCTCGTACTCGACGGATGCTAACATCCGTCCGCCCCACGGCGACGGCGGGCGTGCTGCGTTCGCCTTGTCCGCGATGGCCTGGTACTCGTGGAGGATCGGATCGATGAGTTGATCCGGGATGGGGGCAGGCGCCAGGGCCTGGATGTTGTTGTTGGCACTGCCGGCAACGGCGTTGTCGACGTGCCTGACATGGAGGTGACCCAGCTGCTGCATTGCGCCGGGCTGATTGAGTCGGGGAGCGTGGAAGGGCAGCGAAGATTGCTCGGTGCTCTCCTCGCCGCGGTTGGTGGTGAGGCTGGCCTCGAGAGTATCCAGAATGCTCTCCGGATAATCATCGGAGCTCTGGTAGCCACCGCTTGAGCTGGTGTCAGACATCGTAATCACGTTGGTACACTTGGTCTGACGGGGTGATAATTGATGGGTCTTGTCGGGTCAGTGGTAGAGGGGAAGGAAAGAGTCTGCGAATGTTGGCAGATATTTAGGTCAAGTCGGGTGCGAAAGTTTGTGATCGCTTGAGGATGGGAAATGGGATGAGAGAAATGAAAACTCCAAGAGCATGATCGAGGTATAAATACTTTTTCACAAGCAGCAGTCCGCCATGAACAGCCTGGTTGGACCGAGTTGAACTTCGAACGACCTGGCTGTTCGCCCTGCCATCCCATCACAGAACACAAGAAACAGAATTAGGCCGCCATAATTAGATATGAACAGCGCAGGTGTACATTGAACAGTGCAAGGGCAAGTGCGAGTCATGGCAGTTTGAAGATACCGGCAGTGTTTGTTCAAGTCTAACTCACGTTTTCCCCGGCCCTCAGCCATTTTGTTCAGTCATCTTGCTCATCACGACGCCCCCTGGTGTGTTTGTTTACTTCGAACACGTCAAGGGGGTGAACAAAGAACCAATGACTGACTCCCTGTTGTTATTCAATTGCTATTCGATATACCTGACTGAAACCTCCAAGTCAGACCCAAAGGAAGAAGCGTATTGCCAAAAATGAATTCAGAATCAAGTAACTATGGCCTTCTGCAGACTTGGGTCAGGCGCGTTTCAGTGAACAGTACGGAGAGAAGGAACCCCCTTTCCGTGTCAACCCTCGATTCATTTGAGCCCATAAAACAATTGCTACATACCAGGAGGCTGGGTCTGGCATGCATTGATGATACCAACGATAGAGCGACTGCTCTGGGAGTGGGAAGAGCCATCGGTGTACCCTCTAGGCCTTGCCCGGGTTGTGGTTATTAGCGGTGTCCGTGCCTTATATCGCCCGTTCCGGTACCTACATCATGTGCGATGGGTAAACGTGACTTCTGGTAACGGTTGATGCAACTAAATCAAAGTTGTCCAAGGCCCATTCCTGTCATACTCTAGAGATCTATAGTATCCCTACAGAGACGACTTATGAATGGACGCTTGCACCACACAAGCGTGATGAATTGTGACATTTTCCTTAGAAAGACGGGGGCATCAAACCGCCGATAAATATATGTCTGTATATACTCCGGCAATGCAATGCTAATGTGTGAACCTGACATATACATAATGGCTACATGGCCCTAAGGGGAAGTGTGACATTCGTCAATATCGCGAACCCCCCCTTTTCCACCGAGAAAATGTGCAAGGGAACCGACCGTCCAACCACCACCCAAAACAAAAGGAATCACCGGCTGCCCATATCAGGACATATTAAGTCTTTCTTGGTATGACTCCCATCCCCCTCTAGGTCGCAGGTAGGTTTTCGAACCGGGTATTCTATACATCGATCAAAATAGAAAAAGCTGACCAGGTCGTTCAACCGGTAGATATAATCTTCGCATGCGATTCTCCCGATGGACCCCAAATACGTATTCAAGAACGAGATCCCCCATATGGAAACTGCAATGAAGCTGTTCGTCTCGAGTCTCTGCTATAGTCGTCTGCTACGTTGTGTCGGAATCAAGGGGGCGGCTGCGTCCTCTCGCCCTCAAGGGGCCTCGCCGCCGCGCCGTTGCCGTTGCCGTTCGGCAGTTGTGAGTATCCCTTCTCCGCCAGGCCGGCCTTGCCCTCTCCGTCTTCGTCATCAAACACCTTGTTTTCTAACCACTGCGTCGCTCTGGCGCAGGCGGTGTCGACATACTTCATCCACGCCCACGCGGCAATGTACGTCAGCGTCGTGAACACCAGAATGGAAATCATCTTCGCCGGCCTCCCCTTCGGCTTCAGCCACACCTGCTCCCGCGGCGAGCCATCTTCGTTCTTGCCCGCCGGTTCCCATGGTTCGCCAGTGATACCATACACAATCCAGATGCCCACGGTCCGGAGAATGGTGCCATGCGTCAGGTAAACGGCGAAGGAGTGATGTCCGAGCCAGATCAGGAGGCGGTGCGAGAGCAGCTGTTGCAAGACCGGGGCGATGAAGAGCGAGACGGCGGTGCACATGATGAAGAAGGCCGAGGTGCGTCGGTAAACGTCGGATCCCTTCGGCACGATAATGCTGCCCCTGCTGCGATCCCCAGCTGGATCCACGATCAAACGGTGGAGGATCCTAGACCATCCCATCCAATCTTCGTGTTCAGCCGGGTACGAGCCGACGAAGCCGCCGAGCAAGAGAAGTAGAGGCGCGACGACGAAGGTGAGCAGCCGCTGGTGTGAGGAGATAAAGTTCTGCGTCGGCCGATGCTGCGCGAGCTCGGCGATCAGTGTGCCAAGTGCAAGCATGGCGCCAAATGTTTCTGTTGTTCATGTCAACCCATGCGTTCTGTGCCGCCCGGCTGCCAGTGTAAGAATGACATACCTGTTAGGGCGTTGACATTCAGCCACCAGTACGCGATCAGGAGCACATGCACCAGAATTCGGAATTTGAACCGCATCCCGATGGTGGCTGCCAACACGATGTAGACCTGGAATGCGCCGATGAGCAGCGGGCGCATGGCCCACTGATGCCTATCGTATTGGTTCTCCGTGTTGGTCCACGTCGAGAGCGCAGAGCCGAACAACCTCTTGATGTTCTCCCCAAAGGGAATGTCATCGGGCGCGTCGAAGCGGACCCAGAAAGAGTCACAGCGGTTCGCCGTCTTGTAACCCCCAAGAACCGACAGGACGAAGCTAATGAAGGTTGCAATCAAGGCCGGCAGAATCAGCCGCGGCGGGCGGCGGAAAGCGCTGCGGGCGACCGACTTGAGCGCCGCGGGGGCATTTCCTTGTTGGTATGCCAGCTTCAGGGGCTTGTAGGCGCAGACGAAGCCCGTCAAGAAGGCAAAGATGGGTACGCCGATGCGGCCCTGCCACGGTAGCCGCAGGTATGGTAGCTGCAATAACCGCGGCGCGTCATGATCGTTGTCGGAGGGCCAGAACAAGGGGTAATCGAGCGCTCTCGAGATGTGCGTAACGATAACGAGGGCGGAGGTAATACCGCGGAGTCCCTGGACAAAGAGGCTCGTCAATTCATGTAACCAGGAGGTCAATTGACATGTGAAGATGGCTCGTCTCGTATCATTGGCCTGGCCGCCTTTGTGGGCAAGAATCTCGGGACCGTCCGACGTACCTCGACCCATTTGATGTTTCTTTGGTTCGGCCTTGCGCTCATCTTGTCCGCCGCTCGCTGTCCCCCCCCGAATACACTTCAATCCACTCCAAAGGAAGCCAAAAGGCGAAAATAAGAAAGGACAATTGGAGAAGAATACCACCAACTCCCTTGGTGGCCCGCAAAGGAATTACTGGATACCGAACAAGCGAGCGTGTTGAAGTGGAATAATCCCAGCACCCGTGGCCGAGACAGTCTCAGAGCTAAATCCGAGACAAGAAATTGGTGTTATTGGCAACAGGTCATTAGGCGTCTGAGTGTCAAGACAAGGTCATTCAGAGAGTTGACCAGCGTAAAGGTGCTCGTCGAGGACGTTGGCCGCGGATGGTACCAAGAGAGGATTCGGAGGAACCAATGGCCGACAGAGACGCCGAGACCATCTGGCGTGCGCGGCCTGCCGAAACGGGTGGAGAACCACAGGGTGCGACTGCCAACCTAACCTCTCGCTTTTCGTGCCGTGGTTTGGTCGAGGTTGAGTGTGGATGTTGACGCGAGTCGTTCGGGAAGCGGGTGGGAGAACTCGAGTCAGGGGCAGGAGCGAACGTTGTTCAACCTAGCACTGGCCAAACGCACAGGTGGCGTCTCGGACCGGTTTTGTTCAATTTTGTGGCAGCAAGCCTCAAGGGGACCTGAACGGAATTTTCTCTTTCCCAGGTTTGGCTCAACGGCCACTCAAGCACTGCAGTCCTTGATTGGCATGCCATTTCCCATTGCCAAGGACGCCAAGATGTCAAATGGAACGGGGAAGAATTCAGGGGAGGTGGAGATATCCCGAGTTTTCCTCGCACCCGCACTCAATTCCTCTCACGGGTACGTGTACGTTGTAGCCGTCTTTTTTCTTCGGCCAGGCCGGCTGTAAAAAGCGGGAGAGAGATGGGATTCATGCGTGCGTTGTGTAAGCTCCCTCTGAGGCTGAGGAGTTCCGCAGCCCTCAAGGCTAAGGCACACGGACCCTTGCCGCAGCCGCCCCGTCGCAGATTCAAACTTCCACGAATGGGGCTATCACATCGCATGCTCATTTGTCAACCGTTGAAGCGGTGAAAGGTGTTCTTGTTATGGTGGCAGCACCGTCGTGGCATCGTCCGAGTTGCGGCTCTGGCATTTCTCCAGCGTCTTCTCTCTCGCATCACGAAATTATGGTCGGAAATCATGTGCCAGGGGCACAAGGCGCGCTTACTTGGGGGACCCCCAAGTATTTCAGGGATTCAAGGGATTCAGGGTAGGAGTTACAAGTTACCTATGCCAAAAAGAGCTAGCGGGCATCTCCCGGCAGCCCCACAGGCCACGCAAGCCTTCAAGGGAGGATCGGGCGCTTTGCAGATTCGCGAGATTACCTTCATCAGGAGCAGGATGTGAAGTGGACGCCGTGATGCTCTCCGGTCGCGGCGCATCGAGGACCGGAAGTGAAGCGGCGCTTGCTTGGACCATCCGGTACTCGAGGAGGCATCACACAGGCCGCATATGAAGGGAACTCGAGCATTTGGACGATACCGAGTGTCCACCGGAGTTCGTGAAAAGGCGCGATACATATAAATATACGTAGGTAGACGCGACGTTGGTAAGTCATTCCTTCAAGCTGGTAACTTATCATTGCGAAAAAAGGTCGATACAATCAGTTAGCAGAGGAACAGGAATTTCGCAATGGAACCGCTCATTGTGCCGAGTCCCGGCCCGGACACTTTAAGTCCGGCAAGGTGTTGACCGCCAACACCCCTTCTCCTGCTTCAAAGGCCCCAACATGTGACTTTCTCCCAGGTTATAGAGTCTAACTACTGCATATCGAACTCATTGCAGTGGAGATTGCAGAGACATGTGATGCTCCCTTTGTCGGCCGGTGGTGATGATCGCTGCACAGCAATGAGAATGGCCTTCCGGATCAAACCACTTCGCCGTGGTGTGGGGGTTGCGGCCCCCAGATTGGGATCTTAGCCGCCAGAGCCGCAGCCATCAGGCAGCGGAAAGGCGGACCCAGCGCGCTCCGTCCTGTTTCAGAGCGCCCCGTTTTACCCTCCAGACGGGTTATGATCTGCCCAGGATCTACAGGGCCATTTCCGCCTCAACTAGTGTAGACGCCACAACAGACACTTTTGCATGTGTAGAAGACGGTTGAGCTCGTGTACGTCTTGGGAGTCGACTAAGAAACTTCAGAGCCCGGGCCGCTGTTGAGCGTAAGCGCTAGCTTTTCGAGTGGCGGGCGCGTCGTATTTTCTCCTGGCCAGCTGATGCTGAAAAGTTCCTCTGGATCAGCAGGAGCGATGATGCATTCGTAAGCCCAACGGAGCTACGGGCTTATTATCTACCGCTTACCCCATAGTCTATTTGTAAAGAGTCGGCTGCGCGGTGAAAGAAGTCTTCGTCCCCAACGATAGAGGTAAGGTACGAACTACGAAGTAAGCTCTGTGGTATGTGTTCGGTACACAATGTGGAAACTTTACGTGATCATTCTGGCAGGCCTCCTGATTAGGGACAGTTGACTTTACGCAGCGGTTCTCGATCGTTTGCTTAATTCCTCAAGTACTGCTATTTAAAATGTATACATATACTACCCCAAACCATCGGAAGCTCGCTGAAAGTGTTTCTACTTGTATCGTGATCAGACGCCAGAGTGATGGCACGTCTTCCCCCATGTTGACCCCTTAGAACTCATCAGACTTGACGGAGAACTCCACCCCTTGCGCCAAAAACAAGCTTTTAACATTCTCGAAGTGAAACTCTATCGGCACACCCCCTTCCAGAACCCAAGTCCAGGGTATCTTGCACAGCAGCACCACCTTCTTCAGGTTATGCAGGCGCGTGCGAACGTCTCGCGCGAACTGCGTTAGGGTGCGCAGCGCGCTCTGGCGGTAGAGGTGCTGTGACTGGTAGTGCTTGACCTTGTCTTGGGCATCCCAATGGGGCAACTCGTCGAGCAGCTCCGCACTGTGCCACCACCAGTCCTCGAGAGCGAGCTCAACGATGTTGGGCGGCAGCAGCTCGACAAGGGGCGTCTCCAGCACTGCGGCGGGACTGCCGTACAGCAATGCCATCTGGATGCAGAGCGAGCGGAGCTCCGTCATGTTCGCGAGCGCGCTGAGGCGGCCGTCGGGCCCGACGAGAGACTCGAAGTTTGTGAGGTCCTCCCAGCTGACGTCGAGGTTGCGCAGGTGCTTGGCGTGCTGCGCGAGGGCGACGTCGAGGGCTTCGGTGTACGTGTGGTCTTCCAGCATCGGCAAGCGAATGTCGGCGCCGTCGCGGCGTGGGGTCATGTACAGCGTCTCGAGCCGAGGCGCATTCTGCAGAAGGTAGTGCAGGTCCCCTGGGAACGCGAAGCTGTCGTGGAGGTAGATGTGACGGAGGTTGGGCAGGAAGGGTGGCAGTGGGCCCATGGACTGGAGAATGGCGCGAAGTTCGTCGTCAACAGGCGCCCACACCCCGTCGTCGCCGCTGACCTCGAGCGTGGTGAGCTTTGGCAAGGAGGCAAAAAGCGGGGCGTACCGCCGCGGCTGGGCGCCGTAGACCTCCGGAACTTCGCAGTCGCACTCCTCATCGGCACTTTCGAAGTGATCTAAGAGTTCCGGGTCACCCTGCAGGAGAAGGGTATGAACGTGCTGGAATGGGCCGGCAGTAGGGTCCGATTCGAAGAGAGGCGCTATCTCATTAATCTGGGAACAAAGCACGTCGTATTCCTCGTGGTCGTCGCTGATGGGTACCTGCAACAGCCAGACCTCAAGCTTGGTAAGATGCATGAGGATAAAACACAGCAATGCTTGTGGCACATGGTCAAGATCGCCTTCGCTAACCAACATATGTGGGAGATAACCGCGAAGCAACTGCAGAAAGTCGCGGGTCACGGCGGTCGTGATTCCTTCCACGGGGGCCGGTATAAACGTCGACAGGTAGTTGACGAGTAGTTGACGGGTGTCTCGGATGACTTTCTCGCGCGATAGGGTAAAGTGGCAGGATACGTAGCGTGTCCAAAGCCCGTATTCAGGCTTGTTGTAGAGAGTGCGGAGGAGGAGTACCAGTGCCGTCTCGTCCAAGATGGCAATGACCCGATACAACAGTGGGCGGGCCATCTCGGACAGGAGACGGGAGACGCGGCAGACGCTGTGAAGGCCGCGACGGCATCTTGTGAAGTCGAACCACGGTTCGTCGGCCATGAGCTGAGAGTATGCGACAGGGCGTGTCTCGCCGATCTCCGGCGGCTGCGGGACCAGAAATTCCAATATCGTTGTGATGATCTCGGGCGGCATGGCCTCGAGAACCAGCGCCCGGCCCCCGGTGCCGGTCATGACCGCATCGTCGCCTCCATCGGATCCGGCCACCATGGTTCGGAAGCCTCGTCGAAACTGTCCAAGTTCCGCGCCCCGTCAGCGCTTCAGTCGACGGAAAGGACGAAGTCAGGGCGAGTGATCCGACGTCCCAGAAGTCCGCGCACGGATTCGCGGATATGCTTGACCGGAGTGTCCAATGTCTCCCCCTCGGAGTCGGTGATGGAAAACTTAGCACGACAGGTTTGCCCCACCATGAGCTGCTGCGGGGCTTGTAACATGCAGCCTGCAGGTGCGAGCATACAGTGGTAATTGCCATATTTGGCTAGCGGGGTTCTTGGCTGGGTTTATATACGGCTTCGACCACCTACCTTAAGGTACTCTTAGAAAAAATCAACCATCTTTACCTCCTTTTCAGAGTGCAAAGTCCGCTCAGAACACCGAGTGATGCCTGCGATTCTGCCGACGAGTTCGGCAACAAGCATGAAGTCTATAAAAGCTCTACGCTCCAGCACACCGATCTTCGTTCATTGAACGGAAAGATGCTCACCCCTTCTTCAGGCCACACGTCTCCTGCGATCTTCATTCGGAATGCAGTTGTCAGGTCAGAACCTCGGGCACCGGGCGGTCTCAACTCTATACTATATGCAAAGGAATCTTATGTGATGGGACATCGGGAACTTTTCCGGTCCAGATCCTGTGTTAGCCACGCCTCCTATCTAAACCCAGATCGGGTGGGAATTGCGTTATACTCGCCGTGCTCCCATGGGGCTCAGCCTGCTGCCGGACTCTGTAAGGGGTTAACGCGAGCCGTGTCAAGTAAGACACGATAGTCAGCCACCGCAGGTCCTAGGGGAAACTGCTTGGCTTATGTCCATTGGGTCATTCCAGTGTGACCCGGTGGCACTTGCTCTTCGAGGAGGGTGGAACTGCACGTCTGGAATGGAAAGACCCGACCGAGGGACTCAGGGAGCGCTGTGCCCCAGGAGCCGTCTTCTTATACAGGTTGGTGACTGAGCTAAGGCTTGCCAACTTTCTCCGGACGATCTGTTCAGGCTCTCCAAATCACATTGATAGTCAGCAGCCGCAGCAATCACTAGTAACAATGGAGTATCGATTCAAAACGCCGGAACTGCCACTCGACAACATCATCGTGGACAGGAACGATCAATGGAACGCGGACAGTCTCGTGCATCACGGTCTCGTGCATCACGGTCTTGTGCATCACGCTCTCGACTCCTCCCAGACGGAGTTGACGGTCGATCCTTGGTATCTCAGGTTGCCGGGACCACCAATCTTCGGCATCCCGCCATTGCCCGCCTATCAGTCCGTCGCGTCTCCTTAGGAAACTAGCCGACAGACCAGCACAGAACCGGGCACGGAGGATCTAGTCGCGGACCAGGGGGCAGAGGAATTTGAGGCGGAAGACGGGGCGCGAGGAAAGCGCCCGCGAGGAAGGCGCAAGCGCAAGGCAAGCGGGCCCCAGACATGGAGCAGAAAGCCGAAGATGAGCGTTTGCATCGAATGCCATACACCGAAGGTTATCTTTGCTCATGACTTGTGCACCTCATGCTATTCGAGAAAGAACCGGGCAAACCGCAGAGAGTCAGGACGCTGCACCCAATGTGGAGGTGTCCGCGATGACGATCTTTTCCTTCTGTGTTCGGCCTGCCGGGAGCGCAAGGGGAAGAAGAAGCAGGAAAGGCAGTCGCTGTGGCAAAGGAGGAGGATGGGCCTTTGCGTCGAGTGTCACGCATGGGCCGAAATGCACAATCAAACCAAGTGCCGCGGATGTTACAGGAAGCAGCTCCGGGAAGAGCACAAAGTGTTAGGAGTTTGTACTGATTGTGGAGGCCCCCGGGATGAGGAATGCTTCTTTAAATGTTTGACATGCCGCAAGCCATATCTGAAGTCCCAGGTTGAGCAGGATCATTCGTTCAGCGTCGCAAGCCATGAATACGCAGAGGAGGCACCTGGCACTTTGTCAGGTAACGGCGACTACTTGCACGGGGCTAACAACGATGGTATGCACATAGTCACCGGAGGGATATAGTGCTAGTACCTTTAGACATGGCTAGATATAAGATTCCAGCATCAATCGTCCGTCCAATCCAATACACATCCAATAGCTCTCTCTTCCGCTGCTACCCGCACCGCGTTTGTCTGATGACTCTCACTATGCCCACCGCAAGGCACGACCTCGTACCGCCCTCGACGCCCTGTCTCGGTCGGAGGTATGGAAGAGAACCTAGCACAAACCGCCGCGGCCCCAGCATCTTCAAGATAAGCGCAATCCCCTCAACACAACACCCTGGACTGTACCGAATTAGACCCCTTAGTCAGCCGTAGCCCTCGCCGCCGCCTCCGTTGATGAAGTTGAGCAGGGCTCCGTGTACAGGAAGGTGCCCCACCCCGTCGTGCACTGCTGGCACGGCGTAGCGGTCGGACAGACGGTCACCGTCTGGGTCTCGATGGCTACCCTGGGGCATCCGCATGAGATGGTAACCGGGGCTGAAATATTGAATTAGAACATCGTTCAATGCGACGAGTCCCCATTACGAGTCCCCAATACGAGTCCCAGTGCAGGTTCTTTCATTTCGTCCAGCACAGTTGGGGAAAGGAAGGGGATGAATGATCGGATTACCATCGATGATGCAGAAGCCAGTTGCGCAGGTGTGAGCGCAGCCGCTGCTGGAATAGAAGGTTTGCGTCGGGCGGTAGGTACACGAGTCCGGAAGTTTGGTGACGGTCGGGGAGGCGGTCGTCGTGATTGTGGTCAGAGAAGAGGGACGGCAGCCTTTATTGGGCGGCTTGGTGGCCGAAGTGGCGCTGTGACGACTCGTTAGTCACGATATTCGGGACTGGTGGCCGTATCACGAGAAGGCACGCCGAATCAAAGTTACCCTGCGAAGAGGAGCGTTGTGACCCAGGAAAGATGCATGTTGGGTGATTTGTCTGGCAATGGCTTTTCTGGAGGTTGAGATCCAAACTGGAAGACGGAATCTAGGCCATCCTATATTCTCTTAGGAGGATGTATGGATGGTGGCTAAATATCAGTTCAATAGCCGATTCCATTAACGCACTATCACCATGCGACGGTGAGAGTCAGATCAGCTCAGAGTCAGTCTTCAACAGCTGTCATGTTTGCCCACTTGGCATCCATCCTACCATACCGCTCTGGAACCATGCGGCGACGACTCTGCATATACGAACCGCCTCTATCTTCCCGCGGCCAGTAGGAGGCCCGGAGGCGCGTCGCTGGCCCAGGCTTCCTGCTGTGCCAAGATAGAGGCTAACCGTCACTGACAGCGGAAGCTATCTCCGTCTGCGGGGTTGGAGACCGGCCTCTGCGACTGGTCGACCCAAAATAGAAGGAACATGAAGCGAACGCCATGGAGAAGAACGGAGGCTGCTACTCTAAGACGTCGTGCTTGTATCGGGATGCCGACAGAAAGTGCGTTAGCTTCGTAAGTCAAGGTAAATAGTCATGGACAATCCGATGGCAAGGGCAGAGTTAAACGCTTAGCAGTTCGCTCGCCTAATCTCAGGAGAACTGAACAGAGGTCTAGCCTAAGGAAGGATGATGACCTGCCCTATGACCACTGGCCTAAGACTTGGGCGCGCAAAGAGAGCATCTGTGAGGGGTCATCTAGAGACCAACGGGGTATACAGCACCATGAGACGTTCCGCGGTGCGCAACAAAAACATCCAACACAACCCAAGAGAAGTCGGATCAGTATGGGAGCAACCTTTGGTAGAATGAGAGCATGCCATCTTCGCAGTTGTATGCGTGACAGATATTGCTCATCAGGGCAGGTTGGACCCCTTACGTGGGCACATGACGGACTTGGCTAGAACTTACTGTCTTAGTTGTTGACACGATATGCTATGGCCACGAAGAGCTCAGAACCTGCCGTCGCGTTTCCCTCAGTTGCGAGATCCCATTTCAACTCCCGGCCCCTACGGAGGAATGCCTAACCGTGGATTTCCATACCCGGCCACCTTGGACCTGCGGAGGGAGGGGAGGTTTCGCATATGAGAGAACGAAGAGGAATACTGGAGAGAGAATAGAGAAGAAAAGCAACATAGGCCCGTGGGAACGAGTATCATAACCGCTAAGGGGCATCTCTAGATTATAGGTAGGATAACTTACCTGTTCTAAGATCTCGTTACTTGCCACCGTGCATCAAAATGGACGGTGTTTTTGTTTGTTTGGTGTTGCCTCATTGTTTAGTCGGTTGCAGAAGCGAGGTGGAAGATGTGAGAAAGCTAGTGGAGGGGAAGGTAGTAATGCCAGAGAAGCCACAAGAATTTTCGTACTTCGTAGTCCGGTTGTGATTGTGCCACAGCTCTACATGTCACCCGCCCAGTACCTTCCTCGAACAACCACGCTGTCCTTGGACATACATACAGAAATGACATGGATCGAACCTCGGTTTACTCAACCGATCCGAGAACAAGAACTCAGATCAGGCGAAGAATATTGTCCACCATTACTATTCATTGGATCTGTCAAAGGTGCGTATTATCTAATCGGTGGTATGGAGGTCAGCTCGCAGAGCAACGGCCTCGACTTCTCTGACTCGTGTCGCTGCTGACTGACCGGCAGTAGCACCATCCGGGGTGCTGGCCTGCCATTGAAGAGATACATGGCCAGCAGCACGACCGCCGCGCCTGCTGTCGCCTACGCCACAGAGTCAATGCGGTTACCGACGCAGGTAAACGGACGGAAAGGCTTACCTGAAGCGTCACCGGCTTCCGGGAGATGGCCGTCGTCGCCGCATAGCTGACGACGATGCTCAGGCTCGCAGCAAAGTTCTTGGCCACATTGTCCGCGTACGCAATGCAAACCGCCACGATCAAGCCACCTAGGGCCTGCAGGACGATTGTTGTCCAAACAGTCGGGTTGTACCCAACAAAGAAGCCGTCCTGGGCGATGGCCGCCCCGTCCTGCCAGATCACGCCGATGAAGAGCGCGGGGAACAAGCTGAAGAAAGAGAGCTGCACATTGCGGGTCCACAACGATACCGAGGTCATCGAGTCCTTCACGAGTTTCTCGAAATAGACGCAGGTCAAGCCAGATGTGAGCGAGGCGGCCACGACGGCCATGAGACCCCGGAACGCATTGGAAGTCGGTACCGTCCCGCTTCGGATGAGCGAGGTCAGCCGTGCTTTCCAGTCGTCAGCGCCGAGCTGGCCGGCGACCTGCACCAAGGCGACCCCGAAGGCGAGGAGAACCAGCGACAGCCACTGCCTCAGCGAGATGGACCTGCCAAGTAACAGAACGCTGAAGAGGACGGTGGTGAGGATCTTCAGCTGGTATGTGACTTGGAACGTGACAGCATCCAGGTTGCTGATGGCGGCATACACCAGCGAGTTCTGCAGCGTATACAGAGCGGCCGGCACAATGAGCTTCCAGCTGTCAGAGCCAAAGATCGAGCTCCAGAGGTACCGCATCGCCGCGTATGCCGAAGCTTCGGGGTGGGACCGGCATGTATCGAGTGCTGCAAGCACCAAACTGGCCAGCAGTTTGATGAGTTCGACGAGCAAGACCGCGGTCGAAGAGAGATACAAGGGCTGTGGCCCCGTGGGCCTGTTGCGGGAGTGGTGCATAATCTGGAGAGTTGGGTGGGTCAGTCAGTCAGTCGAGTCAGCGTACCCGCTCGTCCCATCTTCCCCAGGCTTCCCGATCTCCCGGTCTAATTGGGGCCGCACCATGACAAGCACCGAATTCTGCAGGACAAGCTGCCAAGAGGTCAGTGTCACCGTCTAGAGCACCCAGATGCGGAATGCGAGCTGACCAACGCCAAGGAGAGTCGTTGCACTGAGAGCTGCCATCGACGGGACGGCGGTTGCACGGGCTGGAATATTCGAAACGGCTGTGGTGCGGTCCCTGCCCCGGCCCGGCCCGGTTCGCCATCATTCTCGACACTTTTGCCAAGCATATTCGACCTGCGTCGTTGTCAGGGAAATGTTCGGATGCATCAAATCTTCAGTGACACAGGACCTAGCACCCACCCGGATGCAAGAGGATATTATCCAGCTCTGCACTCCCAGCATGTACGAGGTTAACAACCTGGAACCAACAACCGGAACGCGCGCGGGGTTCGCGAACCCTGCCTTATCCCTAAGCGCTGTCGTCAACAAATTACTCAGCCCCCGAGCAGAGAAAGGGGAGCCTGCATGCGGTGTCCGCAAGCGAGAAAATGCACTAGTTGGACGCCGAATCACGAATCTGCCAGGTTTGTACACAGTGCGACACCTACCTTCTTGCCCGGTGTGGTCCTTGGCATCAAATGCTAAGCTTTTTAAGGATTGCCGATCCTTGGGACCCTGTCAGCGCCTGTTCTCGCCCGCTTTGGACCATTGGATGGGACAACCCTCAATTGTCGCCAACTGTGTGTTCCGTATTTCAATTAAGACTGATCCTTTGGACGGCCAAAGCTCATGCCTCGGTGCCTGCTTCGGCCCTTGAGCTTCTCTCCGTCGCAAACCCACCGGTGCCGGTGAATGAGATGACGATGCGCTTCGCTGCTAAGCCGACGCAGCTGCTCGGCCGGGTCCCTCGGCGCGCCTGGCGCTGGACCTTCCGGTTCATAGTCGTCGCCGTTATCCTTCCTGTCCTGCTCCAATGGATCATTGCCTACCTCGTAGGCAGCGACGCCAGAATACTCCCGCCTCAGCTCCTCGCCGCCAAGAACCTACTAATCGTGACGGCACATCCCGACGATGAGTGTCTGTTCTTCTCACCCAGCATCTTAGGTGTTCTGGACAGGAACAAAGCCATTACCGGGAGCCTGTTGGTGATGTCCACAGGTGAGTTGCGGTGACCCTTGCAGATCCAACTAATAACGTTTTTATTTTTCTACATTGGCTTACAGCGGGGCGCAGGCAACAATTATGGACTCGGCGAAACAAGAAAGCAGGAACTCCAGGGGTCTTGCCAGGCGTTGGGCATCCATTCTCAGAGGTGCATCGCCCTGGACCATCCTGAGCTGCAAGACAACCCCAGAGTCTGGTGGAATACCGATCTCATCGAAGGCATTGTGCGCGACTACGTAAAGAAGTGGAAAATTGATGCGGTAGGTACCCTGCTTTTCTCGGCTCCGCTACAGCCTGCTCCGCTTCGGGACTTTCCGGGGCTAATCCACCACCAACAAAGATCTTGACCTTCGACGAGCGCGGAGTCTCAGGCCATCTGAACCACAGAGCGGTCAGTGCAGCTGTCAGGTGAGCAGCCCTCATAAGCAAAGCTGTTGCACCGCCTACTGGTCAAGAATGACCCAATGGCTGCTAGCCACTTGGCGAGCTTGCGACTGACGCAGTGACTCAGCCACTACGCTGCCACCGATCCCGAGGGCCCCGTCGCCTTCACACTGACGACAACGTCGCTGCTGCGGAAATACACTTTTCTCGGAGACCTGCCGTTAACAGCTCTTCCCTTCACATGGCGCATCGTTAGCGCGCTCGCCTACCCCGCGAGCACAGCAGACCCAAAAGATGGCATGCGAGCGTTGATCGCCAACACTGGGGACCGCTATCTCAAAACCCGTCACGCCTTTGCCAAACACCCCAGCCAGTACACTTGGGACCGCCATCTGTACATGATCGCGAGTCGTTATGTCTGGTTTAATGACCTGAAGCGGGTAGAGCGTAACCAGCAGGTAGCACAGAGCTAGAGATTCAAGCAAGTTAGCCGTTTCGAGTCTCATTTATTATCCCGCATCATGCGACCGTTGCTTAGGTACCTAGTTGTTGGGAACGGCAACAATGCGACCCTGTCGGTCATACGACAATGGGCCCCGCCTCTGCCCAATCTGCTGCCACCCACGGGCACGCTAAGCTTTCTGCCACTTCGACCCCTGGCCGGTCTGGGCTCGCACAAGTCCGGCAAATACTCTTGGCATCCACTTCGCTGGAAATTTTCTGCCTTGCCAGCCAATCTCCTGCGTGGACCCTGGTCGGCTTACACAGTGTGCAGTACGGACAGTACTAAAAGGAACATCTCCGAGGCATCAGTTTCTCAGTTTCGGCTTCAAGGCAAAACACGACCCTCGGTGGGCTCCCACACTAGCATGGGTAACGACCCACGATGTGATCTACATATTAACCATGCATTGCGCGACTTCTTGGCGATCGCGGAACTCCTCGCCTTCTCCTCGCCCTTTCGTCACCCCTTCTTCATATGACATGACGAAATGGGAGTATTGGCTATCCCTTCGCGTGTCCAGCGCACGCACCCGTGGTTGCTGGCGTGTATCCTCGTAGTTATGCTTCTCGGGCTCTACTGTGCCCGGCATATCCTCTACGAGACATGGACACTCGCCGCGCTGCCCTTCGTCTGGACTCACCACGCTGAGCGCTTCTACATCTCGGCGGAGCGCGACGGTTTCGATATCACCTTCGCCAACTATAGCATCCACCAGACCAGCGCTGCCCCGAGTGCCGACCTCGTTCCGCCCATTCTCCATCACATATCGCTCGGCTCAGGCGCTGCCACTCACTCAAAATGGGCCGCCGTGCGACAGAGCTGCCTCGATATGCATCCGGGCTGGGACGCCTTCCTCTGGACGGACGAGACGGCCAATGAGCTGGTTGCCGACAGCTTCCCCGAGCTATACGAGATGTGGACGACATATCGCTATCCAATACAAAAGATCGATGCCCTGCGGTACATGGTGCTGTACAAGTACGGAGGCAGGTAACCCCGTCACCTTGCAAGAAGAACGATGGGACGCTGACGGAAGCCATATTGCAGGCGTCATTTTGGATATGGATCTGCAGTGCAAGCGAGCCCTCGGGCCCCTCCGACGGTTTGAGTTCGTAGCGCCAGCCGCCCATCCGACGGGATTCTCCATCGGCTTCATGATGGCGAGCAAGGGCAACGAATACGTCGGGAAGCTGGTGAAGAACCTCGCCCGATACAACAGGCACTGGCTGGGCCTTCCCTACCCAACAGTCATGTTCAGCACCGGGTGCCACTATGCCTCGTGAGTTTGCCTCCCCTTCCGAAGAATGCCCTCTTTTCCTGACTGTCGCATACTAGCACCGTACACGCCTTCCAGCGCCACCGGACCGAGCTAAAAATCCTGGCCGGGCCTAAGGAAGACCCCAGGCTGCACAGCCTCAACGGTCCCGTATCGACTCCCATCTTCAACCACCTCGGCAGCTCGTCATGGCACTCGTACGACGCGGCCATGATTGTCTCGCTGGGCAAGCGCCACGGCTTGCTGCCGCTGGCATTCATTGCCGCGATTGGCGCTATGTTCTTCACCATTAGGAGGACGAAGAAGCGGAGGGTTACTATGCTTAAGGGTTGATGGGTCCTCAGCATGGATATCTTTACACTACCGGCATACGCTACATGGAGTTTGGGTTGGGTTTACACAGCGGCGCCTTGTGTTTGCGGCTTTTTGGATGGACAATTCAGCTCCCGCTTGGGGCAGTTTGGAATCTTTGGATGCGTCCACTCTCAAGGCACCCAGGCGGTGATGGGGCGATCTCTTCTTCATTTTGCGATGTCCTTTTACGCTATCAGGGACAGCCCTAATATCTAATGCTACCTATGATTATATGTTTATATCATGGAAAGAAGCAGCCCATAGAGCTAGGGCGGTTGAGAACACGAGAACGGCCAAGTCGGGACAGCTCGAGAGAGCAAACACGCATGGAGGCAAGCTCGCTTCACATGATAGGCTGAATGCACTGCAACGGCTTGGCTCAGCTAGCGTTGTCTTCGACTCTTTCGTTATCAGAGCGACCAAGGTCTAGGCGCACCTCGGGCTGCAGCACTGTTTTGGGCAAGTGTTCGTCCCTCGGCTAATACTCGTACTGTGTATTGTACGTTATTGATGTTGGGCGCTTGATCGCATAGAACTTTTACTTCACAAACATCCTGATCATTTCAACCTCTTATTATGAAGTACTGGTCGGCAGAACCGCATGTTTTGTCCACGAGGGGTGGGAGCCCTTCCTCACTGGTTGGGACTTGTGTTCTAGACCAGGCTCAAGCAGACAGCAGAGTTAAAAAGACTGAGTGACCATTCGCTGATTCCATCAAATTCCCATGTATCATGACTCATGGATACCGGAGATGATGTCAAACATCATCCCTCCCTCCTCCCTCCCTCCTCCCCCCCCACCCATATGGCCCACCCCGAGCCACACAAAAGTCAGCCACGTAATAATAGTAACCTGCCGGCACCAGATCAATGTGAGAATTGTTGGAAGCGTATCCAAAATCCAAGAGCTCGATGAGACGTGCGACCAAAACAATGCTCCGCTCAACGGACCTTCCGCCGGGCAGGAGGGCGCTGCTGCTACCTCATGCCTCATCATGGAGCCCATATATCACCAACAGATCCGTCACCTTTACGACCGGGGAGAGGAAGCCGCCCCGACCCTTCATTGTAAACGCCGCCAGTAAAGCAACCGGTCCTCCGAGAAGCAGGCCGCCCCGGACATGGAGTCCCGGCACGTAAGCTCAGTCTTTATTCCAGCCTCTTGATTTATCTCTACGTGGTGGCATTTCGGCAATTCTGGATGGAAAACTGGAAATTTCAACCCCGCCGCAATGATTGTTTGTCACACGGGAGAAACACATGTCGAAGAAGAGAGAGAGACGCTCCTGAACTCACATGCCTCTTTCATTCATGGCAATAGAATCTCCCGAATGGCCGGCGGCATCATCCTCGCGGGGCTGTGGTACATTGTGCACGAGGGTCGAAGCTACAAGGTTGCCGAGAAGGCGGACAGGTATGAGCCGCGGACGATCGGGGCGCATCGCGAGGGCAATATGAACCGGGACTATGTGAGTTACGACCACTGGGTTGAGACGCATGGGCTCAGGTCTAAGCATGGGCATGGGCGTGGGTCGGACCACGGGCATGAGCGGAAGTGAACGCTGCTGGGATGAGGGTTCGGGGGAGGCATCTATATACATCTGGCTTACTATTCAGTTTAGAATGCTCTTGATAAGGTTGGAATACTAGCACCAGGTTGTAATGTCATGGAGAAACTGTTTCTAAGTACATACTAGTATAATACCACTGTGGTGCTTACACTTACTGTATGCTCCGTTATCTCGCATCCGTTTCGTCTAGGTTACAACGCAATACTCAGCGCTTAGTTGACGAATGCAAGGGGGTATGCCTCTCCCAAGCCCCTTCAGGGTTCAATCGTACTATCGTACAGTAAAACTCACCATCGCCCTGGTTAAAAGTGCGATGACTTGCGTGGCGATATGGTATCTCTTTGCGTTGCTCTTCCCTATGGGTTATGTCGATGAAGCTAACATCTGCATGACGTTCTGACAGCCTTTGATTGATAGTACGTTCTTGTCTTGCTAAAAGGCATGCCAGGAAAGCTCACTAGAAGGCCGAAGGGTTTTGCTACGCGCAGCCTCCGGCCTCTCCCTGGCCCCCATGCGGGTGTAATATTGAACTTGGAATTAGCCCAATTGGTAACTTGAGAGACTAGGAACCCTGCCCGGTCGTTCCAGGTTGTTGATTGGCATGCAACCCCCCCCCGGGCAGAGACTCTTGGTCAATCAGTTTGTAGTTGGGATGGGCTGCTGGGCTGGTATTGATCTCTTCCACTAACCATATGCTGCATTCTTCAATGAGACTGAACATCGGGCAATACATTGAGAAATATTGGGCTTCGATGACAAGTCTTACTGCATACCCGGTCTACGTACCTAGGTAGTCAACGCCGACTAGTACCCTGTTGAGATCGCTTCGCGACTCCGAGCCTCTTCCCGTATGTGGCACACAATGGTGGCTTTGTCATCTAGACATCTACCTATGAGGGACCATCGCATGTAAATTGTAATACTATCCCGTGAACAAGCCGAACACACCACCTCCAAGACTGCGATGTTGGTTAGCCGGCAGTCGATAGACTCGGTCACTCGGCGTCAGCTATCTGGAAGGAGTGAGTAGTTTTTAAAAGATCCTTTTTGATGGTAAGAGGGATTTTGCAAGGTCCATGGCTGGTGCGAAGGCCTGGAGCTTGAAGCCAACACTACGCGGTTCGTGGGAGAGAATGCCCCGGAGGTGCCTATCCCGGAGCTAGTCCATGCCTGGATTGATCACGACCTCAACAGAACCTTTCTCATAACAAAGCGAGTGGAAGGACAAAAATAAGAAAGTGTATGGCCGCGGCTTTCCTCACCACTGCGCACAAAACTTGCCGCTGAGATCGCGCGGTTCTACGTCATCCTGGCCGCTAACACTTCGTCTCGGTTTGAAACGGTCAGTGGATACGGTATTTATAAGCCAAGGCTAATGAAGAGCGCACCTTAATCTTATCCGACTTGGAAGCCGAGAACCCTTGGCCCGTTATTATAAGAGGCTATATATGCCTATTTGACTCGGATCTCGACCGAACTAGCTCCAGATAATTATCTCTGAGACAGGAAACAGTGGAAGGGAACCTCTTGAAGGTCCAAATGCGTTTCTCTGCCTAGAAGCGAACCATTTCACGTACTTACCGCAAGGCGATCAAAGCTACCTGAGCAATGATCTCATGTCAATCGGGCCAGCAGAGTAAGGGCTGCTAAGGACACTAACAACAGCAGCAGTAACAGTATATCAAAACGACGTAGTATGTATGTATATAATGCTCGTTTGCACTGTGCCGCAATTGCGGCATGCTTCCGGCATGTCCCACAAGTATGCCACGTTCGGGATGCCATCTACGATGCAGCCATCCTCGTTACGACGTCTTGATTCTGTCCGAGAGCCGCCTCTGGAACAGAGACGTCTCCATCTTCTCACAGGCAAGCTCCCACTCGGTTATCCATTCCTTGTAGAACGGCTGGTATCCCAACAAACCGCCAACCCACCACCCCCGACGACGCCCAGGGCTTGTGAAACCGTGGAACGGAAAGGCACCCATCAGGCGAAGGGTAGGTATGAGTTCCCTGCGTCGAACATCTGCTCGTACTTGTACAGCAGCGTAACAGGAGTAGGGCTAGATCAGCACTATTTATAGCCTTCCCATACCCCCATTCAACGAATTTCCACGTCCCTCCCTGTATTCGACGACAGGAGCCAGGTGTAGTCACAGCATACCGTGCCTTGCCAAGCGCCCCACGTACTCGACGGCCAAGCCACCGGCAATGGACGAGCCGGCTAGCCAGAAGCCGTAGCGGAACCACCACCAGCAGCTCGCAGCGTCGGCCAGCTCGACACTGGCGATCATGGCGCCCAGCGACAAGGCGCACCCGGCCAGCGAGATGCCAAAATACGGCCACGCCATGCCGGCCGCGGCGCCGCACCCGGCTAGCAGGCCCAGCATGCAGAACAGTGCCAGCCAGAGCACGGGCTTGGTGCGGTCGCCGTACAGTACCGCCATGCTCCGGATCCCGAGCTTGGTATCGTCCTTGCGGTCCTGGTGCGCGTAGATGGTGTCGTAGATGGTTGTCCACAGGACGCACGCGAGGAGCAGGCACGCGGCCGGCACGTCGACCCGCAAGCTCGGAATCGGATTGCCGTCCCCAGCAACCTCTCGCCGGGCATCGGCCCCGAGCCCGAAATAGGGCCGCCAGGTAAAAGGCTCGAGGCCCACCGTCGTGAAGCCCACGACGATGCCCCAGGCGAGGCAGAAACCCAGGACCAGCTGGACGAGGTTCGTATGCCGCTTGGCCCAGGGGTAGTACGCGGTGGCGAGGACGTTGGGCAGCGCATAGCAGGCCGCGCCGACAGGGTCCGGAAACGCGAACAGCAGAACACCAGCGGCGCAGACGGCTTGTGTGGCGGCGAAGACAAAGGCCGCGCGCGGTGTTATGGCGCCGCGTGGGATCGGCCGCTTGCGCGTGCGCGCAACCTGCGCGTCCAGCGGCGCGTCGATCAGGTCGTTCCACGCGTGCGCCGCGTTGGAGAAGAAGAAGCTGCCGAGTAGGAGGACGGCGCTCGCGCGCAGGAAGATGAATGCCGGGGCCGGGCCATGCGTGGCGGATTTCGAGTCGCTGTTGTACGTGATGGCGGAGAGGAGGGCGCCGAACAGGTGCGGGAAGTAGATGAGGGCTAGCGCGGCCGGTGGGCTGAGCCGCGCCAGTTGCACGAACGGCACCCACGAGGCCGGCAGGTGTGAGACCCAGCCTCCAACGTGCCGGCCGCCGTACTGCTGTGATAGGGCGGTGTCGGCGGCGTCGGCCTGGTCTGATTTGGTGTTCACGTTGGGAGACCGTGAACGAAGCTCGGCTGTTACGGCTCCTACCGGCGCGTGTTGCTTCATCTTCAATCGTTGCTTTGCTTGTGGCACGAGAGGCACATACAATATTGAAACGCTTGGCTTCTAAGAACGCAATAGGGGCGGGTGATGAGAGTCAAGAAATGTAAAAGCGGCTGCGACGTTGATGAACTGCCATCCTTGTTAATAACTTAACCCGCCCTCATCAACTAGCCCTAGAAGTATGCCACAACATAGTAACCCTTTTAGCGGTATGCGGCCAAGTCTATTAACGTTGTGAGGTTGGTCCCGTCCAGTCCTCGAGTGTGGATGTATTGAGTACGTGGAGTGCGTAATCTCACATGTACGCCTCCGCGACCCAAATGCTACTGCATAATAACCGTCACTCTGTCCGGAAGCCATGATTGGAATGTTTGGAACGCCACTCATCTGGTTGATCTGATGGGCTCCTCTTGTTATAGTAGTCGTTTGTCCTTATGCAGCTGCTGCTACCTGACCCTGCACGGGCCTGCCACTGGCGTCCCGCCAACGAGACGACTACTTCAACCCTAATAAGCAGCGGCAGGCTATTCTATGCCCCCTCATTGCTGCACAGGCGAGTTGAGTGAAGTAAAGTACTACGTACCTCTTCCGGTACAATACATACAGGTAAACATTATAGTGCTTGATTACCTTGAATATGCAGGACCAAGGTAACTTTGCTAGGTGGTAGAGGAATACACTCATACTGCTCGTACCAGCTCGGAACGCAGCTGACTGAATATTGTCAACCCAAAGATGAGAAGCCAAAGTAGAGAGATACCTAGGTACTTGCCTATACGCACTGCACACTTCCAATTCACAATCACACCTGCACACGACAGCTTTTGCTGCGTCGATGCATCTCGGGCTTGGTCGCTGGAATGCATGATACCAGAAAGCCAGATAGCAAGGAGGGGGGAATCCCTAGCAGACTCGCCGTAATGATAGGAGGAGGGGGGTTGGAGCGGAAGGGCCCTATGCAAGGTTCTTTGTCACCATGCTAACCCATTTTATACCGCCGATAGAATATTGTCTTCTTGTTTCTGGTTCTGCAAGACGGCGGGTCACTATCCGACTGGCCCGAGCCGCATCCAATCTATGCCGGTGGAAGATGCATTTGCATTTTGCAATATGCCGTTGGTCGCAGCTGGGTAAAGTAGGTACGTAACACACCCATGATGGCGCTGTTCTCGGCGGCCATGGCTGACTCCATGTCCCCGACTGTGCTTGTGCATGGCGGCGTTGGAAGCAGCGCAAACCGGTCAAAGGCTGAAATGGCCCCACACGATTTTGTACACAATACTTAAGAGACATGTACTAGAACGCTTGGGAACCAGATGCATAACCAGTGCAAGGAGTTGAGGGCCCGGAGCGCGCTTGGTCTTATAAGCTCAGTGGCTGGTGGATAGCTTCCCTTGGGTAGGCCTTTCCGCATCGAAGCCTGTGACAGACATTACATGTATACACATACCATCATTCATCAGACGATGTCCATGTGCCCGCCATGGAGTATCTCAACACCTCTGCAACACAGTCCTCAGAACTGGTGATGAACAAGTCCTCTTACATCCAAATCATCCTGGGCCTTCTTTTGCTGTTTCCACTCCTATTGCTTCTACGATGGCAGTCCTCAAACGGCGGCGAAGCGGGCAAAGAACCACCATTGATGGCTGAGACCGTGCCCTATATCTCCAATTCGCTGCTGTGCCTCAGCAACATGGGAGCGTTCTTGGACAAAGTGAGGTAACAAACAAACAGTTTCCCGGTGCTGAGCTTTCACAAAATGATAAAGTGCCAAGCCTAATCTGGTATCCTCCTATATATAGAGAAACATTGGAGACACGCAAAAGCGGCATCGCCAAAGTCTACCTCGGATTCCGACCCGTGTATATAGTGGCCGGCGCTCAGAACGTGCAGAGACTGTTTGGCTCGCCCGAGGTCCTCGATGGCGACTTCATCCACTTCATTCTCATGAACGCGCAATGGGGCCTCACCCAAGCCGAGATGGCCCGGTTCCGCAAGGACAAGTCAGGCCGGCACAAGAAACCGCTTCCGGGCACAGAGCAGACGCCCGACGATCAGCGGTACTGGCGCAACCACAACTTGCTCTACGCCAACTTCTTATCGGAGGCGAGCCACTCGGACGCGCTGGCGGCCCAGTTCACCACGCGGTTCGCCGAGCGGCTCGACGGCCAGCCGGTTGGCGTGTGGACCACAGTGCGGCTGCTCGACTTCCTCAAGGCACACATGGCCGAGTGCGCCATCGCGACCCTCTTCGGCACGCGGCTGCTAGAACTCAACCCGGAACTCGTCAAGCGCTACTGGGAGTACGACGCGGTCGCTGGCCGCCTGATCCTAGGATTCCCGCACTGGATGCAGCCGCGGGCCGTACGCGTCAAGGCCCGCCTGCACGCCATGGTCCTCCGCCACATCGACGCGGCTTGGGACAGTTTCGACTGGGCCGGTCCCGATGCCGACGCCGCCTGGGAGCCGCATTTCGGCTCGCGCCTGTCGCGGGAGAGCGCTCGCTGGCTGCGCGAGCAGGGCTTCTCGGACCATGTGGCGGCTGGACATACGCTGGCCACGCTGTTTGGGTCTGTCTTCTCTTCACTCTCTTCTCCACCCCGGGCCCCTGAACCCCTGAACCCCTGAACCCCTGAACCCCTGAACCCCTGAACCCCTAAACCCCTGAACCCCTGAACCCCTAAACCCCTGAACCCCTGATTTCCATTTTTCTTGTCCACTCCCCCGCTTACAAACTGTTCCGCAGACTCAACGGCAACACAGTCCCCATCACGGCATGGGCCATGATGGAGCTGATCCGGGATCCGGCGCTGCTGCGGGCGGTGCGCGACGAGCTGCGCCAGTCCGGCGCGTGCGCCCCCGACAGTGACACCCGCAGCGGGCCCACGCCATTAATCGCGAGCCGCGTCGTGGGCCTGCCGCTGCTGCAGTCGCTGTACGTCGAAGCGATGCGCCTGCACGTCTCGTTCAGCGTGACGCGCGAGGTACGCAAGGGCCCCGTCGAGCTTGTCCCCGGCTACCGCGGCGCCGAGACGGGCGCGCTGGTGCAGGCCGTCTCGGACATGGCGCACCTGGACGAGGCCGTCTGGGGCGTCGACGGCCACCCGGCGAGCGAGTTCTGGGCGTGGCGACATGTAAAATTTGTAGATGATGAACCTGAGGAGCAGGAGGAGGATGACAGCGAGCGGAATTCACCTGTCCGCACCCGCAAGATGCAATTTGCGATGCGAGGAAGGCCCAGCTCGTTCTTCCCCTACGGTTAGTCATCCAAATTCCAAACCCACCCGTGTTTCTTCCCAAGTTCTGTGACTCCGTGTCTGCGTCTCCTTCCCGTCTTCTGAAGATGGACCGGAGACGCACGTACAAAGACAAAACAGTTGACGGCTGACGCTCCGGCATGCGCGCGTTGCACGTGTAGGCGGCGGATACTGGGTGTGTCCAGGCCGGCATTTTGCAAAGATGGAAATTATGCTGGCGCTGGCCCTCATGGTCACCAAGTTCGACTTCGAATTCGTCGAGTGGACCAATCTCGATGGGACCAAGTCAGACAGGCCGGCGCGCGACGACAGGAACTACGCCGGTATCATCGCCATGGTTCCGGACCGCGATATGACATTCCAGTGGAAGAGGATTTGCTAATGATAAGGAGCTCACCTGACAAGGAGGTGTATATAGTGCAATTCATGGTGTTTTTCCTACATTGCATGCACCTCTAACAGAACCATCGATATTCACATCCTTACAACCTCATTTCTAATTAACGAGTAGGTATGGTGCTAGGCCGTCCAGCTTCGGTAATGTACACATTTACAGACACACACATCCATCGTGCTACCTTTGATAACGCTGCTGCCACTGACGGTTTTCCGCCGGCGCGTGATGGGGAGGATGCGACTCGTTCCAGACCACTTCGGTCGTGACAGCAATCGACTGTAGCGGGATGTGACCCCCCTGGTGCGGGAGCTGGAGCGGGAGCGGGTCCTGCCCCTGCTCCCGACCCTCTCCCCCGCGTATCACGGCGCTTCGTGAGGACCGCAACTCCTGGGGCCACCCGGGAACCTCGGACCCGGCACCGTCCAGTCGCTCCTGGGAGCCGCCGTCCTCATCGTTGACGCTCATCAGAGTCGTGAACTGTCCAGCATTGTTTTTCTTCCGGCTGCTGGACTGTCCAAAGGTGACCAGAGTGGGCCGGCCCGGGCTGCCTCTTGACACTTGTGACTCCTTACTGAGTCCCGTCCTGCGCAGGAACATGGTGAGGAGGGGCCGCAGGGGCGGCAACGACGCCGAGATGATTCCCATGCAGGGTTCGACCAAGACCCATACGATAAGGGGTGGCAAGTGATCTGCAATGGTAGATGGGTGAGTACAGAGATGAAGTTATGCGTTGTGCTGCAAAACATGTAAAAGAAAAATGACAGCACATACAGGTGACATCTGCCGTGGGTCCCAACTCATACAAGTCCACCATGACCTTCAGCTTGATGATGCTGCTGATGACGACAATCCAGCCGACCAAGAAGCTGCACGCGATGGCAATTTTCTGGGCCCTGGAGACCTGCAGTTTGAAGATTTCAAACAACGGAAGCACCAGAATCATGACGTCCATCACGATGTTTGGCACGCCGTTGGTGCTGATGTAGAACACGTTGTCGTTGACGCAGGTGCCCTTGGCCTGCAAGTCCCATCTCTTGTGGACGGGCGTGCACTGGAAGATGGTAACGAGCAAGACGGCGACCCACCAGGCGGCCGTCATGGAGCCCAGGATGATGTAGCCCCGTTTCATGAACCGCGTCGGGAAGATGCGGTAGAACATGGCTAACACGCTCCACTTGATGAGGGCGAGGCAGGTGAAGAAGAGGATCTCGCCAATGTACATCCACTGCAGACGGGCTTAGAGTCAGCGGTTAAGGATCTGGTGCCGCGGGATCTCAGGGGAGGGTTGCCTACCAACATTGTCCTGGACAAGATAAAAGGATTATCAATCATGAGGACGAGCAAGTGCCGCCCAATCCCGCCGTCGCTGATGCTCTTGACTCCAACGACATATTCTCCCCACAAGACGAGCCAAGCCGCAATGATCAGCCAGTCGTCCAGCCCTATGCCAATACGGCGATGGAATCTCATCCAGATTCGGAGTGCGACGATGGCCGTCGTAAGAGCCATGACGATTGAAATGGCGCGAATTGCCCCGGGACCCGCATTGTAGGCGATGTCTTCAGGCGACGGAATCACCGGGGCAGTGGGCTTGGACGGGTCGGCCATGATGAGTTGAAGCCTCAGCGGGCGACAGCAGAAAACTGGGCTCTAGAACTACTCGGTGGTGCAACAGTTAGCACAGAATACCTTGCTGTCAAATGAAAGTGCCACCCTACCAAGGTCTACAGTAGAATATAAGAGAGATTGACAACCACGGGGATGTGAAGGATCCGGGCCTTGTCAAGCCATTATCTCGGGAGTTCACTCGACGTGCCTCGCGGTATTAGAAGTGAGAAGTGGGAAGAGCGTCTCAAACACTCAGGGACATGTCAGTTAGGGGCGGAGACCAGTGAAGCTTGCAACATGGCGTACAGTTCGAGTCCTGCATAAATCCGCAGTGAAGATGGTGGGCGGGATGGGTAAGCGGAGGAGTATTGGTTTTTTGCCTGCAGGACCTTTGCGCTGCTCAATGCGAAGGGATTCCGGAAAGGTGGTCGTACAAGCGGCACAGTCACCACCCAGACGTGACATTGGGGCACCCATCTCACCGAGACCTGGGCCAGCGTGCCGAACCCGGCAAATGATGGCAGAAGGACTTAAAGTCGCGACAACTTCAGCGGGTACATGACACTTCTACCACAATAGCCGAGTACTGCTGCAGCCTGCACGTAGATGGCTGCTTCCAAGTCCGTGTTACCTCCAACTGACACGATTATCTAAGGTCCCTTAGCCGCTCCCGCCGCCCGGGAAAGGCCCAACCACAGCAGCCTCCAGCAGAAGCAGCGTGGTAAGCAATCAAGACGGTTACACCAAAGACGGCAAAGATCAGCAGGTTTTCGCCGTCTCGAAGGACTGCAGTCGTGCCCCTGGCGCACCGAGAGGTCATTATTCGGTACTGTATTGTCGCCCATACGGGTATCAACCACACAATGAAACGGCTGGTCTCGGTGAGACGGCGCGGGCTGGGCCACAGCCCGATGTCTGCAAAGTGCAATGGGTCTGGGCAGCCTTCCCGCATATGGTGGGAGCCCGTAATGAAGCCTGCCACGATTTCCATCCTCGCCCGAGTGCTGCAGGTTCCAAGACAACCAACGTGTCTTCGAGTTATGTAATTACCAGTGACCCTGTTGGGTGTCATACGTTTACATCGGCAATCTGCACTGTGCCCCACTGTACTCTGTACATAGGCATGAAGGACAAGAATATCTACGCCACCGTTACAGTGCGGGCAGCGGCCGGACCACACATTGAACTGTGTAAACCGCGGCTGCGTGTGTGTGTGGTTCATCGCGGGCACATGCATACCCCGCTCCAGCGCCGTTTGGCTGCTTGTGGGATGAGGATGCACTGAGGCATACAATTGTGCTCGCGGGGCATGTTGGCTTCAAGAGCTTGGGTAGCCCGCGACAATGGGTGACCACGTTCAGGCCTAGCTGTTTCTTTCCCTGCCTTAGAGGCCACATACCTGCCAGCCCCGTCCAACAGCCAAGATTGGAGTCGCGCATCGCAGGTAGCTTTCACCATGGCTACCACGGCTGACCCCTCGAAGCTCCAGGACTGGAATGTATGCCATCTATCAACCCTCCGCTTGGTGCCATCCCATCCTGCTATACTGAGTAGCTAAATCATCCGTTTCCCCCCCAGAGCTTCCACAATGTGATCGACAACGAACTCACGACCACGCCCAAGACGCGTCAAGCGGTCAATCCCAACACCAACGAACCGCTGCCCTCGGTGCCCGTCTCGTCGCTGGAGGATGTCGATCGCGCCGTGGCGGCGGCCCGGGCGGCGTTCCCATCCTGGAGCAGCCTCTCGCAGGACGAGCGTGCCGAATACCTGCTCAAGTTCGCCGACGCGTTCGACGCGAACCAGGCGGGATTCGCCAAGCTGCTCGGCGAGGAGGCGGGCAAGCCGCCGCAGGCTGCCGGCATCGAGCTGTTTCTCACTGGCGTCCAAATTCGGGGCACCGTCAAGCACCGTTTGACCGAGGAGGTGAACGAGGAGACGGATGAGGTAGGCAGTTGTTCAGTTGGCCAACTCCGCAACCCCCTAACCCCCGCCCCCCCACATCAACAACAACAACCCCCCAACCCCCTGCGCACTCAGCACTCACCCCTGCTACTTCGCCTGGTTCCGTCTGGACGACTGACTAAAGGCGGTTCTGAACTCCAGAAACTTGTGACCATTCGTTATGTCCCCCTGGGCGTGGGGGTCGGCATTACCCCTTGGAACCTCCCGATTCTGATCGGCATCATTAAGCTATCCTCGGCACTCCTGGCCGGCAACACCTTCATTTGGAAGCCATCACCGTACACACCCAACACGGCCCTCAAGGTCGGCGAGCTGGCGGCCAAGATATTCCCCAAGGGCGTGGTGAACGTGCTCAGCGGCGACGAGTCGCTCGGTCCGTTACTCACCACACACCCCGATGTGGCCAAGGTCAGCTTCACCGGATCCGTGGCGACCGGTAAGAAGGTGATGCAGGCCTGTGCTGGCACCCTGAAGCGCCTCACCCTCGAGCTTGGCGGCAACGACGCGGCCATCGTCTATCCGGACGTGGACATCGCAGCCGTAGTCCCGCAGGTAAGCAAGACAACAACTACTAACTCACTCCCTCTGTACATATCGCTCGTCGCACCATGCCCGTCTGACAAGAGTGCCCACAGCTCGCCACCTGGGCATTCGTGCACACCGGCCAGATCTGCGTGGCGGTCAAGCGCCTCTACGTGCACGAGGATATCTACGACGCCTTCCTGGCCGCCCTGTCTGGCGTTGTGCAAGCCGCCCTCAAGACAGGGATGAACGACGACCCGACCGCCGTGCTGGGCCCGATCCAGAACACCATGCAGTACGCCAAGTTGCAGGACATGTACGCGCAGATCAGCCAGCAGGGGTGGAAGGCCGTGCCCGCCCCAGACTTGTCTGCTCCCAAACCCGGCGCGGGCTTCTTCCTACCGCCAACGCTCATCGATAACCCGCCCGATGACGCGCGCATCGTGACGGAGGAACAGTTCGGCCCCATCGTGCCGCTGCTGAAATGGTCCGACGAGGACGACGTGGTGCGGCGCGCCAACGCGACCCCTTACGGTCTGGGCGGGTCGGTCTGGAGCGCCGACCGGGCCCGCGCCGAGAGGACCGCCCGCCGCCTCGAGGCCGGCACGGTCTGGGTCAACACACACTTCCAGCTGGGCCCGCAGGCCGCGTTTGGCGGGCACAAGCAGAGCGGGATCGGCGTCGAATCCGGGCTGGACGGCCTTAAGGGGTGGTGCAATCCCCAGACGGTGTGGGTTCCCAAATGAGATCCACGCCGACTGGTTGCCCCCACGTCTGGGAATGAGCCGGAATGTGGCAAAGTTGCCTCGTGTTAGATGTTATAGCTAGGTCCTGAGAGATTCTGTGTCGACATGTTGGAAAAGACAATGCGAATGCCATTCATGCTTATAAGACGCTCGTTTTGCATCTCATGTCGCACCTGCACTCCTAGATTCCCTCTAGCCCGGATGTCAGACCCGTCTAGTCAACCGTATCCTCATCCCCGAGTAGTTCCAGACCAGGAACGCTTTGCCCGTTCCCGGCTCTACAAGGTCAATGTCGAAGTGGTAAAGGAGCTAAGCGCCATTCGAAAAACCCCGGCATCAGCATGGCCCCTGTTGTTGTTTGGAGGGAGCCGCCCTCACCTGCACGATGGCCTTGTACGCGATGAACTGGCTGAGCGTCTGGCCGATGCACTGCCGCGGCCCGTAGCCGAAGGTAAAGTCGTACCGGGCCGCCTTCGCCAGCCACTCGGGCGTGGCCTCGGCGTACCGCTCGGGCCGGAACGCGTCGACGTCGTCGCCAAACAGCTCGCGGCTGCGGTTGAGCACGAAGGGCGAGCACGCCACCTCGACGCCCGCGGGGACGAAGTTCCCGCACAGCTCCGTGCCACTGGTACCGTTGTTGTTATCGTTGTTGTTGCTGCTGTCGACCCAGCGCGGCAGGTAGCTCACGATGGGTGGGTCGTGCCTCAGCGACTCGCGCATGCACGCCGTCAGGTACGGCATCTGGGATTTGATTTTGGCGAAGGAGATGCTCGAGGCGTTGGCACTGCCGACGGGTAGCACGGCCTCAAGCTCTTGTCGCAGCCGAAGGAGGCAAGATGGGTTCTGCAGCAGGTTGCGGATGAGACAGCGGATGCTGTGCCCTGTAGTGTCGCTGGCTCCCAAGCTGAAGGAGGCCGGTGGATAATGGATCAGCTCCGCGTCCCACCGGAACGAACGTACGGTACATTTGATGGGTGAAGTCGGGGCTCTGAGCGCTTCCTTACATGATGAACAGCATATCCTCCCTGAATTCTTCCAGCTCCATGCCTGCATTGGCTGGATCGAACAGAACCCTGTCGTTTCCGTCTCGGTCATCAGCATCGGTTCACATGGCTTGACGTGATGTGGCACTCACTTGTCAAGCCTGACCTGGGGGTTATTCTCGCTCTTGGACAGTCTCTCCTGGAGGATTTCGTCTCGAAACTAGGTAAGGTAGGCAGGTACGGTAGTCAGCTCGCATGTCAGTCGTCACTTACACACAACCATCACAACCATCGGCATCGAAGTTACGCGAGGTAATTCTCTCCTTACAGCAAGAACATGTCCGAGTCCCGACCCATCACCTGGTGTGGGAACTAGAAACCGCCCGAACTTGTGTAGCAGGAAGTTCTTGACTTCCGGGACACGCGCGAGGGCATGGATGAGTGCGTTGTTCGCGCGGGTGCCGGCCAGCAGCCCGGTCTTGTCCCCGTATTTGAGGAAGCCCATGTCTCGGCAGAAGAAACGGTTGAAGACGATATCGAGCACCAGATAGCTAAGATAGAAGGTCAACTGGTTGTCCTACTACGGAATGAGCACCGACAACCAATTTCCGTCGCTTATATTGAGTGGGTACATACTTGGGCCAGTCCGAGAAGTCAAAGACCTGACTTTTGGGCACCGTGAACCTGGCCGTCAGGGCCTCGATCCAATCGGCGATGAACCGGTCAACCAAGGGCTCATCATTCTGATCCCACTTGGCGGAGAACTTTATGGGATTTTGTACGCACATCAGTCGACGTTTGGCAAAAGCTTACCACGTTCTGTCCAGTCATGAGACGGTCGGCCGTCCGTAGATGGGGCTCGGGAACTTACCAGGGGGTCGACCCGGTGGCGCTTTCGGCGATGCTCCCGCCAGTCATTCTCCTCCACCATGCTCTTGAACTCACTCGGTCCCTGGTTGTAGTGTGGTGTCTTGTTTGCGCGCAGGTGGTACACCTTGGGCAGCGCCATCGGGTCGCTGATCAGAAGCGTGTTAGGCGCCCACCGCACCACCGGCCCTGACAGTCGCCACGAAAGCATTCAGCGAACGGATGTATTACAGAATATGACCATGGGGACCACTGCAAGGTTGTCACACTTGGGGTAAACTTTGACATACCGTATTTGCGGTGGGCCTCCAGCATGATCTCGTGCTCTCTCCCGCTCAACACAGCGGCCACGGCGTGGAGGCGCGTCCACGCCGCAAGTCTCGGGCCCGGGAACGACGCGAGACGGTCCCGTTCCCACACGCGCAGGACGAGCAGCAGACCTAGGGCGGCGGCCAGGATCATCAGGCCGACAGCCCTTTTCTGGCTGCCGCCAGTGTCATCGGCGAGCAAAGACCGCAATTGCTCCATGACGTTTCGGCACTCTGTCTGGTAAGCTCACCCAGGTTCCCACGGAATGAGTGATGGCTCGTTAATAGCTGAACTTATGATTGGTATGGATACATGTAATGACGGGTTTCTTTCCCGGAATGATATTACCCCGTCTGTGTGGCTGTCGCATTGACGGGGAACATCCACGAGGGGGCGTGTTCAGCGGTCATCACTCAGGGTAGCACTGCACATCGCTTACAGACTCGATGCCTGAATGACCACCTAGATATAAGGAACACAAATTAAAGATTTTATATTACACTAACATTACTTATATAGCGGGACTTATGTCCTCCTGTCCGGAAAAGAATGCAGATACGGCAGAGGCGAGCTGTGCTCGTATTTGACCTCGCTGTGATGGGGAACACAGAGGACTTACGAGCCGGAGAAAGGCAACGAACCATAATATTTTTGATGCTTGACTGTGCTCAAGAATCTCATGGCAGAATAGTCTGATAAAGCCGTGCGCATACTGCCTACCTAGGTACTAGGTAGGTATTGGAACACATGATAGATTAGTATGTGGATGTCATCATTCAAACCGGATACCTGATCTCACCTGACAAAGAGGGGTGTGTCGGAAGCGGATCGCCCTCAGCGGCCCCGGACCGCAGGCTGCTCATATGGTGTCTTACTTACTCAAGATGGAGGCATCCATCTTAGCACCACCCCTTGACGCTGGAATCTTCTAACCACAAGGGACCAACACCTAGAAGGCTCTGCATGCCGCCCTAGTAGTCCTTGATCGGCTAGGTGTAAGCTTTATACGATGTGACGATGCCTATATAGGATGATGCATAATTCCGATGCGGTCAGCAGGCGTAAGAGGAGGGGTTTGGGGTAAAGGAGGCGGGCAGAGTAGAAGAGCTGAGGGTGAAGTGGTAAAGGAAGGGAAAGGTGCGTAAAAAGTGGTTGATGGTGAAAGTACCATGGTTGGCAGGTACCACGAACCAAATTTGTTGGAGCCGCCGTTGAGGGCCCAGAAGAGATGCAGATAGTAGCACGCGCTAGGTAGCCTTGACGAGGCTACCATCAGCCAGCATCACCTCAAAGCTCACCATATTAGCCATATGGGTCAGACAGATACAACAGGCCACCACCGAGAGTAAGTCCACCGACACCGACAGGCATAATACGGCCACCTACAATAGTAATAATTAGGTATATACATCTAGATACCTATATATAGGCGGCGTCCCATTAAGCTCCCGTGCACGTCCGCAGCACTAGCAAGCCGCACCACGCAGGCCACAGGCAGCCAGCACGACTCGACCAGTTCTCGTCGCTATGGTTGGCGTATGGCGCGTCGGACGGCAGCGTGATGATGGCACCGCCCATCTTGGCTCTTAACCGGGTGCAGCCAGAGTAAGCGCCATCAATGCTCCGGGACAGGCCAGCAAGCGTCTAGTTGGTCGCGACAACCGGCTGCAAGGTGGGTAGAATAATGAGAAGGGGTATGCAACACTCCGGATAGGGAGACCTGCAAGGGTCAAAAGCCAGAGTCTGGTTCCCACGTCGTGGCTAAATGTTGGGTATGACAGCAGCTGCCGCTTCAGAGTTTATAGTGCAACCAGATGCCTCTTGTACATACAAGGTACGTATTGGTTATCATATTCCGATCCTCCACCTGTCATTCGGCCGCCCTCGTGCGTGGGCGGCGGGTGCAGTCTTGGAGATGGGCCAGTCAATAAGTACCGTACAAGTACAATTCCATGAAGAGCGGAAATGCTACCTCCAATTTGATGCTGGGTATGTCATTGGTTCCGAGAGGGTTTTTCGTGGGTCTGGCTGGCCTGCAAGTGCTCCATCAGGGTTGCATTTCCTGTCGGCCTTGCATGCTCTTCCGACTAGGCTGCCCTCTCCTAACCAGCTCTATTGGCTATATGCAGCCAAAAGTGGAGGTAGCATTTCCATTCTTCATGGAATTAACTACACCTCCTCCAGCATATTACACGTTAGCGTGGTACTTGCCCCACCCACTATCCCATTTTCAGCATACAGTTACGTCAAAATCAGCATACAAGTCACTTTTCTAGTACTTTCCATAGAAAAGTGACCTCCTTCAAAATCCGTTCAGCCGACCCACTAAAAATCCATAATCTTCGACTTACATGCGCATCAGGAACACCATGGACATCGACACTATTATCAACCACAACCAAGACCTACACAAGTCGCCCTGCGCAGAGCGTTTTTACCGACTACATGCAAATAAGGCCAACAACCGTACAAAACACTGGTTCCAACAGGCCACTAGGTCCCAGGACCTATCACGTGATAAGAAGGTAGGCACCTTGCCTACTAGATTACCTACCCACCTACCTATCTTACTAACTCTCTCTCTCTCTAATAGATTGAAATTCGAACCTTACACAAGCATGCCGGCTGGGACTATTCCACTATTGCGAAGGCTACGGGCACAACACAACGGCAAGTGCAGCTTGCCCTGCAGGGTCCTTTGACCCCAAGGAAAAAAGGAAGGGTTGGGCCCCGGCCTGTCGTCAAGTCCCCGCAAAAGAACGAACTGATCGAGTTCCTACGGTCCGATCCGCTGAACCGCAAGCTTCCTTGGGCTGATTTGCGGTACTATATTCCAGGTTTCGAGCTCTTCGGAGAGCGAGCTATCTCAACGGCACTCGAAGCCCTTGGATACAAACGGACGATTCGACCCCGTCGCATTCAGCTTACCGATAAACACAAAGCCGATCGCCTCGCCTTCGCATACGAACAGCTTTCATTACGCCCGTACCAAGAAGACTGGGAGAATGTCCTCTTCTCCGATGAAACGTGGGCGACCAACAATCCAATGTGGAAGCAATGGATCACAATTCACGACACGGAAGATCCAGAGACCTGGGCACTCATACGAACTAAGCCACACGGGTGGATGTTTTGGGGCTCATTCGCCGGCTGTCGCAAAGGACCTAGCTTCTTCTGGGAGAAGGAGTACGGTGGTATCACTGCAGAGAAGTATCAACGGTTCATCATCCCTTTGGTCCATACATTTTATATAGAGTTTGAAGACATGTGGTTCCAACAGGATAACGCAGCACCCCACGCAGCTCGCGTAACCAAGGCATTACTGACAGCACTTGGGATTGACTACATTGTATGGCCCGCACGGAGCCCAGACCTTAGCCCTATAGAAAATGTATGGTTCTGGATGAAGAATTGGATCGAGGAAAACTATGATATTCAGCGGTTAACCCGGGCTCCGCTTCGCCGGGCTATTCAGGAGGCTTGGGATACAGTGCCCATAGAATTCTTACGGCAACTAGCTCACTCAATGCCCCGACGGCTCAGACAGGTCATTGCAAATGAAGGAGGGAGAATTATGTACTAGGTACTCTGTATGCAGTAGAAAATTGTATGTGTATGGTGGTATCTTGACTCTCTCTTGACTCCTGCAGGGGTTTTGCCAGCTCTGGTTAGTCGGGTGGGGCAAGTACCACGCTAACGTGTAATATGCTGGAGGAGGTGTATACGGAACCGTAGGTAGGCAGGCCTGCGGCGTTACCCCAATTACTGAATTAATCCACAGTGCAGCAAGCGGTCCATGGTTCCAGCCACTCCACCACCTTAGGTATGTAGCTGAGTGTGTGTCAGCTGCTGTCTGTCTCACCCTTGTGTCTCGTTGCAAACTGCAAGCTACTATGTATCTGCACGACTGTCATTGATGACTCGTCAAGGTTGACTTTTCGCTCGCCCGATGTTATGCCCGGTGGAGGAAGTTGTGAGTGAAAGTGGGATCCTTATCCATTTCAAGTCTAGTGCTATGGTGAGGGGGTTTATCATGGAAGTACCTAGCCCATTCTGGGAAACTTAGAGAAAACATCGCACTCTCACCCCACTAATTTCACCGGACGACATCCCGTTCGCGTGCCCGGTTTACGGCCGGCTCCGTAACAACCATAAACGGCGCTGGCGATCGAGGCCGGAAGGCATCGCCCATCCGACTTTGTTTATACTCCATTAAGTTTCTCCAAAACACGTCCATGCCAACTCCTAGCTGACTAAATTAGTTCTGATATCACTTCCCCGAGTCCCTCCATCAAGAAGCTCATGCAACGCCGGGACCTACCTTACATGGCTACACCTTTCTCAGGAGAAACCCATCATGCTGGAGTTTCTGAAACACCTGGGCGGAATCGTACTTCTTCGCGATGGCGCGTAGTCTCGCCACATTGGCAGCCCCGTAACCGGGCAGAGGATTCTGATCCCGCGAGCAGTCGTTCATGTAGAGGAAGTCCGCTTTCGACCGCCTCTTCCACTCGTTCGTCGTGGCGATTGACACGCTACGGACGGCGTCGTCGTGCGCAGCGGCCTCCCAGTCGATCAGCGTGGTCCACCCTGCCAAGATCATGAGCAGTCAGAGAATGCCGGATATTCGGGAGAAGGAAACAAAGGGTAGAGAGACACAGGAAGCGCAGTGACGTACACGCCATGTGCGACGGGCGCAGGCCCAGCGCGTTGCCGCCCCGGTCGAGGCCGCGCTGGACGAGGCTCGGCGCGATGGGCTGCAGGACGAAAGTCTGGTTCGCGCCCGTCTGCCGGTGCACGACCGCGGCGCGCGCCGCCCAGAAGCGGTACATGTCGACATACAGCTCGCCGTCGACGTGGGTGGTCGCGGCACGGTAGTCGTGGCGTAGGGGCGCCTTACTCGTCTGCCCGGCCGCGGCGGCCATCATCGCCGGGGCGGTGAGGTTCGTCGGCGGCAGGGCGGTCGCGAGCACGGTCAGGTTGGCAAAGGCTGCGAACGCGGCAGGCCTCGTGGCGACGGGCTGCGAGTAGAGAAATCCCACCGTGGTGCCGCTGATGGTGCTGACGGCGATCACGGTGGCTCGCTCGTCGGACCCGCCTGGCCCGAGTTGCCAGGCGGCTAGGGCGCGCAGGAACGCGGGCGTTTCGTCGGAGGAGATCACCAAGATCTCTGCATACACGTGGCGAACCGGAATGGTGGTGAGGTCAAAGCGGGTTACGATGCCTAGCATTCGGATATGTGTCAGGCAGAGCTCGGCGAGATGCAGGGAAGGTTTGGTGTCACTGGCATACCAAAGTTAGAGCCGCCGCCCTTGAGGGCCCAGAATAGCTCCGGGTTTGAGTGGGCATTTGCCTCGACAATGCTGCCATTGGCGAGAACGACTTCAAAGTTCCTGACATTGTCCGCCGCGAGGCCGTACTGGTTCGAATAGTACGAGAACCCGCCTGCCCAGAGTAACCGGTATTTTAGCAACGCTCCTCTATACCAAGTCGTTTACTATGTCAGGAAGCACTTACCGCCTAGGACCAGTCCTCCGACCCCAATGTCAGGCAGCCTCCCGCCGACAACGGTCACGTTGAACGGGTCGACTGCCGCCGCGACACTGCCCCATCGCTGGCCCGGTCCGACGCTTACCTCGGACGCGTCGGCGCTCACGCTAATCGAGTCGAGACGCGCCAGGTCGAGGAGCAGCCCTGGTTGGCTGATACTGGCGAAGCCCGGGTTCGGCGAGTGGCCGCCGCTGCGGATGGCAAAGAGCACTTGGAACTGCACAATAATGCGCAGGACGACCGACAGGAGCTGGGCTGAGGTGGGCTGGACGACGCACGAGGGCGCCTGCCAGGTCGACGCGGACCTGCAAAGCCGCATGTCAGCCTTGGCTCTGTGATAGACGGAACTGAGAGAGGGTTGGGGAGACGGGAGGCTCTAGCGCCGGCCCGGGACCACTCCAGCCTTCCAGGAGGTGCGTACCAGTTCACATCCACCAGGCCTTGATTTGCCGGCGCGATGGAAACGAACTCGGATCCCAGGGCCTTCTGGATCGCTAGGCAGGCTTCCGCCGCGGCTGCCGGAGAGCCGGGCTTGCAGTTTGGTGGAGCCTTCAGCGTCATGAGCGGAGACTCAAGCCAAGAGTCTGCGGTGTGATGGTGACGAGAGCAGACAGGACGACGAGGAAAAAGGGTGAATTGCGAATGACATCTCGACAGCTTTTCCCTTCCCCATCCAAGGGCTCGACTTCAGGAGCGAGCCGGGCAGATAAACACGTCAAGGAACCTCTGGAAATGAACCCTTCCATGGTACCTGACTGCGGCAGGCAGCAAGCGCGCCGAGGAGGCGCTGACATCAGAGCAACGTGGCGCGGTAACAGTACGTGTCGGTCGGGAGGACAGCGATGGCAATGGGCTCCCCAGCTCGGTATCTGACATCTAAGAACATAGTAGTAGATGTCAAGCTCACTTTCACCAGGCCTACGCGCGGCGCATTAGCCATAGAAAACCGCAACTCGTGGCGTTGCGTTGTCTACACAGCCACTTACCTAAACAAGATAGGGAGGTATACCAGGTCTCTAGATGCAGAAGGTAGGCGAAAGTATGGGACGTAACCTATCCCGGCTTGAGTCTGAGATGGGATGTGGTTCTGCATGTCGGAGGCTCATGTTCCCTACGCCCCTTAACGGTGATTAAGAGGCGGCTTACGAAACTTCCCGATGAAGATACCCGTCCAGTCAGTAGGAGTACCGCAGTACCGCAGTTTGGCTGACTCTACGGCACAAGTACTGCGCCATGGCAGCAGGAGGATGCAACGCCCACCCGCCTTCCTCAACACTCGGCCCCCAAGTCAATAGAAGACGCCGGTATGCCATAAGGAAATGCTTGGAGGTATTACTATTACTTCAAGTCGCTTTTGACGTGCTAGAAAGCCGCTCGCCAGGAAATCACGTACCTGTGCTGGCCTCTTTGGGTGGCGCTGAATATAGGTGACTGAAGGCGTTGCGCACCATCTATCTCATAGCCTTTTGTAAGACATTTTTTTGGCAAAGCTACCGTCGTGCTGGGACTCGATGCATGTAAACTATCAGAGCACATACCCAACGTCGCAGCTTACCTACCTACGTACTCACCCAGCGGAGCTGTCCCGACGTCAGAGGTCCAGTTCTCAGCGTCTGCATCATCCTCAAGTTCCCTGCCGCAAACGTCGACCGCGGTCTTTGCGGACGTGCCAGTTCTCACACCAATCCAACGGCGCGCGCTCACCTAGAGAAGGGGCGGGACGGGCGCGCCAGCGGTGGAAACACGCAGACGGTTATTCATACTTTGCCGCAGTACGTACCTTATCTATCCACCGTTGTCGCCGGGCCGTAACACGAGCTCTCATCTCTTGATTTTCACGCCCAGCGCGCTCTGCGGCACGGCCAAGTACTCCTCTTACGTGCAGTTGGAACTACCCAGCACCCGGATGACCATGGCGTTCCCGGGCATTGGGTAGGACCCTGGTCAGTTCGGTGTCAATGCACCGTCATTCTTGTACAGGAAGGACTGCGTATTTGAAGCACTGCGATAGGACTGTTTTCGCGTTTCATGCATATATATTCCGTTAGTAGACACGCCTCCTACCTGTCGTCCGCTGTGTCTTGCAGGACCGTGCATACTGGCCAAGCCGCTCCTGTGCCAGACGTGCGCTGGCCTGCCAAGGCTTGAGGGTTGAGGAAGGAGAACGGAACTAGGGACTTGTATGGTTGGGAGGGGAGCAACACGCGATAGGAAACGGCCTGGCAATGGCCCGACTGCGAACGACGCTGACCGGGAACAAAGACGTCCAACACCAATCGACACCCCGCCCCGGCTCGCTACCGTAGCAATTAGTTACAGGTAGATGCCCGCCTGTGGCTCGACTGCGACCTCGACGGTCGACAGGGAAATGAGCGCTTAGGCTGCAGATAGGCCGCCACGGGAGCTCTGGGCACTCAGGTAGAGTATACTCCAGACCAGAGGACTGTATGTCTTACTGTCTCACATGTTGGTGCTACCCCGCTCCCCCTTTCCAGGCGCGGGCTTCTGTGCCACAGATTATATTGAGACGGCGTTCCGATAACCCCGCTCAGAAACTCATCGGGACCGTCTTCGCAAGTTGTACCAATCAAGGCCAGGCTAGTCGGCAGTTAGCATTGTCCGTAAAAGGTGGCAGGGGAAGCAGTAAAGGGGGCTCTGTGTCCCAGGCCCAGGTGACTGCCTGCGCTGAGCCAGAGCAGCCCAGTGACACCGGTCCATCAGGCTTCGCTGAACGTTGGGTCCAGTGCGTCGGACACTTTTCTTACGGCCTTCCTACAGCCTCCGTGTATATGGTAAGTGGCCTAGAGAATCGCTTTTCAATCCAGCTCAACCTGCCCACCAAACCCACTTCAGCTTTCTCGATCTCGTGCCTATATTGACTTAGCCTCCCAACACCATGTCGGCATCGCTCGCCCTCGGCCCGACCCAGGTGACGCCGGGGTCGGTGCTCGTGCAGGCCCAGCTACGGACCAAAGCGCGCCCGCCGCCGGCGGGAACGTCGTTCGCGGGCAAGACGGCCATCGTCACGGGCAGTAGTAGCGGGTTGGGCCTCGAGGCTAGCCGGCAGATGCTCGCGCTTGGCTTGTCGCATCTCGTGATGGGCGTACGCGATAGCGCCAAGGGCGAGCGCGCCGCCGCCCCGCTACGTACCCGGTACCCCCTGGCTCGAGTTGACGTCTGGGTCCTCGACCAGACGTCCTTCGACTCGGTGCGAGCGTTCGCTGCCCGCTGTGCCAGTGATATAGACCGGCTTGACATTGTTATCCTGAATGTTGGCATGGCGACCCCAGAGTGGATCGTTACCGAGGATGTAAGTCACACCCCCTACTTATTGACCTGGCACATATATAATTGCAAAACTCGGGATCCTGCTTGCGTATACACCTATGCTCACTTGGGATCTTGTATAAATACACAGGGGCACGAGTCGATGTTCCAGGTCAACTATCTTTCAACGGCGCTGCTGGGCCTCTTGCTGCTACCGCAGCTCAAGGCCAGCGGAATTGCGCACGCGAGCGGGCCCGGCCGTTTGACCATCGTCGGCTCCAACCTCGCGCTTACCGAGCCCTTCCTGCCGACCGACAAGAGCCCTCTATTCTCCTACCTCGACGACAAGGACACCAACGCCAAGACGTGGGGTCTGCAGGCCGCCCAACACCGCCACGTCGTGACCAAGATTATGGGCATGATGTTGGTGCAGAAGCTGGGCGAGCTGGTCGATCCGGACCTGGTCATTGTCAATAATGTTGATCCGGGTATGTGGATATCGAAGTTCCCTACCGCTCCAACCAACGAGCCCACCGGCCGAGATTGAAACATACGCTAACGCCGCGACAACACTTCTGCAAACAGGCATGGTGAAGAACACCGAGCTCCAGCGCCGGCTGCCCGCGGTTCTCAAGGCCATCATCTGGCTTGTCTTCGCTCTGATCGCCCGCACGCTGGAGCAGGGCGGCTGGCTCTACCTCGACGCCGTGGCCGTCAAGGGCAGAGAGAGCCACGGCGGCTTTCTCTTCAGCTGGGAGCTGCACTCGTTCCACCCGGACATGTACACGCCCGAGGGCCGTGCCACAACGGACCGCGTGTGGCATGAGACGCTGCGCACGCTCGACTTTGCCGATGTGCAGGGCGCGCTGGCGTCCGTCCGGCGGGCTACGTGACGTAGAGCATGACTGAGAGACAAAGGTTGGATGGCCCAAGGGGTTCAGTATTGGAATTGCGTACCAGAAAGTCTCTATAGTTAGGATCGCGTCGATTACTATTCCCAAGCACTTTCTGGACATATGACTGTATTGATAATGGCGTTCAATGTTTTACTAATTACACAGAGAACTGGGCATTGAGTTTTGTTAATCTAAGTACGAGTCCAGTCTGTGAACGCCAATAATAAATAGCTAAGGGACACTCCCTGTCGGGGACGGAACAATGTAAGTATAATACACCGGACGATGAACAGCGAAGGTCAACCTAATCATATAAGAAAGGGCGTTCTTGAATAATGAGGCCCGCCGACCGGGTACTTCTTGTACCTCAAACGGACCAGCATCCTCGCCCTCTAATTCGGTGGAGCAGATGACCTGAGCATTGCCAGCACAACTCTCTGAATCGCAAAAGGAGCCAAGGATTCGCTATAAAGCTCTTTGGGGGCCTCATCGCCTGGCGAGCAAACAAGACATAGTCACCACCTTAACAACCGAGAAGGAGCTACTTGCCCTCTCGCAGATGGCTAAGGAAGGATTCTCCGTTTCTCGCCTATTGAAGGAGCTTAGGGTGTCGCTGGACTCACAGCGCCTAGTTGTCGAAGTCGATAATCCGCAGACTATATCCGGCTAGTCACGGGGGAAATCGCGAAGTTTAAAACCAGTCTCAGCCAAGTGGGCATCCATGACCACTGGTTGCGCCAGGAGTATGCGAATGGTAGAATCAATATCATATATACAAAGAGTGCAGGGATGATGGCAGATGGCCCAACGAAGGCACTTGCTCAGGAGCAGTTTCTCAGATTCAGGGAGCAGAATACGCCTGATCGACGTGGGCGAAAGGATCGCAGAGCGCAGGGAAAGGGAAGAAAAGGAGAACTTGGAAGTAGAGGTATAAGAGGGATTGAAACAGTGGAGGACATTCGAAGTGGTTGTCCTAGCCTCCCTAAGTGGAAGACTCAAGTCCAGGGACAGCCAACTAGGCTAGCTGACGAAGGCTTACCGACAGTCCTCTTTACGAACCGGAGCCTGCGGAAATACCAGGGCCTTACAAAGGCCAAGAGCTCCCTACTAGTACAGGCCCGCACAGGGGCTATAGGCCTACGGGACTTTCTTTTCAAACAAAAAGCCCGTAACCAGCCTACCCCCTACTGCGAGTGCGGGGAAGGCCAAGAGACAGTGGAGCATCTGGTAGTTTAGTGCTCTACACCACCTATACTAAGAACCTGGCCCAGGCAACTAATACGCACTCACTGGGACCTTAGCCTTGTTTTACAGGGCCTAGGCAACCGGAACCGAAGACTTCTGAAGAAGGTACTAGGTTGGCTGATGAACTCGGGCCGGCTAGGGGAATACAGGCTCGCTCGGGACCTAGACCAGGAACTGGAAGCCAGGGAGCCCGGCTAGCCACACCCGTGGCCACGGCTTAGCCGGGCTAGCACCCTACTAGCCGTTGGCCCAAGGCCTTCCCAAGGCCTTTTTCCTTACTTGCAGCAGGGTGTATCACTAGAACCATGTCTTTCCTATTACTTCCGACGAAGGTTTTCACCCGGCCTAAACGGTACGGTTTTTCCTTTGTACATAGCAGTAGAGGGTCCGGCGCGCCTTATGAATAGCTAGGCATAGCGGAGTAGGAGAATATATATTAAATCCATTATAACAATATTAGATCTACGGGTGTAAGAAGAACTATATAAAAAGGATCTATAACCTCCTAGCGAGTATAAAGGAAGCCGCTACGATTTAAGATAATCGACCCGACGATAGAATTTAGGTTACGGTATACTAGAACGGTTCTAGGCACTGGCATTAGTAGATAGAGGATCCTAAGTTAACCTTATCTCGCCAGTACTTATTAACCGGCTTAGAATCCTATAGAGGATTAAGAAAGAATAATATATCATTAAAGGACCATTTAATACCTAATAGGTCCGATAGGAAATAGAACCACTTATAATTATAATACTTCCCAAGGCCTTTTTCTTTACTTGCAGCAGCGTGTATCACTGGAACTATGTCTTTCCTATTACTTCCGACAAAGGTTTTCACCCGGCCTAAACGGCACGGTTTTTCCTTTGTATATAGCAATAGAGGGTCCGGCGCGCCTTGTAAATAGCGAGGCATAGCGGAGTAGGAGAATATATATAATTATAATAAAAGGAAAAACTACCAAAGCAGTATTCGACATTATTAAAATAAAGCCCTAGAAGGATATAATTCTTAAGCGCGTATAGCATCGAAATTATAACCCCGATATTAGTTAGAAGTGAGATAGCCACCTATAACCTCGAGGATAGAGGCCATATCCGACTAATAAAATAGGAAGTATAGACGAAGGATCGCGACAAAGTAGATCGCTATAAAAGATAGCCTTTATAGATCTACTACAAGAGATGGACAGTACTAGGCAGAGCATTATAGACTTAGGAAAAGGCGGTAGTTACTAAAACGAATAGCGAGAATCGGCAAGAATAGGCTAGAGGCAACGCTATTTATAATAATATACTTATATAGCTTAGAGAGATATAGACGATATTATATATATATATATTCTCCTACTCCGCTATGCCTCGCTATTTACAAGGCGCGCCGGACCCTCTATTGCTATATACAAAGGAAAAACCGTGCCGTTTAGGCCGGGTGAAAACCTTTGTCGGAAGTAATAGGAAAGACATAGTTCCAGTGATACACGCTGCTGCAAGTAAAGAAAAAGGCCTTGGGAAGGCCTTGGGCCAACGGCTAGTAGGGTGCTAGCCCGGCTAAGCCGTGGCCACGGATGTGGCTAGCCGGGCTCTCTAGCTTCCAGTTCCTCATCGAGGTTCCGAGCGAGCCTATATTCCCCTAGCCGGCCCGAGTCCATTAGCCAACCCAGTACCTTCTTCAGAAGTCTTCGGTTCCGGTAGCCTAGGCCCTGTAAAACAAGGCTAAGGTCCCGGTGGGTGCGTATTAGTTGCCTAGGCCAAGTTCTTGGTATAGGTGGTATAGAGCACCAAATCACAAGATGCTCTACTGTCTCTCTGGCTTCCCCGCATTCGCAATAGGGGGTAGGCTGGTTACGGGCCTTTTGTTTAAAAAGAAAGTCCCGTAGGCCTATAGCCTCCGTACGGGCCTGTACTAGTAGGGAGCTCTTGGCCTTTGTAAGGCCTTGGTGTTTCCGTAGGCCTTGGTTTGTGAAGAGAACTGTTGGTAGGCCTTCGTCGGCTAGCCTGGTTGGCTGTCCCTGGACCTGGGTTTTCCACCTGGCCTCCCAAGCTCTTAATAATGCCCAGTCATCCTGGGTCTTGGCCAATGGTGGGCCCAAGGCTTTAGCCTGGGCGTTCCATTCGGCCACTACAGCCGAGGCCTTTTCGACGTCTGTTGGCTTTTCTGGGCTCCGGGGCCGGCCCCGTAGCCTCCGGAACCTTCGTTGGAGCCTATTGCAAGCCCCTTGGATGATTTCCTTTGGTGGGCGTCTCGGGGCCTCTGGGCCTAGCCCGGCCTGTAGGGTAGGCTCGTTGAGCCGGCCTTCGAAGTCGGCCAGCCTCTTGTTAAGGTAGAGGTCTAGGGGAGGGATCCAAGTTTCCGTCTCGAGATTCCGTATAGGGGTAGTCTTATAGGCCCCGGCTACGATGCGTAGGCTTCGGTTCTGGGCCTTTGCTAGGTCTCTAGCTAGGCCTTGTGGTGAGCCGTTGAGTGTTGTAGGCTTGTGGAAGCTGGATGCCCCATAGGCTATTGCGCTACGAATGCACTTGGTATAGACCTCTCTGGCCCTGATTAGCCCCGGGCCCCAGGTCTTGGCTGCTATCCTTGATAGGGCAAAGTCTTGGGTTCTTAGCTTGGTAGCTATGCTGGCTCCGTGGGCCTTCCAAGAAAGCCTCCAGTCGAGCCAGACCCCTAGGAACCGGGCTGAAGCCGTTGGTTTAACCATAGTATGGTCATGAGGGTGGCCCGGTTTGGCTAGTCGTAGTGGTTCAGACCACTGTTTACGGCCTTTGTTGAACCTTGAAGTCCTTAGATTATCACTCTACAAACGTGCTACCTAAGCGTAATCGCAAAGATCCGCCTTATAGAGGTAATCTAATCAGAGAGGCAAGGCCAAACCTCTCTACCGGACCAAGCATAATAATACTAGGCCACGGGACTCCAAGGTTTGCACCTTAAGCCCTCTATAAGAGGCATAATACTTCCTCCCTCTTGGATGACCGACACGCGCGTCCGTCCTCTCCGGCCGGCTATACTACTCCTTCAGAGCCATGAGTTCCTTGTAGCGGCGACACCACACATTTGATCTCCAGCTATAGTACTCTCTAGTACATCCTATCGGCGGTTTCCTCCCCTATCGTACGCCTCTGGCTAAGGGAGCATACTCCCCGCCGCGTACGATATTCCTACGGGTCCCTCGCCGAGGGAATAGCTATATCTCTCCTATAGCCTAGGTGCAAGCCAGGGCCATACTTCTATCATCCTCCTCTCGGTCTAGTATAGCCGCCACGGCCTACCTTCCGCCAGGCGCAACCCTGACTTCTAGCTTCCCGTTGCCTTGCTAGATCTCCCTTACAAGGCCGACCGTGTCTTATAATAGGCCGTCGCACGAGCTGCTACGCCGGTATAGCTCGCTCGGTCGCTCTGCTACTAACCTGCCCTGATCCACCTGCCTTGCCTCCTATCCTCAGATCCAACTACAGTGTTGCAAAGGGCGAAGTGCCTCGCAAGAGGGCCCGGCCGCCCGTATTGCCTCCCTTAACGAGCCCGTATTCCCTCTCTCTCCTGCTCTTATAGTTGGTCGTATGATCGGTCGGCGATACCGGCTTTCGCTCTATATCCTTGTCGCCGTACGACTAGCCCTCTAGCGTTCGTCGTAGGCGCCCTTAGAACCGGGCAGGGCCAGGGGTGCCCTATCTCTTCTTCAAAACGTCGAAAGAGTCGGGTGGTTTTCGTACCTAGTGTCCCCCTAGTCTTGCAAACTTATTGCAGGTAGATTGTCGTGGTTATCGTCAATGGTAGTCGTCGTGCGGGGTAGTACGGGATTTTCGGTGCACTCGAAAATCCTTACTTTCTTGTCGCGAAAACCAGCAATCCGATAGCTATACGGCCGCGTAGAAGCTGTACGTCGCTGCAACCCCTTGGAATTGAAAGAACAGATCGCAAAGGACCTAATTCCCGATTTTTGCGATGCCCGGCCGCCTGCGTGGGCGGCCCCCGATGTTTGTTCACCAGGAAGGGACAGCTTATATATAATACTATACTAACAGAGACAACAAAGGTTACTCCGTTCTTCGCGAACTTTAGTTATAAAGCAGACTTGCACCAGGGACCAGACGTCACAGTATCTAGGGCAAAAGTCAAGGTAGAGAAGATATATACATTATATATAATACTAAAGGAAGAACTCGAGTTCGTTAGGCTTAGGATAAAGGAGTACTATAATAAACATTGGCTCGAGGGACCTTGCCTTAAGAGAGGAGATATAATCTACCTCATTTCTCGGAATTTAAGAATAAAACGGCCAAGCCAGAAACTCGACTTTAGAAAGATTAGACCGTTCAGAATCGACGTAAGAATTTCGACATCTAATTACCGACTTTCATTACTATTAATAATAAAGCTATATATTAACGTCTTCTATATCTCGCTCCTCGAACCAGTACCTAAGAATATATAGGCTATAAAAGATATCGAAGCCAAGGACGAAGAAGAAGAATAGGATATTAAGGAAATCTTGGACTTGCAAATAGCCAACGGAAGGCTAGAGTACCTAATCAAATGGCTCGACTTTGGACCAGAAGACAACTTATAGGAGCTAGCAGAACACCTTAGCTATATAGAAAAACTAAAGGAATTCTATCGACGGAATCTAGATCGGCTAGGGAAGAAGAAAGCGCAAAAATCTTCTCCCCGTAAATAGCTCGACCTGGCGGTTAAGCCACTTATATAGAGAAGGGGCATAGATGGGATTCGAACCTATAACCTCCTAGAGCATTCGCCCGGGTATAATAACCAAGCTGCACCATTAAGCCATTTCATTTGTTAGGAAACAGGCAATAAAATCAGATTGAGAACCAGGCAGGAAAGAGCAGCTGCAGGCAGCAACACTATAGCACGACATATACAGCAGGCGCGACTAAGACCTGACTACTATCACAAACCCCTGGCACTACCGGATGGAGCAGGACCTCCAGTACTAGGAGAAGCAGGGACCTTGCTACCACTACCACCCGGAGAACGGAGCAACCAGTCGAAGCCACCCCCAGGGAAATCAGGAACAGCACCAGCGGAACTATAAGGCATAACGCCTATAGCCTCCCAATCAACTATACCGGCGGCACCTAACGCTTGTACCTGACTAACCAATGACTGTTCCTCCGATATCGGCTTCGGAGAATCAGGTTCTTCCTCCTCCTTTAAACGAGTTATTCTACGACAGAATGTCTCGACCCTATGCTCGCAGAGGAAACGCTACTAAGAGCGAAGACGAGACAAGCGACTTAGGGTCTCGGCTAGCACCTGCTCTGTTTCCTTAATATCCTTTGCTACTTTCTCCTGCTCCGACAAGTTGGATAGTACTACCATCTGTTAACCACCAAGTAAAAATACCCCGAGCATAATACTTATATGCATCGGCCATATTAGGCCCGCTATACTTCTTGCCCGCCCGAATATAGTTCGAGCACTTGTTCGACCCCTCTATCATTATACAACGCCTCTGGGGCTTTGTATTCCAATAACGCTCGCAAGGCATGGCGACTTCGAAGCCCGTTCGCTCGATTTTCGTTACGAAAGCGCGGCGCTTACGCTTCAAGTCACAGGAACTATGATCCTTGGGATCAGCCATGGCGGAAGGAACGGGAAAAAGGTTAGGGTAACAAAAGGACTTACGACGGGAACCGGGAGTGTTAGCGCTAAAGTATGAATGTTCGGCGAACCTGGGTCTTTCGGGACGAAAGACGTGGAGAGGGGACATCGTGTCACGAACCAACCATATAGCAAGACCCGGTAGGGCACGACGGAAACAGGCAGAACCAATTAGCAGGGGTAAAAGCCGCAGGCGGCCGCATAAGGACGACCTGGGTAGCTCAGGGTTGCCGGCGAGCGAGAGCGATCATGATAGACTTGGGTAGCCGCCTACCCAAGGCGATCGAGGGTAGACCACGGTAGCCGTCGAACGACGGCGAGCCAATAGGATCGGCTAGGTATATAGTCATTCGTTATGGAGGACTCTGGGAGTTCTCCAGTGAGCAATACAAGCAGTAGAGTAGCCCTACCTTACTGTGCAGACATTGCGATTTGCATTGTTGTGAACCTTTTGGCTTCACCGAGACCTATAGTCCGACCAGCAGTTACCTTCGACCGGCGAACCCTTTCAGAGGCAGGACTGCCTGTGGTTTCGTCACAGGATCCTATAGAGGATCAAGAAGAAATAGTATATTATTAAAGGACCATTCGATACTTAATAGGTATAATAGGAAACGGAACCACTTAAGATCATAGTAGAAGGAAAAACCACCAAAGTAGTATTTGACATTGTTAAAATAGGGCCTAAGAAGGACATGATTCTAGGACGCTGTGACGGTGGAACCCACCGTACCATGGCACAGGCCATTGATTGGTCAACCTGGTTGGTGCCCCACCTTCCACATCTGGGCACATGCTCTACATCCTGTATTTAGACTTCTTCGCACCTTGCAGTCTTCGAGGATTCCTTTCCTCCAGCAAGTTCAATATTCTTGCAATGCAGTCAGTTTACCACCAGAGGCTTGACCCTGGCCTTGAACGACGGCCCTCGTGACACGGATCGACGAACGACAGGGGGGGTCGAACCAATAGAAGAAAGAAAAGAAATAGAAAGTAGAGGGAGGAGCATAATAGGAATAGTATAAAAAGAGGAGGGTAAAGTAGGCTAGAAGAGGTAAAAAGGCCGAAGCCAATAGGAGTCAAGCGCAGCGAAAAGCGGAGGACTAGAGAGAAGAATAGCAAAGAGTAAAACAAAGTGCTAAGTAGAAAGAGCAAGAAAAAGTAAAAGCGGAACAAGAACACGAGAAGAAAACGACACGCTAGAAGTAGAATAGTCGATAGCGGGCTAAAAAATAGAAGGCTATAGAAAAGCAAGAATAGGCAGATATATAGAGCAAATACTATAGGGGTTAGATATCGCTTAAGACGGACAAGACAAAGGTATAGTTACCTTTCCTATTATTTAACTAAGATCTAAACCAGAAGAATTCATTAACTAAAGGTCGATACTTGTTATAGATTATACCGTCTAAAATACCTTAGCTAGTCAAGTCCGGAACCTAGTAGGATATTAGCAAATCGAGCGTCTAGTCGTTCTTTCGCAAAGTGGTCCTAGTCTACTTGGCGGATCATAAAGGGGATAAAATATACCGAACAATCTATAACGAGAATAAAAGATAGTATACGGATAAGATTATAAGCAGATTCGGACCTGACATCCTTAAGGGGCCGTACGGAGATACCCTGAATATGATCGCCAAGCTTATAGTTCAGCTACGGGTTGAGGCTAAGATAGAGAGAAAGAGATAGCGGCTATAAGTGCCATCGGCGGTTCTAGTTTCGTAACCGAGTTGTTTCTTGGGCGAGGCTTCTATGGGATAGAATCCTCCTACCGCCATTTGTACATTACTGTAAGGTTCGACGTAAATAGTAATTAAAACCTTCAACTTACTTGTCTGGCTTGATAGTTTTACTATCTACTATATCCTATCTTTGTTACCTCAAGCTTACGATGCAAGCTCTCGGGGTATACAGCGACTGCTTCGAGGGCACGCACTATAGTGATGCGTCGCCGGCGGGCATCGAGGAGTGGTCTATAGCTTCTAACCTATGTCACGCACCGGCCGCTAGGGCACGGCGCCGCTCAGTACCTTCCCGATGCCTTCGGGTGGCAGCTCCACAATACGCGCGCTCTCGCCGACGCCTACGCGCGACAGGTGCCGTGCACCATATACATACCCGAATTTCTGAACGGTAGGTACTGTATTAACCCCGCCTATAGCTTGTCTCCTTTCCACGTGTCCTCCAGCAACACGAACATATAAAACCGCGCTATATATATGGAAGCACGACATAGCGTGCAATATAACTCACACTAGCCTGGCCGGCCTACCACCGCACGTGGAATCGCCATCGCACACGATGACGTGACACCAGAGTCCAAACCCCTCGTTAACCAGCCGCCCCTTCCACCACCCACCAGAGGTCACGCAGTCTTCGAATCGGTGCTCGACGAGCTCGAGAAGAAGCCCGCGCCTAGCCTGCTCGCCAAGGTCAGCCGGACCCTCACGACGCTATCCCTCCTCCCAGCCTACCACAGCTCCCTATACCATACCCGCCAGGCGGTCGCACACCCGCACGTACAGGCCTTTCTGCGCGGCCTGCGCGCAGACCAGCAGCCATCGCTCAACGCTACCGGCGCAACCAAGATCGGCGTGGCGACCTTTTGCTGTGGAGGAGGGGGGGGCTGCACGCCGTGCCACTGACGTACGACGGACCTCAGAGCCGGTACCAAGCGTCCGGGCGTGGTGAGGAGAAGCCGCCGGTGGACTGCGGTTTCACGGCGCACCCGTCGCTACTCAATTTCCCGCAGCACATCGATTTGGGTTCAACCACGACATGTCCAGGGTGGCGCCGTTCACGGACCACCACAGGAGGTTGGAGTTGGTCGGCGCCGCGCCGATCGTCACAGGCTCCTCCTCGGCCCAGATAGCTGCCGAATCCACCGTCTTGGACACGTAGGGGACCAGATCGGTGCTGGAGATGTCGTCGCAGCTGTCGGTCTTGTTGTAGCCCGTGGTGTCGGGTGTAGACGGGCTTGTGCCGTAGTAGACGATGCCGAGGATGACATGCTCCATGGAGTTGGTGGAAGAGCAGGAGGTCTGGGGGACGGCGCGGATCCAGAAGTTGTCTGCAGTGTCGGACTGGTCTGCATGGATGATAACATCATACCTTTGGCCTACAGAGCTCTAGTTAGTGAACAAGTGGCTATTGACGGAGCAGCCTGTTGTACGAACCAATGCCAATGCTGACGATGCTCGTGTTGAACGGCTGAATGGGAACCAAGTCGTTCGCAATGGCTTCCATGGTGTGGTTATCGATGGAGAACATGAAGAAAATATCTATCTCAGCATTGATGAGGCGCACGCGGTAATTACGACGTCCCCACGGTAAATGACACATTGAAACGAGAGACCGCTGTTATGTCGCCGTCAACGTAGATGTTCGTGCCGTTGATCAGGCCGTTGTCCTGAGTCGGTGGTCCATTCAGCTGGGCAGGATAGAACAGTGAGTCCGCAGTCTTATGGGTCCAGTCGTTGAGGAAGAGCACGCCCTATCCAGCTCAGACCTGGGGATAGTCATGTGGCCTACAATAAATCCCACGGGTATGCACGGGCCAACTGAGAGCTGTATCCTCCAACTCTCGGTTGGACCGTGCGTCAATGGCACCTTCTGGGAGCGGGCGGCTTGAGTGGGGCGATAAATAAGGACAGCGATCTGGGATGGCTTATAACAGTGTGCGGGCTGAACTATATATAGATACGCACAGGGCGGTCATGTTCTTCAGTGGTCTGGTATTGAACGATGGCTCAAAGTGACCGTACGGACCATGGCGCGCTCCTCAGGCCCTAGCACGACACGTTCCTTGTAGGAGCTTTCCACATATTGGTGTAGAAACGTCTGCACTAGTGCCTGAACGTTTGGGGTGGATGGATCCCGGGCGAAGTCGAGCCAGAAGCGGCGGGAGTCGAAACCACCGCGGCTTCACTAAGTTAGCTCGATCATGAGCCATATATATCCGGGGAGCACCATACCTGTTCATTGCACCTTCTTTCTCTCTAGTAAGCTTACAGAAACTTTAAGAGATAATTGAAATTAGTAATAGATCAGCACATTGTCCTAGGCTTTATATCGAGATCAGGTTTTGGCAAAGGAAGCCTAGGAAGAAGGGGAGAAGATATACTTAGTCCAGGCTTCCTAAATCCTATTGTGCTCCGCCTTCGTATCTGGAGCAATAAAGGGCTTCTTATTACCCTTCTCCTCGATGGCACTGACTATGTAAGCTTAGAGGAGCGCTTTAACTCTGGCCGGGTCCGCCCCGGAGAAGCGCGACTGTCGTTGTACCGTCACGGTGAATTGAGAAGTACATTAGGAGTAGGAACAACGACGAGAAGGTGAGGAAAGAAGGGAGTTCTGGGGTTTAGGAAGGGGGGGAGGGGGGAAGGGAGGCCACGATAGCAAGAGCGAGATAGGCCAGCAAGGCCAGCATACCGAGGCTCGAGGGTTGGGCGTAGTTGGTTCGCGTCCCCGGTTCGGGGACGCGATCCTGGCGCCAGAAAATGCACCTCCATCACGAATGCGCGGGGCGCGTGCTGAGGGGACTCAGTGGGTGTGAACCAAGTAGAGCGGGCGACGCCTTCCGGCCTCCGTCGCCGATACCGTTTGCATTCGTAACGGAGCCGGCCCCACTCTGGGAACGCGAACGGGTTCTCGGCCGGCAAAACTTCGGTCGAGGCGCTGGCCCGTGCCTGCTGAGTCATCAAAAGCAGTTGTGCGAAAAGCAAGATTTTGCGTGAAGTCCTCTGCTCTCCTTCCGGTGTATGCCCTCATTGTACTCATCTTCTACCTCCTCCGGCAGCGAGGTACCCCGTACAGCGTCCCAGACTCGCACATGGGAAGTTGGGAGTTGGGTTTGTCGAAGGGGGATGTGGGTCGCAACACCGAGTTTTCCTTGATTGGTTGCAGCCCTTGCTGTGGTGCCATTTCGGGAAGCTGGTGGTGGAGCAAGGTCCTATGCAACAACCTGAGGTAACTCTAAACAAAGACCTCGAGCAGGGATTGCAGTGATAGACGTACGATATAGTCGTGTGGCGGTGGGTTGATACGTCTTCCCATATATACGGTCGGATTGGTAGCGGCAGTACGTCTTAAGCCTCGAGGGGAAAACAACACATCGGCACTATAGACGCCCCTTGTCCACCGAGTTATGGTAAAGCCTTTTGGGAGGTCAACTCTGCCCGCCAACAACAGGCGAGTCATGTTCTTCAGATCATGGTTGCTGACGTCTACATTCAATATGTACGTCTATATTGCCTGCTGCTTACGTCACCAAGGCTTCATTGATTACCGATTTATTCTTGCATTCCGTCGAAGTGGGCTTCATATAAGATGCCATAGATTTCAGGCTTAAGCCCACATGTGTCCAGGTACCCGGCAGTCACTTATCCAAAGCGCTGTACGCCTTGCTAAGCCATAGCCCTGGGGGACTCTGAACCATCGTGGGCTGCGTCTCCCAAGCCTAGCGTCTCAAGAAGTTGCTGGCATCGTTTATTGTTATGTATGGTTCGGCCGCGGGGGTGTCGTCGTGCGGGTCGAGGAGACGCGATTGCCGCAGCACGAGAGACTGGTCGTCGAAGCAGGACTGGTGACCCCGGGGCCTTTACGGAGGACATAATGCCTCATCAGTCGGTATAAAAGCCGCTATTACTGCAGTGGACCAAACGGCATTGATGCGCTCGCTCAGAGTGGCAAGGCGTACCTTGTATCGCTCTTCTCGCTGAGACGCATGTATAACAGATTCATGCGTTAAGACTCGGCGCTAGAAAGGGCCGGTACCGTCAGGAGTCGTCCCGCCGACAAAGCTGCAGCTGGTGCAGTCCCTCTCCCGCCCCCCGCCCCCCGCCCCCCCCAAGGAGCGATCAGCCTCGCCGTGCAGGACGTCTCTCTCTCTTTCTCCCGCGTCTGCCTCGGCAAGGATGTAGGACGAACTCTCATCTAGGTGCGCGCGCGAGTAGCGCTTTACGCGTCGATCAAGTGCAGTTCGAGGAGATGGTAGATATACGCCAGTCTGCGGAACGCGCGAAGGTTGTTTTCAGTTGCTCTCAAACGTCTGTCCACGGACTCTTGCGGGTTCAAGCCTTGCACAAGGTTATGATCCGAGCTTGGCCTCGGCCAAGCGGGTTTCTGCCTTGCCGCGGGACGTCGGGCAGGGCAAAGACGTGCTGGAAGAACCTGGAAAGAAGGGTTGCGTCGACAAGAAACGGCGTCGACGTCAGGGGGTTCGGGCTTCCCGGGATGGCTAGGAGGTAGTCGATTGGGTGTTTCCCATGGACGGGAAGTCGTGCCGTTGGAGGCGTAGGGGGCATTTGGAAGGGTCAGGGGGTGGCCCCGTGGCGGGACACAGTCCTCTCCCTACCCGCTGCATGGCAGAGGGGCCGTGCCCTTGGGCACACCCAATGCCGCGAGGTGGGCATGGTCGACGACGTAGCGGTCCCCGCGGCAGGGCTTGGAGGCGGGCAAGGACCCGGTCCAGGTGGTGTAGCGTTGAAAGGTGGCGGGCACCTATAGCGAGTAATCGATGGTGCCCAAAAGGGCGTCTTCAGCGATCTGAGACTGAGAGACAGCGATGCGGAGCCGAGGGCGCTGAAGTACGCCAAGCACATGAAGGCGGTATATGGCTGTCGGCTTCGATGTGTGGCGGAGGAGATGCACGCCTCGGCTGTGGAGGGGACAACGGTGGACATATACCGGGAGCTTCCAGAGCGGATGAGGGAGGAAGCGACTGACTGTTCTGCTCGGCTGAGAACTGCGTCGGCCTTGCAGGACCTTTCAGCTGATCCGCGCAGAGAGTAGGCCTGATCTTGGATTTGTGGCCTTGCCGTTGGGGAAAGGGGGGAGTCTGAGTTCAGGAAACAGAAGTTTTGTTCCACTAGCAAAGTCACCACGAACACAACGGCAATGCTGCAGATTACTAGGAGCCTTGGTCCGGTGTTGGGCCTGGCTGCCGGCTGACCCTAGATAACGAGGACATGATCGACTGCCTTCTTGCTGGACACGAGCATATTGAAGAGCTGTGCGTCGCTGTCCTAGGTCGGGAATTGCTGGTGCGCGATTTGATGTTGTCGCTAGAGGGTTTCGTGGACGGAAGGGTGTTGCTTGACTTCCGCCGTATGACTTTGGCTCGCAGCATAGACCTGAGATCCCTCATGACGGGGGGAGTCCTCGACTTGATACTGGCTTGCTGAGGTCTGAAGAAGCGACGGGCATATAGAGTACGTTGGTATATCGACGCCCCCTTTTGTTTGTGTACCTCGTGATGTCTATATATGAGTGTGTATACATGTACGTACTGATGAGCCTTGATATATAGATAGACGCTATTTCCTTAGCGGCGGATTCATCGACTGAATGCTCGCTGGTATCGCAGTGACGAGGGAGTGTTCCACGCCATCAGGCTCTCGGACCGAGCTCGCCCTCTAGCTTATCTCAGGCTGGCACCACAGACATAAGGGTGTCCTTTTCTAGTTAGGTAGAGAAGCATTTATGAACCCCTTTGTGGCCGGACTGTATCAAACGAATCGCGTTTTTTGACATATAGTTCACATTACTAGCCTTCAATTGTCATACTTGCCTTTTCTCCATAGACGCCGGGCCAGCTAAGTACCTACCTACTTTTGCGACCCGCATGAGCGGCACATGACCGTCCCAGCTAGCCAGACGCTCGAGCTGTACAAGCGCTTGCACTAATCACGTAGTCAAATGACTATGAAAACGACAGAGACAGTTCAATTGCGGCCCAATCTAGGCCGGACACAAACTGCTCTTTCATCTGAGATCCGGTGTATCCTGACGACATCAACTGGCTACGTGCTGTTCCGCTGTTCAGTCAACAACGCTACCCTAAGAAGCGCTTCACATCCGAGTTTCAAAGAAAGCCTCGACAGAGATTGGTACGGGCCGCTCGAGGGGGCAACCTATGGTCAAACGAAAACCGCACACCAACGGTCAAGACCAGTAGGACTGAGATTCTCAGGAGATGAAACGAAAACCATTTTGGTCCCCGATTCCCCTCCCTTTTCCTTCTTTCTTTTCGATCTCTCTCTGTCATTCTTTTCGTTTTCTTCCATTTGATTTTCGCTTGCTGGATCCCTTGTTCCTCGAACTGTCCGGGGTCAGTTTAGCATAAGGTGATATCGGTTATGGGACGATAACCTTACGTCCTGACCAGCGGCCTCGCCGTCGGCACCAGGTGGCTAGACGTAACGAGCAATGAGGTCAACGACAACAAAGACGCCACTGCTGAACCAGCAGATTCCCAACGCCCAAACGGACGGACCGACGAATCGGGAGTTCCGGTACAATACATCATCTCAGCGCACCGATCTACACCCAGAGTTACTAGATGAACGCTTTCCAGAGTTCCGTCGATGCAAACGGCTGTTGTGTCTCGCAAAATGACTAGAGCAGGCCCCTTGCCCGTTCTTCCACCAAACCAGGTTCGCATACCCACACGCCACCCGCACCAGCCGGGTTGGGAGGCGAGTCGCAGATACGTCCCAGATGGCGCGACAAACGCAGTAGGCTAGTAGTTGGGGCCCAAAATGGCAGATTCCCATCCCATGGGCACATACATGCCCAAACGCAAAGGGGGCCGGTCGGCTTGTGTGCGAACAGGTTGAACCCTCCTCCCCTTGCCCCCTGCCGCCGTCATCTTCACAAGGATGGACGAAAGGTATCTGGTAGTACTACTTGTAAGGTAGTCACTTGGTCGTACAACTTCCCAGAAGAACGCCGGCTTCTTTCTCTCTCCCGCATGGCTTGGCGGGTTTTCGATCGATCGATCGATCCCAAAGCCAAGGCCAAAGTGACATACATTGAGAGGAAGGTGTGATTGCCATCCGGTCGGGAACAAGGGGGAGAACACACAACACAACACGCCAGGAGGCTTTTAGTCAAAAAAGAGAAAAAAAAGAAAACAACCTACCAAGCATGAGAGCATCAGGCATCGAGGGCCAGCGATGACGGAGTGTGGTAAATGCGCAACACAACTCAACACAACTCAACGCAACAACAACGCAGCACTGCGCAGCTCATGCGATCGTTCGTTCGTTCGGCTGATCGTCCCGGCGCAGGACGGGGGGGTCCGGGGGCCCACGGACAGGCACATGTGTCCTAAAAGCTGCCGGCTTTAAGTGCCAAGTATCGCTTGCCATTGGAAGTTGATTACTTGACGTGGGTTTGCTCTCTCTGTCCTGCACCAGGGAATCGGTTTCCCCCCGGTTTCCTCCGTGGGCGATATATGCGGGAAAGTCCCAGAAGGGAAATGGGGGTGGAGAGAAGGCCGGGCGGGAGTCGGGGGGATTTGCCGAGAATTCAGTTTTTATGCTCGGCGATGGAGGAAGAGGGAAAATGTGATTCCTCCGTTGTTTGCAAAAGCCAGCCTGAGCATTCGATCGATTGTTACGTCTCTGAGTTGTCTTGACTCTTGTGGCTGTGGCGTTTTTGCCCGCATACGCCGTACATAAATACCTATGCAACTGTATGCCAACATACTACTAGGAAGAGGAAAGTTAGACTGACAGGTCGAACATTGCATGCATGCCCAGTTCTTGCACGTCCAGTTCTTCCCAGATGGCTTTACGCCAAGTGCCCCCGGGATCTGCCTCCGATGTCGTTCTGCAGGAAAGTTCATCGCCCCCAGAAAGGCCGGGGCTTTCCAATCTCCAATCAGATCCCGATCGGGGTTGGCACTTGCTGGCAGGACCAGGGTGCTGGGCTGGGCCAGCCGCCCCATCATCAATCCGCTTGCTTCTTCTTCTACCCACCTCATGCAGCGTAACCCTGAGGCGTGCTTGGGGGATCGACGCCCAAAATCCAGGATTCCAGATAGGCGAATCGGCCGGCGTTGGCGGGCACGGCACTTGCGGCTTTTCGGATTTTGGGGTGGGTGGGTGTGACCCGTCGTACTACTCCAGGAGGGTACTGTGTGGGGAGGAAAGCCCGGCATTTGGGCCGTTTGCAAGGCACGCGGTCACGGCGATCATGCCGGGTGTTTTATGTAGTATGCCAATGGAGTTCAGGGCATCAGGGGTCTACTTCTCTCGTGGCTGGCCCCTGGGGATTACAATTTACCAGGCGATTGGCCCATCCACGTGGGATGACTTGCTGGTCATTGCCGAGACAGTTGCTGACCCTCTGCCGCTCTGCGTGGCTAGCCGCGACAGCTTCTCCCCATCAGCCGTCATCAGCGGCGGGTCTAAGAATCTAAGTCTCTTCTTTGCTCAGGCATCGCCGCCGCCCCTCGGGATCTACTATTGGATGTACAAGTACATGTACATGTACATGTACATGCCATGCGGGCGAAAAGCGAGATGCTCCCGTCCCTTTCCGCCCCCCCTCCCCCCCTAAAAACAAGCCCCCCGGCACTTCGTAAAGCCCCGAAGCACTGCGATACAGAAAAGATGAGATTTGAGATCGTATGCTCGGGCCGGTGCCGGCTGGCTGAGCTGAGCCAGGAAAAATCAAAATACATTGTGGGGGGGGGGGGGAGGGGTGTAACTTGTAAGAAAGAAAGAGAGAGAGAGAGAGAGAGAGAGAGAGAGAGAGAGAGAGAGAGCGTGCTCAACCGGCCCGACGACTGCCGGGGCGTGCAACCATCACCGGTGGAGGCGATGGTCCCAGGAACCGGGTCGAGTTCCGCCCCCGGGAGGCGTGCACCGGGGGGGACTTCCGGATTCGGCAGTCTGTTGTCCATTTTCAGCAAGGCTCCCGTACCACTCCTCGAAATGGGCCCCTGGCCAATTTACCCCCCTCCGTGAGAAATGACCCAAAGCTGAATGTGATGGATGAGCTTGATGAGGGAGGACGACAAGATGTGAGGAGCGGACAACAATGGCTCAAAGCCGTCGAGTCCCGTGGCTGGCGGCCCGTGTGGCTACCCCATGCGGCCCGACTTAGTAGAAGTGAGATCGGTCCCAGGCGTTCTCGAGGAAGGGAAGCCGGCTTTCATATCTATTCAGTCGGCCTCGTCTTCTTGTTTTTTGTCATCCACCTTTTCTGTGCCCTTCTGTTTCCCTAGCACTTCCGGAGACCCAGCAAATTCAATCGACGGTAGTCTCTACTACCAGTACGACAGTATAGCTGTTAACCCCATCCGAACTGAGGAAGCAACAACACATCTGTGTGTATGCGTACGAGGACGTCGCGGGGACGCCCCAAGTTTCAGGACACTGGTTTTCATCTCATCTGCTCAGAAATCCCCGAGCCAGCACTGGTGCCCAAGCAGTGCAGGCCTGCGCGAGTTTTCCCCCTCTCTCCAGGCGTTCCCCATCCGCGGGAACCTACACACACCTGCAGACGAACCAGAAGCCGGCCGCTCTGACCGCTCAACGGTGGCAGCCCGACGAACCCTCCACCGTATCAGGCATCTGGCAGTAGTCAGTCAGTCCGAAATCCGAATCCTCCGGGCATCGAGTGCGGGGGGGCCCCTAACAGGTCCGCCGCACTCTCTCCAGCAAGCAAAGATACGGTCCGTCAAAGCAGCGGTGAGGAGAGAGCAGCAGAGAAGGCGAGCGGTGGAAAAGAAGGCGCGGCCAAGCAGAGGCCAGATTCAGAAGAAGCACATCATCGCATTGGGCAGCCCCGCGGCAGTCGGCGAGGGGCTCAGAATGTTTATCAACCTGGCAAAGCCCCAGACTGACACGGCGGCCGTCTTTTCCCGCGACAATGTCTTCGCCAGCTCGCCCGCAGCTGCAGCAGCCCTCGCGCCGTGGTGCTTCCACCTGAATCAGATCAACATAGCACACTTCCTCGGCCACCAGCCGCCGGCGCCCCACGACATGTCTTTCAACAACAGCAGCAACAACAACAATAACAGGCCGATGTCTCTGAACAGCGGGTGGTCCCAGCAGCCCGGGATGGTGGCCAAGCAAGACGGACCACAACAACTTGAACATGAACATGGCGTCCCGATGTACGGTACCGGGTACTACCCCGAGAACACGCCTGATAGCGTGCCGCTCTCGGTATGTTGTCTCGGAGCCCAAGACAAAGAAGAAAAGAAAAAGCTAAAATCGAGTGATTGATGCTAATGCTTTGGAAAGACCACAGATGAACACACGGCACTGACGGCGGGCAATCGCGCCTCTGGCTCATCCTACGTCAATCAAAATGTCTCGCCCTACCCGGGTGCTGCAAACGTGGTGCCAACGGGCTCCGAGCTCCTGGATCCGTCCACCACCTACTGGCAGCTGGTCCCGCCACCGGGCCTGGCACCCCCGGCTCCTCCTTCGTTTGCGCCGCCGCCCCATCATCTTCTGAGCCATCTCCACGACGGCGGGGGGGACCACCACCCGATCTGGCAGCAGCACCCGGGCAGCAACAACACCAACCCTGCCGCGTTTGAGTACCACGGCGGCGGGCACTACACGTTGGATGTCCACGCCGCCAGCGTGCTGCCGCAAACCGTCTTCCGGCCCGGGGGCGAGGAACAACTCCCCGACCTGCTGCACCCCCTCGCTTCTTCTGCGATGCCCGCCGCCGAAAGGGAGCAGTGCCAGCAGCAGCAGCCGACCAGCAACGCCAACCCCCATCAACTCGAATATTCCTCCTCGGGCATGCTCGAGGGGGTCGAAGCCATGGTGTTGAGCGACGAGACCACTGGCTACCCGCCCGAGTACGACCGCGGCGGAGTAGTAATGCTTGCCAGCGGCAGCAACTGGGCGGTGGCGGCGGAGCCATCATCAATAGCATCATCAGGGACAGCCGCCGCCGCCGCCGCCGCCGCTGCTGCTGCTGCGTGCGAAGAAGGCAAGACGGTCTCGCCCAAGCTGCTGCGCCTGCGGCAGACGCCGTCCCCGGCCGCGTCGTGTGAGGGCCTCCGCACGAGCTTCATGATGCCGATGCCCGGGTCGGCTGAACTTGACGCCCACGCATTCTCAGTCCATCATCATCATCATCATCATCACGAACCCTTTGTGCCCTCGCAACTTGCTACGAGTACGAGTAGTAGTAGCACGAGACCAGGAGGAGCTGGACTTGTACAAGTACCAACTACTACTAGTAGTATGAGAAAGTCGCGCAAGCGGCTGCCAGACATGACATTGACGTCGACGACGGGCTGCCAGCGGCTGAATCCGACCATCCTCCCATCTTCTTCTTCTTCTTGTTCTTCGAGACGCCGCAAATCCACCACGTCCACCAGTGATCCGCCGCCGCCGCCGCCGTCGTGGTCGCCCCCGGCCAGAAGGCTGACGCGGCTCCGGCCCAAGCCCAAGCCCGAGCAGCAGGCTCAGCAGCAGCAGCAGCAGCACCACTCATCTCCCTCGGCAGCAGCAGCCGCAGCGCTGGGATCATTGGGAAGCAAGAGCAGCGTCGTCGTCGACCTGGCGGACCGCATATCCAAGGACGACTTCCTCGTGCGTCAGAAGCAGCTGGGCCTGACATACAAGGAGATCCGGCGGATGGGCGGCTTTACCGAGGCCGAGTCGACGCTGAGGGGGAGGTATCGCACGCTGACCAAGAGTCGGGAGGCGAGGGTTAGGAAGCCCGAGTGGTCTGAGAAGGATGTGAGTTTTACCTTTGCTTTTCTTTTTTTTTCTCTTTTTCTTTGCTTTGCTTTTATGGTTCATCATTCTGGCAGTCATTCATTCATTCCCCCAACCCCCAACCCCCAACCCCCAAACCCAAACCCACCTTCCTCCAACCCACCTTCCTCCAGTCCCTCATGAACCTTACCCACCTTACCCTAATAATCCCCTTTCAAAAAAAATACGTACAAAAAAACAACTAACAAACCGAAAAGCTACGCCTCCTAGAAAAAGCAGTCCGCACCCTCGCCCCTAACAACATGCTCACCCCCTCCCCCTCCCTCTCCTCCCCCCCACACGGCGCCTCCTCCTCCTCCCCAATCCCATCATCATCCGCCAAAGTCCCCTGGAAGAAAGTCGCAGAATACATCGTGACCCACGGCGGGACCTACCACTTCGGCAACTCGACCTGCCGCAAGCGCTGGGACGAGCTGGTGCGCGAGCAGGCCGCGAGGGGGAAGAGTCTGCGCGAGGGGTGGTTTTTCTTTGATGATGATGATGATGACGAGGAGGATGGTGATGGTGAGGGGGATGATGAGAGTCATGATGGTGGTGGTGACGGTGGCGGTGAACATAACGGGGATGACGAGCGGGCGGTTGGTTGGTAGTAGTAGTAGTAGTCTTGGGGAGTGGGGATTGGGGAGTTTTGTCGCTCAGGGGTACAAGATACATTACCACACCGGCCGGGTATGGGGCAGGGTATGTGAAATTGTGGGTAAGTTAGGTAGGTAGTTGGGCGGTGGTCCAGCAGGGTAGGAGGAGGTAATGGTTATACCATGGTGGACGGGGCGTTCATCTAGGGCGGCGAGGATGGGAGCTGTGTGTGTGTGTTCTACTCAACAGATTCTGAAATTAGCAGATCTAATAGACGTCCATCGGCCGTTGCAGTGTCACTCAACTGCTATCATCAACTGTGATCCGTATTTTTTATACAACCCCCCAGGACGAAGCTGGCTGTTCCGGCTTTGCTAGAGGAACAAGGTGCTGGGAAACCACCAGCGCTTCATACACAGGACAACGTCTCCAGGCTGATACCTAGTGAAGATAAGATAGGGGTATATAAGGCCGCTTGGTGCGGTCTCCTTCCAGCACCCCCTGGCATCCCCACACACAACGTCACGAAACTCTTTCGTGGCATAGTGGTCGACATCGTCCAACACTATCCACGTACCCAATCTTGCCTGTTAGCTGAAGGGCCACATGTTCGATTCCGGGAAGCCGCTCCTCTTTTTCTTTTCTTTTCTAGGCATTTCTTGTTCCTCCTGGGCCCCAAGCCACAGACTCGGCTTAAGAAAGTCGGTCACTCAAAATAACGTCTTTCTCGCGATCGCTGCTTGCCTTGATGACTCCAGTAAAACCGAAATTACCAAAGCTCCGTTTATTTATCCAAGAACATGAACCTGCTATCTATATCCATGATTCGCCTCTGTTCACATACCCTGAGGCTCTGGCGCATGCACCGTCGGCACCCCGATCCTCCCGAGCAGCTGCAGCAACTGCTCCGGCTCCACGCGCAACGCATCCCACTCGGCCTGGTGCTTCACCAGCGCCGTGCCGGCCAACACTGTCCCATTCAGCGCGATCTTCCCCACGTCTTTGCGCCGTCCCTTATCCTCCCCCACACCACTAATAGTAATCAACTCCCCCTCCGCCACCCGCGGCGCAATCACCATCGCATCCCGGGTCATTGCGAGGTTATAGTCTATCTTCGCCCCCGTCCCATCCACATCGTCATCCTCAGAAGCAGCATCGGGACCCAAAACTGCCTTCACGGCCCTCCGATACAGCCTTCGATACACCGCACTCAGATCCGTCCCCGCCCCAGGCACGATGCGCTCCACGAAGGTCTGAAACGGCACGCGCTGCCGGACCTCTTCCCGGCGTAGCAACGACTCGGCCAGCACCTCCCACGCGTCGTTCTCGTCCTCGCTCAGGCCCTCCCGCATGCGCGACATGGGCAGCAGTTGCAGGTGGCGATGGGGCTGGCTTGATCCCGAGGCCGGGCCGGAGTTGTAGAACACGAATAACTCGCCGTCCCTCTTCTTCTTCTTCTTCTTCCCCGTCCCCTCCCCCTTCTCTTGTTCTGGTTCCCCATCTGGAGAATGGGTGTGGTACTGGTGGTACGCCTCGATGCAAGCGTATGCCGCGTCGAGGTCGGCTTTGTCGAGCAGGTCGGTCTGCTCCTGGAACGCCTGCGTGGCGAGGATGAAGTGCTCGGGGATGATGGCGAACTTGTTCAGGACGAGGTTGTGGGCCGGCGGGAGCGGGGCGATCAGCATCGCCTCGGCCGGGTTGTCGAAGGGGTCGAAGAAGGGCTTTACTGAGGGGTGGGAGGGCGCCGGAGGGGGGTGGGCTTCTTTGGGTTTGTTGGCAAGCGCCGGGGAGAAACGGAGTTGAAACTATAAGCCTGTGATTAGTGTTGGGTTCTTCCGTATTAGGGGCGCCGCCGCGGGGGTTATTAGAGCGCACCGGCACCGAGTTGACATTGACCAACGTGACTTGGGTCTCGAAGAAATGCACGTCGCCGTTGACGCGCGCGCGGTTGAACGCTGTCCTGACGAGCTCGGGGAGGTTGGCGGGGACCCTGACCGGCGCCATGCCGTCGGTCGGCGCTATCATGGTGTCGAACTGCGTGTGGTCTGATGTTGCAGGAGGAAAGAGGCAGACCTGCGAATAGCTTCGATGAGGTCATAGAGTGGTCCGTGCGGCCCGCTCCGCAACCCCTGCCAAGGAATAGTCAGACCCTCCTTCAGGGTACAGTACCTGACAAAAACAGTGCTCCGGAAAGTATGGAAACACGGATCCATAGCCCTGGGATATTGACATGCTTTATTCGTCGCTAGTACACATTCGCTGTCTCCAGTCTGGTACGGACCCTTAAATTCCGGGAAGTCCGACGAAACCCCGCAACGCCGGAACCCAGCGCGGGAGAATGTACGTGAAGTAGAGTCCGGCGGAGGCAACCAGGAGCCCCGTGAGCTATCAACGTTAGCAAACTGGAACGGAATTCACAGGGACAGCCAGATGTTACTCACTTTCTCGAACCATGTGTGGAAGTAGATCGCCGTCATAAGCAGCATCCATCCGCACAGCACAACCACCGCCGCCACCAGCGTGCCTCCGTGGCCCAGTGCCTCCAGGACCGTCAGCTCCCGCACGTCGTCCTCCTCCTGCCTGTCCCTCCTCTCCATCTCAATCTGTGCCCCTTTGACCGCGCCATCATGCATGACCACAGACCGCTCCTCGCCAAGATACCGCGCCCACCTAGCAGCGACCCATCCCACTTCCTGCACCAGGAAATAGCTCCCCAGCACTAGCAAAAATACGTGCCCGCTGATATCATGGCCCCCTCTCCAGCTACCCCCGGCACTCCTGCACGCAGCAGCAGTAAATATATCCCCGACACTGCCCTCCCCCTTGGTGACCTGCGTCTCGACAACCTCACATTTCCCCCCGGTCCAGCGAAAACCGCGGTCAATGATCGGCGGACCAAAGAACCACTGCGTCACAAACACCCACCACGCAGTAACCATCCCCCATCGCATCAGCGCCCCGCCGACCCGTTTCATATTCCACCCTCCATCCCCTCCTTCTCCTCCTCTGACTCTGATTCTAAAAGCGGGATGTGTCCCCACAAAGACGAGGAACGCGCCCGTGATCCACGCCCAGCCCCGCTTCACGAACAGCACATTCAGCCAGTTGTCCTTGCGCGCAAAGTACGACGGCGCCAGGCCCGGGTCCTGCGCGAAGTGCACGTGGCCGCCCTCGGAATACGGCGCGCCGCGCGTCTCCGGGGAGAGCGCCGCGTAGAGCGTGCCGAAGGCCAGGATGGCCGGGTAGAGCGACAGGAGGGCGAGCTCGGTCGGGGTGGGCAGGTGCGGGGAGTTGCGCTGTCGTCGTCGGTTGTTGTGTGTGGTGGTGGGCGCGGGCGGGGGAGACGCGTAGGCGGTGTGCGTTGTCGAGGTTGCGGTTATGTGCGCCGTCTTTCGGGTGGTTGGCGGGGAGGCTGCGCGGGAGAGTTCCGAGGGGGATTTGTAGCGCCGCGTGGTGGAGTGGGCTTGTTCGTTTGTGCTGGTGCCGTCCATTGTGCTTTGTGTTGCTTGTTGCGCTGGGACGGGCTGACGGTGTCGTCGTGGTTCGTCAAGTTGGAGTGCGAGTCGTGGGTACGGTCAATTGCATGGGGTTGAGATGGTTGAACAGGGGCGCTTGGAGCCGAGGAAGATGAGATGGATGATGAATTGTCGTCGGCGCGTGGTAAGTGGTCTGGCTTTGTAAATCGCAAAGATTGTCTCTTGAAATAGATGGAAGCTGTCATGAGAGCCTTGGCAAGAAAAGCTATGACGTTGTCGGATTGTCTGGGAGGATCGGCTCCACTATGCCGCTTGGCGGCCGGTAAATCCACCGGGGCCCGCTGACGCGGTGACGGCTGATGCCGGGGGTCCACACCCGCATTTTGGCTTCTTTTCGACTTTTCGAAGGCTTTAAACCGCATGTCTCGTACAAGTTGGCGGTAGGGATAAACCATATGGGCTTGGAAGTTTGCATGAAGTCAAGCAGCCCAGGAATCTACGAGCTAAAGAAATGGTCCAGAAGGGCAGGGCGGCGGCAGCATAAGTATAAGTATCCGGCACCTAGACCTGGGTAAGAAACGCCGTCACTGCACAATAGTAATACCATTGATGGATCACCGGTCACTGTGAGCCTTGGGCTCAGCCACAAGTTCACAACCCAATATGGATGCCAAGAGATTCGGATCGGGAGATAACTACCTACTCCGTGCTACCATAGCGGGATAGGTCCTATCCGATAGGATGCTGATGAGGTCCTGTTACTTGTTCTCCTTCCGTAACCCACTTGAGATTTATGTACTTGTACCCTTACTTATCTTCACTGCGCAGCCCACAGTAATGCAGTCAGTCCGTAACAAGTCAGTCAGTAACCCAGTCACTGTGCACTCGTGCACTCATTGCTTTTTCCTGCCTGTGATCCATACGTTATGTACCTCCTCACACACAGGAAGATCACGAGCTGGATCAATGACCAAAGCCTGCACGAAAAATGCCTCTCGGGCCAATGTATAGAAGGGTATAATAAATGGCTAGCCAAAAGACAAATGAGAACCCTCAAACCCCCGTCCGTACCCAGAAAGGCTTTCTAATCGTCCTTCTTGGGTATCCATCCCTCATCATTTCCTCACCCCTCTCAGGCGGCAACTGTCACGTCTTCCCCCCTTGGCCCGGCCCACCACATCCTCCAGGTCGAGCGCCCTACGCCGACTGGAAGAACGCGAGGGTCGCGCAGAAGTTGTTCCGGTTGTCCTTGTCCAGCGCGGCGCTCTGGCCGTCGACGGTCAGCATGTTGACGCTGGCCTTGGTGCTCAGGCCGAAGAAGTGCACCTGGCTGCTCTCGAGCGAGACCATGTTCTGCTGGCACGACTCCGTCTTGAGGCAGTCCTGGCTGTAGTTGTCGAAGAACGAGTACAGCCCGGCGCCGTAGATGAAGATGTCCTTGGAGTTGATGGCCCGCACGCCCCAGCTGCGCTTGCACTGGCCCGTCGAGTCGTTGGCGCACGACGCGGCGAAGTCCGGGTCGGCGAATGCCGAGTTGACCTTGAACGGCGACGTCGCGTCCGGGTTGCCCTGGTAGTAAGGGGTCTCGGTCTGGATGTGGCCGAGGAAGACGTTGGAGGCGTTGTTGAACTGGTAGTTGTAGAGGACCGAGTGCTCCGAGGCGGTGCCCCAGCCCCAGACGGGGCCCTCGCCCTCGATGAGCACGCCGCGGCCGCTGAAGACGTCGATCTGTCCATCCTTGGCGGACGGCTCGAGAGAGTGGTCCGCAACCCAGTACCACGTGTTCTCGAGGTAGACACTGCCGCCAGCGGGGACGTGCAGCATCATAAAGGCGCCAAAGCAGTTCGGGTTGACGGGGTTGGTGACGTCCGGGTTCTTGGCGCACTGCTCGAGCTCGAGCTGCGTGCCAGCGTAGCCACCGATACGGGTGTGCACGTCCCAGAGCGCCGCAGCGCCCGGGCTAGAGCCGGCAACGTTCCACTCCATCAGGATGGCGCCCGGCTGGGGGCCGGCAGTGCCAAAGATGAGATCCGACATCTCGACCTCGCCCTTGTCGCCGGGCTGGCCAACCTGGAAGACAGGCTTGGGGTTGGCCTGGTCCTTGAAGAAGCTGTCGCCGCCGGCAAGAATGAGCGGCCAGATCTCGCCCGTGATCTTGGTATTCTTGGGCACCTTGACGGTCTGGGTGATGATGTACGCGCCATGATCGAAGTAGACGATCTGGTCGGGGGTGGCCTTGTCGAAGATAGCCTGGATCGCAGCCGTATCGTCCGTCACACCGTCGCCCTTGGCCCCGTTGGCCTTGACGCTGAGGAAGTTGCTCGCGGGCACGTTCTCGTACTGGGGCTTGCTGCGCGCGACAATCTTGCCCGTCGAGTCAAGGAGCGCAGCGGGCTTCTGCACCTTATCCTGAGGTCCCTGAATAGCCTTGCCGGAAGTGCCAGCGGTGCCGCCGTAGGCCCGGCCCTGGGCGAAGAAGTTGACCTTCTGGTTGCCCGGAAGAAGCACGCCGTTTGTGGCATCGCTGAAGATAGCCTGCTGCGTGCCCGTCATGTCCACGTTCTCAAGAATCAGCGTGCCGTTGGTCTGGGGCGAGGTGGGGTCGTAGGCCGTCTTGATGCCGATCGGGGTGTTGGTGAACTCGCTGTCGAGCACCAGCACAGACCCAACAGTCTGGCCCGTGGACCCGCCGTTGGCCATGTCGATGCCGACGCCGCAGTTGTTGATCTTGACACCGTGGAAAGTCCACTCCCAGTTCCAGTTCATGAAGATGGCCGTCTTGCAGTTGTTGAAGGTCAGGTTGCGCGTCGTGAACTGCTGGCTGCCCAGGAAGGCGCCGTAGTTGCCGCCATTGAAGGTGAGATCACTCATGAAGCCGCCCGAGCCGTTGTCCATGAAGATGCCCTGCTGTCTGTTGCTCTCGCCGCCATCCGTGCGCATGTTGAAGACAATGTTCTGGAGGCTGGTGGCTTGCGCAACCTGCCAGTGAATACCAGCTCCGACTTCGACGGGCATCGCAGTCAAGTCGATAACGAAGTTGCGGATCTGGCGGAAGAAGTTGTTCTGGTTCGTGTACCAGTTGCTGCCGTCGCTGTTGTAGGGGTCGGCATCGATAACAGCCATGCCCGCGAAGTTGGCGGATGCCTTCAGAGTCGGAAGAGAGGCGGCATCACCGACCAGCTGCGTGTAATAGAAGGGAATGATGGGTGTGCTGACAACGTAGGTGCCAGGCGGAAAGTAGACGAGCGCTGGGGTCGTCGTTTGAGAGCTGCAACCCTGGCCGCACCGGTTGCCGTCTGCGATGGCGGCGTTGATGGCCGCAGTGTCATCGCTCGAGCCATCACCCTTAGCTCCGTAGTCCTTGACGTTGCGGAACACCTTGTAGCTCTTGTCATCGTTGAAGGCCGCCGCCCCTTGCCGTTGGATGCTTGACGCCCACCAGCCCGACGCTTGACGGGGCGATGGAGCTGCCAGAGCTTGAGATCCCAGGCCCAAGGCCGCGAGGAATATTGTGGTTATTGATGGAAGCATCGTGGTGTAGAGCCAGCTAATCCCAGATGTCGATCGTAGTTGTGGTGTGTTGACAAGAAGGTGTGTCTAAACTGCCTCGAGTTAACTTGGCTTCCCAAAGTGACTTGCAAAGCGATGTTAGGTCTGACCGTGAAGGGAAAATCATGAAAGAAAGTGCAATGTAAACATGAAACTTGTTCCTGTGCAAGTTATACATGATAACAGGTTGCCGTGAAGTGTGTCATTGTGTAAGTGACAGAAAATAGTCATACAATAGGCATGTGGTGTTCAACCCGAGACCATATGGTCAAAGGAGGTTGGGCTGAAGAATGATAATGGGCATAACGTTTAAACAATAAGAAACAATGCCGGCCAAATTTGGCAAAACAACAGAAAGGAGGAAGTCGGTGGGTTGCCAAAGGCACAGGCCAAAACTCGGCACATGCACCTTCAGAAGGGGAGGCAGATCATAAAGAAAAGGAACACCGCATTACACTTACCTCTCAATGCTAACCAAAAAGCCCTGGCCAGCAGAGGGCAACAATGAACGACAAACAGCTGGGATGAGCTGTTGAAGAAGAGGGAATGCCAGGTAGGCGTAAAGGGAAGCAAGCAGCCGTACTGCAGGAGTGCGCAGCGGATGGGATCACTTTATACATATTACATCCATTGCCAGGGGTGGATCACACGTCCAACCATGCCTTCCGTGTTTCCTCACGATCCATTGAACCTGGGCTTGGTACCCAAAGGTCCCAAAGCCCCCTAGTGTAGTGTAATTCGAGTAGCCGCCCAAGTGATCGACATGGCAGGCCACCTGCGGTGACATCTCGGCCATGGCAGGCATTGCCCTGGAAGTGCTGCTTTGCATCTGCGCCTGCCACATGCCAGCACGCAGAGTAGAATAGCAACCAGGGGCTAGGCAGAGAGATTCGGCGGATTCCTGGGGATCTGGGAAAACATCCCTGGTTGTGCTCCTCGCGGCTGCAACAGCTCACGATGTGCGATGATGGGTCCTCAGTCTCACTCGGGGACAGCCGAGAGGACAAGGTTGTGAGCCGTGCAATTGGCTGGCAGCACCTGAAAGTTCAAACAGGGAGAGATGGGGAACACGCAACCAACCAACCGGGCCTGTGCAACTGGAGGTCAAACGAAAGGTGGATAAGTGGTCAGTGGACCCAGATCTGGCCATCAGATGAACGATTAAAGCGAGGGGTCTCGTTCATGCGACATCTGGACTTGAGCCACCTGAGCCGTAGTGCCGCCGCTTGTGTGAAGAGCCATCTGTGGCAAGAACGATAAACAGGCCGAAGCCGGTTATGGAACTCTGAACAGTTGCATTTTCGAAAGGATCGCTCAAGTCCTTCCCCAACAGGCTTAAAATCCTCGATCCCCCGGGGAAGGTAGGGTCACAGGTGGCGGAGAATTGCAATTGAACCGAACTTGCAAAGGCATCTCAAAATCGCCTTGGCAAACAAGGGGTTTTCGGAGTTTAAGCGCGGGCGCTCGGGCCAAGTCAACAAGGGGTCACCGGCACAGGAACGACTGGTTGCAGCAGGCGGCGTTTCGACTTTTCGAAACAGATTTGTGGGGTCGCCACCAACATCCCCCCCCCTCCTCAGCCATTCTCTTCAACTCCTTCCATTTCCGCCCAAATGTTTGAGAAACCGCCACTGGCAAGAGTCAAGACTGCCCGTGGTCACCGTGTGGAAAGTGTACAGGGATATGCTGGCCGACCCCGAACCCGCAGATGGGATTTTCACCCCATGCCAATCGATGGAAGCCACAGCATCACAGACCCCCATGCGCTGCGCGCCACGATACGCAGACGGCGCGGCATTGAACGACGCCTCACCCGTCAGCCTCGGCTTGGGCCGAATGCTCCGTTGGACGGGCAGTCTCGTCCGCTCTCCGCCAACTTGTGCCCAGTTGTCCCGATGCTCTGTAACGGCGGACTTGGGATGTGGATGTTCAAATGAAGAACACAGACCTCGGCACGTGCCGCAAGATGCCATGCTACAGAGACTACTTTACTCTCTACCGTCCCTGTAACCTTTCCCTACTATACCGGCAGCTCTCACGTTGTTGACGAGGAGGACGGAGGTCGCCGCCGCCAAGGGGTAAGGTTACACACTAGGCATGCCGTGCGTCACTTATATTAGCCCGAGTCCCTGCTCGGCACTCTCCATCCGGGACTCTTCCCTATGGAGGTTCGCTGTTCGTTCACATGTGAAGTCCCCTCTCCGCTACATCCGCCACCATCTCCGTGTTGGCTCCGGCCCGAATGCCTCTCTCTGAACTTTTGAATGGCATGCTATATCGTTGACGGGCCGGCCACTGTGGGCATCTCTGGGCCGCAAAGCTGGTGCCTGACTTGGCGAGTAGCATTCTCCTTCTGGGTTGTTCATGCGCTGTCTGGGCGCCGGAGTAGATTTCGGGCCGTCTGCTTTGTTGGTAGCTCTCCGGCGCAAAAGGTCCAGACGCAACGTTAACGTGTTGATCTTCTACATAGTACCTATCCACTCACATGAACAGGGCATCGAACCAAGGAGGCCGATCTTATACTTTACCGGTAGGTGACCGTCTTCCATGCATACAAATTTCATTCCGGCTCCGTGCGGGGACCCCGCGCGAAGGAAGCAGCTCCACCTCCCCGGGCCGACTGAATGAAGGCCACGATATCACCGCCGAACAGATGCCAGAAGGTTGATTATGTAAATGCATGGTCAACTGACAACTACTACACTATCTCTCATCTACATGCCGAGTATAAGCGGAGCCAACAAAAGAGAAATGATGCAAATGGTCTAAAATGTCCGAAGATGCAGCAAGCAACAACAGCAATACCCGCTCGCCATGCAGAGAAGCCAACTTGACCAAACAGATAGTATCCCTAACACTCCACAACCCAAGTGTGGTTGAGGCAGTCCCAATGACTCCGCAAAAGCCGGCTGTCATGGCAGCTCTTAGTCCCAAGCTCCATAGTCTGCTGAACGCCTTCCCTTCCCTCCGCAAGTGAGAAGGGCTGTAAGCTCTACCCCATATCGTGAGCACGGCTGAGCTCGCCAGCGAGCATCGGCCATGCATTCCCAGAGTCTCCAGACCCAAACAAGAGAGCGTTCGCCCTCTTGCATCATTACCATTATCCAATCCGCCCCAGCTAAGCGGTGGTGTCCTCGACCAAGCAGTCGTGTAAATATGTAGGAGTGGCGGTATCGTCCCACCACGTATTCGCGAAAAGCAGGAAGCTGTGTGCTCAGATATACCCCACCTCTTCGCTGCCGGCAGCACCGCGGCCGCAGCTCTCCAGCATCTCAATCCCCTTCACGCCGGCGCCGAAATCCAGAATCAAGATCTTCGGATCCTGCCCGGAGCTGACGATCCTCCGGTAGTCGCTCTTGGCGCTTAGCACCCAGCTGGAATGCCACTTGGGGAAGTCCAGCAGCGGCTGGCCCGTCTCCATGTCCCAGACCTTGATGTCCGAGTCGTAGCTGCCGCTCACCAACCTCCCACTGACGCTATCCACGTGCAGGCTGCGCACGAGGTCCCCGTGCGCCTCCATCTCGCGCACGCACTCGCCCGTGTTAGCGTCCCAGATGCGGATAACCTTGTCGTTGCCCGCCGAGGCGATGTACCGCCCGTCCTCGGAGAACTGGCTGCACGCTAGGCCCTTCTTGTGGCCCAAGAACTCGCGGATGTTCTTGCCCGTGTCGATGTTCCACAGCTTGACGCGGAAGTCGCCGCTGCACGACACGATGGTGTTGCCGCGCATCTGCACGGCGTTGACGGGCCCCGCGTGCCCGCGCAGCTGCCGCAGCAGCGCGCCCGTCGCGCGGTCCCACACGCAGATCGACACGTCCTTGGAGCACGTCACGATGTGCTTCTCGTCGAATACCAGGTCCAGCACGGCCGCCGAGTGGTGCCGCAGCCGCCGCACGGGGCGGTAGCCCGCCGCGAGCGTGTAGACGATGCAGGTCGCGTCGGACGAGCCGGTCACGAGGATCTCGTCGTCGTACTGCAGGCAGAGGATCGAGGCTTTGTGGTGCACGGGCGGCGCGTAGAGGGCCGGCACCGAGTGGTACGCGCGGACCGGGGCGCGCGGGAGGCCGTCCGCGGTTGGCGAAGGGTCGATGTCTGGGATGGTGGCGTAGTGGATCGGGTTGTGGTGTTCGTCGTAGAGGAGGGAGAAGGAGCCTTCGTGGACGATCTCGGGCGGGCCGATGATGAGCTTGCAGGCGAAGGTGTGCATGTCCCAGACGCGGATCGTGCGGTCGCGCGAGCCGGTTATGATTTTGGACCTGTTGGGCTTGTGTGAGCAAGGGGCGAATCATGACTAATGGAAACGGGAAAGCATACTCGTCGAATTGCAGGCAGTAGATGCTATCTGTGTGCCCGTTCAGATACACGGGCCGCGCCTTGCCCTCTTTCCAACGCCTATCCAGCTCGGTCTTCACCCTATAGATCTCCTTCCAGTCGTTTGCCGGATGCACTGGGGGGATGCCCAGCCCTGTGCCCGGCTTGACGGGTCCGCTGGTGGCGAAGGTGGTCGTCTTCTCCCGCAGGAAGGACTCACGCCAGATGTGCTGGTTCGTGATCACCTTGTACCAGCTAGAGCACACTCTGCTAGCCGTGTTCAGCGTCGCGGCGTCAAGTAACGAGAGGACCTGGATGGCCAGTTCAAACGGCAGCTGCGAGATGAAGTCGACCTTGATAATGGGGGTTTCGTCGGGTGTCACCCCGGAGCCCACATCCACATCCGAGTCCAGGTCCTCACCCGGGACATATGCCTCCATCTCGGAGCTGGTGAGCGCGATTCCGATGCCGCTCTCGCGGTCATCCAGCGCGTCTTCGGCGAGCCATCCCGGGCGCGGCATGGGCATAGCCATGAGGTCGTAGCCATGCAGCCCGTTACACGCGATGGCAGCCGCATGCCTGGCCGCAGCACCGGTCTTCCGTGGGATGATGGGAGGCTGCTCGCCCGAGCCCGGCACGGGGAGTGTGGGCGATTCGATAGGGAAAAGCTCTTGGTCGAACATGCGCTCACCGTACCCGGTATGGAGCGTCCGCGAGTGTCGGTGGAAGCTGGTAGCCTGTCGCAGCCGGTGCCACGTCGAGTGAGAGGTCGTGGGTCGCGGTGCGCCATGCGACGGGCCCGCGAACAGGGCCCGCGAATGCTGTCCATCGCTGTCGAAAATGGCCGGGACAGAGGTGCGTCTGTGAACGAAGCCCTTAACTCCCTCCTTCAACGACACCGAGGCCCGGCGCAGCATCCGCTTAAAGTTGCCGCCATGCTGCGGCTTGGACGACGGCGGAGCGAGATGGCTGTTGCCTTCTCCCTCGTCGAAGCCGTGGCTCTTGCTCTTTTTCAGAGAGAGGTTGTAGTACTGTGCGTCCAAGTTGGCAGGGTCGAGCAACGCAGATTTCGGGCGCGGGCGCCAAGGGAGAGAGACGCTCATGCTTCGCAATCGCAGTGGTTGTGCAGCGCCGGGCTCAGTAGCGTCGGCGAACATCGCTTCCTGAGCCGGAGCCCAATCCTGCATCTGGACGATTCTTCGGGCGGTCGAGTCCATCGCTGCGGAAGGGTTGATCGGGACCGAAGATTTCGCTGCAGACGGTAACGTGGGTGAGAAGGGAGATACTTGTCGAACTCGCAGCGTCGCGGCAACTCGAGAGCATCTGTCGCGTCCCCGGATCCTAATATGTATTCAGGCGCTCGCGCCAACTCGCTACCCCTTTATCTGCTTCGTCTTCAGAAGGGATCCCTTGCCGGCAACCTCCGGTGGCGATCGAGGCCGCAAGCCCCAACTTTTTCAGCGGGAAGCAAGACGTCAAAGTTTGGCGCGGCGGCCCGCAACGAATCAAGCCAGGGCTTGGGAAGGCGGTGGGGACCGGAGTGAGCGAGACCGGCTGGCGCTGTTAGGACTGCAGCGCCGAGGGGCGAATGGGAAGCACTGCTCGACTGAACGAGAGACAGGCGTTGAGACGCGAGACGCTTTGCGATGCGAGTCAGCGGCTGAAAAGCCTTTTCGCCCTCCAGCCCAGACGCTAAAATGAAAACCTGGGGATCCAAGGGATGTTGCCAGTACCGTTAAGAGCTGAAAGAGTGAAGGCGCAGAAAGGATCAACTTTGCGGCGATCAAAGAGGCTTGTGCGGCGCCTCCGAATTTGACTTTGGGGGCGGCGTATGCGTGCCAGACCCGAGTAAATCAGGTACCTCCTTACCTAAGGTACAGCACTTCGCCCAATCTGACCTGTCAAGACTCAAGATCATGGTAATCTTGTTTCCCTCTATACAGAAAGCTCATGGATAACTTGATTTATCGCATGCAGAATGGCTCATTCGTTTGTTCCTGTTTGGTTCAGATGCAGCCCAGAGCAGCTGACTCGTTGCTCACGGTGATGCCGAGTTGCTTATCCCATGCACCATGCACGGAATCTGGTTGGCGATCTTCGAAAAGTGCATTTAGCAAAAGTGGGGACGACCACGTTCGATCTTTCTCTACGGAGGTAAATCTCATCTTGTCAATTTTCATTCCCCAGAATCTCAGCCGCACCCCTGATTCTGACAACTTGACGGCGGCACAGCCCGCCAGTGGTAACCTCGGTTCAGGTCCCGTAGATCCCGGGGCTTGGGCCCTACACTATTCCGTACCCCGGACACTTTTACGTTTAACAGGTCGAAGGTAGATGCGGGGACGGAGACCAGAAGGACCAATATATCAAGTACAACACCAGCACCGGCAAAAAGGCATCCCCGAGGAACCCAGCATCAGACTGGTTAGCCAGAGGGGCACAGCGTGATCAGCACATGAGAGCCATCAGCCGGGGCAACAAAAGGCTAGAGAAATCGCCAGGGACCCCTTCATCTTTTCTCTCGCATGCAGCACTCATGCCCAGCCCTAGCTTCTGAGACCAACTACTCCAACCCGCAAGAAGTGGTCCTCCGACTCGAACCGGCCACTCGCCTCCCCCGTCTTCAGCTCCTGCACATCCCAGCAGGCAGGGAGGAAGCGGCCGTGCAGGAACCGGGCCTCCTCACTAGCACACCACACGGCAAACTGGCCCGGCAGGTCCTCTGTTCTCACACGTGTTAGTAGTATGTACAACATCGATATGTGGGTAGGGAGGATGGTGCTGTTGTTGCAAAGCGCATACCATGATCCCAGTCCAGCGATGCCTCGGTATACCCGACATTCCGGGCCGACTCGGACAGGACGGCGCCAGGATGGAAACTGATAATCTGCATGTCTCTGGCGTCGGTGTCTTTGGCGATCAGCTGCATCAGGAGGGCGCCCGAGTTCTTGGTCAGGGAATACGTCCGCACAAAGCTACTGCCGTAGATGAAGTCGTGGATCGAGACGGTGGAGACGTTGACAATATGCTGATCCATCGACGCTGCTTTAGTATTGCGGGCTCCTAAGGCTCTCAAAAAGAGGGGAGGCAGGGGGAAACTATTAAACCTTTTGCCGGCCTCCGCCTTGCTTGTAGAAGCGCTGCGCATGATCCAACAGCCCGCGCACGTTCGTCTCAAAGGCACCCCAGGTCACGCCGAGGTCAGCTTCCAGGAGCGGCTTGGGCTGGCCGTTCGCGAAGGCGTTGAGAACAAGGACATCGACGACGATGCCGGCAGCTTTCAGGCCCGCCCACAGCTGCTCCGTGTCCCGGAGGCTTGCCATGTCGGAGACATAGCTGCTGACTGCCGTCCCGTGAGCGCCGCCGTCGGTCTGCTTCAGCTGCGAGACGGCCTCCTCCAGGACGCCCGCGCGGCGCCCCGTGATGATGACCCTGGCGGCGGAGGCCTGGATGAAGGCTCGGGCAATGGCAAAGCCGATGCCGGCCGAACCCCCGAGGATCAGCACCGTCCTATCGGCCTGGCTCAGCTCCGACCGGCGGGGTGAGATGGCCGGGTAGGGGCCTTTGTGGTGAGTTTGGACGTAGGGAACGCGTAAGGTGACGTTAGGATCCGCCATTGTTCTCGACTACGGATCGGGTTGAACAGGTTGATTCAGTTGACTCGGAATCTGGGATTGATGGTCTGAGCTCTAATACCGGTTGAAGAAAGCCTGATAGCCCTAAGAAAGCGATGAGACCCCAAGGGATGCGGCACACACATATATAGCTCTCCCATGATACAATCATGCAGAGCGCTCACTAAGCCTTCACTATCTATTCCAGGCTCCAGCATTTGAAAGAGCGTGGTGTTGCGGTGCCAAGCACAAAGTCTGACCGGAAACGGCGACGCTTGAAGCCATACACCAACCAAAAGAGCATAATTAGCCCGCAAGTTTGCCGCATTGTCGGCCGCAGGCTAGCACACCATGTAGATATCAGGCGAGTCAAAGTGGGCAAAATGCGGACATATATCTCACCTGCCAAGTTCAATTCCGCAGGCACATTCACTGCACGGCGGCGGACATGCGGAGTTAGCGGAGGCCGGCAAGGTCGCAATACCCGCCGCATCGCCGCATGAAGCCGGTGGTGGGCGCCTTCGAGAGTCTTCCATACGCCCATGGCAGAGTATCCCAAGTACGCCGTCGCTTCTGAAGTTGGGAAGCTGCTCCCGCCTTCAGAGCCCAAGCAGATCCTCAGCCACCGCAAGGTGTATAGGTATTGTACACGCGGTCGGTCTGTTCCGCAGCTGTAAGTCCACTTCCGGCATTGGTCTCCGCCCTGGGGATGGCAGAATGAAGCGAGAATGATGTGGCATTTTTCAAACTCAAACCAGCGACCCTTGGACGCCGTGAGTCCCCCATTCTCCTGATGGTCCCATTGGTGCTGCCATATGTAATAGGTAAGCAGATATTCTTCCATCTGCCAATATCGGCCGCACAGCCTGGCGCGTATGTAGCGTGTGCGTCTTCAGACGTGCGCCCTCTTGTAGAACCTCCAATATTGATCCAGGATACCGATCCTCTCTCTCTCTCTCTCTCTCTCTCTCTCTCTCTCTCTCTCTCTCTCTCTCTCTCTCTCTCTCTCTCTCTCTCTCTCTCTCCGGACCGGCCATCAAGTGATAGGTAGGTAAAGCGGCTTCTTATTTTCTCTCATTCTCTCATTCTAGTAGGTGCTCAAGGTCAAAAGCAGCCAGACGACTAAGCAACAACCTGGAAAACCATGGAGGAAAGACAAGGAGTGCTTTCTCGCCCCATGGCGTGGGGCTACAGGAGAAGGATGGAGCGGTGGGAATATAGTCACAGGTTGCCAGCGTACTGGAAATGAACATTTCAAACAAAGGGTCTCTACAGGGCGTGTTGGTAGGAGAATGTGTCCGTGGAGAAGAGCTTGACGGCTGTTACGCATAGAGATGATAGAGCTGTTGTCGTGCTGTCCTATAGGGCAAAGATCGAATGGAGAGGACGGTAGCGGCCGCACCGGGAACAGGGGGCCTGAAAGTTAGCGAGTCGAATATGGTATGGAGGATAGCGCGCTCGGCGGTACGTTTTTCGATCGCAAGTCAGGTTGCGGCGAAGAATGAGCTTGGACCGGGTCGTACGAGAAGAACAGGGTGCCGCGACAGCGAAGCCTTCACAGACCTAGTCATGTCTCTATTGCCAAGCTCGGAATAGTTGGCTTGTCGCAATGACAGGCAGAGATGCCCGAGGACGGGGAGGCGCCCCCCGAGGCCCAAATTGGAAGGCAGCGTCCAAAAAGGGAACAAACCGGGTTAGCGGCACGCGGGGTGGCACGACCGTAGTGGGAATGCTACCGCTTTTGGCCAACATGACACCCTCTCGTTGATGTCTCATTCGGCATGCAGGCGCACCGAAGGAACGTGGAAACTTGGTAGAAGCTCCCCAAGCGCCGGAGTTCTACATACATATGACAACCCCTGCCCTTATTCCTCCCACTATGACTGCCGGAGAGGTGCAGGAAACACCACAGAGTCGCAGAGCCTCCCTCAGTCTAACGCGGATAAACTGTCCACTGTTACCTGGTATTCAGCCGGACCAATAACCACCACAAACCAAACATACAGAATACTGGACATCCTTCAATCACGGTATCACCCTGGTAAACAGTGTCGTTGCAACGTTGGTTCCTCGAACTCCAAGGGTCGGTCAGAGGAGGAAAACTTTGTGAGCATCGTCGCCATGGGTCGGGGACGGTGGCGGGGAAAAAGATAAAAGGGCGACCTGCCCGCGAGTGATCGACGACGGCTCAGCTGGGCTTAGCAGCGTTGCCAACGGAAGCCTCAGTCTCTACTCACTCTCGACTCGAGTCGGTCCAGCCGAACGCAATGAAGGTTCAGCAGCACAGCCTGCTGGCCGCCGCCCTGGCGCTTGCCGGGGCACCGAGGGTGGACGCGGTCCTCCGCTTCTCGTGCTCGGAGCTCATCACCGAGCGTCTGGATCCGTGAGTAGTATTCGAAATCATGATTGATGATCACCGTATTCAGAAACGAGGTTTGCTCTAACGCACCGCATTCCAACAGCCTGGTCTTCCCGGGCGCCAACCCGTCGCCGCACCTGCACCAGATCGTCGGCGGCAACATGTTCAACGTGACCATGGACCCGGCGCGGCACAACATCGGCGAGGAGGCCACGTGCACGACGTGCACCTTCTCCGAGGACTTCTCCAACTACTGGACCGCCACGCTCTTCTTCCGCGCGCGCAACGGCAGCTTCATCCGCGTGCCGCAGCGGCCCAACATCGGCTTCGAGAGCGCCCGCGGCGGCGGCATGACCGTGTACTACACGGCGAGCTGTACGTTGTCCATCATCCATGGCTCTCATTTTGTTTTCTTGCCACCCCCCTCCCTCACCCACCCTTTTAGCCGCCCAAAGTACTACTACTACTAGTAATAGGTACTAGTACTTACTAAAAAACGTTGGCCCATCCCCAGACCAAAACCAAAAAGTCACCGCCTTCCAACCAGGCTTCCGCATGATCGTCGGCAACCCGACGTACCGCACGGCCGCCGAAGCCGCGCGCTACCGCCAGCTGACCTTCACCTGCCTGGACACGATGGCGACGCGGACCGGCGAGACGACCGACATGCCCGACCGGCCCTGCAAGGAGGGGATCATGGCCAACGTGCGCTTCCCGACCTGCTGGGACGGCAAGAACCTCGACTCGCCCGACCACGCCAGCCACGTGGCCTACCCGGCGGCCGGCACGTTCGAGAGCGGCGGGGCCTGTCCGGCCAGCCACCCGGTCAAGATCCCGCAGCTGTTCTATGAAGTGATTTGGGACACGCGGGGGTTTAATGATAAGGCCAATCTCTGGCCCGAGGACGGGTCGCAGCCGTTTGTGTGGTCGTATGGTGATTTCACGGGGTATGGGACCCATGGAGACTACGTCTTTGGGTGGAAGGGCGATGCGCTCCAGCGGGCGATGGACGCCAACTGTGATGTCTACTGCCCCACGCTCAAGGAGCAGGGTATTAGTGCTGGCAACCAGTGCAGGGTGGATCGCCATGTCAGTGAGAATATCGATGGCTGGTTGAGTAGCCTGCCCGGGGGGGTTGAGATTACCGGGCCGCAGCCGGGGACGGGGACGGGCGGTGGTAACAATGGGGGTGGTAACAATGGAGGTGGCAACGGGGGCGGATCTTGCCAGGTTGCTAAGTGGTATGTTTTTTTCGTGCGTGTGAAGCTGTTCTCGAGCCGGAATGAGATAGCTAACATTGCTTCGTCTGCAGGGGCCAGTGCGGCGGCCAGGGCTATACGGGCTGCACGACATGTGCAGCGTCGACTTCGTGCACCCCCCAGAACCAGTGGTAAGAAAGGCCTTTTGCTACTGACTTGCTCCCGAGACACCCCGATCCGAGAAGACATGGCTGACATTGTTGGATAGGTACTCGCAGTGTCTGTGAAGGGATAGCAGCAGCAGGTCGGGAGTCCTCTGGAGTATGGCAAGCTTTGGGGATGGAGTTGCCAGGGCGCATCTTCGTTTCGGTGTAAATAGCGCATTATAGCGGTTCAACCGAGTGTACATGCCAACTGTGAAGCCCACCACCCTTCACCAAGGTGCTTTGTTTGTCGGGACCGAGACGACACTCGCTGGTAAGAAAGGGCGCCTGGTGGTAGAGCAGCAAGTCCGTACCTTCTGCCCTAGCGCAACGCTGTAGGTGGTAGATGTACAAGTACATACATACTAGTAGTACTGTACTGGATCGCGACTCTCTCTGATACTCTCAGACCTCCCCGACCGTGGAAGAACTGACCAACGCCAGAGCGGATGAGCAGGGCAAGGAGACCCTACATCGAACAGTTCGACAGTGAATAGGGTAATGCGCCAACGCCTGTCCCGGCCCGTTTGAGAGCATAGGAGGTACCTTACCCACGTCGTTCTGTTCAATCCTTCCCAGAACACTATGGTCGGCCTTTCGGCCCCAAGTCCTAACAACCTCCAACCGGTGGAATCACATGTACCAGGACGATGATGCGGGGTTATACGCTGATGCTGTCCGTACTAATCCAGCCCCCCCCTGTCCGAAAGCAAACCAGGTCGCCATGACCGCGCGGCTGGTGTACTGAGGCAAAGACTTGTGTGATCAGGGCAGGATTTCGTTATTTTCGACAGGGCACGATGGGGATCTCCTGATGTGGAGACCCGGTCTCTCCACATCTTGGAGGACAAGGGTCTGCATGCGCCAAGCTAGGCCAACCCCTGATTCGCCCCTGATTCGCCCCTGACTCGGACAGGGACGCGGCGCAGTGCCAAAATCTGCGTCCGATCCATTGACACCTGTCAAGACGCAAGGCCAGCTCTGGTCATTGTGTACCGTCACCCAGGCTCATCATCCACGCTCGTCAGCCCATCACCGTCTCTATGAGGTCGACCGGCACACATGGACCAGATGTCGTTGCGACAACCGCCGAGACGGATCCTGTATGCCATCGGCACCGCATTCCTTGTCGTCATCCTGCTCGTCCAGCTCCGCCGTTCCGACAGCCCGCGGCTAGGGAGCCAACGATGGGGCTCCGCAAGGGGGACCCTCATGGGCGACATCCAGAATACCACCCTGGGCGTGAGTCTCTCATGATTGTTAACTTGTTTAAGCTCTTTACATTTCGCATCCACTTCTTACCACGCGCTGCCTGGTCAATTGCTGTGTATCCGTGTAACGCCTACTGAGACAACCGTACAGTTTGAGAAGATCTTTGTGGTCGGCCTGCCCTCGCGCACGGACCGCCGCGATGGCATGGTGCTGCAAGCCGCCCTGAGCAACATGTCGATCGAGTTCATCGACGGCGTCGTCGGCAGCGAGGTGCCCGACAAGGCGATCCCAAAGGCCAAGGGCCGCGAGCGCCTCAAAGACGCCTCGATCGGCTCATGGCGCGCCCACATGAACGCCATCCGAGAGTAAGCTCATCTCACCCTTCATCTTCCTCACTACCGAGTCCATTCAACTCACTCGCCCACCCAACCCAGGGTCGTCCACCGCAACCTCTCCTCAGCCCTCATCCTCGAGGACGACACGGACTGGGACGTGCGCATCCGCGAGCAGCTGTACGACTTCGCGCTGGCCTCGCACGCGCTGACCCAGCCCTTACGGGGGAGCCCCCCGTCCAAGCGCTACCACGACCCAACCTACCCGCACCCACAGCCCGAGTCCCCCGGCAAGCTCCCTGACCTGCCCTTCACCTCCCTTCCTCCCACCATCCCCCCCTCCCACTCCCCCTACGGCGACGAGTGGGACGTCCTCTGGATCGGCCACTGCGGCATGCACTTCCCCTTCGAGAACTCGCCCCACGTGCCCAAGGCGCGCGTCATCCGCGAGGGGGACGAGACCGTCGCGCCCAAGAAGAACCTCTGGACCTACAACATCCCCTTCACCCTGAAAGAGACCTACCCGGCCCACACGCGCGCCTACCACCACGTGCAGGAAGGGGTGTGCTCGCTCGGCTACGCGGTCACGCAGCGCGGCGCCCAGAAGCTGCTGTACGAGGTCGGGCTGAAGGACGTGAGCGAGGCGTTTGACCTACTGCTGCGGTATTATTGCGAGGGCGAGAAGGGCCGCGCGCCGGGTAGGCAGTGTCTGACGACGCAACCGGGCCTGTTCCAGCATCATCGGACGGCGGGGCCGATGAATGCCATGAGCGATATCGGGGATCATGGGGATGAGTGGCGGGAGACGCCCATGACGGATATGATAAGGTGGAGTGTGCGGTTGAATGCTGATGCGTTGTTGGAGGGGAGGAGGCAGTTTGTGGATCAGTGGCCGGATCCGGAACCTGGGGAAGAGGAGGAGTGAGTGAGTGAGTGAGTGAGTGAGGGTAGGATAGGATAGGATAGGATAGGATAGGATAGGATAGGATAGGATAGGATAGGATAGGATAGGATAATTGGGTTGGGTTGGGTTGGATGGTGTGCTGCGGTTTGTGGGAGGATGTTTTGGGATGTAAATCATACACGCATTGTGAGTCTTGTTTGTCGACAGTTGGATGATTAGCATACACGAATCTGCGTCAGTGGGTGTCAATCTGATGATCTGATCTCGGGACGTGGCATGTTGCGGGCCACTGGACGGGTGCGCAGCGAGACCGCACAGCCCACCCAGCGGCTCACTGCGTCAGCTGATACGAAGGAGATCCGACGAGTATAGCCCGTCCGGACCCCTAAAGCACTAGCATCAGCAGCCAGCGCGTGAGCGCTGCTTGCAGCACATGACCGCTGCAAGGGGACCGCCCCCATCGTGAATTATGGGTGACGGCTAGACTCTAGGAGTCTAGTCGTACTTGGGCGTCTGCATATTAGACATGAATCTGACGGGCTTGTTCTTTCCCCCCTCACGCTTATTGATATCGGCATGCATTTCCGTCACCCAGACGTACACTGGGTTATCCGGGGTCAGCCGGACCGTACTTGTGAGCAAAGAGGGCGGTTTGCATGATGGCAGCAAATCCCTCCGCGGCATCGTGCAAACACTGCGCGTCCTTGATGCCCAGCCGCAGTGCGTCCAAACGCCATTCAGCCTCGCCCGTCAGCGCCAGTAACCTACCGTCGGTGTTCTTGGAGTGCTTGACGCTGTCCTCGAACGTTTCGAGGTGGTGCGTCACTTCAGGAGGCCTTTTGGCCGCGCTTGCGGCGCCAACCGCTGGCTGGGTCGACACCCCAGCGCTGACTCCTACCGGCCGAGGCGCTGTCGCCTTCTTGGCCTCTGTCTCCTCGGCGACGGGCCTCGGCAGTGCTGCGTCCTGTCTGGCTGCTGCACTGACGATATTCCCTGAGCCGGGGTCCCCGCTGACGGGGGGCTTCCGAGGATCAGTCTGGTTGACCATGCCCTCGGCCCGCTCTGCCGCGTCGCCCGGTCTAGCCGTGCCGGCCGCCTCTCCATGCTTGGAATAGGGGCTGGCTGGGGCCTTGACCGTGGCGTTTGGTCATCCGCCTGAGATCGCTTCGCCACTTGGTAATATGCCCGTGGACCGCCTGACGGTCCCGGGGGGGGGGGGGGGGCGGGGGCTGGGCGGCTGATATCGCCTGTAAGGGAATCACAAAGAGGCACAGCCGTCTTCCCGACGATATGTTATGCCCACGTGGCAAGAAGACGCATGAAGTGCCGAAGACTCTCTGATCTTCGCCAGTGCCAGAGACTGCGTGTTCCTAGTCTCTGTGAGATCCTTCTCGATTCTCTGCAGGGCCCGGAACTCTGTGTCCCTGGACTCTGTGACACTCTGCTGGAGTGATCCCAGCACATGCGACGACAGTTCGGCACTGGCAGCAGAGGAGGCGGTCAGACTCTCGAGTCTGCCGGCGATGTCAGTGTTCAAAGCCTTGAACTGGCTCGTGGTGATTGTGACGATGCCGGATTCCAGAGCCTTGAACAGGCTCGTGAAGCTCGCCGTCATCTCCTCCCCTATCTTTCCGGCTGCAGCACGCGGCTGTGCGGTACGCAGTGATCTCGTTGACTCGTGTTGGCCCCTCGCTTGCCTGTCAATGAGACTCTCGCTGCTAGCGCTTTCTGACCTGGTACTACTCCCATAGTGTGATAGCTGGTGTCGCCCACGCGGTGACCTGAAGGGCAGGTCTTGGGTTAAGGACGTCTCGCAGGTTGATCTGCTCGTGTTATTCTCGGCGCACTCTGGGAGGCTTACAGATGTGCCCAGCCGCCACGATAGTCGTTTTCCCTTAAGTATGTCCTGAGGATTGCCCTGTTTGGGCTGTCTTCCGTCTGCATCGGGGAGGACGAGAGGGGTGGCGCGTCGACATCGCCCTCATCATAGCAAGGAAGCGCTGGCGATGGAGCTGGCAGACGGCGGCACTCGTCCCCCCTTGGCTCTGCCAGACACACGCCCTCCAGGTAACAGCGGGGACGGCGTAGTGTGAGTGGGCCAGCTATCGGCGTCGGGTTCCCTAGTCGACTGTCTGTGACTGCCTACGGACAGCGCTTCCGAGCCTGGTGCCGTCCAGTCGGGCGCGTCCTCATACAAAAGTGGCCACAGCCTCCCAGTTATCATTTGATGCGGGGACCAGTGACTCCAGCCTGGTCAGGGCAGTAGCTGAAATGGTACGGCACGCTGTCCAATGGGTCGATATCGAAGTGTTGCTCCTCGAGGCCAGGTAGCCGCCCTTGCCGGTCTGCCCACTGCTGCCTCTTGGCGACGATCCAGTCCCGCTTGGTGGCCAAGTAGACCAGCTTCTTCCAGTCCTTGATGGTATCCAGGTCGTGGGGTGGGTACTCCTGCTGGTGCTCGGCTGCCAAGATTTTTTGCATTCTGTCGCGGTACCGCGAGCAGGGAGTGTACCTTGGTTGGTCAAGCTCTCCGGAGTTGTCGATGGCACTTATAACGGCAATTACATCATCTTTCTTGAGGAAGAAGAGAGTATTTCTCGGCACCAGAGCGGCCATCATACTGGCATCTCTTGGGTCATAGTCTAGTGCCTCCGGACGCACCGTCCTCTCCAGGACTTCGCAGGTGGAGTTAACGTCCGAACTCTTGCGCGGATGGGTCATGTCGTACACGTCAGACAGGTACTGGTAAGCCAACGTCATCCCGTCGTTAGCGAGTCCTCTGAGCTTGGCCATTGTCGCTTCCTGCCTTTCGGTCAGGCGAAGCGGGGCGACAGGCGAAGCGGGGCGATAGGCTCGATATGGTCCCGTACCCTGCACTGGATGGCCACCTGTAGGACGTAACGGAGCTTCGCGATATCGCGGTCCCAAATGGGGTGGTATACCAGTGTTGCAAGGACATTGCATACCGCTGGTGGTAGATACGGGCTCTCCGCCGTCGCGTATTTAAGCCCGTACCGAAACAGGTGCCAGGGGTGCCGTCGGAACACCTGGAGCATAACCCTCCAGAGCACCCGTTCGGCAGTGGCCTCCGCTGTGTGCGTTTCCAGGATGGTTTGGTTCTCGTCGGTTCATGAGGCCAGGAGGCGCCTTTCGTCATCGCTGGACCAGTCCCTGACTGGCCGGTCCGTCAGCAGTGCCTCGGCCTCCTCTAATATCATCGGGTGCTCAAGCACCGGACGGTTGTAGGTCAGTTGTTTCTTGCCTGACCCGGGGGTCCGGCCAGGGTCGCTTGGGCGGCGCTGGCTCGTCTACTGGCTCGTCATGGTCAGACGCGTCAGGGAGAGGCTCTTGCGCCGCTGTCGCCACTGCAATGGTCGCATTGGTAGTCTGACGACGGATACGCTTGGACCGCGTTGGCCGATGCTGATGCTCCGACCCAGACATGTGGTTTTCAAACGCTTCTTCGTCTGAGTCTTCTCGAGGGCATCGCTGGCCGGCCGAGGCCGTGTTTGCCAGCAAGGGCTACGGGCTCTGGTGTTTGGCCCATATGCTTGTGGCGGGAGTACACCGAAGTATTGTACAACAGTAGCGCCAGCATGGACTGCCCGGCGCTGTGTTGTTGAAAGGGGGGCCGACGCCGACCATTCCCTGGTTTCAGGAATACTAGTCAGGTTTGTCGGCGTCCATTGCTCGGACGCCGACTGTCGATTGCCGCCGCCCCTGCGGTCGTTACTGCTGTGACGACGGCGGTCACGAGAATGGCTTCCGTGACTATGCTGATCGCGATGCGAATCAGACATTGTTGATGTCGATGGTAGTATGTTTTGTGTTTCTGTGTTGTGTCGTGACAGGAAACGAACGATGTCTCTCATAAATTTTGGATGGTGGAGGAAGAAGAGAAATGGTTGTGTGTTCAATCATAAAGTCCCAAGTCGGTGGGCTCAGCGAGCGCATAGTGCGCGATGCGTAAATACACAGTGGGCTGTAATATACACTGACCAATGCAAGCGCTCTCTACCGTCCGCGCTTGGGCCAAGTCGCGAAAGCTCCTCTGGGAGCCCTAGTCGAGAAGCGCACACTTGAACACTTGCTTGCAGGTCCTCTAGACCTCCCCATGAGGCACTCGATATGACCCTTACACGCGCGTATCCACTTTGCCGGTGTTATGTACGACGGGACCAACCTCCGCATCTTGGCTGCCAAGCTCCAATAAGCCATTGTCGCCCATTCTAATCAGGCAAGTGGGTCGAGGAGCCACGTGCTCGAATATCATGGAAAGCGGCGATGTTGGACACCACCCCCAGCTGTATACCTGCAGAGACCACGGAATCGTTCGGTAATCAGCAGGATCAGTCGCCCGGTCGACGGCTAGAACATGCTTGTCATCCCACCAACCTTATCTCAGCCTGCCGAGCGAGTCGCACTTGAGCATGCCGGATCCCCCTCCCCCCTCCCGAACCAGCGCTCCCAAGACAAAACAGTCAAAAACAAGCCAAACCGACGCCCGGCAAGGCAAGACAAAACGACGGCCCCGTTTGGCAAGCCTGATACGTCCCGGTTTAACTGTCCTGCCAAGAGGTTAGGTACCCTAGCCATTGGTAATTTCCCTAGCAAAACTCCCTTTTTGCATGCAACTACTCCGTATATATGCCAGGCTGGCGTCCAATTTTGCGTCCATTTTCAGTTCTAATGTGCCAGGGTTCCTAGGCGTATGTAGTATATATGGGCCGGCGCGGAAAAACTGGTTCCGGCAAGTCTTGCAAAACAGTCAAACCGACCCTCCATCTCACAAAACGGCTGTCGGGCCCGCAAAACAAGACGAAACGACGGTCGGTTTTGGCTTGATTGTCTTATTGGAAGCGCTGCCCTGAACAAGGGCCACGCCAGCATCGACGTGAATGCCATCCGGCCTACTCCAATTCAGGCCGATGTATCAGGGCACCGTCCTACGTCTAGGCCATGGTGAGACTTTCGGAGTGCGAGCTCCCCAGAAGGTCGGTCTCGGATTGCGTTCAGTTTTGAGGACCGCAGAAGGTAAAACGGATCCCGAAGCTGCTTTCGGCTAATGATAGGGCTAACTCTGGATTGAAGACGAGATTCCAACGAAAGGTGTTTGTAGTCGGAAAAGGTTCATTGGGAGAAAAGAGTGTGCGTTTCACCATTTGGGATAATTTCCATGATTGTGGGAGATCCGAGATGGCGGTGCCTTCAGCTAAGCGGATTAGGAATAACTGTTTGTTGTCAGGCATTAGACGGTTGAAGGGATATGAACAGTAAGCCCAGGCACGGTCAACTCCTAGCGAACACGACCTGAACGAGTCCATTAGGTAATAAGGCAGGAAACTGGCTTCAGGGCACTGGCTTCAGTCCATGGTAGAGGATGAGTGGCGGTGGACAAGGGCCGAATCAATAAGCGGGACCGAGATGCCCGAATTCGAAGAGGCAGAACTCGTAGCCCGCGTATAGCTCCTCGGCGGGAAGGCTACATAGAATATCCCACAGTCGCCAGTATCACCACAGGTGGATCGTACACAAGACGCCACAGTAGCCACCTCGCCCGTGTAAACCTGGTTCGCGACAAGACGCGGACCAGGTTCCGTGTACAACGAAGTATCTATCTGGGTCCTCGCTACAGGCCCGCATCTCCGTCTATATCCTACCACCGCCGTCTCCATCTCTCTCCCTTCTGCGCTCTCGGTCGATGAGGGCGGGCTTGGTCGTTGGTCGTGGGCTAATAGGCAGCTCGGCGGATAGAACGTTACCGTTGTGGTGCGCACTTAGAACACCGGGCGAGTCTCCCTGGGCCATATATTCTTCGCTTGCGTGGCTTCGTTCAATGACTCAGTCTCATGCTGCTTCTTGGCCATCTCTGCGAGCTGGCACCTCATTGGTGAAAGGTCTTCGCTGCTTTGGAACCTTGGGTTGCGTTCCGGTTTGCCATGGGATATGGTCAATGGACGTGCCGGGGAAAGAGGTTGATGACTGTTTTCTAGACCGGTCAGGATAAGATTCGGCGCTGACTTTGATTGAATACGTACGACCAATGCCATTGTGCACTCTTTAACCTTGATGGACGCCGTCTCTAGTTCGTCCAGCGCCCGGACTAGAGGTTGTTGAACCGGGGAAACACGTTGCCCAGTTTCTCAGTTCTCCATGCTAGCTATACGTCCGCCGCGGAGGCTCTCATAGTCCATCTCCAAGTTGGGAGACTTCGCCGTATATGATGAATACCGCAGAAGCGAGCCGTGGACTGACATACGGGAAAAGGAAGAGGAGCATGCCGTAGTCGAAGCTATACGTGGATGAGTTTAGGACCAAACAGCACGCAGACCTGCTTGGGATACCAGCGCGCATATGCGCAGCTCCATGTGGCGGGCGTGCACCATCTGTTCCCTGCTCCTACTGGTAGTTAATACAGAAAGGCTGAAGTCAATGACAAGACCCATGACTTCACCGCACACTGTAGGCCACTAATAAGTGAAGTCGGTTCTGTGCGTTCTCGGTTGCTGTGCTTTGATTAGCTACATTCTGTTTGTGTATGTTTTGACAAAGGAACTTAAGCCGGCAATCAAGCCCAAATCTCAATAGAACTGATCTGAACCCGAAACGATTTCCAAACGCCTTCAGACTTTTCTCACAACAATCACACCAGACTAGTAATTCTGATCCAAAACAACTTCCAACCAACATCGAAATTCTCACATCACATACGAAGATCACAGCAATAATCATCACGACAACCGGCGACATGACAGAGCTACGCAGAAGCTCGAGAGACGTCGCCGAGCACGCGGCCAAGCTGGTCGACCACGCGGGAGACCTCTGAGGTCGCGTGCGCTACAGAGATAACGCAGGCGATCGGGAGCTACTTCGAGGAGCGTTGTCCTCTATTCCTAAGTACTATAGCAATAGAGGGTGCTCGCTCGACTACGTTGCGTACAGAATCCTCAAAGACGTGTTCAGCGGCACCGAGCAAATGCGTAGGTACCCACTATCCCGTGGTTGAGATGATGCACGAACACTAACCATGTTTCTAACTACCCGAGCTTTTCCCGGCTCTGTATCCGGACCTAAAGCCGGCTCGGAAGTCAGGGGGGCCTATCTTCGCGGGCACAGAACCGCTCGAGCGACTAAGAGAGGGCAATCCGATGGCAACTGCAATCAACTTCGTGGTCGAAAGGGCGGCCGCATATATAGACAAGAGGCCTACAAAGCCTGTGACGCTAGAGTATATCCTGGCTCACATGTGTGGGACCGGCCATCGCAGCCACCGCCCCAACAACAAGTCCCGCAGCCACGGCCACCGCAGGCTCCGCAGCAGCCACAGCAGGTCGCGTTGCCACAGCCAACACAGACCAACCGGTGGCGAGTATCCGGCAAGCGCGAAGAGCGTGGAGCCGGCAAGCTCGAGGAGCATGGAGAGAATCCGCCGCTCCCTCCAGGTCTGTAAGTCATTTTGTCTGACTCGTGAAAATGAAGTAGAGAAAAGGGACAGCGGTGATGAATGAACACTTTGTTATCGAGACAGGGTGAGTCAGGGGGTGGAAATTGCGGGGCAAATCCAGGACGACGAGTGGGAGGTTATATCGGAGCCCACACTTTGTTAAACCATGCATAGCACGACAGCTTTGGGTGAGTACTAACAGCTAAAGTGACGAGGGGTTGCGGAGGATGTTGTTGCGATATCCAGTCATCCCCAGAGTTTTGAAACGCGCGTTTATTGGTTTCTGCCTTCTAGCAGTAGCCGTGAAGCTAGTCCTTCTAGTCTATAACACAACGAGTGAATAGCTGGCCAAGCGGGTGAACAGTCTCGAAGGAAACAATAGAAGGTCAACAAATGAAACAGCCCGACACCCCCTGTGGGGGGCCCAGGGCGGCCTTTTGCTTGCTAGACTAAGCTCGCCCGGAACCCCCCCACGAGCAACTCCCCCCAGTTCAGCCCACGAATCGCTCCACTGTGGTGTGGAATGCGCTTCAAGCATTGCAGACGGTCTCCGGTCTTCCAAGGCCCTTTTCGCTGCAGCTAGCCTGGCCGCACTGCTTGACGAACCTGTCCGGGACGCCGTCGGCGTTGACGTGGTAAATGGCAGTGAAGACGCTCCCGATAGGTGTGTCGGTAAGGTTCACCAGAAATCGTTCCGCCACATTTCGATCAGTGGAGATGCCTGTTTTATGGGAAAAGAAGAAGCGGAAGTCAGTCTCTCGGCGGTGGTGAAGTGGAAGGGTCTCTGAGAAGAGAGGAGGAAGGGGGGGGGGGGGTTGATCTGGGAGATTGACTTACAGTTGTGGTCGATCAGGTACCACCCACACGCATTATCGTTGCGAGGGCAGTCAGCGGGAAGCTGACGGGCCTCGACGTTGGAATCCGAGCCCGGAGCGGCAAGAGCGCTGGGCGCGAGGGCCGCGACGAGGGCGAGGACGGTGGTGGTCTTGAACATCATCTTGGCGGATTTGAAGGCGAGTGACGGTTGTTTGAGTGTTGTTGATTGTGGTAGTTGTTGGAGTTGATTTGGATGTGTTGTGGTGAGAATGGAGGCGATGGAAGAGAAGGGGAGAGGGCTTCTTATAGACGAAGGAGGGCACTCCCTTCGCCCCATTCTGGATCTCGTCTCATACATCTCTGGAATCGAACTGGGCTCGGAGATTCCATGTGTGGGCGTTGCTGACAGCGTGAGCGGGATCATGATGCTGACGGTAGCACCTCAAATCATGGCAATGTGTAACTGCTCACACCCGACGAGAGGCGTATATGCACGGTTCTTGTCCGTGGTGAAGGTCCTGCCCAGATTTCCGAGGTCACGAGCAACGTGATGTCTGTTGTTCCTCAGACAGGTTGCTTTTGGGGCTCTAGCAAGGATCCACTGAAGAGTTACCAAAGTCATGCTTCAGGTTACACAACAACTGGCCGAGAACACTGGATCCAGGGCTACCGGATCACTCTTCTCGGACTGTAAGCAAGTGTCCCGAAAGAGATTCAAGTTAGAATGCGAGCAGTTAACCTTACATGTTTGAATCGAGTAACGGAGTTCAACCGGGCTGATGGTGCAACCGAAGGGAGGCGGTATGCCGAAGACCTGACATCACCTTTGAGCGAGCCACATAGCTTCAGACATTGTCTGGATACATGTAGTAATGGATTGAGCACATGTACATTGAATTCGAGAACTACCTCCTATCAGTACTCCATCACCTTCCCCGAACTCAAGCACCTGAATGAACTCCCGACAGTAGTCCCAAACTTACACATAAGAAGCCGGCAAACAGTTCCAACTTCTACCCTACATCAAGAATCAAGATCGGTCCGGTGAACAAAAAAACCCCCCCCCTCCCCCATACCATAGAACTCACACACCCCGGTCGGCATTCACCGTCGACCTCCCCCTTCAGGCGCTGACAACATTCCAAATCCGGCTGACCCAGAAGGGGGGGGGGGGTGGGGGGGGGAAGGAGAGGAGGTGTCCAGTACCAAACAGCAACAGTCTTGGCATAAGACATCCGGGGGGCAGGTGACAGCGCCCTTCGCGCGCGGCCGCGACCTTTGGTCAGCTTTCGCAATCCCCGCCCGTCATTTTCCAGGTTCTTGGTTACCTAGGTAGGTAGTATTTACCGCGAGTACCCGACAACCGGGTTCTCGGGGCGCCCGAGAGTTTGGGTCCAGCTAGATCCTACCGTCTATGAGCGTGCGTGGCTCAGCCCTACCGGCAAGTTGGCAACGCAGTTTTTCGGCGCGCAGTTCCGATCAGGTGTTACAAAACTTGGGATGGGTTTAACTATTGTCAAGTTTGTGTGGGTAACACGTAGATTTTCCTTGTTGTCTAGACTCTAGATCCCATGGCGCCGACATCTACGGTGAACTCAAAGCCCCCCCCCCCCCCCTTTTCCGTCTATCGCCCGAAAACGATATCTTGCCAGGCAACAGGATCATCATATGATGCAGTGCTTTAATACACGTAGCGGAAGGTGAGGGCCTTGTCTCCCTGGTCAGACAGCTGCTCGGGCGTGTACGAGTCTAACGCACCCTCCTCCATCTTTCTGCTGCGTTTCTTGTTCTCCGCGGAATATCCGGCCAGGAGGACCAGTGCAGCGATAATGCCCGCGCCAATGAAGCCCAGCTCCAGGCCGTGTCCGAGCCGATATCGTGGGGCGTCTTTTCCGCGGTAGAGGTTGGAGGCAATAGCCTAGACCAAGTCAGTCTTTTACTGGCCTTTTGTTGTTACACGGAGAGAGGGATGATCAGGTTCAACTCACACCGCCGAGATTGCCCACCCCAATCTGCAAAGCCATGCCAGCAGACCTCTTCAGCGAGCCAGCCAGGTTATTCGACAGCCACGAAATTACACCCGGAAACGCAGGGTAGATGGCGCAGGCAGCGATGAAAACTCCCCCGTACACGACGCGCGGGTGCTGTGTCGGGTCGGTGGCGATGGCCATGGAGAAGCTTTTAATCACACCCCAATATCAAGTTAGCAAGAAATTCCTTTCCTCTTCTGTCTGAACTTTCTTTTTTGTTTATTTGATTTCGTTTGTTACGTACCCGATGACCATCACGAGGAGGAAGCCGACGATGAAGGGGCTGCGCTTGCCGACCTTGTCCGAGAAGTAGGCGGCGATGACGGCCAGGACGGCGGCGGTGACGTAGATGGGCACCGTCATCAGCTGCGCCTGGCTGCTCTGGTAGCCAAGCTGTCTGATGATGGTCGGAAGGAAGAGGGAGATGCCGTACAGAGGGCAGACGACCTGGAAGGGGGGGGGGGGAGGTTAGCATTCTTTAGTAGGTAATTCTTTTGAGAAACGAAAGCCACTCACGCCCCAGTACACCACTATGGACAGCCAGATCTGCCAATCCAGGAACGCGGCCCGGACGTATTTCCACTTGAACGCATCCGCCTGCGCAACCTGGGCTTGACCAGGACGGCTCTGGCCCTGGTACCTGAGCCGGTACACGACAAACGCGCGCTCCTCCTCGGTAAGGAACGCAGCCGTCTCGGGGAAGTCATGAACAGCAAAGAACGCCACAATGGCAACAACCACCGTGGCAATACCCTCCAAGATAAAAATCCACTGCCACCCATGCAGCCCGCCCACGCCGTCCATCTTGCCAATCGCAAAGGCCAGCAGGCCACTGAACGCGCCCGCGACGCTCGCCGCGCTAAAGAACAACGCCTGGCGCAGCTGCATCTCGTCCCGCCGGTACCAGCTCGTCAGGTAGTAGGCCACGCCGGGGAAGAGGCCGGCCTCGGTGACGCCGAGGAAGATGCGCGCGGCCAGGAGCCCCGCGTAGTTGTGCGCGAGGCCCATGAGGGTCATGACGACCCCCCACGCGACCATGATGGCGGGCAGCCAGACAGAAGGGCGCACCCGCTTCAGCATCAGGTTACTGGGCACCTCGAAGGCGGCGTAGGTGAAGAAAAAGGCGGTCAGGCACCAGTTGTACTGGTCGTTGGTCAGCCGAAGGTCTTCTTGCAGCCCTTCGATCTTGGCGTTGCCGATGTTGCCGCGGTCGAGGAAGGAGAGGAGGTAGAGGAGGGAGAGCATCGGGAGGAGGCGCATATCCATCTGGTGATGAAGTCAGTCAGTCACCGTCCTAGAAAAAGGGTTAGGAATTTGGGCACACATACCTTGCGCAAAATGGCCTTTTCGTCGAGATGGGCAAACGATTCGAGCGTTGGCGGAGGAGGCACGGCCACTCTGTCGACCTGCTCGACATCGACGAGGTCGTCTGACCCCGGGGGCGAAGTTGAACCATCCTGCTTCTCGGTAAATGTTCCCATGTTGCCGTCGGCCTTGAGGACTGAACCCGACATGTCCTCGACGCAACCAGAAGGAAACAAGAGACGCAAGAATTCGAGGACCAGTATGCGGATCAGCAGCCTCTTAAAACCCTCCCTCTCCTGCTACTAGTCACCCATCCCGCATATCCAGGAGTCCATGACCCGGGAAGCTGCAGTGTCACCGTCACACCTGAACATGTTCAAGGCCAAGTCCCTGCCAATCACTGCAACCTGTCTCGTCCCACTGACGCTCGACAATGTCAGCCCGGACAATCTGTCAAATGCCTCCACCGTTCCCCCCCTCTCCCCCGCAGGAGCAATGGAGCAAAAAGCTGCGGGGTGTTACAGTTTAGCTTTTGCGGGGAAGTGGGCGAACATTCCTTATAGTAGAAAAGATCGACGTAAAGCTTGCTTCTACCAGGTCCCGAACTCCTTTGCCGGCGATAACTACCCCGAGAACCATCGCCTCATCGTCAGTGGCTGCGGTCCTTGAATTTGGCCTGCTTTTCGGTGCGGGCTCGAGCCGCGGGTGCTTGCAGAATGCAGATGACACTGTGCGACATGAAAACATAAATCGGGCAACTTTGTCTGTATTATCCTCGTGATAGGGGTGTGTTCGGCCATGGCGGATTTGCCGGCGCCCCGTTATGTCCCCGGGGATAGCACCACTAGCATCGCTCTACAAACCAAACACCGCCAAACTATTCTCAATAAAGTAGTTAATCCCCTCCGCCCGCCAGCTATCCATCTCGACATAGCTGCCCTTGTCAGACCACACCATATTCTGGCCCACTCCGCCGCCCGCGCTGGTATTATACACCGGCCAAGCATCCACTCCTCGCAGGCCGTTCGGCCCGTTCGGATCCAGGCCGGTAACGAAGTTAACCCACGCCGTCGACATGGTCTTGGCCAGGGCGGTCAGCGCCTCGGTGTTGTTGGCAAAGGGATTCTCCTCGTAGCCGTCGCCGCGCACGTTGTCGAACACGAAGGCGACCTCCTGGAAGTGGGTGGCCCCGATGAAGCCCGGCAGGCCCGGCAGGACCACGTCGAAGCGGTAGCTCCACGAGGGGAGGCCCTGCGCTGCGAAGGCGAGGTTCGCGCGCCGGCGGGCGTGCTGCATCTTGCTGTATACATTTTAGACGCCGGGCCTTGGTTAGCATTTTGCCTTCTTTCTTCTTCTTTCGGGATCCACATTCTGCCCAACTGGACAGGTTAGTAATAGACGGTAGTAAACTGAAACACTTACAAGTCTCCAAAGAGCGCCGCAGTACGGCGGTACTGCAATCCCATAGCCTCAGCAACAGCGTCCCCCGCTTGGATAACAGGCCATTTATCCAACCCAGGAACGCCAACCGCCTGGATGTCCGGGTACAAGTACATCAACTCATCAGCCACTTGCTCCTCTCGCGACGACGACGACGATTTGCCGTGCACGACGTCCAGTCCCACGATCGCGTCAACAATTCCCCTTCTCATCTCCTCGTCCGTGTCGACCCCCCGCCCCCCGGGACCATACCCCGTCCCAAACGACGACCCCTCGTCCGAGTTACACCCAATCAGCACCGCCACGGGCGGGAACCGCCCCTCGCGCAGCTGCCTGGAAGGGTAGTCGGCAACAAAATCGCCATCGAGCACGGGGCCCCACGGGTTCGCGGCCGTGCCGTTCAGCGCGCGGTGCAGATCCTCCAGCGGCAGCGCGCGCAGGCAGTCGAGCGACTCCCTCGTGCCGACCGTGTTGCGGCAGGTGGTGGTGTTGCGCACGAGCGTGTCGTAGACATGCTGCATGCGGTCCGTGGCGTTCAGCCCGCCCGGGAAGCGGCCGCCGATGAAGCCGCCGTAGCCGGACTGGGCGATGACGGCCCGGAAAAGGCCACCGTTGTCGCGGCCGCCGTAGGCCAGCGTCTGCGCGCTGACGCTCTCGGCGCCCGAGCTCTCGCCCCAGAGCGTCACCTTGTTTGGGGAGCCGCCGAAGGCGCCGATGTTCTCGTGCACCCACCGCAGGGCCAGGCGCTGGTCTTTGAAGCCGAGGTTGGTGATGCCTGCGTCTAGTGCCAGCTGGCCCATGGGGAAGCCGAAGGCCGAGAGGCGGTAGTTGAGGCTGACGCCGATCAGCGGGGTGCCTTGGGCGACGCTGTTTTGCACGATGAAGGAGAGGTTGTATCGTCGGTCTGCGGAGCCGCCCATGAACTAGAATTTAGGTTAAAATTAAAGATAGGTTTTAGTTATTAGGCCTATAGAGGAACAGGGTAGATAAGGTAGGCACTAGTACTAGTAGTATCCAAGAGAAGAAAATAAAGGGGAAGAGTAAGTCTCACCAAACCACCGCCATGGATCCATACTACAACCGGCAGCTTGGCCGTCTCGTCAATGCCGGCCGGCCGGATGACGTTGAGGTACAGACAGTCCTCCGACATCGGATACCCGACGTTGTCACTGCCGTAGCCGACGCAGTGCGGCGGATAAGCGGTGGCGTTCCGGATCCCTTCCCAGGACGAGTTCAGGTGCTGCGAGACAGTGAACCGCGGCGCTTTCTGCGCGTAGGGCATGCCCAGGAAGAAGTCCTGGTTGTACTCGGCCGAATGGATACCGGCGTACGTGCCATTCTTGACTTTGACGACTGGGGGACTATTAGTAGAACCGTGATGGTGGGCCGGTAGCGCGTGGACGGGGGAGGCGAGCCATCCCAGACCGGCGGCGGCGAATAAGAGTGGTGAGGCGAGCCAACGGGTCATGGCTTTGTTTGTTTGTTGTTGCTAGTCGGGACTGCGCTGTGCATTCCGAAGGCGAACAGACGGCTTCTGGAAGCCTCAACTTCCAGCGAGCAAGCGGTGCCTCCAACTTATATACCTCATCGCGATGGAAGCGATGCCTTGTTTTCTTCCTTGCTTGCTCGGCGTCACTTCGGTCGCTGTTCTCTGGTTCGCGCGCAGGGCACGACACGAAGTAACCACGATCGGCCTTGTACAATCTATAGCATCTGCCGAAACCCGATCCGGTTGTCGGGGTATAGTACGGGTTTCCGATGTGACTACAACTCAAGATCCATCCTCCACCTAGGAAGATGCGACTGGCGGGATGATTGTGATTTAAAGTCTGGCAGACTGGGGTCGCAGTGATTGGAACCCAGGAACCGGAACAGTCGCCTCCCGGGAGAAGTTGCCGCTGTAGCGTTCGGCTAAACCTGTATTGTCCGTGTGTAGATCTTGGGCGATGAACGTCACGATGGAAAACGTTGCCCGGATCCATGGCGGCTTATGTATTTAGGTGTATTATAATCGTGAAGGTTATAGGGTTGAATGCGGCTAGTCCCTCCAGAATTGTTGTGGGCGGGGTGACATTGGGGTAAGCGAAGTGGAATTGTCTACAGGCCATGGCCGTACATGCATTACGGACGTTAAGCTATAAGCACTCGTGCACGAATGAGAAGTATTTCATCAACTGAGCATGACGGACGGTACATGACTTGGCGGTTCAACAATGTATGTTCTTACACCACGGCCCAGCAGCTATAAGCCTTTTTCCCCCATGCCTGGATCTGGGGAAGTCGTCCCATGCCTGCATGGGATTTGGTTGATCTCTGGCGGGGTCACCTGAATGAGAATTTGATGTTGATTTGAAGAGATCGGACTTGAATGGTTTTCAGAGAGGGAAAGGAAAAGAAGAGAATGGAAGAAGGAGAAAAGAAAGAGAGAGGGGGAACGGTAGTCCGAGGTGCTTCTGGCGGTAGTAGGAATTGCCATAAGACATTCGGCGAAACGGTCAAGGCCATCAAGCCATCAAGTATGGCGAGTATCATTGCCACCTGGTGCGACGCATTAGTCTGATTCAACCCTACCCTCCATCACCCTCTCCACGCCCTGGAGCTCGTCCCCTTCCGCCTACTCCACTGGTGCCCTCGACCACCGCCCTCCCTCCTCTTCTCCTCCAGCAGCCTCTCGCTCAACTGCTTGTACACAAACGCGTTCTGGCCATGGTACCTGATCCCATGATCCGAATCCGCAAAGAAGGTAACCGCCAACCTGTCCGGCCCGACGCCGGCACCCATCAGCAGATCCGCCAGCGCCGCCGAGTTCTGAAAATGCACATTATCATCCCCCGTGCCATGCTGCAGCGAGAACTTGCCCCTTAGCCCCTTAAACCCATCCGCCCGCCTCACCGCAGAAGCATTATACCCGACCTCGTTCCCCTCCAAACCCTTCATATACCGCTCGGTATACACACTATCATACAACCTCCAATCCGCCACCGGCGCGGTAGCAATCCCGAACGCGATTGCCGGATCCCCTACCTCCACTACCTTGGCCGTTAAATACCCGCCATAGCTCCATCCCCAGATCCCAACCCTCTCCTTATCCACCCATTCAACACCAGTCTCACTCGTCGTCATCAGCCACTTCGCAGCCCAGATCTGGTCCTGCGCCTCCAGCTCGCCCAACCGCCCCGCCACAGCCGCGCGAAAGGCCCGCCCGCGGAACCCGGTCCCGCGGTTGTCGACCGTCAGCGTGGCATACTCCAGCTCCGGGTCCGACGCGATGTAGGCGTTCCAGTCCAGCGGCTGGAAGGCCTTGGTGACTTCCTGCGCGCCGGGCCCGCCGTAGGGGGTTAGCAGGACCGGGTATTTCTTCTTCTTGCCCTTGGATTTCTTGGATGGGTCGTCAAAGTTGAAATTGGCTGGGAGGCGGAGCATGGCGGAGAGGGTGGCGCCCGGAACGGAGGGGTGGGGCAAGTCAAGGTAGGTGATGTTGGGGAGGCGGTAGGCTTGGAGGGCGGCGTGGAGGGCGGCGTTGGAGTTGATGGTGCGGATCGGGGAGGCAGGGTTGGTGATGGAGTAGAGTTCTTGGTAGGGCACGTCCGGGCCGGCGTAGCGCAGGATGTAGAAGCCGGCGTGGGCGGAGAAGGAGGCGGCCCAGACTGCTGGGATGGAGGGGTCGACTAGTGGGGTTTTGGTGCCGGTTAGGTAAGAGACGCTATAGAGGTGCCGCTCGGTGGGGTGGTGCTCGGTGGAGGTGTAGTACACTAGGCCGCGGGCGGTGTCGACCTTGGCGATCGAGGCTACCTCCCAATCTCCCGATGTTAGGGTGATGTTGGTCTTGCCGTCGAGGGAGAAGAGGTAGAGATGGTTCCAGCCGGAAATGTCCGACATGTCGAGGTAGTACCTGTCCTTCTTGTTGTGGTCTTTGTCACCGCGTGTCCCAGCCTTGGACTTGAGGGGGCCGATGTAGGTGATGGCCAGGTTATTGTCGAGCCAGCCGTCGGATCCGTCCCTCTCGCGGGTGACGGTCGAGCCTTGCGTTTCTGTGTCGACAAGCACGAGCTTCTCGTGGTCTTGGATGCGGTTGAAGGCCCGGTAGATCAGCTTGTCGTGGCCCTCTGTCACCCAAGCAACCTCTCCAATGATCAGGTCGTCCGCCGGCCAGGCATCGATGGACAGCTGGGCGGATGACCGCGCCGCAACGTCAAGGAGATGTAGAGACACGGTGGGATTCTTGGTGCCGACCTTCGGATATCGGAGCTTCAGCTCACGTGGGTACGGCGGCGGAACCGGCTGGTTGTTCATGTAGTAGGGGACGGTGAACGTCTCGACGCCCGTCTCGTTGAAGCTGAGAAAGGCGACGTACGCGCCGTCGGGCGAGTACCAGAGTGCGGAGTTGGAGCCGAACACTTCCTCCTCATAGACCCAGTCCGGCACGCCGTTGAACATATCCGGGCCGCCGTTGGTCGTGATCTGGCTCGTCGTCCCATTCTCCCAGATAAACAGGTTGCTCCCCTGGACGAAGGCGATCTGCGAGGACGAGGCGGGATTCCACGTGGCGAACTGGATGTCGGCCTTGGAGTCCTTTACCAGGGACTCCGTCTGTCCCGTTGCAACATCCTGGACCAAATAGTTTGCAAAGTAGCTGTGCCGGTACTGCTTGGTGTAATTGACGGCCCATAAGATCTTGGACTGGTCGGTCGAGATCTTGTAGTCCCAGTAGCCGGCCGGGATCATGTCGGCCGACAAGAATGTGGTTCTGTTACCACTGACGACATTTTCAAAGACAAGGGACCCGTCGTCGGCCTTGGTGATGAAGTCGCCGTCGTGCTGAGATTTGACCCATGTGACAGACGTGGTCGACACGGACAGCTCACCGCCGGTGGTGACGTTGTAAGTGAGAAGCTTAGTGCCATTGCCGGTAGGTTGGTGAGGATATCGGGGAGGCTCAATGGCCTTGACGACTGCCGCCGCCGCGAGGCAGACTGAGAGAAAGTTTCGCATCCTGACCCCAACTGTCAACCTCGAGCGTGGAGGTTGCTGAGGGGGAGCGAGGTGCGGTTGCACGACGGGTACCGGTGATTTTATGATCACCTCGATATGCGATCGCCAATCGCATGCCCGGATTGGAAAGCCGGGTATTCACCCGGGCCCGGCAGGTGTAGAGTGCCCAGCGCCGTGGCATTGTACAGAACTGCCCAAAGCGGAAGGTGGTGATACCGAGTGGAGGCGCCAAGGTGTCGAACTGCATTGTTCCTCGAAGCGAGGACACAATCTCGTGGCATCAGAAGCGGGTGAAACGTCGTGTTGGCCTGACAGGCTGGCATCCGTCAGTTTACTGCGACAAGCCAAAGCCTTCCTTCTGGAACAAAATAATGATAGAATGCTGTGTCGAAGCAAACTACCATGCAGGGTGACAAAAGACGGCCGCGACAACTAAACGCAAGTATCGTTCCTCAAAATAGTATCATGACGCTCGTATATGGGAAGTTACTTAACAGTGGTTAATCATATGGCCCTAAATGGCTACCGTGTGTGGGTCTTTGAAGGATGCTGACTGTATGCTGTTCAGTCACCGCCAACAAATCCCAACTTCAAACCCGTCAACATCCGTCCCCAGATCAGTACTTCGTAAATCTAAACCATCTGATACACCCCTCCTACATTACCCTCCGTATCCTCAAAATACCGATAGAGCCCCGACTCGCCCTCCTTAAGCGGCTCCGCACTGCCCACCATCTTGCCCCCAGCCTTCACAATCACCTCCGCAACCCTTCCCAGATCCTCAACGAGCCAGTACAGACAGACACCGCCGGGCCCGGCAGCAGGCGTGCCCGTGCCCTCGTCCTCGGGCCGGTGCTGGAGCCCGCCGCTGAGCGCCACGCCGCCGGGCGTGAGGTCGAACAGCCGCGTCTTGGCGTGGTGGTCGGGCTGGTGGTCCTCGCGGCGGGGCGCGTCTTTGAAGGTCCAGTTGAAGACCGTGGCGTAGAAGGCTTCGGCTGGCGGGATTGGATGCCTGTGTTAGAGGGGCGTGACTTGTCTCTCAAAAATGGGGGGAAAGAACTTGAAGCTAAGAAGGAGAGGGGATGGAACATACCCCGCGACAAGTCCTTCGTGGAGATGCCGAGCCAGACAGGGCAGCCGGCTTTTGGTGGCTTCCAGTCGGACATTTTTGCTTTCGTGTGGGAGGTAACGCAGCGGTGTCGTGTTGGCTTGCTGGCAATAGAGTACCTAACTAGAAGTGACCTGCTAGTGTAATCCTTGGGAACTTGAAAGGGACAGAAACTCATCATCGACGGCGTTTCCAGCCCTTTATATCTCGAACAAAGGAGCCATCGCCGTCAACCGGCGACCGTCGCCTCCGAGCCGCAACCCCGCGCGGAGTTTGAGATGACCCGTCTTTGTTGCTCCTTCGGTGACGAGGCTTGCATAGTTCTCGCTTGGCGTGGACCTCACCGCAAAATTACGCGAATCAAACCGCGCTTGTGACGACAGTGGCGCCAGTTCTGTACGCGAGGTGCGCACGAGCTCACGTGGTCGTGAACAGAAGCTAGATCCCAGGTACGGATACTTTGTGAACGACGGGTCTGCTTACCACTTAGGCTCGGGTCAATCTAGATGAGGTCAATGTTACCTTATGTACCTTCCTCATGCTATGCACTGAGAAATACATGGCGACTGTTTGAACTGCAACTCTTGACCTCGCCAGCCAGACACACCTCCTCCGTCTGATACCCGTGGCCCGCCAACCACAGCAACATAACGCACAGCGGCACAATCAACACAATGGTTGCGATCCCGCAACCGATGACGTATATTATCAGCGAGTGACCCATATCAGCGAGTGACCCATATCAGCGAGTGACCCATATCAGCGAGTGACCCATATCAGCGAGTGACCCACGTCAAAATCTATATATAACCCTGAAAACGCAGGCTCGTCAAGAGTCACCAAACATTGGGAAAACTCTTTCTAGTTTTAAAGGTCGCTTTCCTTATGCTCGACATTAAAATAGAAGCATCAAGATATTCGCCATCTGAGCTGGGTTTCATCAGAGGACAGGTTGCTTAGGTTCTAATAGCTAGAGTTTATACCAACTAGACTTTCGCCTTAACCCACTTGCTTGAGCATAATAAACAAAGCAGTACCTTAATCTATAAGAAACAAAAAAGCTAACTCAAAAGTTATGGAGAATTTTATTTATGTTTGGTGACTCTTGACGAGCCTGTGTTTTCAGGGTTATATATGGATTTTGACGTGGGTCACTCGCTGATATGGGTCACTCGCTGATAATGTACGTTGCCCATTATTCTTGCCAAATCCCTAGGTCCTTCTTGCCTTCCGCCAAACTCACTCGAATCCTCCCAAAATTCCGCCAAAAAACATAATCCCCAAGTAATGTTCCAGTTTAACCAATCCAATAGGTGAGAGAGTTCGTAAATCATGCCGAATCGTAAATATAGGCGAGACCTTTACCGTATATGATATCAAACAAGTTTTCGAAAGACAAGGGGAAAAAAGTAAACCAAATCAATCATCGAGGTCGTAAACCAACTGACACTACAAGCGCCGGAACAAACATCGCAATCGGGACGAAGCCGCGGCTAGTGGAAAACCAGTCTCAAAAACAAAGAAAAGCGGATAATCTTTCGAAGGCTCTTTCAAACAGCCCGGGCGGATGAGGCGCGTCGGCTCCTGTTATTGGGTATCATGAAGAACATGGGGTAAGAAGTAGAAAAGTTTGTAGAATGGTCGAGTTGCTTGTTGGATGAAGAAGTCTGAACCCCCGCCAGTGCTTGAGAGAGCTGCGTTCGCGAACGGCATCTCTGAGTCGGTTTACAGCCCTGGTGACGGTCTGGGATTGGGTTCTTGTCGATGCGCTCTAGCCGGAATCCTTCCGACAGCCGCCGCCACTACTCCCGGTCGTCCCAGAGACAACTGACGTCTTCGTTCACATGGTACCACATCTGATCTGCGTCACTCCAGGACCAGTATTATTCAGCCGGGGCCGGCAGAGGTATAGTGGACCCCCCTGAGGACGTTGAGGCCTGTGCGGGAGACCCAGCCGCTGGTAGGGGCGTACTCAGGCATGGCCGCTTCTTGGTCAAGTCGTGCTTCTTGCGCGGCCGCGACTTTGACGGAGGGCTGTCTCTGTTACGCTTCGAACTGGTCTGGCTCTGTGCGGTAAAGCCAGACGTGAAGCTCGTGACAAAGCTCATGGCGGGTTCAGCGCCAAGAGGTGTGGAGTCATGGCTAGGCTCGTCGTCCTCCAGGTAGTGTGGAAGCGCCGACTCCTCGTCGACGTCCCCGGGGCCAGCGTAATCCTCCGTGCCAACAGTATGTGTTGCAAAGTCCTCGCAGTCCACGAATTCGTCGACAGTCGACTCATCATACTGCTCCGCCGCTGCAACCGTGGTTTCCGGCTCAGGCGGCGCCTGCACGCCAGACTGGCGCGCCTTAGCGTTCGCCGCCTGGATGAAGCTGTCGCGGTGCCTTTGCGCCCAGTCCCGAGCGTTTCGGAGTACCGTTGCGCCTTGAACGAATGTCTCTCGGCAGTCTGTCATGGCAAAATTTCTGAGCTTCGTCATATGGTACTCAGGCCGCTCGCCCGACGCGGCCGGCGGCGTGGTGTGGTGCGCGAATAGCTGGAGCTGGCCGGCGTAGTAGGTCGAGCTGTAAGTGTATGCATTGCCATCAAAGGCGGGCTCCTCCGCACCGTAGTTCTGCAGCGCGTGCATCGCACAGGCGCCGATGGCTCCGTCATACCCGGCTTGCCGTTTCACTACGCATGGGTCTCCATTATCTTTAGCCTACAAGAAGAAGTTCGGCGCCACCGGTCGTCGTATGTCGTTAGAGGGGATGATTAGATGGCTCAATTCGTTTCTGACTTTCTTATCGACATCACGAAAACGAGCTCCATCGTAAAAATCGGGTTTCGCATCGACTGTCTTCTTGTCAGTGATTGACTCTAAATTGTTGAACAGCACATCTCCACTGCTGGGGATGTTTATATTGCCAGTGATCACTGAAATGACTTTGCGCATCACATCTCCTTTAGAACCCAGATGCTTATGTTCGTCTTGAAAGCGTTCGAAAGCACCGTCGGAGAACTTTGACGGTGAAAGCGACGGTCTTGGCTGGTATAAATCTTCGTTTTGGTTAGGCTTCGATTTCCCGTTTAGGTAGATGTTCCTGTCATTGAGATGCTGTTCGAAGGCGTTGTTATACGCCGATGACTTCTTAGGTTTAGCGGTAGTCGCTTTCGTCGATTTCGTCGACCTCGTTCGCTGGCTTGATGATGTGGATGAGCGGTTGGAAGCCATAGTATATACAGCACCTTTCGGTTCTGGGCACTGAGACAAGAAATCAGTGTCTGGTGCCGCTCAGTATCATCACAGGCATACCCCTCGGAGATGGCGAAGATCTGGGCCGCTATATCTTGCGAAACGGGCACGATCCGTGGCATGCACTGTAGGTGCCGCAGGTCCTGGGGCAGCCCGAGCGCTGTTCCGCCGGTCAAGTTCTCGGAGCGCACGACGCGTAAGCGGAACCTTAGACAGGCTGTCCCAAAATTCCAGGGGGAAGTTCGACGGCCTATGGCGTTTGCCTCTCGACTTGATCCTCTTGTTCGGACGGTGCTCTTGCGAGAGGTCATCGGCTCGTGCTCTCTTTAGACCTTGCGCACTCGCTATAAGCAACCACTTCGCAGGTTAAGGGTCGGATCGAGGGGCAGCCGTATGGATATTCGGGTCGTGCTCAAGGGCCGGACTAAGCTGGGCATCCTGTTCACGAGTGAGGAAGTGGATATCCTTATGAACTATAAGTGCAACACCGGGATGCCGTCAGGCTCTTTTCAACCAAGGAAGAAGTGCGATGCACGAATGGAGAGGCGTTCGCTCGGCTCAAGACGCCACCATATTCGTTCCAGTGCTATGACCGCTTTCTGTGGGAGGCTAAAAAACACCCCCATCTGGAATATAAGGGTCAATAGAACCCGGACGGCTCACTCTGCGCACTAGACGACCACCGTTTTAAGCGGCCTATCGAGCTGAAGCTAGGCATGGTTGTCGTGGTCCTGGTCAACCTCGGCTTGGACACTGGGCTCTATAACGGCAGCCAGGGCATCATCGCCGGGTTCGAGCCGTACGACCCGGCCAAGGTTCTACGCAAGATCGAACGCCGAGATGACCCAGGTGCGCCGAATGGCATTGTCGGCGATCATGCCACACTTAAAGAGGCGTATATCAAACATTTCAGTGAGCAGCAGCTGCGCGATCCCCAGCGGCGCGAGAAGAAGCTGTTCTGGCCCGTCATCCGCTTCCTGAACGGTGCTACGCGCACTATCTACCCGGAGTGCCAGGTCCACGAGCTCGGCGACAAGGATCCCTACTCGCTGCTCTGCCGCACGCAGATCCCGCTCGCCGCCGCGTGGGCGTTGAGTATCCACAAGTCGCAGGGGATGACGCTGGATCGGGTGGTTGTCAACCTGTCCCGTGCGTTTGAGGAGGACCAGGTGTATATGGCGCTGTCGCGGGCGACGTCGCTGGAGGGGTTGAAGGTCGAAGGGGATCCCAAGGGTCTCGCTGTGGGCAGGGGAGGGAACGAGCAGGTCAGGCAGTTTTTGAAGGATAAGTTTGATATTTGAGGGTTAGTATAGAGATGATGCATACCACGTGGCGACTATAACGACATTCCTCTCGATAATGTGTTGCCCGGGGCATCATCTCGATGTTGTTATCATACGCCTCCCTTAACTCTGTTGCTAGAGTGGTGTTGCACGATTCGCGGTCACGGGGAACGTCGACGGTGCCAGAGTTCCGGGTCTGCCCATCTGGGGTGGATAGTTGGCGGAGGAAGTTGGGGCAGTTGCGCGTTATGATAGCGCCTAGGTAGTTGGTCCCAAAGATACAGCCGAGCATCTTGGTGAGCCGCTCGCCGACGATGCCCCACTATGGCAGCCATTCTGATCTGCAGCGCCGGATGGACCAGGATGGCGGGCGTCCACTCGACCGTGTGGATCTTGGGCATCAGCGCGCAGTTCACCAGCCGGTTGCCGTCCTTGTCCCGCGGCAGGAAGGACGACGAGATCGCTGTGTCGTCGAGCGTCAGCTTGCCGTCGGGTATAACTTGGTCGGCAGCGCCCGGGTGGCTTCCTCGCTGTAGCGGTAGATCTGCGAGCCGTCTCACCAGGGTGTGCTCTCGTCGTTGTACCCAGGACACTCGATATCCGACGGGTCGCCCACTTCGTCTGGCTTGGTGCGGAAGAGCTCCATGTGCAGGTGCGGCCACGGGTCTCGGTCCTTCGGGAGTGGGAAGTTGATCTTCTCTTCGCTCTATTGACAGTGTTGATATTCGGCTTACTCGAGGTTGCTGCGGGGGCTACCGCAGAGACTAGGACTCGCCTGCAGATGGTTGACCCAGTCGTGGGCAGCCGCAGGTCCCTAACACAGGCTCGGGGGGCTTGATGGTTGAATCGTACGGGGGGACGCAGAGATATCGCTGGGTGGACCTCTTCTTCGGAAGGGATTTTGGGAGTGGCATCATTTTGATGACACGGAACAAAAGCTACTAGTACTGAATTCCTAGGGCAACAGGAGATGAGGAGAAAAGGGTGACGTGAGGGTACAAGCGAGACAAGCGAGTCATTAACTTGAACGTCAAGTGGGATGGGGCAGTGTGAGGACGGTACAGTACTGCTACTGCTAGTAGGTACTAGTAATCAGTGGTAGAAGTGGCAAGAGGTGTGTTTTCCTGGCTGCTAAACCCCATGATGAGCAAATCATCTACTTCTTCAACAAAGCTACTCATTCTGTATTTGTTGTTCGCCTGTTCCCAAACCGCTTCATATACTGTGAGTCAATGGTAAAGGGGGGAGCGTAAACGTATGTGATGCAGTATGTACAATTGTTACATGCAATCTATTTAGATGTTTGATTCCTTTATGCTTGTGGTTTTATTTGAGACCATAACACCAGTATCAGCAGCCTTACTAAGCCCCCAAGAGGCGAAAGACGGGCACCTCTTTAAATCCTTCTTGACTCGATGTTCAACTTAATCTTGTGCTCTGGCCTGTAATCCATCAAGCGTGAGACCGGGATCCTAGCCTGTCTCACTCTTACATTTCCCCATCCCGACGCGACGTCCATCGACAAGATCGTTTGCGAGTAAGGACCAGTTTCATTTCACACAATGAATCCTCTCGCTCAGGTCTCCTCCTCGTCTCTCTCTCTGCTTCAACTCCCCACCGAGATTCTGCTTCTAATATGCGAATGTGTGTGCTACGAGACATGCAGCTACGGACGAAACCCGATCCTGAATGGCTGGGGGGCTTTGCTGCAGCTATCCAGGACGTCAAAACGGCTTCATCTGGTTGCCCGACGGATTCTCTTTCGCAAGATCACAACAATTCCGACCGAACAGGGTGTTATTAGGGGACCGCGCAGGGTGAACCTCGTCCATTTCGTAAGGACCAAAAGTGGCTCACTCTAAATCCTACCGACCAACGCTGACCTCTCAGATCCGTTCGCTTTGGGAAGCTCCGGAACTTCGGAGATCGATTCGCCACGTGGGCTTAACATACATGCACACAGCAAAAGCTAGCACTAGTAGTGGCGGCCGGGACTACGTCAAGGGCGACAGTGTCCGGAATATCTGGTTCATCTCGCGGATGGCCAGAGAGTTTCTGGGCATCACCCCAAACCCAAATACTGCTCAGCCTTGCATGGGGGACTATTGTCGTCGCAGCCCTCAGCCCATCTTCCTCCTAATGTCCATGGCCACGAACCTGACCTCGGCGGAAATCCACGTCCGGAGAGCTTGGAAGGCGGGCCATCTAGCTCGCAAGCGACGCGACGGCACCCTCAATCTGAGGGTGACTTTCCCCGGTTTGACTCGACTCGACTTAGTCGCCCATGGTACTGGTACTAGTAGTCATCACCGGAATTGGTCCTTCAAGCACGGCTTCATCAACGGTATTCTGGCGTCCACTCCGAACTTGAAGTCCCTCAGACTCAAAGGCTTTGGCCATCTGGTGCACGACGAAGGAGCTCATCTTCCTGCCCTGCCTCGCCTGGCAACTTTGCATGTGCAGGGGACCATTATGGACCCTACGAGCCTTCAACGCATCATTCGCACCGCCCCCGGCTTGAGGAGGTTTGTCTACTCCAGTCCCGGAACGCTTTGCACCCGGCATTGGGTAGAATAGACTCTCCCCCTGTTGCCCGAAAGGCTCGAGAGCCTGGCCCTCTACCTTTCTTACGAAACTGGCCCTTCCCAAAATCGTCCAATTTTTCCAAGGGATGCCTTTGTGTCCTGCCTTGGGCGCTTCTCCTCTCTAAAGGTCTTTGGGATCAATCATCGGTGGGAGCCGAGCAAGGAGCTGGTACGTGACCTGATCAGGCCTTTCCCATGCCTCGAGGGCTTGGTAATCCATATCGAACATACACCAACGGAAGACCTGGCCTATTGGTGGTTTACAGGGGCTGTATGGAGCCTCGACAGCCCAGATTCATTCCGAAGGCTCAGGCTAGTCTATGTGGGCGAACTTCCCACGTGCCCAGTCGAGCAGAGAAGGTTCTGCTGGATAGGCTTCAGAACATGGGTGGAAATCTTTCTTCGGCGAGAGATAGTACCCTCGTATGAAAGGTTTGAGTGGAACTTTCTGGATATACAGAAAGAGGTCATGGGAACCTAGGGGAGTTCTTTGTGAGGGCAGCGGATGGAAAGGGGTCACTGGGAGAATAGGAGGATGTAACTATACCTTGACGCGAACGATGCAACAGTGCAGTAAGAGCTGCTCAGATCTGTACATCGGGTGCTCACTTGCCGTGTCATACTGTAAATATCGTCGTCAGGGTGCCCCGTCATGGCAGCATGACACCCGGGGGACTCTAGGAACCAGAGACCTCTGGGTACTACACTCTTTTAAGCTAACTGAATCCGCAGAAGAATCACATTCCGCTCGCTCGTCCTACTTCAATATCTCCTATCATACCCCCTTATGAGCCTCGATGCGCCCGTCGGGGTAGCAACTTCGTTAAACGGCACGGTTTCCGTACTCCGCGTCACCACGACCGGCGTGCCCACCCCTCTCGAGACACTGGCACTCTGCTGGGCATACGGCACCGGCGACGCGCCGACCGCAACCGTCGGGCCCGGCACGACATACGTCGACTGGAGACCGGCGGTAACATTAACGAGTATACCCGGGTCATCGGCCTTGTAAAACCCCCTCGCATCAAAATCATCCATCTCAAACCCCGCGCCTCCCGCCTCGTCATCCCCCTGAACAAACAGGTTCATGCACAGCGGATAATTCTGAGCACCATTCTCCCGCTCAGCAAAATGCAGCGCAATGATCTCATGGCGGAGCACATACGCGCCCGTCTGCAACCCCCGCGGCACCGCCACCAGCCACGAGTTATTGGACGCGATGAGCACGTCCGTAGCCCACCTCTGCCCGGGCACGCCCTCTCCCTCCCCTCCATCTGTAGTATCCCCCTTCCCTGATACCGACACCTCCATAACGGGCCGGGAATCATCAATCTTCGTCCACCGCAACCCTTCCTTCCCCTTCCCCTTCATCAACCCCGTACACCCAGTCTCAGACTCACACCGCGCCAGATACGAGAGGACCGGACCGACATGGCCGACCGGCCAGCCGTTCCACTGCACGTGGATGCGGTCGCCGGCGCGCACGGGCGCGTGGGCGGGCGGCGCGGTGCCGCCGACGTGGCAGATGATGTCCGGGGTGGAGTAGTTGGCCGGGGGGACGAAGCCGTCGTCGAAGGCGGTCGTCGACCAGCCGACGTGGGAAGGTGGGTTGGCCGCCGGTTGTTGTTGTTGTTGGTTGGGCCGCGGGTCGAAGCCGTGGTAGAGCTGGCCTTCGATTATGATGTAGGCTAGGTGTGAGTGTGCTGAGGCTACAGGTAGTAATCCTAGCGAGGGGAGAAGGGGGGTTAGGAGGGTGGTTAGGAGGAGGAGGAGGGTGAGGGCTGATGGAGGAGGAGGAGGCATAGTGGTGGTGGTTGTGGTTGTGGTAAGGGATTACTCCTAGTAGTGAGGCGGCGAGGGGAAAGGGTATCCGATTCCCATGACAAGAAGGTTGAGCTTGCTTATTAAGGGACGAACTATATCCTTGATTCTCGTATAAAGTGATGGGGCGGATGTAGCAAGTCAGCAGAACTTGTCTGCGGGTGGGAAGCATTTATCCTTATTGCAAATTCCCATCGGCCCGCTCTCTCGTCCCAGAGGTGATGTTGAGACGGGGATACAAGGTCCGCATCCTTCGCCGCTGCCCGATCCCATATGAGTGAGGAGCAGACTTGTCGCTTGCTGCACGACGTGCTCGGCGCTCCTCTGTCATGCGGCTTAGCCCGGTCCCCGGGATGATGAGATGCAGCATTCAGGTTTTATTGGCGGGCTTTTATGGTTTTGGTATTGTCAGGGGAAGCGACGTCTCAATTCAGGGTATTCGAGGAGCAAGTTGCGAGCTGTTTATGGAAACCCGTCCGAGAACACGCTGTCGATCTCTTCGCTCTGCTCCGTGATCAAGAAGGGAATTTCTATGGTCGATCAGATCATCAGAGGAGAGCATGACGAGGGTTGAGGATTGCTGGACCGCACACTGCGGGATTTGACAGCTTGACTCCTCGCACTCCCGCTACACCCACTGTCGGTGTCGTCTTACCTCATGCCATTCCGGGTAAACAGAACATTCCCCCTCTAACGCGGTTCCAGAGTGTAATTGTACATACCTGCCTTGGGACTTGATTGGAGATGTGGGGTCCGTTTCATCTATCCGATGCAGGTGATCTGCCCAATTCGTCCTGTAAGCCCACCAAGGGTAAAAGCCTGAAATGAGGAACCTCAGGACATTCATTGCCTTGATTGTATGTATAATCGTTGAATAGCAATGTCTTTAGTGTTTCCCCTATACCTGTTGCGGTGCGACCACAAAGATCTTGGTGTTCAAGAATCATTGATGCTGGATTGGTCAGATATGACTTGTGAGATTCCGATACTAGCTCTGAGAGACCAGCCCGAAGCCCCTTAACTCTGAATCTAAGTTGTCCCAAGGGATTTGTTCAGACCTCTGTGCCATATCCAGGAGCACGAGGCATGTCAGGTGGAAGAAGAGCATCGGGACTCTGGGGCTCGGGCGTGATTTGACCCTCAGCTGCACGGCTAGCCGCTCTCCTTTCCATCCGTCTCCTCCAGGGCCGGTACACCAGCACCGAGCCAAGCCCAACAAGAAGGAACAGACCGCAGATGCAGCCACCGATGACATCGTAGTACTCGCCAATCTCGCTGACGCCGTCCCAGAAGCCACCCTCGGGATCAGCGACGTTCTGGACAAGCGACAGCACCTGTATGACGCCGATAAAGGCCGAGACAAACACCGTGATGCCCGTCAGCACGATCGAGTAGTACAGGATGGCGACCACATCCCTGGAAAAGGCCTTGGACGTGTAGAGGGCCATCATGAGCGCCCCGTCGGTCGTATCCAAAAGGCACATACCGGCCGTAAAAAGCGCCGGGAAGATGAGGATCACCCAGATATTCGTGCCGTTCGTAGCCTGGATGCTCGCAATCCCGAGCAACGCCACCTCAGAACTGGTGTCAAACCCCAGCCCAAACAGAAACCCCAGAGGCAGCATCTTCCACGGCCGATCGACAATCTTGAAGACCACCCGAAAGGCCCTCCCCATGAGCCCAGCACCCTCCAACTGCTGCTGCACGCCCCTCTGCCCCGTCCCCGTAGTATCATCATCATCATCATACACCGACTGGTCGGTCTCCCCTCGCCTCTGCTCCGCCAGCACAACCCTCAACCTCCGCACCAACCGCCAGAGCACCCACCCATTGCCCACACAAAGCAGTAGCAAAAAGGCCGCGGAGACACTCGTGCCAATGATGCCCCCGACACGCTGGAAATCGGCAAACCGCTCGCGCAGCGCGCCCGCCGTGGCGGCGACCACGACACACGTGATGATCACGACGCACGAGTGGCCGAGGCTGAAGAAGGTGCCGACCGCGACGGGCCGCTGGCCCGAGGCGATCAGCCTGCGCGTGGTCAGGTCGATGGCGCTGATGTGGTCGGCGTCGAGGGCGTGGCGAAGGCCGAGGGTGTAGGATAGCACCGCGGGGGAGATGAGGGTTGGGTGGAAGTCTGGATGGGATAGTTCAATACTTAGGTATCGAATGTAATAGAGAAGGGAACGGAGGGAAGGAGGAGGACGAACGTAAGACTACGCCGGCGACGGCCCAGACGATGGCGTTCACCAGCACCAGGAGGGCGATCAGCTGGAGGGCGCGGGGCGGGATGGCTGAGAGGGGGCCGGGGAGGCGCATCGTGATGATGTAGTGGAGGTGAGGGGTTGAGGATGAGACTGATGGATTTGCACGTTCAGACCCCGAGGGCAGGCGAGAGGGCGTGCAAAAATTCGATGGTCTGCGAGGTTCGATGATATTAATACCAACATCCTACCTTCCGCTGCCCGACATCGCTGAGGGCCCCAAGATCTACCCTCTTGCCCGCTTGGAGCTGTGCGGATGGGGGTTTGTTGACCCCACATCAAGCCAAGCGTTTGTGCGTCCGAAGTTGCATTGCGATAAGCCTAGGAGCCTTATCATGGGGGTTGTGATAGTGTCGCTTTTTGCCATGCGGATTAGCGTTACCTAGTGAAATCGAGTAAAACTGCACCTAGGGTGGAGTGAAGTGGTTTTGTTCTGGTACATAGTTGAATTGACTCATGTCAACAACGGAGAGCAGGTGCCGAAGGTGTTCTCTTGTTCTTCTGTGTCTGCCTGCTTGTTGGATTACACAAAGCAATCGGCTTAGATATTCTGTCAAGCATCATTAGCGCACTGAACTGCTACTACCAGTAGTGGATTAGCGCACGTACTATGGTCTTTAGTTAGACCACCTAGTAATGCAGCATCCGATTCCCGTGCCCTGAATCCTGCGTGTTGAGCGATACCTCACTCGACAAATCTCAAGTCCAGAATTCCTTCAGCCCGTCCATGAGGCCCACCGTGCCTCCCGCCCCCATCGATAGCGGAGAGGGTCTTCCCTGCGATGGATCCTATGTCTGAGGAAGAGGCTGTCTATGCTGGTGCGGCGGCATGCCTTGCTGGTGCTGATGTGATGGTGGACATTGCTGTCCTCCTCCGGTCCTCCCTGTTGGGCTTGATACCAAGAGGGAGGATGGACCGGGTTGCTAGAGATACCGTCTGATGACGAAGGGGAAGTCGAGGAGCATCTTTCCAGGTGTACTATAGTTAGTTTTTGTTTACGATTTAGATGGTTCCAACGCAAAGCTAATAATGGGCGTACCTAGCCTTGAGCGGGCACGGAGCGTGATAGATTGTCGAAACCTCATCAAGACTAGGTTGGTGAGAAGTAGTTAGCTTGATATGGTGAATTATGGATAAGGCTTCGGCACCTTCCATTGTTCGACCAGCGGAAGCGACGTGAGCCCTGTGGAACTCAAAGATGGCCATGACGCAGTCTCAGGAGGATTTCAGGGGTTCGGTGTCTAGGCTGAGGCCGAGCTTAGGGGAGACAATTGCGACGATGAGCGCGGCGGCGGAGGCGGCGGTAGCTGTAGTGGAGTTAACGATCTGCCAGAGCCTCAAAGGGAGGAGATGGCTTACAATTCAATGCATACCAGCTGGACGATGAGCCGCTTATAGGCATGGTCTGGTGTATATCCTCCAGCATGGCGTGGACCGTGTCTAGACAAAGCGAGCATATCTCCAGGTGGAGCCTCTCATGGAGCATCGAGGACGCGGTCGACTTAGAGCCTGCCGTCAATCACGTCCATCTGTGTGCCTCGGAAAGGGGGAGAAGCGAAGTAGGAAGAGCCTGAAGATTAGGAGGCGGAAGCGAATCGAGCCGCGATGCTGCTGGAAGCACTTCACCGCGTTCTCGTCGAGTCCTAGCTTAGACAGTTAGATCGGTGTCGTGATGCAGGTGCGGGCGACGAGATTCGAGAAGCTCGTCGATGCTAGAATTCACGCGGAGCACGCTGCTCGGTTCCGGGATTGAAAACTCGCTGCCCGACTGGATGATCTTGAGGAGGAATGCTTGCTGGACGGCTCGTATGTCGTCAATGACGTCGAATATCTTGGTATCGAATAGGGTAAAGTCAACCCTCGAGGAAACCCCTGCTGGTTTACGGCCATCCTCAGTAGTAGATAAGTAGGTAGTATTCCTCGTCGACAGGTAGATGGAGTGGTGTTGGGCTAAGACCGGGATAAATCATTACGACCTGCCCGAAAGTAGTGGCGAGGAGCCTGTCGCATGGGTTAAGTGCCCGCTTAGTTGGCTACTACTAAGAGCCCATAGCAGACAAACTCTGGACTGAAATGCATACTGGTCTAGTGGAACGCAGCCCCCATACCAACACGACGACGCGTTTCCTGCTCCAGCTGGTACGGACGTCTCTCGGAAGCGAGGAGCAGCCCTAGCCCAATGGCAACTCGAAGGGCAGCCCCGGAAAGAAGCCAGCAACGGTCTCCGCGCCCTGCAAAATAGAGATAGAACGACCGCAGCAAGAGCAGTTGTGCGACAGAGAGTGAAGCTGTGTCGAGGGTCTCGGCCGAGATAAGCTGCACGGATCGCTGATAGAACTCCGCGGGCCTGATACTGTCTCTTCTCAATGGGTAGGTCTTCGTTGAGAAGACACGCATTAGCGAAGACCATGTTGACGGCTGCTAGGAACAACCGATCCTCAAAGGCTTCTGCTTGGTTGCTTGGGTGTGTTGTCTGCTCCCAGACCATTCCCCGCACTGCACAGCAGGTGATTTCAGGGGTTCTCTCTAGTTCCCTCCACCATAGGGCGGACCATCTTTCATCAGGCTGTCAGATGCTGGATGACTCGTATGGTTTCCATTACAATGTCTTTCCCTCAGCCAGAAGCCCCACAAATTGCTCGATCTTCTTCTTCCGCGTCTCCTCCCGTTTGGTGGTTGCGAGCCGCCAGAGAAACGAGTACTGCTTCGTTTTCCCAAGCCCCTTGAAGAAAGTCTTGGCCTTCTTGTTGCGATCCAGCGCCGCTTGCAGGTCTGCCGGCACCTCCATCACGCTCGACGCTGAGTACGCCCTCTCCCACCGACCGTCAGCCTTCGCGGACTCGACCTCGGCTAGCCCCGGCTCGCGCATACGTCCGGCCGCGAGCAGGGCGGCGACCTTCTCGACGTTCCGCTTGGACCACATACTGTTCCTGCGCCGCGGCGTGAATCGTTGGAGGAAGTGGTCGGCGTCGTGGCTCTTCTTCTGGCCGTCGATCCAACCGAAGCACAAGGCCGTGTCGAGCGCTTCTTCGTATGTCACAGAAGGGATCGCGGACCCTTTTTTACTGATCTTCAGCCACAATCCCATCGTGTCGGCGTGGTTCGCTTCGAGCCATCTCTCCCAGGCCGCTGCATCCTCAAACAGTCGAATTGGCGCTACAACGGGAGCCGCGGAAGTGGGTGTTAGCGCGGGCGCCGATTTGGCTGCTTGCAAGGCTTTTGATGCAAGTCTATTAGTGCGCGCTGTCATCTTTCGTTCTGTTGCTCCGGGATGCAACCGATGTTGACTTGTTTGTCGTGAGAAACGCGGCAGCTTAAGGGGGTTCGCGTTGGGCGCTATTTCCGCAAAGGGTTAGGGCTGGCCGCTGCTGCCTAGAATTGCAGCCGCCAATCTCGTCATCTAGACAAACCTTAGCTGATGGACAAAAAGGATCCTGTTATTGCCTACTGAACTCTTGGTTGTCTTGACGTTAATAATGTAGCGTGCTACGGAGCTACAGTACATTGTGAAGTATCCTAAGAGTACCCGAAGACAAAAAACGATCCACCCAGGGGTCGAACCTGGAACCTCCTGATTCGTAGTCAGACGCTCTGCCATTGAGCCAGCGGACCATTTAATAGTTTTTACTGGCAGCTTACGCTTTATGAGGGAAGGTCTAGTTGAGTCTCTACTTGTCCCTCCGTTCTCCCCTTCATGCAAAAACAGCATTCGACAGCTCTCAAGTTTCATTCCGAGAAGAAGAGATAGGCTTTTCTCAAGACCAAGGATGCGGAGTTGCAGACGGCCTCCATGGGTGTGGCCTGTGCGCCTTCTCCGGCAGCCAGCGCTCAGTGCTTTTCCTCCACACCACATCACACCACATACAACTGAAGACTGATAGGCCGTCGAACCATAAAAAACACCGCGGATTTTTCGGCCTGTGAGACAAGTCGTGGAACGTGTCATTCATTGACAGCCCTCTACGAAGTACTTTCATCAGAATTCATGCACCGAGATGACTAGGCCGCCGAGGGGCGATCCCCGGTCCCTGTATCGCTCAGAGCTGCGCAACCTGCTGACCTCCCTCACCTCGGTGAGCAAGCACCGTACGCGTCCTTGTGCTTACTGAGAAAACTTCTCATGGAACACCGCCCAGGTAGAGCTAGGCCGCGATGGCAAGATCCAAGACGGAGGGCGACGATCAACTGACCATCTGAGCTCTCGGCGTTCTTTGCTCCTCGGTAACGTGGAGGACAGCATACGAGAAAGGCTTTGCATCAACTCCGCTCTCGTGCCCGCTCAAGGCTAGGTACGCCCATTATTAGCTTTGCGTTGGAACCATCTAAATCATAAACAAAACTAACTATAGTACACCTGGAAAGATGCTCCTCGACTTCCCCTTCGTCATCAGACGGTATCTCTAGGAACCCGGTCTTGCAGCCTCGCAATCAAACCAAACCGGATCTTTTCCCGGTGTCATCATCCCTTTGGTTGCTCAAGTCCCACCAAGCTGCAAGCTTGATCAAGGTTCCGGACAAGGCAAAAGATGACAGATCAGTGAAAGTGTGGTGGCAGTGCCCTCCCATCCGTTAGGTCGTACTCGTGTTTTGTGAAGAACACGGGACCAGATGACGTCGTCCTCCGTCCTCAGCCTCGATGCTCTCACCGAGCTCCTTCCAAATGGGACCGCTACAGATTGTTTGCATTGCCGTCCACGTTCCTGCATGAAGCACGTCAAGAGCCGTGGCTGCATGCACTTTCGGCTATGCGGGCTGGGAATTGGTCGCGCCTGGTTTTTGACACCGGCCTGTAACGGGCGGGCGGGCAAGGCCGGAGTTAAGGGCGGTGTTGCAACCTTGGGGCATCCGCAGCGCTGACAGTGAATCCACCAAATGCGGCGGGCCGATCTTTCGCTGCAGGCTTGGCGAGCCGATCCATCAAAGTCGAGCACGCTGCACAACTGAGCCAACAGGCGACTTGATGAGTGGCACAGCAGCGCGCGTGCTGTTCCGGTCTCCCATGTACCACCTCCCGGGGAAACTGACCGAACAGGCATTTTGTTTGTTCAGTGATACGTTTCCTTGTACAGGATGCCTCGACGAGTCGTCCAGACCGCCACAAGACCGCAGTTGTTTTGTTTGTCGCCCTTGACGGCGATAACGGTGCATGAGGACCACACACATCAGGCCTGGGCCAGTTGCTATTTTTTCCCTAGTCTCGGCTTCGCTACTGTCGGCTCCAGTCCGCTGGGTGTGCCACAGACGCCTCATAGCCAGTGGGTTGCCTCAGCTGGACTCCCCGTTTCATGTCACCCACCAACGACTGGCAAGCTGAAGCTGATGCTGGAAGTGGGACCGTGGGGAGCGGGAGCATCACAGGACCCTCACCTTTCCGGCCCTCCCCTCCACGCGACTGACCTATCAGGGTCACCAGCCCAGCTCAGCCCTGTCTGGCAGTGCTGCGTTATTGGCTTCTTCCATCCACGCCATTCGATAAGCGGCCGCGGACCGTTTTACAGTCACACCGGGGAAGAGGCGATTTCGTTGTCACCTTGGATCATGATGTGGACACCGAGGCGCCTTGTACGGGGGTGTGCGGAAGCACGAGAGCGGCTGCCAAGTACGCAAGGGTGCGGGAAGTCGACCATGGGGTAGGAAGTACGTAAGGCTCCCTCCCGCCACGGTACAGTCACCTCCCATTCTATATAGCAGGACCGGCCGCCCGCCCTTGGGTCGTCGGCCCTGTTCGTCAACCACATCGCAGACCCCGTTGTCGCGCCCAGAAACCGAGCAGAAACAGCTCCTACCTCCCAGGGCCGGTCTCAGACACGGTCTCTTGCAAGCCTTCCGACCAGTTCCACGTTGAGCGCGATATATCTCTTCACGGGCCTCGCCCTTGTCCTCGCTCACCTATTTGGCCTCCCTCTATGCCCTCATGTCTTTGACTCGTAGCAGACGACACTCCAACTGCTCTGTGTGGGATACGGCCGACTAACCTCAACATCGGACGCTGTCCGGTACCGCGCATAGCTCTCACAGTCCCGAAGCAGCGGCGCAACCCAGGGACAGCATTACCTTTGCCCTCCCGCCGCCGGAGATTGCAGAGGGACTGTGCCACTCAAACAGCCCTCCAAAAACCTCATCACTCCCCCGCATCCTGTCTAGGACTATTCACGCTGGCAAAATGTGCCTCACCAAGGTCTACTACAACACCTACTCGGACGGGGCCCAGGACATCACCGAGAAGCACTACCCCTGCGGGGGTGGCAGAGGGTGCGCCCATAACGAAGTGCGAAAGTATGACCGCAAGTTCCCCTTCACCAAGCTAGGGGACGTCAAGCCCGAGTCGTACCGGAGCCTCTCGGAGCGGCAGCCAACACCGTACTTCTCCCATGCGGCCCGCGGCGCCAAGTCCCCGTCCGTACCGGGCAGGCGCGATTCTGGCGTCTATTACGACTACAACGATCCCTATGACGGCTTCGGATACCACCACTCCTCCTCGTCCCGCCATGATCCGCGTGACCGCGACCGGCACGAGCGCGGCCGCGACCGCGGCGATCTTCGGCTCAAGAGGTCCGCCACCAACCCGCAGATCGTGTACGTAGACCGCGACGGCAAGTCCTCGTCCCGCTCCCGCTCCGGCAGCCGCGACTACTCGCGCGACATCCCGCTGGGGCTGGTCCCACTCGCGGATGAGTACGGCCGCCGCCGGCACTCATCTTCTTCGCGCTCCCGCTCGCGCGAGGGCTCCCGCGACGAGAGCGACCACCACTACTACTACCGCCGCACCGACGACCCCCACGGCTACGTGCTCATCGACGACCAAGACGAGCAGCGCCGCCGCCGCCGCCGCGAGGAGAAGCACCGCCGCCTGTCGACGTCCAGCTACACCGAGCCGTCCTCCTCCTCCTCGGCCGCGGCGGCAGCCATGGCGGCGGGCGTGGACGCGTACCAGTACATGCCGCGCCGCGCGTCGACCGTGGTGCATCGCAGCGACGGGTCCATCTCCACGTCGTCCGGCGGCGTGCCCAAGCAGCTCCGCTGGGAGGACCAGGTGCGCGCCAAGCGGGAGCGGCAGAATGCGGAGATTGCGAGCCGGGCGGCGAGCAGCCACGGCGAGGTGAAGGGCATCTTGAAGCACACGGGGGACTCGAAGGGCAAGGGACGCGAGCTGGACGATATCGCTGAGCTAAGGAGGGCGGTGGAGCGCATGGAGATCCCCAGGGGAAGGGATCGTGAGCCCAGGTCGGCGAGGGGGAATTGGGAAGGGTGGGGAGGATACGACGATTATGACTCGGGCAGGAGGAAGCGGAGCAAGGTGTATGCGGATGATCGATACAGGTACTGAGTGCGGTGAAGCAACATCACCCTAGGGAAGGATTGGATTGGCGTTGACCAGATTGGGCATATTTTCGGGAGTTTGGATACTTATTTCTTCTTATTGGGCCACGATTTAGGAGTTCGAAGGTTGAGGTTATGACACGGTGGGAGGGACATGGATGGCTCTCTGATGGCGACACTCTCTAAGGCTTATGTATCTTTTTCCTTTGTCACGTTATGACTTGATGGAATGATAACAAGTTCATGCTGCTCTCATCATCGTCATCCATCATCAGTTGCCTCCTTGGGAAGATCGAGGAGTTCACTCAGCTCATGACTTTACCCCTGAACAGCCTTCTCCTCCGCAATGCCATTGACCAAGTCCCCAGCGCTCTCAACTCAGTTCTTACCACACACACACACAACTCTACAACCACAGCAGTCTCATCTCATCTTTGCAGACCCGTCAGCAGCATCATCAAACAAGTGGCAGAGATCTCAACAATCTAGACCCCCCGCGCAGACCGCGCCCGAAACGCTGACCCGGCCCGGTCAAAACCCCTGGGACAATTGCGGCACGGCTGCCGGACATCTGTCTCGGGATCAGCCCCAACATTACGGCAATGTACAACAACGCCCATCATTTAGTATGTACCTACCGTGACGCTGTGAGAACACCCCCTCAAATCCCCACTCTGTAAGGTAACGTAAACTGTGCCTGTCGGGCCACATATGTGCCGTTGCCGGGTGTTTACAGGTCGGCCCGCCGGTCTAGGTGTGTCCCCTGCCATGTCTCAGGCTGTTGTTAACTGTTTAGTATGCCAGTCTGTTGTTCCTTTTTAGCCCAGTGCAAGGGGAAGGCATGTACTAAATACCTCTACAGAATACTGTACCTAGTCAAAAGCTGTCAGGGAGCAAGATACAGAGCGGCATGCATTGTGACAGGCCAAAAGGGGGAAACATAGAGCCTGCGCAAACGTCCCGGGCCCCTGAGCTTACGGTACTACTGTTGGCAAAGCGGCGTATGGCACAGACACAGACACAGACACAGACACAGGCACAGGCACACGGCGCGGGACGGCGCGGCGGGGCACGCAATTGGGCAACTAACTCTACTTAGACACATGTGCGGAGGAAGGCAGCGAGGGTGTCCAGAATGGTGTTTCATGCGGCTGGTAGCTTAAGGCGCTGTAAGGAAGGCCCATAAGGAGAAAATGTGTATTAGAATTCTGTCCTCTTGCCATGTCCCGTTCCCAGATCCAGCTCAACACATCCGAGGTCGAACATTCTGCATAGGTAGAAGCAGGTTCCGGATATATTTGTTGTTTGTGCATTACCCAACTCTCGTGCATGTATGTACAGTCCCTGCCCAAACCATCCCTAGTACCCAAAAGGCTGTCGTGATATAAAGAAAGCGATATGGCACAGCGAACAGGTCAAGTCATTACATACAGTACTCGGTAGATCGACGAGCTAGTCCCACTAGGTTGAATCGTCTCATAAGCATATGGCAAGCCCTTCTTCCCGTATCGGGGGATCTTTCGTCGCCCTCCCGACAGGATCTCAGTCAAGACTCGCCATGGAGCGAGGACGACAGAGCAGGCTACAGCTCCCGCTTTATTCCGTGACCGCCCACTGCTGTGCGAGTGTGATATTGATAACGTGTGCTCAGATGTCTCACCCAGGACCGCGGTTAAGACCGGATGCGGGGAGGACGGGGCAGCCTTGTCTCACATGTGTGCGAGAGACGCCCCTGAGCCTTTTGCATGAATGTCTCGGCCAATCCGCGGAGAAGGACGACTGACGCCCGGTTGCGGGTGCCGCGAGCACGGAATATCCCGGCAAGAAGGGAGACTGGGATCTCCGAGGCCTGACGGACTCCTGCATCACTCATTCCAGTGACCCTACAGTATGAGTCTTTCCCCCCGAATTGGCCCGCCAGCTGACGACGTTCATTCCTCGTCGCAGAAACCCATATCCACGAGCAGGTCCTTCGCCAGCACGTCGATGCCGCCGGAGAACTGGTCCTCAATGCCGAACCCCAACACGGCCACGTCGTCGAGGAAGCCGTGGTACTTGACGCCGCGGTCCATCCAGTTGACGGACGTGACATAGAACATATCCGTGCGCCGGCCCTCGTGGCGGCGGCGGCCGTGGACCCAGAGCGGCCGCTTGGAGATGGCGTACAGCTCGAAGGGCGCGCGCTGGCGGAAGAGCACGACGTACGGCTCGTACTCGCTGTGCCAGTCGTAGTAGGTCTTGTGCTGGATGATGGTCAGGATGAACGTGTTGGCGTCGTTGGGCTTGCAGCCCTTGTCGGCGCGCTCGCACAGCGTGAGCTTGAGCGAGTTGGTCGCCTGGTGGATCGACTCGAGCTTGGGCGGCAGCTTGGGGAGGAAGCGCTGCATGCACTTCTGGTCCTGCTCCGCCGCCGCCGGCGCCAGGTCCGCCCCGGCTTTGCCGTCGCGCTCCAGCTTCGAGAACCCGCGCTTCGGGTACATGTCGTAGTGCACGTGCATCTCGTCGTGTTCGTCCCAGAAGAGGAAGTAGTTCTTCTCGACGGCGAAATACGGCGCCGGCCGCTGGATCTCGGTCCCCACTTTGAAGTCGGTGTTGGTCATCAGCTCGTACTCCCAGTCGACCAGCTGCCGGAAGTCTTGTATCCACTGCCCGAAGCAGGTGAAGCCGCTGTTGGACCCGTAGATGGTGAAGGGGTTCTGCGGCCCGAAGAAGACGCGCGCATCGTGCGGCCCGACGTTGAGAGAGAAGTACGAGATGTCGCCCTCGCACTTCCCGCCAGGCGTCGGCTGGATTGAGAGGCCCCTGATGTAGTCGATGCACATCAGCACGCCGTTGATGAACTGCGCCACGCATCCGGCCTCGCTGAAACTCTTGTCCAGGCCATTGTTATGGGGGTCGTTCCACAGTTGGCCCACGATATACCACGAGTTGTTGAACTTCTGGTGCGGGATGATGTTGGGGTTGTAGACGTCCCTGCCGAAGCGGATCTCGAAGTACTTCCCGTCCGATCGCGATAGAGAGTAGATCTCGGTATGCGTCCCGTTCGGCGTGGACGTTGGCTTGCGGTGTGGGCGGCGGGCGGGATCCGGGTTGTCGCCGAGCAGCGCGCCGACGTGTGAGCGCAGGTACTCCGGGTGCGAGCGCCAAAGGCTTGCGCTCAGCAGCAGGAGGACCAGAAGCGGCCCTAGGAAGAAGGCGACGCGCTTGAGGTCCCTGACTATCATGGTGGGCGACGGCGTGCGTAGGATCGCTTCGGGAACCAAACGAGAGACGGAAGCAGCGACCGAAACTGGAACTCGACCGTCGTCACGGCGGGAAGTGCATGGCCGGTGTTGCGCCGGTGGGAGTCGATGTCGATCGAGGACCGGGGAGGGTGATGCCCACTGCAGAAATTAGGAGATAAGAATCCCACGCAATTTGTTCAACTCCAATCAGATTTGCGGGCACTAATGCCAAGACAACCCGGCCCAAGGCTCAGCTGAAGAAGGCAAGGTTGGAAGGGATGCTGGGTTATCTCGAGGTTATCCGTCAGACACGGGCGAATGCGAATCCCGCATTGGAGCATCGGATTTGGAGAGCCTGAGATCTGGAAAGGGGATGGATGAAGATCGCCGCCAAACCTCGGCATCAGCATTCCCATTTCTGTTCAACAACCCAGCGGCTGGGATATGGAAACCTTTCTGACAGGTGATCCTAGGTACTAGTATGGGCGGAATCTAGGGCTGTTCGCAGCAATCAAAACGGAATTCACTCTGCCAGGCTTGTCCCAGTCGATTTCCCCAGCCCATTCCATGCCGCTAAACTGTTTCAGCTCTCCCCCATTGCCGGCCGCATTCAAGGTTCACTGTTTGGTGGTCCAACGCCCGAAAGCATGAGATTGACGTCACTTTGGCCGGTTGCGATGTTGTGTAGCACAAGAACCCGTCTACAATGCATACACACAAATGGACATGAATAATAAGACTGCATATGCCTTCTCTGTGTTCCGATACATCTAGTGAAGTGGTTGCCTACACTGTATCCGTACATACTACATACAATCCAGTAATCGACCTTAGATACGACTTTTCCCTGACGGAGCCAAAACCCACCGGACACCTCAATCTCTACGCCATAAAACACGTACAAATAACTCTCTAATCAGCCGGTGTAGCCTACACAAGATATGTCACACAAAATGTGGCTTTGCAAAGGGCCCAGATATCTCATGCGGGCAACCTCGCCGGCCGCACGGTAGACGTCTTGTACAGCCACTGCGGGAAGCGGACGCTAGGCTCATCAAAGGCCCTCGTGACGATCTCCGCAAGGTATAAGGTCACAGGAAGGAGAACTAGGTGCGGCAGCAAGAAGGCTGGCTCCAGTCCCAGCGGTCCCGTCTTTGGCAGCGGGAAGATGTCCACCCATTGGGGGATGTTGTTGATCCGAGAATCCTTGGGCCACCCCACCGCGGCATACAGCCTCTCGCCCAGCGTCCACAGCACAGGGCCGTGGACCAGGTAGAGCGAGTAGGATATGCGTCCGAGGTACTGGCAGAACCGGGTCTCGAAGAAGCGCTTCAGCCAGGAGATGTGCGGGGCCGAGGCCACCAGGAAGACGGACGCCCAGAATAAGAAGAACCACTTCGAGTCGAGGACGGCCTGGGGCGTGAAGAACGAGAGGAGATACCATCCGGGGTTTTTCCTCAACTCTTCAACTTCAGACCGGTGCGCGGGACAGCCGCCCAGGTAGATGGCGATTGCCAGCATGCTGTACAAGATCGCCTTCTTGTACGGCCGGAACCGATAGATAAAGTCTGGCAGCTCATCCTTGGCAGCGAGATGGTCCAGGTCGTTGAGCAGCATGCCGGCCGTGAAGAGGGCGCAATACCATCCGTCCACGATGTACATGAAGTAAAAGATGAGCCCGGCCTGACACCACAGTCGAGCGTTCCTGGTGCATCTGGAGAAGGCGAGGAGGCTGGTGTAGACGACAATGGAGCCCTTGAACTCGACAGGTATCGACCAGAGGTGGAAGTTGTAAGTGAGCCACGGGACGCCGCCATCCCTGAAGACGAAAGTGAACTGCTTCACTTCGACGTACCAAGCCCACACGGCCTCGAGGTAGCTTTCCTTGGACTTCATGGGGTCAACCCAAATGCCGAAGGCGTGGACGATGGTCATGAAGATGAAGGTGGTGGTAAGGACCGGGATGTAGAGCCGTAGCCATCGCCTGAACAGCGCCGACCCCAAGTTGTCCGCCAGCTTTGCCTGCTCTCCGGCGTGGATGAGACTCATGGGTTTCGCGGACAGGACATAGCCGGATATGACGAAGAAGATGGCGACGGCGAAGTGGCCGCCATGGAAGAAGTTGCGGATTCCGGGCAAGGCGACGAAGTAATGGTAACCCCGGTAGCCAAAGCTCGACTCCATACTCATCGTCTGCACGGGCACATGCGCCCATAGTTGATGATGGTGCCAATACACCAAGAACGCGGCGAACCCTCTGAGGCCATCAAGATATGCCGTTGGTCTCAGCTTGTCGGGCTGGCTGCTGCCAGATTTGGACGGCCATGGCGAGAGAAGGCGGATGATGCTGGCAGCCTGTATGGAAGCCAGCCAAGACATGGCGGCCGCGATGCACTTGGAAAGCGGGCCTGAGCCATCGACCAGCTTCGGCTCAATCAACAACCCTTCCACATCGCTCGGCATCGTAAAAGAAAGCTCGAAATCGCCTACTCGCGAGGGAAAGCGACAAGATGGACGCAGAACATGGCTCCCAGGTCAGAACCCCTTTCGGAATGAACCAGATCGTGGTTTCAGCCTGCCAGTGGACCTTGCGGGCGGGCGAGACCGCGGCTTTCCAGAAATCGGTGCCAGATCTGAGAAAAGGGGCTCTGCCGGTCCCACAAAAGGTTGATGTGGCCTGTGCTCTGTTGCTGCGCCTCGTCGACCCAAGCAAATCGCGAATCGGGGTCTGGATCCGGCTCAGTGATGATCGCCGCGTAGAAGACTTCGGCTGCTAATAAGTGTCTTCATGTCCATTTGGAAAGAACGTTGGTTTTTGTTGTCAAGCCATCCGCACAAAACCGGATATCTTCTGTCAAATGCTGCTGTGGCGGAAATGGCACGCTCAAGAGGGTCCTAAGCGCGGCCCGCCAGCCGGGGAAGTGGGGTCTAAAAGGGCACCCAGCACCAATGGGAACAGAGCGACCCGAAAAATCCGCCTTAACACAAGTTCCCTACCTCACCGATGCTCGAACTCGACCAGACGACGAGGCGTTATTTGTCTCTTTATTATTGGACTATTTCCCTGAGTGGAGTTGCCAGTCACTTGGCATAGTTGTCTGCGCCTTTCCTTCCGGTCCACTATTCATCTTCTAATATGCTGAGAAAGACCTGGGACTCGGGACTCGGGAGGCTAGGAACCATAGCAGTCAAAAACGAGTGTTACCCCCTTACGCATACTAGCTTCGCCATCTCATAGTTTCGGACGCACAGCAGGTTACTTAATAACCCAAAGAACAATAGGATCACCGGGTTATTGTTATTCCACACATGCCAGGATGTTAACGTGAAGGGCTTCTCTATCTTCCGGGTCTCCTCGGTGAGGTGAGAGACACACTTGTGTCTGTCCACAGTCCCATGATAAGCCACATGGGCGGCTCGGGCTAGAGGTCACAGTGTAAACCATTATTCAAGGCCATCTAGTGAGTATGGCAATGGGGAATTGCGATACACCTCGACGCTCGGAACCTGGCGCTTATCGAGTGACATACAATCACAAATTCCTAGTGCGGCTCTGGCAATCCAGTCTTTCACACAATCTGAGCGTCTGGATTATTTCATACTTGATCTGTTTGCTCACAGGTAGAGACCTTCCCAATTCCCTTTGCTTTCAAATCCATCAATGTGGCACTACCCGCAACGGTTTGAGTCCATGGGTTTGATATATGGTCTCGGTCTGGGTTTTCAGCATTAGGTTGTGCTTACCGGAGGGGGTACCTCAACTGTCTCCCTGTCGTCTGACCGATTTAGGCTCTATCGACCCTCTTGCCGTTCAGGAGTCAATGTACAAGCTCCCGTGGTTGGAGGTTATGTTAGATAATGAATGTCCTGTCTAAGCCGTGCGTTAGGGAGGAGGGGACGTGGTATTCGATGGCTTAATTGACAGCCAATGATGCTGCCAGTTCCATTTGAAATCAGTTCATGTACGTGTTTCGCCTGGATGTATATGCCCTTCAAATGAAGGCTACGATCTGATAACTTCTCAACAACTTCCAGGCATTATAGAGTGAGATTCAACGTTCACAGTCTCCAGACGATGTCCATTTTGGAACCTGCCCAAGAAGTTTAATTACTGCCCTTCATTGTTTCATCTAATGCGAGGTCATAGCCACAGCGTTCCTCCCAACTGACGTGCTACGCCAATATCAGGATCAGGGCAGGCCGCAGAATGGCGAAGGTGTCTGATCCAGGAAATAAAATTTCGGCACCAGGAATACAAGGATGATGAAGTTCTTGAAGTCGCCAGAGCACCCACCTATATACGTACGTTATATAGTGATCGCCGCAGGTTGGCGCATGCCTGTGAGCAGCGCCTCGAGTCTCTCAGTAGTCAGGCGACGAGTGACCGAGACAGCCAGACTGGTATGGAGAGGTGAGGTGGCACGGGTACATGAGTATATGCCTACTGCGTCCATTGGAGCCGTCAGGTGTCTCAAGACTGTCTGGGAGCCGAAGATAGCTTGTGTTTGTGAATGTATTATGTCGCTGACTCGCAAATTCAGTCTGGCACTTGCTAGCGACATCCTAGGGGATAGGGAATGCATTGTCACTTCCGCGCAATGGTCGTAATAGTTCATACGAGAAAGTATAGCATAATAATTAGTGGCTGCATAATAGGGAATTGTTTCAATCTAACAACAGGAGAGAGAAGGAAACAAAAAAAATCTATCGAAAACGTATCCGCGGGGGGGGGGGGGGGGGGGGGGGGGGAACAGGGACAACCAGTCTAACGCACCACCCTAACCGTCCATACTCATTCAGAGGTGAACAACACAAACCCGAAAAGAGAGAGGCGAGAGCAAGATGAGACACAGGTAGGGAGTGTTGTCATCCTCGCTCTCAGCCCTACCAAACTCTTCACTGCTTTCCTCGTTATTCCCATTCCGGTCCTCGTTGTCATTGTGCTGCTCATGGTCGTGCTCGTGCCTGTCCTCTTCCTCCGCACCATTTATCTCACCACCCTCCTCGGGCAACCCAAGTCGCTCCCTCCACCACGAACGTGGCCTGTCCTGGAAATAGTCCATCACGTCTTCGATTCTGTCCTCGACGATGGCTTGCTGTTGTAGCGTGAGGGTGAGCGGCGTGGGGCCTATGTCAAGCAGAACCTTGGCATTCTTGCCATCGATGGCGCCCTTATTAGCGGGTGGTGCTCGCAAGCCGCAGGAGAAGATCTTGAAAACAATGAGGCCTGAGCGTGAAATGTACGGAATATAGCCTTCGGGGATGTCTTAGACACGCTGAGCAGCGGACGGTAGGTAAGGACACTAGGTAGGAAGCGGTTAGGATGGAGCCCGGTTGTATGAAAGCTAGTGAAGCTCTCTCTCTGCAAAGGAGTGGACATACTATGTCTCTCGCAATGAAGTCGACCTGGTGGGACACAGCGGTACCATCGGGCATTGAGTACCCGCAGTAGAATGCATCGGCTGGTGTGGAGAAGCTGGAGTTGGGAAAACCCGAGATGGCGGTCTTGAGCTCCGGCGGAACAATTAAGCCAGGAACATCAATAATGAAGTCCACATCCTAGGCACAATATTAGGTTTGAGTAATTAGGTAACCAAGGACGCCGTTGCAAGGACGCCGCACAAGGAACCTACACTCGTAACTCGATCCTCAGGTTCGTAGTGCATACGAGCGAGCCCACCAATAACAGCAACCCTGAGGTTCGAATATTTGCCGTCGTCAACGGTCCTGAGGGCACGGGATAACTCTCCGTGCGGTTTCCTCGACCTTTTCCATGGTGTCAGGCGGGATAAAGTAGAGTTGAGAAACAGGTATTGGGAACAGATGGGATCGCGGAAAGCAGGTTAGTCGCTGTGGCTTTTGTGCGGGACAAGAAAAGGGCGCCGAACAGCAGCGGCGATATAGTCTACTATAGAGTCCTTATATAGCGCAAAGAGCTCGTAGAATACTGCCGGCAGTAAGGGTAGCTGGAAGCTTCCACAGAATATGGAATGGTTCAATGTTGATCCAGCTTCACAAAAGAACGCCCTATTGTGACCGGACAAAAGACCTAGCCGCCGCCCCCCGCGCCGAGCGATGCCTGGCGGCTTCCTTGCTCCATCATCTTGTGTCCGGCCCTAGGCGCTTGGCCTAGAGACTTGTCTCGATGTCCTCCTTGGTTTTGGTCAACCCCACTCGGACGCCCGGACACTCCGAAGCGCGTGTCTTATCTCGGCCATGTCCTATTGACAACCTCAAGGACTCAAGGCTAAGAATAGAAGCTGTTGCCGATCCAATCGGCTATTGCAGTCTTGCAGCCCGCATAAAAGCCAAACTGAAACATAGAAGTGTAGAATTGTGGATATCTGGGCCCGGCTTGGAACCGGCCCTTCCGGTGCGAACGGGGAACAGCCTCCTATCTGCACTGTTCTCGTCATGAGCATTAGGTGTTGCGCTCGTTCAGGGTATGGAAGAAAGCAAAGAGCGGGGTTTCTGGAAAACTGGTAAATGTAATCGGTGCCGCTTGAACGAGCACCCAAGCAATCAGCCAAGCGAGTGTGCGTATTCATCCCGAGCCCAGGAAAAGACTGGGCCAAACATACGCATTGAAACAATGCTAGCATACCAGCTAAAGCTTCGCAACTCCCACTCGATGTCTGTACTATATTGCAGACAGTAGTGTCCTGACTCCTAGCGGTAGCGCTCTTTAGCAAGTGGTGCTCCGAGATTGCGTCTGAGCTTCAAGCTCGCCTTCGCGACGTCGGCCGGCGAACCGGTGGTCATCTGCTTATAGAGCTCCTCAAACAGCTCAGGGAGCAGACTGATGTCCAAGATGCCGCGTTGCTCGACGTAGATGGGAATGTAGAGAAAATGTTGGACGCAACACGAGCCAACTCGCGTTCCGTGGTCGCGGGCCATGATACGCATCAGGGCCTCTGTCAGGATATGCACCTTGGGGACGAGGACCACACTCTGGGCCGAGCGGAAGGCGCCCCTTCCTATACCCAACTGGACAGGTGGAAGTGCGTCCAGGTCTCACGCGAACGCGAGGTACCGCGGCAGCGGGCATTCCCTGGGCTTTGCCAGAGAGGCGCTAAGCGGCGGCAGGAACCAGAGCGTCTCGGATTGCACATAGAAGCAGAGACAGGATATCGCCTGGACACGTATCGTGCCTTCGATATGCATGTGGAAGGCTGTATGCGGATGGCGGCGCTCCGGTGAGCTCCCGTCTCGACATGTCGTCGGATCCGGGCATGCAACGAGGGGTGGCGAAAAGCTGCCAGTCATCATGGCTTCGCTTGCTGCCGCCAGACCTGCGTCCGGGATGACTAAGTCGAGTTGCTAGGCAGGGTTAGCGTGACACTCCACTGCCTGGTAGACCGAGCCCGGCATCAGGGCAGCCTACCGGAACATAGGTTGGGACGCCATGAGTTGACCAGAGCAAGTGGGCCCATAAGACGCAAGGAACGCCGGCAGCGTTGAGCACCCTCGCGACCGAGTCTATAATCACCTCCCCTCGATCCTCGCCGATGCTCACATAGGACAGGCCCGTCGCCATCCTTTTGGCCGTATTCCGTTAGATTAGTAGACTCCATAGTTCCTTATCAACTTTCGGGCCGTCGGATTGTTGCATGTGTGTGAGAGAGAGAGAGAACAAGTACAGAAGAGCCCAGGAGACGACCGAGAGCTTTATAGTCCGAAGGTGGAGGGATCAAAACATTGGCATTGAGCGTCGGGGCGACCTCGGTCTCGACGTCGAGACCGCGAGAAGACCTGGCTCTATGGGGCGAATCCCGGAAACGGCAGCCTCGATGCATTGTTGGCCGTACCCGTATGCTGATGCAAACAAGCTCCTTCCGTGTGTGGCTAAGGAACGCGGGATCCCCGTTTTCTTTAGTTGGTCGAGAAAGCCAGCTAGGGATCACGATGTATGGTTGTTTTTGTCCGCTGGGCCCACACAACGTGACAGCCCCCGGGCGTGAAATCCAGGTTCTGCTTTTCTCTCCGTCTCTATTAAGCCCAATAACTGCCCAACCTGGCCGGATTTGTCGCGGAATCGGTACGGTCTCAGCTAAGCATCACCATCGCTCCTCGAAAGCAAAAGAAAATCATAACCGAAGCGAAACTAGATCCGGATGCCGCAGAAAAAGTAGGTGTGGTGCTTGGGAGCAAGACTGCCAGATGAAAGGTGATGGTTCCAGTCCTGGCTCTGGCTCCTCCCGACAGCTGGTTAATGGCCATACATCAGGGTCCCTCTTTCCCGACCTAGCAGCCGCCACATTCCTCGCTATCGCGCTTAGCCGCACCGGCGCTGTGGGCCGCACCTGCCTGTCTTGTGGAATTGTGTCGCGGGTCCCCTCCATCCTCTGCGTTTTGATCGAGCTCCATCGTCCTTGGTTCTGCAAGGCACCGAACCGGAACAACCGGGGGTGGAAAGATGTGTGGAGCGCAATACTGTAGGAATTAGCCTAGCCTCTGGCACCCATCGTTGATTCCGGGGGCATTGTGTGGCTGGTATGGTGGCTATGGATCCAAGGTGGCTTGTGGGGATGTATTTCTAGAAAGCTGTCCTAAACACTACCTACCTGGTGCTGGTTGACTGTGCAGAACCACCCATTAAAGCAAATTAACACGGATCTAACGAACAAACGGCATAAAACATAGTGCTACATCGGCGAAAAAAAGCTCGACCGTGCCATCGACCTCTACAAGAAGACGTACCCCGGTGGGAAAGAGGACACCTTCACCGTCTCCGGTACGCCTTCTACCTGGACGAGACGGCGCCCACGCGGGGCATACCCATCCTGCAGCGCTTGGCGGCAGCGCCGAACGCGTCGCGGCTTTCCAACAGCGTTGTAGGAAGGGATCGACTTCAGCTTCGCGGGCAAGATCGGCAACACGTGCAACTCGCAACTGCCGATCGAGCTAGGCAAGGCGAAAGGGATCGCCGGGTTGGAGGACCGCGTCGTGATGGAGCTGTTCGGGGACTACTTTGAAGGCACCGGCGACATTACCAGCTACGACACGCTGGTCCGTGTAGGCGTCCGGGCTGGGATTGATGGGGAGGAGGTAAGGGCGCGGCTAGAGTCGGGCAAAGGAGGGGCCGAGGTCGACGCCCAGGTGGGCGATGCGAAGAGCAAGGGGATCCGTGGCGTACCACACACTACACCATTCAAGGCCGGTGCGAGGTGGATGGGGCGCAGAATCCTCAGCACTTTGTCGAGGTTTTTGCCAAGGTCAAGACGAGAAATCGACTTAGGAAGCCGCTTTCGATGATGGTGAGGAGGGATTCGGGTACATCTGAAGAACGGGATAGAGGGCGTGCTATCTGTCTGCACGTTCACGGCCGTGTACCTTGCTAACAAGATCGCGCGGGACTTCGGGCGCCACTTTTTTACAGTATACCACCAGCTGCAGCGGGACGCTATTGACAGTGTGGCACCGAGATTACGGCCCGACTCGTATATCCCTGAGATCTGTAACGTATCTTATAAGCGAGCGGGACATATAAGCGAGCGGGACATATAAGCGAGCGGGACACTCTCCACCACTCTACAACAACCATCCTCAATTGCAATACAATAAGACCATTAACCAACTATAATTACATCACAAACAGCTGAATCAGACCCTTCTACAACCTCCTGGCACGTACGGGCATTATGGCTAGGCTTGCCGTATACACCATAGCACTGAACCTGTGTACGAGCCCCCCCTGCACCACTACTATCCGGCTCCTTTTCTTGCGCCATCTCCCCAACCATGGCCTTCTAGTCCAGTAGATCCTTTGCATCTTGTACCGCAAGCGATCCTCCAAGCTGCACGCGTGTTCTTTTGGCTCTCCGGCGCTTGCTGAGTGCCTCGTTGGCCTTGCGGAGCGAAGAGACCTCGGCGTGAAGAAGAGCCATCTGGTGTATTATAGCTATTATACCCTTGGCCAACTGGTCTATAGCAGCCAATATCGAGGTTAGGGAGCTATTTTAATAGTTGGCAATATGAGTCTTGATGAGTATAGACTGCGCATTGGCTTCCCAGGAGTTATATAGTATCTGGAAGACTCAAGACTATGCAATGCTAGGCTATGAGGTTAGGGGTATTAGTATACAAAACTTGATATCTAGCTTAGAAAGTACCCTCTCTAGATTGTACGGTATAAGGCTAGCACCTATAAAGCTACCCTGTATATTCTTCTCTATTATAGAAGCGAAGAAGGCCTCGCAGAAGGTATAGAGGAACTCGAGCTTGCTTATATAGTTAATATGCATGTGTATTAAGTCCTTGACCTGGTAACCGTACACCTGCTTTAGCGGCCTAAAGCAGCCAACATCGAGTGGCTGGAGGAGGTAGGAGGAATGTAGAGGCATATAGAGTATGATAATATGATGCTCCTGGCAATAGAGCTCGAATTCGGTCGAGTAGTAGCTCTTATGGCCGTCGGGGATCAATAACCGATATTTGCCCTTTATATAGGGTGCTATATAGAAGTCAAAGTGCTTGATCCAATCGAGGCCTACGGCATTGGTAGTCCAGCCATTCTCGGTGGTCGCGATACGCCAGTCGGCCGGGAGGTTGCACTCTTGATACCAGTTGGCGAGGTGGTATTGCGCGGCCAAGATAATGAAGGGTAGGATAGCCCAGCCGAGGGCATTAACTCCCTGGATTACCGTAGCCCACTCGCGGTTACCAGGCTGGGCCAGCTTTGCCTTGCTACGGCTATTAGAGGTTGTAACTACTATGCCTAGGAAGATAATACCTATTATAAACCCAGTCTCGTCGAAGTTATAAATATCATTATCTATAATGCTGTACTTGGCCTTGACATTCTATACAAGCGCGAACCACTCGCCAATAACCTCTGGGTCCTCGCACTTGGCCCTCTAGTAGTTGTATCGACATGACCAACATATACGGAGAGCAGGCTGGCGTTTAACGAAGCTATAAGCCCAGAGCTTACCGACAGAGGGCGCGTTACATACGCGTAGCAGTTGGTTGGCCATATCTTCCATACTACATAGCCTTGGTAGAAAAGCTCGCTCAGATAGCTCAGTTATATACTGGACTATAGCCTTCTCTTCTAGATCGGTAAGCTTCCGTGAGTTGGCTGAAAGATCGCGTCGTATAGGCTGGCCGGTACGTCGGTAGCCGAGAGTTGAAACTGGCACGTTATAGAGCTTGGCCGCGGCTCGGAGGCTTAGTTTCGTATCATTTTCAAGAGCTTTGAGGGCCAAGATTACCCTAGCTTCCTTTGAAGCGGAAGACATCTTTAGTTGTAGGAAAAACGCGTTGTTAGAGGTGGATGAAGAAGGATGCGTCGTGCCAAGAACTTAGTGTCCCGCTCGCTTATATGTCCCGCTCGCTTATATGTCCCGCTCGCTTATAAGATACGTTACCAGTTTTACATTCACGTTCTCGGCCTCCTTACAATAGCGACACCTTCTTGTCTTCGTTGTTGTTCAAAGGGGGCGGTTTCTTGTCCTTAGAGCGACCAGTTCTGGACCCTTTTGAGCGGATATGGAAGATTTATCAGCAAATTGGAAAAGCCTAACAACGTGAAAGAGTTCCGTTGCCCAATACTCCTTGTTGCCCGCCCTGAGTCTTGCCAAAAGGAAACACAGAACGAGAAACGTGGGGGAAGGATCGGGGCTTGGGGGGATGGGAGAAATGAAGTCTCAAAGAAACAAGGGAAGAAAAGGAAAGGCAAAAATGGAGTAGAGACAAAGAGATTGCGACAAGACGACAAGTAGGATGACAGTGAGCAGGCCCCCAATTTGAGATGTACGACTAATATGAAATCACTACACTCCCTTGGCAGCAGATGTTGCCGCCTTAGCAACCGGAGCCCTGCGCTGGCTCCTGTCCCGCAGAGTCAGAAGCTATTTCAGCTATCGCCAGTTAGCAAAGGCCGAAGAGATAGCAGGCCAAGGAGGCCCAGCCACATATCTCTCACCTCGGGCCGCCGTGCAACCGTCGCATAGACCCTCGATCCTGACAATGTAGACGTTTGCGATCGGGGCCGGTCTCTGGCAGAAGATGACGTTTCCCGCTTCTGAGACATTTCTACCACAGCAGTCTTCGTAGTTGTTGCAGTACAGGGGCCCACACCCAGCCCAGTAGAACCGGTACCAACCGCAGCTGCAACTCGTATCGGGGAACATGACGCGCCACTGTTCGTTTGTCGCTGGCACCTGGTCAGGACGGATAATGTGCGTGTGTGGCATGGTGGATGACAGCGATGCCAACAAGCGTGTCCTGTGGAAAATGAGTCAGGCGACACGGCGGCCGAGAGACGGTGATTGTTTGGCTGTTTGCTTAGCGGACAGTGCCGAGTTGCTCTTCCAAAGGGTGCTTGGCTGGGATGGACGGGGGACTTGGTGTGCGTTTTGTAAGGGAAGTGGTCAAGTGAATGCTGGTGCTCGCTTGGGAAGACTCTGTTGGTGAGTGCGGAAAGTCGTCGGTATTTGTATACGTAGCAGGTAGCTTCAGTTATTGAACATCTATTCTTCTCAGTTCGATGACTATCTTTCCACTCTGAAACCCGTTGCCGCATGTTCTCCCTTGAGGGCGACTGAACGTCTCTCCGGTCGTCTTTGTCGGTGTTCGTCGGGAGACCGTGGCTTGCAACTTGCGACATGAATTCAGGTCTCAGGACGCAGAGGCCGTGATGAATCATATTGTTCCCCTGGATTTAGGTGTGCGGTGTGGGCATTTCTCAGCCGAACTGTCTGGCTTTAGTTGATCGCACCGTCTAATGACAACACAGAAAGTCGAGGGCAAGGGAAGGGAACGCAACGTATGAACAATAAATGGAAAGCCCGATCAACGTCGGCCCGGGCGACGACCTCGCCGTGTCTCACTTTTTCCTGCTTCTTTCCTTCCAGATCATAGAAGGGGGGATGGTCTGGTTAGCGGGCGGGAGGGTAGCGGGCCACTGAACTGTAAAGCCCTTCTGGAGAGCAAGCAGCGCTCACCGTGGTGTGAGGCAGCGAGCTGAGTGCAATGGGGAAATGGAGTGGGATGCCCCGGGGAGGCTGGGTCAAAGACGGTAAAGCGAAGATTTGACACAAGCGTCTGAGGGCGGGACTGGTATCAATCCTGAAAGCATCGTATCTGTGGGATGGGCGCTGGAAACCGCGACGGCGGATGGTAGAGGTGGGAGTGTGGGGACCAATGCTCATTCAGTGACAAGGAGATGTAGGGAGGAGATACGAAAGAAAACGCTCGTCCTTTGAGACTAATTGTCTCGGAAAGGCGCAGTGGCGCAAACAGGGCTTGGCTGCACACCTCAGCAGACGTTCCTTCCTTTTCACCTCTTTGACCACAGCATGCACCCGGTGTTCCCGAACCTCTCCAAGGTACGTAAATCACCCAATTAACAAAGAAAGCGCAAGCCTTTTAAGCCTTTCCCCCTTACTCTGAGCGGTCATGGTCATCCTCACTGGCTGGCTTCACCGCTCATCCTCCTCCCACCATTCTATATTGTGGGCTCATCAATTAATTAGATAGCCCTGTAATCTTGACGTTTCCAGTTACTCGCCTCTCGTAGCACAGGTTGCTTGCCTCATCTTTTGCTTCACGGACTGCGCAACTTCGCCTTCGGCCTTCCCTCCCACACCTTTGGCAGCACCATCTCGCTCTTAATTTCTTCGCTACCCGTCCATTGCTTTCCGCCGACATCGACAAGCAGCAGCCAAAAGCCCATACAAGACTCGGTGATGGAGGAAAGAAGACACCCGCTCTTTGTCCGCTTCTTCGAAAACCAGCACTTTCAGGTCGCAAATGGGCCGGGATACCATGTCGTAAGCCTCTATGATTCTGACACGAGACGTACCGTCCTTGTCGAAGTGCCAAACGAATGGGGATGGGAGGTTCCGGACGTTGAGGATCCGGAATTTTGGGTCCCGTTGCAGAAGGCAACGGCCGCCTTGGCCGAGCACCTCGACAACCTTCCACACGGCACGAGCCGTGTCAAAGTCGACCAGGCTAGGAGCGTCGTGTCCTTCGATACTGATGCAGAACGCGACGACACGTTCGGTACCGAGTATCCTCTTCTCACAGACTATCAGCTGCCACCACCCATCTCGAGCAGGACGGTCCTCCGGTCCGAGCTTACCGAGATCCGTCGTATCTGTAGGGGGGTCGACCTCGTCTCATACCCGCCATCGCTATCTCCTCCCCAGATGGGGCAGGACAGGAACTGTTTCGTTTTCAAGTATCAGCCTGAGGACGCCGTTATTATGTGGAAGGAGATCCAGATGCTCGCGAGACTCCCTCCGCACCCCAATCTCGTACTCCTCGACCGACTTGTCCTCGACGAGGCGGCTATGACGCAGGTTGTCGGCTTCACCATGCGATATATCCCCAGCAAGACGCTCGAGGCACATCGACCACCCTTCAAGCTCAAATGGCTAAAGCAGTTAATGCAGATCGTGGACGACCTGAACCTCAAGCATGGTATCATCCACCAGGATATCCTTGATCGCAACCTCATCATCGACCCGGACACCGACTCGATCATGTTGATGGACTTCAACGTGGCCTACCGGGTTGGGGTTGGGGTCACCAAGCGCCGGGGGTCGGCCGAGGAGGCGGAGTGGGCGGGGAGAGATGACGTGAAGGGCGTTTTGGTCTTCCTCTACGAGTACATCACAAGGGACCCGGCTCTCGCAGCAGGCTTCTACGACCTGAGCGAGGTCGACGAGAGACCATTGATCGACCCGGCCAAGTGGGTCAAACACCCGAGCGTGGAGCTCGACGAGGTGGCCGAATTCTACTTTGAGCTGATGGCCTGGGTGCGTCGCCGCCGCGCCGCTGGTGGTGGCGGCCAGCTGACGCATTACACCGAGGCGCCAGAACCCCTCGAGTGGCCCAGCGTCAAGGAGCTGGAGAAGCAGGGGCGATTCACCCGGTATCGGGTTGCGGCACGGCGCAGCGCCGAGCTTCCATACCTTAGCTGGAGGCGGCCACCGTCATCCAAGCTCGACCCGGCCCACCGCCTGCTCGCCACGGGGCGGTATGCCGGCGAAGAGGAGGAGGCCGCGCAGAAAGCAATGGCCAAGGCCATCGCCGTCTCCCGCGATAACCCCCTCCGAAAGCTGCCGCCCATCGGCAGGATAGTGTCGAGCGACGATCTCCCGCCCATCATCATTCCGGAGGAGCCTAATCATGACCAAGAAGAAATGGGAGCCAGTTGCAATGTAGCAGGAGCCAGTACCACCAAGGCCGGCGAGAAGTTGGAAGCCGGCACCACCAAGGCTAAATCCGGTGCCAAGGTCAAGGTCAAAGCTGCTGCTACCGGGCCTGGCCCGCGTGTGCTGCGGGCCCGACCCAAGGGAAAAAGAGAGCGTGATCGCGATGGCGATGGCCAGGCTGGCGTGGTTGCCACTCCCAACAGCAAAGCGGCCAAGAAAAGAAAGCGCTCGGGATACTCGGCGAAAGACTGAGGCCGACGGGTGCCGCCGGAAGCGGTTGCAACGCTGGTCACTGGTGAGTTTAGGTCTGTTGTGATTGGTGACTACCAGTATTTGTTGCCTTTTTGTTGTACTGTACCAAGCCTTTCACGCATTTTGTCTATTTGTTGTTGGCTAATTATTGATAGACGGTTGTTTGATTTAACGTACATTATCAGCGAGTGACCCATATCAGCGAATGACCCACTTTCTAAACAACGCGACACCTTTGCACTTAACAACAATATTCCTCCCATATCTAAGATGCCTACTACTTCAAAAGAAGGCCAAATCATCTTGGCCCTCCAAGCTCTTCAAAACGATAAGAATCTAACTGAACGAGCCACAGCGAAAATCTACGGAGTCGACCGTAGAACCCTAGGTCGGCGACGCGCCGGCAAGCCTGCACGACATAATCTTCCAGCCAACTCGCGCAACCTTACAGATCTAGAAGAGAAGGCGATAGTTCAATATATCAATGAGCTATCTTTACGTGTATTCCCACCTAGGTTGTATAGTATAGAAGATATGGCCAACCAACTACTGCGCGAACGCGACGCGCCCCCTGTTGGCAAACGCTGGGCTTATAACTTCGTCAAACGCCGGCCAGAGCTCTATACGTGATATATATATAGATACGACTACTAGAGGGCTAGATGCGAAGATCCAGACATTATTCGCGAGTGGTTTAGGCTTATATAGAACCCTAAGGCCAAGTACAGTATCGTAGATGGCGATATCTATAACTTTGACGAGACCGGGTTTATAATAGGCATTATCTTTGCGGGCATGGTTGTTATGACCTCAGATGGCCGGAGCAAGGCTAAGCTGGCCCAGCCTGGCAATAGCAAGTGGGCAATAGTAATCCAGGGAGTCAATGCTCTCGGCTGGGCTATCCCTCTGTTTATCATCTTAGCCGTGCAATACCACCTTGCCAACTAGTATACCAAGTGCAACCTCCCGGCCAGCTAGCATATCGCAACCACCGAGAACGGCTGGACTAGTAACATAGTAGATTGGATTAAGCACTTTAACTACTATACGGCACCCTATATAAAGGGTAAATACCGGTTGTTAATCCTCGATGGCCATAAAAGCCACCACTCGACCGAGTTCGAGCTCTACTGCCAACAGAACAACATTATTACGCTCTGTATGCCTCCACATTCCTCCCACCTCCTCCAGCCACTTGATGTTGGCTGTTTTGGGCCGTTGAAGCAGGTGTACGGTCGCCAGATCGAGGACTTGATACGCGCGCATATCAGCCACGTAAGCAAGCTCGAGTTCCTTTGTACCTTTCGCACAGCCTTCTTTGCCTCTATCACCAAGAGGAATATACAGGGCGGTTTTATAGGGGCTGGCCTTGTACCGTACGATCCAGAGAGGGTACTTTCGAAGCTAGATATCAAGCTTCGTACACCAACACCCCCAACCTCACGGCCAGGCACTATACAATCTTGGGTCTTCCAGACACTACACAACCCCCAAGAAGCCAACTCACAGTTAACGCTCATCAAGACTCGCATTGCCAACCATCAAAATAGCTCCCCGACTTCGATGTTGGCTGCTGTAGACCAGCTTACCAAGGGTACGATGGCTATAATGCACCAGGTGGCCCTCCTTCAGGCAGAGAATGCTTCGCTCCGCAAGGCCAACGAGGCGCTAAGCAAGCGCCAAAGAGCCAAAAGAACGCGTGTACAGCTTGGAGGATCACTTGCAGTAGAAGATGCAAAGGATCTACTAGACCAAAAGGCTGTGGTTGGGGAGGTGGCACAAGAAATGCAGCCGGATGGTGGTGGTGCAGGGGGGGCTCGTACGAAGGTTCGGTGCTGTGGTGTGTGCGGCAAGCCTGGTCATAATGCCCGCACTTGTCAGGAGGTTGCAGAAGCATCTGATTCAGCCGTTTCTGATGTAATTATAGTAGGTTCATAATGTTGTTGTGTTGTAATTGTAGTTGACTGTTATAGTATGGTGGCAAGTGTTCAATTCGCTTATATGTTCATCTCGCTTATAAGATACGTTAGGGTAGTGGAGAGTAGGTCATTCGCTTGTCTGGGTCACTCGCTTATCATGTACGTTAGCCTATAAACTCTTCCCTCTTATATGAGAGGGCTATAGTACCTACTTCTTCACGAATTTCTCATTGTCTTTAGCAAACCCATCTATAAGACGACCATCGAAGATTAAAACTATGGTTTTATTAGGCACTCGGGGGTATTGAACCCAGCCTTTATAGATTGCTACCGTTGGTAGGAAGCGGATCGATCTTGCGCCGCTCTACTGACGACGCTCTTTTTTTAGGACCATAAAGGATAAGTAGTTGTAGAAATTGAGATCTACGAAGATCGGCCCTCAGTGCTTATACGCTTCTAGGTACGAAAGCTTAAAGCCGCTTGCTTCGAAGCAGACATTGTCTAGATGCAGCTCTTAGCCAAGTGCTGACAACGCTTCGCGCAGACTAGGCCACTGCCTAGCACAGGCCTAGTACAAGGAGTTAAAATGCACCCACGCCCAAGCAGGAACGTTCGTAAAGTCGGTCTCGAAGCCAAGCAAGTAGCCAAGCACCTCAGGTTATAGGAGCTTTTTGCTCGTATAGATCCGATTGGCGACTCATAGGAGGAACAATTTGGTCGCTTCTCCTATCGCCGACGCAGCGCCCGGGTCGACTGAATCTCCTTGCAGCTGCCGGGCTAGCTCGAGCAACTCCTCCGCATAGGCGAGAAGCTTTCACATCGGAGCGTTTAGCTGGCCCTACGGGGATCGCTAGCAGGAACCCGTTTTCATCTCCGGGCCGTCGTCAGAATTTGTCTTCCCCGAAGAAGACTTCTCCGCCAACACTGGCCCGGAAGCATATAGATCACTAGGCGACCGAAACGCCGTCGATCCACGGAACACCGGATTCCATCATAGCGGATGTTGACCTAGTACTAATAATTTCAACTACGGGTATGCCTCTTTCTTTTCTGGCCTATTGCTGTGCTAACTGTCGACTTAGATACCGATAGTATAAACGGTGATTCGGACACTGAGCAATTGCTGAACGAACAACTCTGGTCGAGCAGCAGTACCCCATCCAAGAAGCGGAAAGGACCAAGCTCTCCCGAGCCGATCAGAAGCAAGACGTCCACGGCGGGAAGAAAGAAGCCGTGGCTGTATTATGACTAGGTCCTGAGTCACGTTATCAACGAAAGAGATTAAATACCTTTGTTTGGTTTCCAAACATTTGTCAATAGCCCTATAGCCCTGACATCAATCATGCGATGACATACTCGAGTCTGCAGGTTTGATGCGGCGAAGGGCTAACTGCACTTGCACGTTCTTCCAGGCTTCCTTTGGCGTGCCGCAAGCGGCACGGTCTCAATTGTTTCGCGCAGAGGCACTGAGCCTAGAGGGCCTTGGCACGCTAACTACGTACGATTCGTCCGCTTCTCCCATGATCTCACACAAGCCCCTTGAGTTGCTCTTTGCGCAAAGCTCCCCTATACCTCTTGCCTCTTGCCTCGATTTTCAGCAGATCGTCTTGGAGGTTACATTCTCCAAGTGTTTAGCGTCCCATCTTCAGCAGCTAAAGCGGGATCTGCTGGTTAAAGGCTATATGGTATTAGTATAGTTCCGCTATTGTGATTGGTCCTATCGTTGCCTTTGTTCGTCGTCCAAATCTAATCTCCTCGTCGCCATTGCATACTTGATCGTTTCCCAGACCGCTTTTATATTTGGCGACCACTCCTTCGGGTCGGATGGCGCTTTCCCTCCTAGGTAGAAAAAGAGGCTCCTTCGTCTTGTCGCTAAGCATTATAATATGCCTTTTCTTAGATCGATCTATCTTATGTATCGAAACAGAAAGTATTCTACTGTTTCCCTCGCCTAGCCATAGTCATATATATCTGACTCGACCGTACCAATCCTCCTTAGAAAGCTGTTCAGCCTCGCCATTCCAGTTCGGAGTTATGCCAATATATAGGCTTCTTTTCGCTTCAGTTTATTATAGAGATCGCAAGTGTACTTGCCTAGTAGTACTACATCTATAGCCTTTGAGAACTTGCCTATGCTTTTAGGGAGGACTCTTCCCTATCGTTGTTTGGTCATGGCCAGTCTGATTGCTATAGACTTGGCCTGGGGCATTTGGGAGCAGGGTGCATGTCCTTGCTTTGTCGCCCTCTGCGCTGCCGCTTTGGCTTCTACTCCCAATGCGAAGTCGCTTTCCGCTGGTATCCATAGGAAGTCAACCGAGTTCCCTCTCTGTTGATACAGCCTTGTCAACTCGTATATCTGCCGTATAGTGCCTTGGCCGGATTGTTAACGTGGTTGTCTCATTGCTGCCAGCGCTAACTGGTTTCTGGTGACGATGGTGATATGTCTGTGGCAAATGTTGACCGGCAGGATCTCCAAGGCCATTGCGATGGCTGCTAACTGTGCAGTATATGGATTCTGCTCCTCCCTTGTCCCGAGGGTCACAGAATAGTATGCCACGATCTCGCTAGTCCTGCTGAAGAGGGTGTCCCGTGCAACGCCGCCGATCCCAACCATGCCTTTCTTCGCAGATGAGCTGGTTGCGATTACGATCCCCGAGGCTTTGTTGGCCCTCTCAGTTGCCTTCACTCGGTCGACTTCGAGCGTCGGCCGCAAGCGAGGCTCCCAGGGCGGGAGGGCGTATTCGTGAATTGTTTCCATATAGTCGACTCGTGCTCCTTCTGCCACACGGGCGATTTTCTGCAGCGGGGATACGAATCGCACGGTCGTCCGGATTTTCTTTAGGGCGAGGGGATGCGTTCCGGGTAGTGTATGGATGTTGATCCATAGCCTGACTGCCGCCTGAACATGTCGTTCTCGGATGGGATCAATGCTCGCTTCGGCTTCTGCCACGGCCGTTGCCACGGTTCGGAAGGCTCCTGTGATGGCCAGGGCCCCGACCTTCTGCGCCCTGTTCAGCCAGTTCAGTGCTTTTTCCCCGCAGGCGTGCATCCAGACGCTGGCAGCGTAGTCCATGACAGGAGCTACTGTCGCAACAAACAGTTGTCTCGCTGTCCGTGGGGAGAGCATCTTCAGCCTCTTCAGGGCGAGAGCGGCTACGAGACCCTTGGCCGCCGTCCGGCCTTAGAGTCCCTAGATTGTTCTCCCTACGAACTAGCTAACTAGCTGCACAGACCTGCCTCGTAGGGCAACCTAGTCAGAGAGGCTGGACCAGGCCTCCCTACCGGACCTCTCGGCCACGGGACCCTAAGGTTTGCACCTTAAGCCCTCCGCAAGAGGCACAACCCTACAGAGCCTTCGTAGGCGACACCACAGCAGCCTGCGCAGGGCCGGGGCCCGGGTGCGAGCCGGGTACTTAGCATCTGTAGAGCCCCCTCTCTCTTGGAGAACCGACACGCGCGTCCGTCCTCTCCGGCCAGCTACACTGCTCCTCGGAGCCACAGCTTCCTTGCGGCGGCGACACCACACATTTGTTCCACAGCCGAGGCACCCATATCCGGCGCAATCCATCCGCGGCTTCATCCCATACCGTAACCTGCGCCCGGAGACAAGGGGACGTGGCCTAGCCACGCTTACAGTCCAACAGGTCCCCCGCCGAGGCAATAGCTGTTTCGCTCCTGTGGCCCGGATGCGAGCCGGGACCGCAACTCTATTGCGCTCCCCTCGGTCCAGCATAGCCGCCACGGCCCACCTTCCGCCGGGCGCAACCCCGACTTCCAGCTTCCCGTTGCACTGCGAGGGTCTCCCCACGAGGCCGAAGCCGCAGTGCCGAACGTGTCTTGCAGCAGGCCGTCGAAAAGAGCTGCCACACCGGCGCAGCTCCCTCCATCGCACTGCCACTAACCTGCCCTGATTGTCATGAATTAACCTGCAGAGGCCGGTGGGGCCGACCTGCATGGTCCGCGGGCGGCGCCCGCATCCAATCATTCCGATCCAGGAACAGACCAATCAGAAAAGGATCACGCTTGGCATAGGGAAGGCTTGGTGATCCAACTATAAGGCTCACAGAGGATCACCAGTGATCCAAGGTGATCCAGTATGAGGGATCACCAGAGACAAGCAGTGATCCATAGGATGCCCGTAGTATATAGGTTAGCTAGTCATTCGTTCTGGAGGACTCGGGAAGTTCTCCAGTGAGCAATACAAGCAGTAGAGTAGTCACTACCTTACTGTGCAGACATTGCAACTTGCATTGTTGTGAACCCTTTGGCTTCACCGAGACCTACAGTCCGACCAGCAGATACCTTCGACCGGCGAACCCTTTCAGAGGCAGGACTGCCTGTGGTTTCGTCACACTGATCCGCTATTGTAGTTCCTCCTTTCGTAGTATGCTGTTTGTCGAGAGGGCGAAGCGCCTCGCAGGAAGGCCAGCCGCCCGTATGCCTTCCCTTAACGAACCTGTCACCTTCCTTCTCCTCGGTCGATCAACAACTCTTGCAATCGGAGTCGTACAACAGCTTTCGCTCTAGTCCTCGTAGCGTCGTCTGACCGGTCGGTTTTACCGCCAGGACTCTCGACTTCGCTCTCCTAGAACTGGGCAGGGCCGGGGGTGCCCTGTCTCTTCTTTAGAACGTCGAAAGAGTCGGGTGGTTTTCGTACCCAGTATCCCCCTGATCTTGCAAACTTTGTTGCAGCTTGTTCTTGTCGTTGGTGTCGGTAAGTCGCGGTTGTCGGGCGGGGTAGTGAGGGATTTCCGGGGCGCTCGGAAACCTCACTTCTGATCCTCGAAATCGACGTCTTCGGCCGCCAACAGGCCGCGCAGTAGCTGCGCGGTGCTGCAACCCTTGGGAATGAAAGAACAGATCGCAAAGGACCTTTCTTCCAATTTTCGCGATGCCCGGCCGCCTGCGTGAGCGGCCCCCGATGTTTCTTCACCGGGAAGGGGATCCTAGGTGATTTTGCCGCGGTATAGTCTCCGCGGAAGAGTAGCATGGCACCCAATTGATACGCGGGCATGGCACAACGCGAGGCATGGCAATTTGGAAACTCCCATTGGCCCAAATTATCCGACAGCTGGCAGCAAAGCCCCATTAAAAGCGGTGAAGGTCATTTCACTAACACTTGTAAGATTTCCTGGGTGGGCTCGCAGTCATCTAGTCTATACTTAGCTCGCCATCGAGGCCAGGTATCAATAGACAAATAAAAACCTCCATCCGGTCAGACGTATCTGAATGCCCGGGCGCGCCTTGTGCGCGCTGTCAAGTGAAGAGAAAGGAATTGATAATGTTCTTGTCGTTACAGTTGTTGCCCTCTCCTGCATGCCAGAATCGTCAAGAGAAGAGACGGGAAATAAAAACAAAACCCTGCCCCAGTCCATGTCTCTGAACTCTTGATGTCTTCAGGCCCAGTTCAATGCCCCCTCCGTCAAGTAAGTCTTGTATTGTGTTGCTCCGCAGAATTTCCCACTGAGATCTCTGTCTCCGTACGCTCGGCTGGATCCTTCGTCCACTGGAGCATACACCTGCCGCCTTTCCTGCCCCAAGTGCTGCAGTCTGGCCTCCGCGTCTTTCCCCAGAAGACGGTACGGACACAACGATTTCCCTTTGGACTGCTGCCTCTGTGTCCAGCCGAGCAGGTGTTAACCTATTCTTACTTCCTCAGAGTCCGGCCCTACGCCGCTGCTTGAAGATGTTGGCCTGGTCTGGTCTCGCGCGTCGGATACATCGCGTCGGAGCCGCTGCATAGGTCGTCTGGATTGCGTTTCATCTGCGTCAGCATCATCGCGTCTGGATCGCAATCGCTTTCGGGAGCTGTGAGGAAGGCGAGCCATGATCCAATGGACAGGCATGTGAAGGCAAGAGGAGGATGATGATGTCGCTTTGGGGTTGCCAGACAGGCGGCAGCTGGCAAATCTAGAGAGAACGCGGCAGAATTTGATGGCGGGGGCACCCTTGTTTAACAGAGAATTTTGGGCCAATGGGAGTTTCCAAATTGCCATGCCCGCGTAGTGCCGTGCCCGCGTATCAATTGTGCCATGCCCCCCTATCAATTGCCATTCCAAAACGGGATGTTCTGTAATTTATTTTACCAGTGCCAGGCCGGCAGCCTGCGCCGGCCCGTTATGCATCATACAACAACGTTAACTTATGCAATAACAGCAAATGGGACAGCAGAATCATACTGTCAATTGAATCTATTTACACAATCCTTTTACAGAGGAACAATCCTTCCGAGTAGCCACAATCCTTTGCTTCAGCATCTTCTTCCTTCCCTTCCTCGTCTTCCTGGAGAATCGCATCATCCTCGCGAACCTGCCGAGCCTCAGCGTCACCGTCAGCAAGCAATGCATCATGCACATCCTCGACTTCGGGATCAACAGCAGCATACCAGCGCGAGGGTGTTACATTGACAGGTCGATGTAACCAGGTTGTCGGCTGCTGCTCAGGCGGTGTTGGCCTCCAGTGATTTACAGAAGGCACGTTAACGGTATGTAAGTGGTGAGACAGTTGGCACCGGCGCGAAATTTTGGTTTGGTATTGAATAATGGGTAACGTGGTAAAATAAATTACAGAACATCCGTTTGGAATAGTTGGGCGCTTGATAGCATTTGGTGGGTGCTTGCCAGACATTCCCATCTGTTACACTGGGCACCTGTCCGCTCGCAAGGCAGAATCCTCGAGCCGTCCAATTCTATGGAACTGCCTGCTGTGCTGTCAGAAAACGGCTAAGATGCTGTCCTGCAGACATCATGCTGTGACACGTCTCAGCCCCTATTGAGTCGACTTTCTCTGGCCGTTGTGATTGCAGAGGGTTCATCGTGAATGGCCGAGTTGGTTGCGGCTGTGCAACTTCAGTTGGTCTCGAGTGTCGACCCCGCCCACCACGAGATAGCGGTACTACCAAGAAACTTCCACTTCACAGGGCCGAGCCTCGTCGGTCGTCCAACGCCTGACCTAAAGAGCCAGATCAATGGACAGCACCATCCCACCATCAGTTATTGTTAGGCTGATTTGCTTGAGCACACGCAGCTCCTCAGCCACACCCGTTGCAGACTTTGAGCTGCCTTCCACAGCCTCGTCCCCTCTTGCTATGTTCGAGTCATGCGGGGAAATATATAAAGCTATCGTATCACCAGAGATTAAATGCGTTATTCACTTCTGCCCAAGAGCATCCCTTTGTTTGCAACACTCTTGGCTTTCCACCGCTGCCCTCAGTTCACGTTGTCCACCATCTCGCAGATTTTGACCAGCTAAGGACCGTTTCAAAAAGCGATGGCCGAAGCCGCCGGGCTTGCCGCTACTTGCGCTGGTCTGCTAGGAGCGTTGTCAGGGCTCATAAAATTTTCAAAGAAGATCCATGACGCGCCAAAAGATTGGGGGCGGTACTGCGCATTGTTAGACAACTTGTGCCAGGTATGTTCCCGGAGCCCTTCAAGGCCGAATCAAAAGCCCCTGACATTTCATTGTAGCTGTGCAGTACAATTCGAGCTCTCACAAACAACATGGACGGGCTCAGCAAGGTCATCGTCACTCACAACGGCCGCGACTATGGACTTATCGAGTTCTGCGTGAACAATGCCAAAACCGCACTAGGGGACGCAACCATGCTGCTGAGCGAGTTCGAACAATTGAAGGGTAACGTGAAACCCCTCGATCGCGTGAAAGCATGGCTCCGGAACAAAAGCAAGCAGCTCCTTTGGGTTCTCCAAGAACAGGACATTCAAGGCTGCATTCAGCGTGTTGAGACAGCCATGGTTGGGCTCAGCATCGCCATCCACGCTGCTTCGCTAGTCAGGACAAGTACTGCGTGGGTGCCTACTTTTCCTGCTTACGCAGGTCATGGGGAAAAGCTGACTCGATTGGCCATCCTTAGCTACAATGAAAACAAGAAGGCAATTGACGATTTGACTAAGCAGCTGGCCGAAAACTTCGAGAAATTGGAGAAATGCCACGAAAAGAGTCTCGGCAAGCAGGAACGCAGGACCATCCACCTTATCGTTAGACCATTGCCCCGCCGTTATCAACTCTCGCGCACAATTTCGTCGGTTCCCGGCAAGCGCACCAGGCGATCTCAGACTGTCCAGGCCTCAGCCACCGAAGCCTCACCTCATCTTGCGGTGGCTCACGACCAGTCGCAAATTGACGACGTACTGTCAGATTTGGAGCAGGACCATATGGTTGCTGGCGCAGCATCCCGGGACCCATCTGGCGACCAACTAGGGTACGCACCTGTGATGAGTCTTGACACTCTTTCGCATAACTCTCCGTTCCTGGACGTGGGTTGTGAGCTTCCATCGCTCACCGACCAAGCGGATGATATTGAAATCACGTGCGAAGATGGCAGCATCGCTTTCATCCCTGCCGGAACGGACCATAGCTATGGTGATGAGGGCATGAAGACCCAGATGGCACTCGTCAAGACGACGGACAAGCTGCCGATCACTCGCACTCCAGAGGATGCGAATATCCCTCTCTCAGATGCCGAAGAACTCCTGGAATTCCTGATCAAAGACACGCCCGCAGATGAAGTGCCCACTCCAGTTGGAACAGCCTCAGCGAAATCAGTCAACATAATCTCCCTTTTCCATCTCGAGTTTGCGTCGAACAACAGCGAGGATGATGCAGACAGTGCGAAGTCCGATCCATCGATTATTCGATTCCTCTGCGTCGAGAGATTGGTGCTTCTGCATGAAAATGGCGCCTTCGAGTTTGTTGCGCGGATACCATGCCATGAATTCCCGTGGTGCGATCACGTCAACATTGAGCTCCTGGGTCGCGGCATGACTGCAAACGAGCTTTATGACTCGGATGTGGGAATAGTCATACTAGCCCCACACGGTGATGATCGCGACCCACGAGTTGTCCAGCCATTCAAAGGGTTTGATACCCTTGTGTACGAGAAATGTACCGGGGCTTGCGGCCACACTCAAGTGGAACTTGAAGAAGTTGGAGATGCGGAGCAAGATGCAGTCGTGCATTGCATGGGCCCCCTTCACATATTGGCATTGGTTGGATCCATGCTGAAGGACTCCGAGAATGAAGAGACTTCAGATGACGAGAAACACTCCAGTGATGGAAGCTCCGACGACAGTGACGACAAAGCTGGTGTCCATGGGATGGGTCCCTTCCGCTCGGTGCCCTGCTTGTTCTGTCGCAAGACGGCCTTGAATCCCAAATTGGTAGGGGAGAGAACATCGGAGTCAGTCGTCCGCTATGGCACCCATTCCTATGGCTACAGGTGTGCTCGATGTCAAAGGATAAGTTGGATTACGGGAGCCCAGCCTGTCGGTGTTGAGGAAGCGGCGACTAGGGATGATTCGGAGGGAGAGCTTACGGCCGCAACTAGGGCTGCTGGAATGGTAGTCGCGGATGGACTGCCACTTTTGGCGAGATTCTTCGGTTTCTGATGATTCAGAGCGAAAGCCGTCTCAATTGAGCAATACTTTTTGGATTGTAGAATAGACCGTTGTGCACTCTCGGAGCAGCTTGCAGCTGATGGTTGGGGAGAGCCCGTTCGGTGAAGACGGAGTCGATGATGTTCTGCACTTCCACGCGGCCGGATTCCTCGCAGCCATCTTTGGATGCAAAGCAGGTCGATCATGTCATGCACACACACATACACACGCACGCACAATTTATTCCGCCCGGCGTGGCGTTCGCCTGGCAGAGCGGACATCGGCCTGCACAGAGAGCCCACACGTATGGGCTGGATGGGTCCTTCCCTGACGGCCTCCAACCCGCTCTGCTACGCGGCATCGCAGAATTGGCTAGCACTGGCATGCGAGACTGAGCCCAACCGAGTCAGGTGCAGGATGAGGGGTTTGGCATTTCTGGATTTCAGGGTCTCTGGCGCTCCCACATCTACAGGCAGTTCGAAAACCACAGAGTTCCAACACTACACACAAGAACACATTACTGAACGACCCCCTTCCAGTGCTCTTGCTCTGAGTAACTACCATCTGAAGCTCGTTGCCCATTGCCAAGAAAGCGGTATCTTCCAACAGTGACTCACGGCAGGTGTGGCTGCCTCGCACTTCGCCCAGCTCGCACACGTCAGGTCAGCGTTTCCCCATCGAGTCACCCGGCTGCCTGCCGCGGCGGCAAAGATACAAAGATGCAGTGGGTGCAGCATTCGAGGAACTTGAAGGCCTTTCCGTTGTTGGATTAATAAAACAAAGCATCGAGAGAGTCTGAGAACAAGACTGCATGCTGTATTAAAATTGCTAGCGTCGCTTCGTTCGTATAACGGGCTAGGCCCGATACGAGCCTCGGCGACCCTCGGCCAGACCTTAGGGCAGCGACCTCTATCGTGCTTGCCGTGTTTGGCTACAGCCTTCCTCTGATCGGTTTAAAGCCACGTTATGCATTTCGTTCTCTCTCTTCCTCTTTTTCTTCCTTTCCTCAGTTTGGGGTTCTCGGTAGCCGAGGTAGCGCCAATTGAAACAAACATTGCCGCAGACCCTTATACTATGTGATCGCCCGTGCTTTGCTGCCACTTATAACAGTATGCTACCTAGTCCTAAATGCTTATCGACTTAACGTCGACTAGGCCCTCACAAGTATAGGCGCTATAGGCAACGTAAAGGCTCTTATAATACTAAGGAATCTCGGTCCGGTTTATATAAGCAAGCAGAGTACTTATAGACACTATAGGTACCTCGTATAGAAGATAGGCTAATAGCGAGTTTGACGGACAGTCTCTATAGCTGGCACCTAGATTGAGTCTCGGTATAGTTATATGGGGGTTCTGATTGCCTAACTCAGTCTGATCTCGTGGAACTGGCCAAGACCTCAGTTTTTCAGCCCGCTCCGGTTTCACCTTCAGGGTGCCATACACGTACTATGTAGTGGACCACCCCGACTGCCAGGATCTCAGGGAAGTGTGACGGTGAAACCCACCGTACCATGGCATAGGCCAATGTTTAGTCACGGGCCGGGCTTTTTGGTCGACCTGGTTGGTTGCCCACCTTCCACATCTGGGCATGTGCCCACATCCTGTATTTAGACTTCTTCGCATCTTGCAGCCTCGAGGATTCCTTTCCTCCTGCAAGTTCAGCATCCTTGCAATACAGTCAGTTGCCCACCAGAGCCATCGAGCCTGGCCTGCAACGACGGCTCCCGTGACAACCTACTAGGATGTCCTGAAGAAATCCACGAGACACCCCCTGACCTGGGACGACAACACTTCCCGATATCCCAAACTACAGCCCAAAATCCATTCTTCGGCCTGAGCATGCTTTGAACTGCTCCGCGATGGACAGGTCCTTTCACCGTCGGTGTTACAGGAGGAGATGTCCCGGAAGACCATAGCCAGCCGCATAGGCGGAGAGCTCGACATGGTGTACCTCCGCCTGCACAAGGGGTACCACCTGCCCGGCAAGCCCAGCCGGAAATGGTCGCCCCAGCGGGCTGCTCCCTTCAAGATCGTCCGGAAGGTCCATAACCTCGCGTACAAACTGGACTTTCCGAAATCCTGGAAGGTTTGGCCGGTCGTTTCGGCCGCCCAGCTCTACAAGGTGCCCCAAGAACCGGACCCCTTCGAACGCGTGACGCCGCCCCCGCCGCCGGTCATAGTGAACGATGAAGAGCAATGGGAGCTCGAGAGAATTGTTGACGGCCGCATTCGCTAGAGAAACAAGAAACCCGCTGTTGAGTACCTTGTCAAGTACCTCGGCTGGGAGGACATGCACAACCAGTGGGTCCAGAGAGTTTACCTTGTTGACGGCGCCCGAGAAATGGTCGAGGAGTACGAAAAGAAACACCCTATCGACTGAGACAAGGAGTATAAGGAGAAGGGCATCAAGCGCAAAGAATACGAGGCCATCAAGGAAATCCCCAAGCTCGAGAACCAGATCCGAATCGACTTGCCGGTCAGGAAGGATTTGGGCGAGTTCCAGAAAATCGATGTCGAATGACGGCCACGCCATCTGCCAATTCAACACTAAGAATCGGGGACGATTAGGTCTTTTCCACAAAGAAGGGCAGTTTATATGTTTTCCTTACCTATCGCCTGTTTTCTTCCTGCTTTCTTCATTACAGCTGTTTCTTCCACCCTTCTACCCTCGTTACCGCGCTCCTCCCTACATTCATCACGTTCGTTGCTAAGGCTAAGGCCTGACCATGACCCTAGAAACCTTCCCGGCATAAGAAAAAGGTTGGCATACTGATCATTTTGCGCACCTGCCAAACGGTTACGGGCTAGGACCGACTCTGCCTACAAATTCTGTTCAAAATTTCTATGGCTTCCACCATTTCTTTCCTTTCCACAACACCATTTCTTCCACAGCCGGTTCCCAACCTCAAGCCCTGAACACCTGTTTCTGAGCTCTGTGATAGTTTTTCCTTGTCTCTACCCATTTCTTCTATTCGGGAACATACCCGCTACCCTGTCACAAGTGTTGTTTCCCCGGCGAGCGAGAAGAAACATGCCCGGTGCTCGTCAAGGTCCAAAGCGCAAGGCGAAACCTGCCACGCCTGGCAACGAAAAGCCGGCGCGAGGCGAGAAGAAGAAGGAGTTGGCCACTCCGATTGAGGTCCCTGACGACGATGAAGAGCAAGACATCATCGACCTCACCCCGTTCAATGATTCGGTCCATGCTAGCAGCATGGCTCTCCAGCGGGAGATTAGCGACGCCAACACCGTTTACGACACGCGCAACCATTGGGAACGTGGTGAGGTGATGTTCACGCGCTTTGACACCCTAGAAGACATCTTCGGGGAGATAGAACAGCCGCTCATGAGACTTGAGCCTGTCACCGGGGATATAACCTGGAAGCTAACTGAAGGGGTCTCTATTAAGACACCCCACGCGACAGTCAGACAAGTCCGGAACTCCCCTCATCTCCCGGAAGCCCTCTTCGATTTTCGGTTGCAACAGTGGTGTGACGACAACCGATATAACGGGGAAACGATCCGAGCTGACAACTGGAAGCGTTTCGTCTGGACCGACGAAGAACTCCAGGGCGGTGGCGTACGAATTCCACGCCTCGAGGTGGTGTATGCCTTTATCAAGAGGGAGGAACAACGTCAAGGCTTCGCATATACTGTGCTCGCTGGAACAGACATCGACGTTGACAAAGAGGAAGCCATGGCGTACATTGGAGCAAACCACCAGTACATCACAGTCGGTGCTTATATCCACGAGTACCACGCTTTCATTAACCCGTACGGTGGGCACTCCGGACGATGGAAGGACCAGAACGTGAGCGAGGACATTGGGGGCCATTACCCGGTCACCTTTTCGCTCGGAGCGGTCAGCGGAGAGTGGCGAGAATTGGAGGCCCGCGATTACGAGCTGTTCAAGCGCCTGCCCAACCAGGAGAAAGTAGAGAAGCGACGGACCTGGAGCACCCCCCTACAGCTAGTGCGGAAGGCAGTTGACAAGGCTATCGCGAGATTTTCCTCGACTCCACGTTTTTCATTAGCCCAGCCTGTCCAAGCCTCGGCGACAGAGATGCGGCAATTTAAGACAAGTCAATTCAAGCCGATCCGTGACAACACGCCTACACCGGTCACACCGCTCGGAAAGAACGTCATTCCGGAAAGCCCCAAAGCCGGCCCGGCTACACAGGCCGATGAACCCTCCATCGAAGCAAACATAGGCGACGACGTCTATGACGATATCCTAAGCCTCGCCTTCCACGATGCCGACCTCTCTGACCTTGAGCCTGAATCAGGTGACGACCTTACAGCCGAAGCCGAGCCTGAGCCCGAAACCGAGCCTGCCACCAAAGAGACAGAAGACTTTGAGGCTAAAATGGGTAGACCCGTGGTGCCTTACGAGGACCTCGCGGGGACCATTTACGACCCGTCCAAGTCGGATAAGATGGTGCAGAGTGGCGCACTCCAGGTCATTCCCGACATGCCCCGGGTGCACAAGAACGTCATCGCGCCCATCGAGATATCGCTCGCCCGTGCGAGGTGGGAGTGCCGCCACCTCGAAGACAGATCCATCCTCTGGAGAATCGCCGCCTACGTCAAGCAGTTCAATGAGGGTGTCTCCAAGGACCCGAAAGGAACCTGGGGACATAATGCCGCTGCCCGCCGACTCCAGGGTCGGCTTAAGAGAACGCTCGTCCAGAAGGTCGAGACCGGCGTTGTGCAAGGCCTGCCTGACCCGGCAGAGATCCTCGCCTACCGATACTGCTCTCCGAACGGCACTAACAGCGGTGTCATCGATACATACCTCGCGGAACTCGGAATCCTCCACTACGGCCAAATCAACCATGCTGCCCCGGTTGGAGCTGAGGACGTCGATCACGCCAAGCAGGCGCGCGAGCTGGAGGAGCTACATGCGCAAGTTGCTCAACTTAATGAAGCCGTCGCCCAGAGGGCCACCCAGGATGAAGTGCTCACGGCCCTTAACGCAGTGGCTGACAGGCAGGATCGGGGCAACGTGGAAGCCCTGGATCGCCACGATGCGCTCAAGAAGGAAGTGGAGCGCTTGGTCAACGCCGAAAAGGACCGGGAAGCCAAGATCGCCGAACTCGTCATCAAGGTTACGGCACTGCAGAAGGAGCTGAAGGACGTCAAGACCCAGCAGAAGGAAATGAAGGAGGCCAAGACCTCGCGCCCCCCGGCAACTCCTGCAGCCAGGCGAATCGCAGCCAGCCAGCCCGTCGCCGCGGCTAACCAGGACCCCCAGTCTACGGCCACCAGAAAGAGACAGCGTGAGGCGGAGACTCCAACCACAGGCACGCGCGCCACTAGGGGAGAAACGGGAGCGAATGCTGCTGCCGAGGATGAGCGGCCTGCCACGCGGGCGCGCACGATGCCTGCGCCGGCGCCCCCGCGCACGAACATCATTGACTGGGCGGCATAGATCGGACAGAAGAAGTAATGGGAGACAAGGACTCGGAACAATCGGGCACGGAGTTCACGGAGGGATAACTGTATGTGTATGTTATTCAGTAACGACGAGGACGTCGTCTTTTTCCATCCGCATAGGCGGAGAGCTCGTCATGGTGTATTCGGCTCGACCCACTGGGTCGCTCTCCCATGGCTTGGTCTCCGTCACCGTGCGCCAGCACGCGCTCCTTACACCTCGCTTATGTATCTAAGGTCTCAGCTCTTCCCAGCTCTCTGAGCCCCGGGGAGATCATCGAATCCTATGCTGTCTGACCATACCTGCTAGTGTTTATCCAGCTCCTGCCACCCGGCCCTCGCTGAGGCTGTGTGGCTAAGATCCGTGCTTGCAGTCCTACGTTAAGCGATAGCAGCAGGACCGCCCGTGTGGACCAGACTACGGTCCATCCCGAACGGGACTGTAGCACCCATGACATTAGTAATCTCGTAGACCTCGAATTAGCAGCCGGCGGCATATGGTGCCTCGTATACCGCTACCATACTAGGGTAGGTGTTAGTCGAGGCGGCGATATACCGGCAGGCAGACGGGGGGGTGTAGGTCAGCTAGTCGTCGTTGGGAATTTTGGACCTCCTCTTAATTCCGCGCTAACAATCATTCAAGGGTTGAACTGTATATATATAGACGCTGTGGCCCTCTCTAACAGCATACGATCAAGCAAAAGTAGGTCGTTAGAGGCAAAATCAGTTTTTGACGTCCCTGGTCCCAATGGCAGAGAGATAGTCAAATTGATAAAGAGGCATCTTGGTGTTGCTTTGTACGTCTGCGGCGGCGTGCTTAGGTGAGACAGCAACTCTGGCTATTGAAGTTGATCGACCTGCTAGAGAGAGGGATGCAGGCGAGATGCAGACGCAGGCCGGTCCCTATATATTTAAACACGAACAGGGCCTGGGTTAGAGCTAGCCATCCGATAATATCGAAAAAGACATTCTCCACGTAGGATGGTGTCGAGCTTTACGCCTGCCAGATTCGCCTCTACCAAGCAGACTATAGCGAAGACCTATACCAAGTCCATATGACCTGCTGGGTAGTTTGGCGTATTTAGTCCTGATCTCCGAGCTTCCAAGTAGGGAGCGATATAAAGAGCTGAGGATAGTCTTGGCAGGCCGAATCGGTTGCCGTTAGGATTATAAGATAGAGATATTGTTTTCTTAGCCGGCCTCTTAGCTTTCCCCGTAGAGGGAACGTACTTAAAGAGTCTATCCTAGGCATAGGTGCTCGGTAAGGCAAATCGTCCATATTAGGAAGTCTTATAGTGTAAAAGTTATGTATTAGCGAGTCATCAGGTAGCCAAACGGATGGTATATAAATGCCAAATCAAGCCCTTTTATTCGTCAAGCCAAAACTCTAGGCGTAGGCTGTTATTATGATTTTTGATTCCTCGGCTAAACTGCCCGCCGTCATGGTCCATCTGTATACCGCACCTCTTAAGCTGCTGAAAGCAACGACCTTTCGAGATAGGCTGTTCATGAGCCAAACTCGTCATGATTCCAACGGTTTGGAACTATGTACATCCGTACCTGTGCTTTGCCCCTGCCAACCACGCCAGTGCTGAGACGGGATACGGAGCGAGACTGAGAGGTATCGAGGGGCGAGGGAGGACGAGCGGCCACACATGTGGTCTGGCCAAGCATTGGCCGAATTTGGCGCCAAGTTCGGCGGATTCGACGCTGGGCAAAGCGAGCACGGACCACGCATCAACCAGGCATGTCCTTGGCGACACGGCCCCAGCCAACCATTTCGCCTCATGAGCCGCCAGCCTCGATGCGTGAGCATGTGAACACGCAGCCAATCTCCATGGGAAGAGGTTAGTTGATTAGACGAGACGCCGTCGTTCAACACAGCCCGCGCCAGACGTAATATGTTGTGTCAGTCCCGCGTTGAATTGGTCGGCGGCATTGATGATGGAGGCGCGGGGCGTAGAGGGGTAAGGGGGAGAGAAGGGGAGTATGGAGGGCCTTGGACGGCCTTGGAGGAAATTTCCTCTATATATAGTTGACCCCCCCTTCGACACCGTTCTCGACGTCTTCTAAGCCTATCTAACCGTCCGCTTCTTCACTCTGCTTTAGCGACAAGACATAGCTTATCAGTTAGAGTCGGAGGGCGCCGAGTCGACCCAGCCTTTCTCGGACAATGATAAGTCGTATAACGCTCGATTGGCAGCCACCCTCGGCAACTATAATAGGTCGACCTAGGCCGTTGACTCCCAGGATCCAGCGTACAAGGCCCGCCTCCGGGCAGCCCTTGGCCAGCAACCTCATGCCGATCCCGATCCCGGTCCTGCTCCCAATCCCGGTCCTGCTCCCAATCCCGGTCCTGCTCCCAATCCCGGCCGACTTAGCACCGACGCTACTGCATATATGCCAGTATAGAGTCAGGCTAAAGCCGCCTACGCACACTCGCAACGGCACCCCCAGGAGCCGCAGCCTCTGGGTGCCTTCCTGGATGCCGCCAACAAACGCACGCGCCTGCTTTTCCTGCCGTCAGACCCGGAATTCTTCGAGCTGAAGCATGCCGCCGTTAAGGGTCACCAGAGCCTAGCGAGTAAATGGAAGGATATCCTATGGGAGGTTGACAAGGACAAGAGTATTAGGAGCTTAAGGGTTCTAGCCGTCTCCCAATCTATCTATAACGTCGCATACGATGCCATAATCCGTGGAGCCTCTACGACCGCCCTCCTCACATTCCGGGTATATTTCGATCCTTCAAGCAACAACGACGTTAGCCTGCTCAATACCAGCACCTCAACTATACTCGTTGTCAGCAGGAGCCAGCCTGATGATCCCGGTCACCAGGAAATCCGCGTCTATCATCTGGCCCAGATCGGGCCTGGGCAGTAGGACATATCCACGCCCAACAATGGCTGCACCACAAAGCTTTTGGTCCTCCCTTGTTGCTTTCTCCCGCCCTCTGCTCACTCCCCCTCCTTGGGATAGCCAAGCAAGAAAAGAGGCGCCCTCCCAGCTACGCAAGACCTGGGCCCGAAGTAGGCCAGGGGGGCAGGACTGCCTGTGAACATCCGCACGCTTTCGGCCGTTCGGAACCAGGGAGTCAATACCGCCACCTTACACCCTCTTATCGACCTCCGGGCCGGCCGGACAATCGAGCTCATCGGATCAAGGCCTGAGGAGAAGTACTTGGTCACGCGCATCGAAAATCTATCCGACTCTCGCTCCTCATCGGTTTGGCGAGCCATGATCTCGATCCTGACTCCAGATCACCTATCAGTCGTTGCCAAGGTACTGAAGTCGACCGGCAGTGCCAAGTCGGCCGCGACTATATGGCTGCGTAAGACCAACATTCACTCGAAGCTCGGCGCTGGCGGGCTCCCTACCATTATGCAGCTGCTAGGCCTGGATGCACGTATATATAGCCTCTATCTCAAGGACATTGCTACGCCATCTCTTGCCTAGCGGGCCTGGCGTAGGCCGAACGACTACTTCTTGGGCATACCCACCGATGCCTGCTATGACCTGGACGATATAGCCTCGGCGCTCGCCTTCGTCTACGACAACGATATTACATATAACGACATTAAACCCGGCAATATTCTCTTTAGCGCTGCCTGTAGCACTATACTTATCGACTTCGGGCTGAGTAGCGACAGCACGCGTGCATTGGTGGCAGCAACATAGACAGCGGGCACGCCCTGGTATGTCCCACCGGAATTCAGGGTCAATCCCAAGACTGGCCGCGGCCCGCCGGGTGACATCTGGGCCCTCGGCGTGGTGATGTTGTACCTGCGCCGCCGGCTACCTATTCTAGATAAGAGCACGGATTGGCAGATCTGGGCAGTCGCCTCTCAAAGGAGCCCGGATGCCGCGGCCGCAGTGGAGAGAATGTCTGCATGGGTCGAAAAGGTGTTGGCTGAGCGGGCATAGCTTGGCCCTGACCAGATGGATGAAGCCATCCGCGGTATGACGGAGCCAGACCGCTCAGACCGCTGGACCATCTATATAGTCGTTATGGCTCTGGGGTATGGTAGGCAAGACCAAGGCAGCTAGCAGACATTTTGTTTGGAGCATCTTGAACGCATTGCATCGGGCTAGGACGCTCTATTGGGAAAATGCTGGTCGTGTGAGGACCTAATCGCAGGTATATACCAATTAGTGTTAATCTTGTGTTGCAGGAGTCATTGTAATACGCTCATTTGGCTTATGCTATTTGTTTCCTGGTCCCTAATACATTGAGGCAGTCTCTTCAGGAGTTTAAACCCCCAATACGCGGGTATATAGCTACCCGTTTTGAGAAGGTGTATTTCGAATATTGCGACTTATTCCTGAAACCTAAGAACTATAGAAGCAGCAGGTGACTACCAGGGCATAATTCCGTCTCTTTATCCTTCGTATCTACCGTACCAGACTCAGCATCTGATCTTGAACACGGCGCAGCGGGTGCTCGAGGAGTGCTGCTTGGAATTCGTCAAGGCTTCGATGCCATTACTCCTTGAGGAGAAGAAATGGGACTGCCCGGCCGCCGTGGAGCTGATGCGATGGACACAGAGTTTCGCTTCCGATGTATAGCCGACAATCGTGCGACCAGTCGCACGAATTACCGGCTATATGTCGGAAGCTAAGTGGCACGAGCTAACAATTCGTGTGACCAGTCGGACGAATTGTCGGCTAATACATTTGTAGATAAGGAGACCCCGCGTTGCAGTGCGTTCCCGATGATATGCCGAGACTAATCCGGATTGAATCAGTCCCACGACTGGTGTGCTTGGTGCTGACTGTGGCGGTGCTGTGGCTGACACCACGGTGAAAGAAGGACCACATGCGTAGCATAAAACTGCCTGTCATACACACCTAAACACAGGTCTGATGAGGCAGCACAAATGAATCCAGCCTGGCCAGCAAATGTGAGGGAAGGTGACGAGAACGACACCGTGCCAAGCACAGCACAGCCCATACTGTCCCGCTCAGACCATGACTCACACGAACAGACTACAGTCACACGGGATCAATATATGTCGTCGGGAGAACGGCGCAATCCCACCTACTTCATTGAGCCTTAAATGGTTCCCGAATCAGTTGCCCGTCGTAATTGCGCAGGGCGGACAGGAGCGCCAGACGCAACATTGACACATATCAGCTTCAATTAATGGCGCCGCCGGTGGTCTGCAAAAGCCAAACGCTCGGTGCTTCTTTCGGATGATTAAAGCGAGCCCACCCGACTTCCATCAGCTCTAAATCTTGGCTGTGGTTATTATGTGCTCGCGCTTGCCACGGCCACCCCAGACATAGCTCACGGCTGCGTGCGGCTCGAACTCGACCTGGCGCCCCTTCTCTCTCTGAAGGGCGAAGGCACGAGTTTGTGGTTTCCAATGTCAATGTCTCCGAAATACGGCGCCCACAAGGTTTCGTGGAAATCATCCTCAGTGCCAAGCTTGCGGGTGCAGCGATGATCATGATGTCACTCGCACCGCCTCAGGAATTCGCGGATGAGGTTTCGCCTGTTTTCGGCACGGCCCAGCCGCCGGCCAAGAAACTCAGCCTCGCAACTGAGAAGGTCAGGGTAATCGAAATCTGAGTCATCGTAGCTATCGGGGGACAGTGAGAACTCAATACGATCCATGCTGGTCCAATCCGGGTGATCCCAGCGGATATGCAGCCTACGAGTTCGTTTGGCCTCCTTCGAGGCGTTTCGCTGCACTTGACTGTCCCCGGGGTCCATGACTCTGCGGCCGTCCATCTCCCAGAGGAGGTGACACAGTGTTTCGTTAACATGGTCAAGCTGGAGCATCGAATCCGGCACCGTATCGAGTGCTGTGAGTTGGCCGTGACAAGCAGCGCTAAGCAAATCTACCTCATTGGCTGTTCGCACATTCCGGCCATTGTTCCGAACCAATAGTGCCTTGGTCGGCGGTTACTTCCTCCCTGCATCGGCTGCGACCCGCCGCCGCCCGATTCAGCTTCCCAGCTGACCCCCGGGCCCCTCTTTCTTGAGGATGCCGGCCTCCTTGTTCACATCGACGGATTGAGCGACTGTCGAAGAAGTTCAAGCTTCCCCCGGACTGTCCTCGAAAGCCAGCATGGAGGCAACGGGCCTGGCCATTGCCGTCATCGGCCTGTGCGCCGACATCCTCGCTCGACTCGAGAGCGTCAGAAACGCTCCCGGCGCAGCGCAGGGACTGCTCGTTCGAGTGGAGCGCGCCCAAGATTCGTTGTCGAGGGTAACTACGATTCTGGCACGCGAGTCTTCGTCAACTTCAGAGGCCTTTGGACGTGAATCCTTGCAAAGTCTCCAGGCAAGCTTGCAACGTTTGAGCGAGACAGTCGAGAAGCTGCATCAAGACCTCCGCGGCAAAAGGTCGCGCTGGCTCCGTTCTCGATTGCCCTTTGCTCTGGATGCGAACAAAGCACAGGCTTACGATAGAGCTTTGGATCGACTCGTAGCGGACATCACCGTTTTTACGAGCACGGCTAATTTGTGAGTTTAGACCTAGGATTGGGCGCTGAAAACACCAAGGGACTCGCTGACCGGAGCTTGCCTTCAGAGAACAGGTTTCTTTGCTTGCGCGTGACCTGCGTAACTTACAAATCCCTCCTAGTATGTGCTCAACGGACACAGCACGGTTATCGTGACTCCAGTCAGCTGATGATGCTCTCACCAAGCAGGAAACAAACAGAAGAACGGGTTCAACGTGAAGTTTCACACCGCAAACGTACCTTTCATTCACTATTTCGAAGGCAGAGAGGCTTTTCTTTCTCGATTAGCCTCGGGCCTCCTGCCCGAGTTATCTCATGGCCACAGAAAACTTGAGATCATATCAGGGCTCGGGGGTATAGGAAAGACCCAACTGGCCATCCAATTTGCACGGTTAAACGAAGACAGATTTTCCGCCATATTCTTCGTCGACGCCAACAACTACGAGTCTCTTTCTCATGGCCTTTTACGAATCCATCAGTTCTTATGGGGCGGCGATGGCAGCAGGCAAACGCGCAAAACCGCGGATGGGGTACAGATTTTGGACAGCCTTATGATTCACGAGGTGCTTGATTGGTTTTGCCTGGAAGGGAACACACGGTGGCTGCTGATATTTGATAACGCTGACAAGCAACCTTCTGATCCTGAAGGTGTTGATATCACCAGATTTTTCCCGCCCTGCAATGCTGGCTCCATTCTCATCACAACCCGGCTCAATCCGCTCCACATCGCTGGGCTCTCAAAACCCCAAATTCAATTACAGCCCATGACTCACGACGAGTCTAGAGGCCTTCTGAACTACTACATGACCATGGGGGTAGATTCCCATACCGTGGGCATCCCATCGGAGTCAGAAGGTCTGTTCTCCCCCCTACGTCTAGGCACCCGGCGTACCCTGTGTCCTGATCTTATCTCAGCACAACAAACAACTTTGCTCGAGCGACTTGAAGGGCTCCCACTCGCGCTAGCGCAGGCAGGCAGCTTTCTGAGAATGACTAGAATGAGCCCCGCCGAGTATCTCACCGTTTATGACGGCTCCAGACGCCAGCTCCTGGAATCCCACCGGTCTTTATTCGGAATGGACGAGGGTAATCTTCGTGGGAATATTCGGACTACATGGAGTTTGTCCCTGAGAGACTTGGGGCAAAGGGCAAGTCCGGGCAACAAATACGACAATGCCCTAAAGCTCCTGCGGCTAATCACTTTCTTCGACCCAATGGATATCGACTTTACCATCCTCTGTCGGGGTCTCATAGGCCATCACATACCGGATTGGTTTGAAGCCGTCTTTGAGAGCTCATTATCCTTTGTCACTACTGCCGAGCTTCTGGTCGAGCGCTCGTTACTCAACAGAACCTCAAATTACGCCACTTACTCAATGCATCGCGTTGTCTACGATTGGCTCTGTGCTGAAGAGAACGGTGTTGATGAGCAGTTGCTAAGCGTAGCCATAAGTGCTATTGCCTTCTCGGCTCCTGGCCCGCGCTCGAAAGCCTGGAGCCGGTCGGAGAAAAGGTTGATCACACATGTTGCCGCCATGGAAAAGAGTCTTTCGCGGTGTCAGTTTGCATCCGGCGTGCCATTGGTGGAACCGGAAGCATTAACACCAAGTCACTTTGAGCGAGCCCTTCGTCTCGTTCGGGATCCGGATTGGTACAAGAAAATGACAGACGCCCGCTCGCCATTGTCAACTATTGTCTATCTCTTGTCCATCGATGAGAAGGCACAGACAGGTCTCCAGATTGTTGAAGTGGCTCTGGCTAGCCTTAATTGCGAAGACAATCGGCAAGCACAGGCTTCAGCGGCACTCATGGAGTCCAAGGCCTTACTTCTGCGGGAACAGGAGAATTTTGCTGCTTCGAGAGCCTGCCTTCTCAAGGCCATGGGCCTGGCAAGATCCCAGCTTTTGCAATACGATCTACAATTGGCACTGGCTGTCGTCCTGGCAGAGGAAGACAAGATACCCGATGCTGAACGGATACTTGAGGCCTGTATCCTTGACGCTAGAAGGGTAGGTCTCGCCTTTGACCATCCTTGGGTAATTTTTGCCATTGTACAGTTGGAATGGTTCCTGAGCAAGTCGACGTCCCCCCATGCCATCGGCAAACGTGTTCGCCTTTTGGAGCCTTACCGGGCCTATGCAGAAGAGACTGCCTCCCACAGCGCTGCATCCAGGTTGATTCTATCTGGTCTGGGCGCTGCTTATACAGAAATGGATGCAATGGACAAAGCTTTGCCCGTCCTAGAAGCGGGGCTGGTAGCAGAGTTAGCCTCTGGGGCGGCAGATGTCGGCCAACTGAGCAACCTATACTATGATCTTTTCAGAGCATATCTGAAACTCGACAAGATATCTCAAGCCGTTGACTTCTGTGAGAAGTGGTTTGAGGCACGAGCAACGCAATACGGGGCGCGGAGTAAAAAAGCGGCACAGGCCCTCAACGACCTGTGTTGGACAAGACTCCAGGCCCACGACGGTCCTAGCGCTATAGAAGCAGGGATTCGTGCAGCCGAGATGCTGGGACCCGATGACGGACGGGAATACTGGGACCTCACCTGGAGGCTAAGGGATGCCTATACTAGTGTGAAGAAATGGGAAGAGGCCACCATATGGGGCCGACGAGCCGAGGAAGCTTCTGCTGCCGTGTTCGGGACGGAAAGCGCCGAGTGTAAAGATGAGAAGAGGAGTCTGGAGAAGGTTCTCCAACTGTGGAGAGATTGATGATCTGCAAGTAATTCGCAACCTTGAACTAGATTAACTGGGTAACGTACATGAGTGACCCAGACAGCACCACATGGCAGCATAGCGGCCGTTGAGTGCAAGGAGCTCCTGGTAAATACCGCTCTCCACCACAGTGCCAGCATGCAGGACGAGAATCTGGTCGGCATGTGTAATAGTCGACAGTCTCCGAGCGGTCTCCGCCGGTGTATACACACAAACACCATCTTGCGAGAACGCTATACGATCAAATCCCAGTCACGAACAGTCTTCTACCCAACTTCCATAGGGACCTGAGGAAAACGACTATACTCTGCTGTTGCCGGTCCCTCCTACCCTGCCAGGCGCACACTAACCACACACAGATCTTCGATACGGCTGGCTCCGGCCCCCTTCAGAGTAGCCTCAAGGTCCGCTATGCTTCTTCCACGCGCTTTTCTCACAGCGCAATATTCCATCGCGGCAGCCCACTTGACTAAACGAAAGCTTGACATGCCGTCGTCGTCGTCGTGGTCGCGTACAGCGAGGGACCAGACATCTCTGATTGCGGTGCCAATCTACGACAAGTCTCCTGCTTCCTTTGGAATCTACGGCTGGCTTGGATACGAGCAATTCATCTCTCCTGATACCCCACTTCCCTGTGCAACAACGACGTCTCTTGCTATGGCATAGCGGGCGTACACTGGGTTAGCGCCGGTGCAAGTCACGTGGGCCCCGTAGGGGTAAGCCGTCGAGATTCGGAAGAGGTTACATCGTTTATTTCAGCCAGTAGGGTACGACCACGGCATCGTAGTGTTGCATATCTGTACTATAGTATAACCACCACTGCAGTAGCCCTGACAGTCGGAGGTTGGGCTCAGGGGTAAGTAAACAAATGTGATATTTGCCGCCATTTCCAAGACAGGCCGTCTGCCGCCCCGTTGTCGCACGCTGCAGTCGCGAGGGATCATCAATATTATGATCCTCTGACGGCCGTCACACGGGCATGCTGTTCACGCACCGTATCTGGGCAGACATCAACGAACCGAAGAAGCACACCGGCGGACATGACCGTACGCGTCTGACAACCAGACCGTTGGCATCTTGAGAAGTGGTTCCCAGCCACTCGACCGTACGCCACTACGAAGCCCTTGGGACTCACTTTTGGTGTCTTTCCCAAGCAGGCTACACCTAACAAGTCACCGGCCTATAGAAAACTAACCCCAAGGGCTAAATCTTGCGCAAGCGGTGAGATATGCTGCTAGTTGTAGCCGAACCTAGGTCCTAGTTTCATAGTCTCAGAACGAAGTTGTTTGCGTCTGAAGCCTTGAAGGAGCTCTGTACAAATCCCACTCTCTGGTTCTCAAGTACGGTGACCCCGCCCATAGCCCAACCATTCGAAATAATACAGAGAGCCGTCTGGACTCGAGTCGAGGATTTTCTGGATGAGGTACTTGGTGTTCTCGTTGATGATGCCACCCAGTTCTATAATAGCGTTCTTACGCCCGCCATGGCGGTCCCAGAAGCTTAGTAGCTTTGATCTGAACTTTCGGTGGACGTCTTCCTCCGTCATCCAGCTCGCAACAGTGGCATCGCTCTTAGCGATACCTTCCACCTCAATGTCGATGAGATGTGTCTCGTCAGTCCCAGAGGTGCCTTCCCGGAATCGCCAGCCTGTAAGACGAATCTTTCTCGCGGCCTTGGTGACGATAGCTTTGCGGTCAGGACTGAGAGCCGCTTGGTTCTCCGTTCGGAGCTCCCGAGATATGCCGTCTCCGGACGTGGCGGGCATATCTCGCCGAAGGACATCGCTTGGCACCGACTGCCCCTTTCCGAAGAGGCCGAGCAATTCCCTTCTTTTGAGCGCCGCAAGCACCTCTCGGCCGATTCGAGGCGATAAGTCTGGGGCCGCGTGCATCCTCAGAGAAGTTTTCCGCGCCAATAGTGATGTATCTCGGCGGATTTAAATGAGAATCCTCCATCGCAACTGGTGCTGCACTCGACATTTATTCCTGTGGCCTAAGGAGATGGCTGTGTCTATCTGAGCTGTTACGGAGCTCAGATTGAGCTGGCAGGCCTCGACTTGAATCGTGGACGGAGACTGGGAGAAAGACTCCATTATTGGCGTAGAGTGGCTGTAGAAGATGCGGCAAAGCTGAAGGGGAGAGACAACGTTGTGAGCGACGAGGAGCACCCTCATGCGATGTTTACGCCTCGTGCTAATAACAGAGGAGAGGTGGCTTCTTCCAACTGCCATTTGAAGAGCCGGTTTTACCGAGGGATATGTTGGCCCAGCCGCCCTCCGGAGCGGGGGACTGGATCGCCGGGGAAGGATATGCGTACTCAGTTTGACAAGACGGGGCTGCAACCTATCCCGTCCTAACTTTTTGCTGTAGCCTGCTTGGGATGAAACGCGGGACGGCTTTCGAGTCATGGTGGCCAATCGGTCTGCAATGCTATGCACGAGGGAGCCTAACTACTGTCCTATGAGATTGTCTGCGAAGCTGTAGCTGCAATGGCTGCCTCGCGGTGTGTATCACGTTATCCTTGGGCCAGCGTCGCGCCTGGGACGGGCCAGCATCATGTCTTCTGGAGGGGGTGGGTATATCAGGTAACTGAACATGGAAGGAAACAAAGACCGTTTCTGCTCATCGTAGTATGATGGCTGGAAGAGATACCCGTTGTTCCCATGCGTAGAGGGCGTATACTGCCCCTGCACGGTCGGCTTTACTATCACGAACGGTGACCATCTCTGGCCCGTGGGTGTCTGTCTGGTCTTTTCTCATCGCCGAATGACGAACTCGTCCTCCAGCCGCTTGCCTGTTGCGAGACGATTAGCCACCAGCGCCTCCCCCCACTCTCCCGAAGCTACGTACGGCTCTGTCATCCCGATGCAGTACCGAGGCGGGTTACCATTCCGCGTACATACCCGAGCTTGACACGATGGAGATCTCCTGCGACTGACGTGGTTGGAGTGAGGTGAACGGTGTTTTGTCTCTAGCACGCAGTAGCCAATAAAGCATAGTCCTCTTGCGCGGCGGAGACGCTCCGCGTTGCCATCGCAGCATCCTGGAGGACAAGCGAGCCAGTCAGGCACGAAAGGCCATGCCAAAGGACGAAGAAGAACTACGACAACAAGCCCTGCGAGCGGTACCGCCTTGTTATCACGAATTCCTTGACGTGTTTAGCAAGGCGAGTTCTGACGCCATTCCCCCACACAGAGGACCAGCCGTTGATCATGACATTCAACTACTACCCGGAACGAAGCCATCAGACCTGGGGTACAGTAGAGACCGAGTTCAGTGTCCCAAATTTTGGAAGTTCAACCTTTCTCCCCACGGGCCAGTTTGCCACCGACTGAGGATGACATAGTGCGTCGGCGGCCACTTTGTACTAGTACAAGTTAGCTCCAATAGCTAGAACGGCCGCCGTATAAATGCACTAGCCGCTTTTGGCACTGACATAGCTATACGGTTCTACATATGTGCCGCCATACCAATCAGGACCGGATGTAAATTTGAGCCTGATATAGAATCCGTATATTATAATAGGCCGATAGCTATATAACAATGTCCTCGTATTATAGAGATAAAAATCAAAATGAATATCTATCACGAATTAAGCCAACAGGACAGCTACAGGTGGGACAACCCGGCGGGTGGCGCAGGACGCACCTAAACCAATCATTTAGGACTAATGAAAAAGAGCTCTAGAGAGCACTAGAGAGCGGACGAGAGCTCAAGGAACTAAGCTAATCAGTATGAAGGGATAGAAGCTCTCGATAGAGTCAATAGAGCATCGAGCTCTAAGGAGCTCTATAGAGCATATAAGAGCACCCAAGGATAGACAGTATATAGTCACATGCTCTGGAGGACTCTGGGAGTTCTCCAGTAAGTATGTAATTCAAGCAATAGCCTCTACCTATTGTGCAGACATTGCGACTAGCATTGTTGTGAACCTTTTGGCTTAACTGAGACCTACAGTCCGACCAGCAGTTACCTTTGACCGGCGAACCCTTTCAGAGGCAGGACTGCCTATAGTTTCATCACATATAGGCAGGTCCTTTGCGTTTCTTATCTTCTTATTCCCACTTTAGTCCTAGCTGGCTGGCTTTCTCGGCTTAGTCATTCCTTTATAGCGCTGCCCGCTTAATACGGAGGATGTTGAAATCGGCAGCTGTAATGAGCCTCTGCCAAACCTCGATGACGCTATAAGCGGAGTTAATAGTGCGGATTATAGCGCGCTCCTTAGGCCCTAGCACGATACGTTCCTTATAGGAGCTTTCTGTGATAGTGGCACTCACCGTACTATGCATAATGCATGTAGTATAATTGGTTGGTTGTTGAGCACATGCCCTACCTTCTATATTTGGCAAGTGCCCCACATCCCATATCCTATATTTAGACTTTCCTACTTTGCATCTTCCACTTGCAGAACTCTTTCTTCTGCAAGTTCAGTATTCTTGTAATACAGTCAATTGCCCACCAGAGCTATTGAGCCTGGCCTGCATCTACCGATTCGTGACACTTTCCATATATCCATATAGAAACGCCTGGACTGGTCCTTGAATATTTGGGTTAGATAGATCCCAGTGTGATGAAACCATAGGCAGTCCTGCCTCTGAAAGGGTTCGCTGGTCGAAGGTAACTGCTGGTTGGACTGTAGGTCTCAGTGAAGCCAAAAGGTTCACAACAATGCTAGTCGCAATGTCTGTATAATAGGTAGAGGCTATTGCTTATATTGCTCACTGGAGAACTCCCCAAAGTCCTCCAGAACAAATAACTATATACTCGGCCAGTCCTGCTGACTCGCTGCCGCTCGCCAGCTATCGTAGTCTACCTCTGATCGCCTTGGGTAGATGACTACCCAAGTCTACCATGATCGCTTCTGCTCGCCGGCGACCCTAAGCTACCCAGGTCGTTCTTATATAGCCGCCTGCAGCTTCCGCCCCTGCTGATTGGCTCTGTCTGCCCTCGTTGCGCTCCACCAGGTCTTGCTATATGGTTAGTTCGTAACACTCAGGCGAAGTCAAGCTAGAAGCGGCGGGAGTCGAAACTACTACGGCTTTACTTAGTTAGCTCAATAATAAGCGCTATATATTTGGAGAGCACTAAACCTGTCTATTATATCTTCTTT